AATGGACACAACATGTTTGCTTTGAGTTGCCGCAAGGCAAACGCCTTGCTGGCAGAGAAGAAGGATTTGATGGCCTGCCCTCCTGTGGATGAAAACTATCTGAGAGCGTTGTGGAAGGGAACTGCATAGAAGCTGGTATACTTGATTTTGGGCTCGGATATCTAATTAGTTGTATTTCGATAGGTCCCCCATGGATTCGGCCTGCTCTTCTTGGAAGGCGTGTTTCTGTTGATGCAGATAATGAAGTAGTATGAACTAATCTGAATGACAAGAATAGTCGTGATGAAATCTTTTGGAGTGCCAATAAAGGTTTTTGGTCAAGCACTTAGCTCATCATGTCAGTATCTGATACCCCTAGGCTCTTGACGTCTTCCATTTGATCCTGCATGTTGGTATGAGTCCTGTTGTCGTCCACAACGCTGCCCGGTTCAGGCCACGCTCTTGAAAATTTAGTGACTTCAGGTTGCATACCGCCGATGTTCCATTTCCTCCAAGGATTTGGATACTACACCAATGTAGACCTTACTTCCTTAAGTTGAAGTCTTTGTGAGTGGATGTATCCGCGGATGAATCGACCTGACAAGGGACGACTGGCCTCTCGGTTTCCTCCCATGTAACCCTGATCCACCTCGTTTTTTCCGCGGACGAAAGCAATGGAGATCCGCTGGCACAACCCCCAACACGTCCCTGACGCCATGACTTCTTGACAAGGCCATGGGTAAGCCCCAATCCAGAAGTCGAACGACTTGACTACTAATCTCGAACAAGGTCTGCTTCTCCACAACGTTCCGCCCCGCCACTAGCGCGCCAATCGGGGAGTTACATTTGCATCTCTGTGATCGATAATCTATGGCTTCTTCTAGCCAGCTTGGGAGACAAGGCAACGGTCGCTATGTCCTCCAGATCAGATGACAGCCTTGAGTTACCAAAGTTTGACCAGAGCTTCCGCTCCCTTCCAGCTTGGTGAGTCTCCATCGCAAGCAGCAAGTCAATCCGGTTCAGATGGAGTCTTGACGTGATACTCGGCCGGCTGTGTTGCCGTCATTGAGTCCAATTGCTTCGGTCGCTATTCATCGTAGCTATTACCATAGATTTTATCCGCTAGATAGTAGGTATATAGAGGCCCCTGGGAGAGGCATTCTCCGATCAGTCAATCAGCCAATCCAGACAATATCAAACCCCACCCCTGAAGCAAGATGCGGTCTCATCTGCAATCTGCCGTCCTCTTCTCACTCTGTCTTGGTCCGGCGGTGGCCACCCCGTATGTCTATCATCGCCGGCCGGTGTTGCAGGAGTACCTGGGGCCCGAGGCGGATCAAAACCCGCCTCAGCCAACGGAGCCATATGACTATGTAGTTGTTGGCGGAGGAGTGACTGGCCTCATCGCAGCCGGGCGGCTGGCTGAACATTATAATGTGGCTGTCGTGGAACGTGGCGGCTACTATGAGGAGATGACAGGCAATCTGAGTCAAGTTCCGGGATACACCGAACTCTTTGACAACAGCAACACTCCTCCCCGCGACGATGTGGAACATTGGTGGGAGATTCCTGGGACGCCGGTACGAGAGTTGGCCCGCCAACTTCACTCCAGATCCAGTCCTTTCTTTCCATAATACAGCAAAGCATTGACTCCTTGTTGCATAGGAAACCAACGGCCGCCCCTTGAACTTCACTGGTGGAAAGATGGTCAGTAAAACCCCCACCCCCACCCCCACCGGCGCTGTCATTACTCCTGTGGGCTCGTACAATAGTTATCTGACACTCGATATAGATCGGTGGCAGTCATGCCTTCTCCTATTTTGGTTACCTGCGTCCAACCTACGGTGCCATGCAGAAATGGGCCGATGAGGTTGGGGATCAGTCTTGGACCTACCCCAACACGGAAGTATATTTCGACAAGTCCATCAAGTTCACTCCTCCCAATTCCACCACACGCTTGGCCAATGCTACACCCGAGTATGATCCCAGTCTCAAGGGCACTGGGCCTCTGGAGATCTCCTACCCGCGCTGGGTGCACCCCTTCAGCACATGGTTGGCCAAGGCCTTCGATGCTCTAGGGGTCAAGCATACTCTGAGTTATGCCAACGGCGAGCTTCTTGGCTCCAGTTGGATTCTAGACACCACCAACAGTACCGATGGCACCCGGAGCACCTCCTGGACAGCCTACGTCAAGAATGCGCCGCCGCCGCCGAAGAAGCTCGATATCTTCACCTTTACCCTCGCGGAAAAGATCCAGTTCGATGGGACCAAGGCCACCGGAGTGGCCGTCACCCGCGACATTCCCAGCAAGTCCGGCCGTCCCCGAACTATCGAGCAATTCACCATCGAGACGAAGAACGAATTGGTTCTGGCTGGCGGTGGTATTCTCTCTCCGCAACTCCTCATGGTCTCAGGTGTTGGGCCAGCCAAACAATTGGAAGAGTTGGGCATTACTCCAGTCCTGCCAAATGATGCGGTAGGACAGAACATGCATGATCATATTGTCTTCGGAGTGACTTACCGGGTGAAAACGCCAACCAGCTCCATCCTGCTGGATGATGAGAAACGTTGGCATGAAGAAGATCTGTTTAAGGAGAATGTTACTGGCATGATGACCAATCCTGGTCCCGACTTTGGAGGTATTGTGGATATTCCCAGCGATCTCCGCAACTTCTCGCTGTCGACCAAAGCAGGTACGTGCTAGATGCTTTTCTCTTTGTCATACGTGATATGGGCTTACTGACGCGACTTTCGAAGACCTGGGTTCCTTGCCCAAAGACTGGCCCGAACTTATTGTCGTCTCCTTCCCGCTCGGCCATGACTCCCCAGATGATGGCTACAACTATGCCACCCTGATGGGCGTCCCCATGACTTCCATGTCAGTGGGCAATATCACCCTCAACTCCACTAAAATGAGCGACAAGCCCAATGTGCACCCGCACTGGCTCACCAGCACGACCGACTTGGAGGTGTCGATCGCAGGGCTCAAATACATGCGTCGGCTCTTTGAAAACCCTGCCATGGAGCCCATCATCATCGGCGATGAGTATCGTCCGGGCAGTAATTTCTCCACCTGGGCTGAAGTTGAGTCTGCCCTGAAGCAGGGCTTCCGCTCGATGCATCATCCGGCGGCCACCCTGCGCATGGGGCGCGCGGACGACGAGAATGCCGTCGTGGATTCTCGGGGTTCAATCATGGGACTAGACAACAGTGAGTCACTGTCTTCTTCTCTTCCTTCGCAATAATCAAATTAGAAATCCTTGGCTAACCTATCTACTTCTCTTCAGTCCGTGTCGTCGATCCTTCAGCATTCCCATTCCTGCCCCCCGGTCTGCCTCTTGCCCCTGCCTGTAGGTCTTCCCTTCTGCATCCCCACCAACGAAACTTAAGATACTAATGTATTGCAGTCATGTTCGCCGAAAAGATTACCGATAACATCATCAAAGACCAGAAGAGCGGAAAGAAGAAGGGCCACGATGAGCTCCGGACGGACTTGTAGATGATTAGGCCTTCGATATAGTCAGTATATACGGAATTGGAAATATACTCGCTACAGGTGCCACTAACAGACAATGATGTCTGCTTGTCACCGGGAACATTCGCTCACTTCCCTTGATGTAGGATAAGACTTTGCCTTGATAATAACATGTCCTCTCTTTGGCCCATTCCACATAAGTCCATGCTATATAGGAGCACATATGATTTCAAAGGCCGCGCAAAGGCATACTTTGGCAAATTTTCCCGAGGGGAGGAGACAGTAAGATTCAACTCAGAAGTTCCGGGCACAGCACAATCGTAGGGCCTAAGCTTACCAAACTTGCTAAACATCTTGCAACCACTTACATAGACAGAACAAAAGCTGTCTTCAATTCCATTTTTCCAGGGCACGATCACTTGAAGTTTTCTGGGGCGGCAAACCCAAATAGGGCATGGATAGTTGCTTGGAGCGAAGACGATGACCTCATATTGCGCCTGGCCCGAGATGGAACCTCCTGCGATTGCGGTAGTCTCCCTCCTGTGTGGTTCCTACTCGAGCCGATGACAAGCCTATCTTTCCTGTCCTAGGCTTGACGTAGTCGGATGGATGCAACTAGTGATTCGGATTTTCAACACGTCTGCTAGTTTGTACGTTCGGTTCTGGGTCAAGATACGAAAGAGAGGAGTATGTCTAAAAAGTGAACTTCGGCCCTTGAAAAGAGTATGTTTGAATATATCTGAATGAAGAAGTAGTACATGATGTGATCTATGAGATGCATCGTTGCTCAGAATTGATGGAACGTATTTTCCAACCAGTCCTCCAATATCTTCACAGTTCTGACCTGATTGTTGTTCTTCGCTATCGAAAGTGCCATCTGCGCCCCGACATCCTCCGAGAGAGCATTGACTCTTCGGATTGCAAGAAACTGACGAACTACATCTTCATGGCCTTTTGCCGCGGCTTCAACCAAGGGCGTAAACCCAAGCCTATCCTTGCGGTCAGGGTCGACTTTTCCCGTAGACAGAAGTATGCGCACAACAGCTGCGTGACCGCCAGAGGCAGCATAACTGAGTGGTGTTGTTCCGAATGAATCTCCTGCGTCAATCTCAATTCTTCCTGTAGACAGTAGCGGTATGACGATGTCTGCGTAGCCTCCAGATGCAGCGTATGCTAGTGGTGTCTTCCCATAACTATCCTTGGCATCAGGATCAACACTTTCTTTTGAGAGTAGCTGTATGGCAATATCTGTGTAGCCTACAGATGCAGCGCGTGCTAGTGGTGTCCTCCCATTCCAATCCTTAACATTAGGATTAATACCTTTTTTGAGAGTAGTTGTATAGTAATGTCTGTATAGCCTCCAGATGCAGCGTATGCTAGTGGTGTCATCCCACCCATATCCTTAGCATTAGGATCAATGCTTTCTTTTGAGAGTAGCTGTATGACAATGTCTGTGTGGCCTCTAGATGCAGCGTATGCTAGTGGTGTCATCCCATTCCGATCCTTAGTATTAGGATCAATGCTTTCTTTTGAGAGTAGTTGTATAGCAATTTCTGTATAGCCTCCAGATGCAGCATATGCTAGTGGTGTCATCCTATCTTTATCTTTGACATTAGGATCAATGCTTTCTTTTGAGAGTAGTTGTATAGCAATATCTGTGTAGCCTCCAGATGCAGCGTATGCTAGTGGTGTCATCTCATTTATGGACTGTGCGTTCGGATCAGCCTTCCCTGTAGCAAGCACCTTATCCACAAGGGCTTTATGACCACCCCATGCAGCGTAGAGCAATACAGCTTCTGCGCACGTGCTAGTCAAGCCGGGGAAGGATTTATCCATAGTGACCAGTAGCTCTACAATTTCAACCCATCTATTGTGTGCTGCGTATCGGAGCATACAGTTCCAATTTTCGTCTGAGAGGGCACCCTGGCGGGATGTAATCACAAAGTTTAGAATAAGACCATACACGAGGCATTTCTGGAAGGGGGGATCGGGGACCAGCAACACCTACCTCCTTGCAGCCCAATTCATAGATTGCCTTGATTATGGGGGGTGCTGCGCACTCGACTGCCAGTGTCAACGGCGTCTTGCCGTTCTTGTTCATGGCATTGACATTAACAGGCTGTATTTCTAACAGTCGATTGAAAACAAGCTCGTCATTAAGCTCGATGGCAGAGAATAAGAGGGCAGAGATATCGGCATTGTTTCTCGCTATCAGTATATCAAACATGTTCTCCCGTCCGTATTCTATGGCACAGCGTAGTAGTGTTACCTTAGCCCTAATTCGAGCACTCGAATTAATCTGATCCATAGTAAGAAGTTTGATGAACATAGCTTCTCGATCAAACTGAATGGCGTAACGGAGCGCCATATCGATCCAGGCTGTAGAGGAAGCTGGAGCGTCTTGCAGCTGGCTTCGGATGATAAAATCCAATAATTCCTCACGGTCATTCTTGACAGCATAGGTAACCAGAAAGTCAAGGTCACGCTTGCTCGGTATAGAAGCACATGGCTTGTCTTTACAGATTACCCGAACTAGACTCGACAGGTCATATTTTGCAAGGATATAAAGAAGACATGCAGATCCCGTGTGACGACGGCCTTTGTACTTCTCGAAAGCGTTGCTGCAACGCTTCCAGCCGGGAAGATTGAAGTTTTCAAGAAAGCATCCCTGGCGGACGCCACCCTTTTCTGCGGCTTCAGAGTGTTGAAGGACGTTGTGTACCGCATATTCGAGGAATGGGAATTTTCGAGAAACAGAGTCGGATAAGGCCTTGAGCTCATCCCTGGAAGCAGATGCAATATACTCCTCGTCAGCAATGTGGTTGTTAGCTTCGGAAAGGAGGGTGTTGTTGCAACACTGCTTCAGTCGATCATGGCTTGAAGCTTCAAAGCTCCCCTGGTGCTCAGGCCAGAGTTCGCGCAATCCATCTTCTTTCAGTAAGAAGTCTCGGACGGACTCATGGATGAATTGAACGGTCTTTGCTTTTGACTTGGTTGTCTCGGCCAGTCCTTTGGAGGTGCTTAGAATGAATCGATCAATGTCCTGCTCACTTATGTCTTCAGGGTCCCAGGCCTCCGTCAAATTGTCGGGATCTGCAGAAAGAATGGCAAAATACAGCTCCTCTCGTTTGAGCGGTCGTCTAGCGAATAGAATCCACTGAATACTCAGTAAGAGGTCTTCCATGTTCACAGTATCCCTGGTCAGTATATCTTTGAAAAGATCGCTAAGCTTAGCCGGGATCTCACGAAGCCTCTTGCGGAGGGCATGCAAGCGACCGCGCTGATATTCGCGATTTAAGATCTGCACGACAAGCACCATCCATAGAAAGATTCCCGAGGCCTTTTCATGTATCTCGCGTCGGATTTCTTCGGCTTGCTTACTGCGCCCGATCTTAAGTTCGCTGTGCAGATATCGAGTAATATCATCAGCGTGACCCTCCTGGTCCTCGAGTATGAGTTCCAACCCCTTCTCGATAGTAATATGGGGGTAGTGGCGACTGGAGAAGCAGACATGAAGCTGGACCCTTGATGAAATTGCATGCTCCCCGAGGGATTGGATAAAATCAATCATGGCGCGGACCTGTTCTTCTTCGCATTCATCGAGCGCATCAATGAAGCAGATGACGCGACGACCGCCAAGTCGTGAAATTGACTGGCGAAAGGTGTGCTGAAGCATCTCAAGGCTCCAGGGGTAATCCTCGCCCCCGCGCCCAGCGACAATTTCGTCGAGGAGCAACTGGAGTTCTGGGACCTTGTCTAGTAATTGGACCAACAAGGATCGGTACATTCCCAATGTTGATTTCTCCAGATTTTCACCTCTGGCATTGAAGAAGAAAGAGATGACCTTCGTGTCTGCATTTACCTTTGCATCGGCCTGTTGAAACGCGAATTTCATCGTCGTCGATTTGCCACTCCCGGCCTTGCCCTTGATCCAGAGGAAGCCACAGTGCTCGGGGAAATGTTTGCTGTCCAGCCAGTCCACATATTCTTGCTTCTCAAGAAGCCACTTGCAGGTTTTGGCATGCGCGGGCTTTATTGTGGCTTGCCGGCTCTCGAGTTGATCAAATCGTAGAGCATTCATCATCGATGCGCGGTGCTGGACAGCCGTGATTACTCCGGCACCAGCATAGTCAGAGATAGGCCCACGGCCGCAGACGCCGATCGTAGCAAGCAGCTGCTTTGCATATGCAGCCGCGGTCGCAGCCGCATAGCCCTGCCATGCCTTATTTTTATGCGAGTCCGAGTAGTCCGAAACACCTCGAATGACAAGACAGGGAAAGCTGTCCATCAGCCCGGCTGCTTCCATTTCGAAGCATAGGATATTGAGCTGCGCTGCCAATTGATCGCGCGTTTGTGCATGCTTGATCACCTGGTTTCCTGATGCGATCAGGCCATAGTGGACAACTGGCCGATCGGAGCTGCGCATCGACCGGGTCACCAGGTTTTTACGGTCGCAAAGTTCGCATGTCGGCTCCGCTGGGTCATGTTCATAGTCTGAAGCAAAGAGAAGGTCCCTCTGACAGCCGGGGGAGGTGAACGTTTCCGCCATCTGCGGATTACGCGCCAACATCTGCGACATCAGGACGGGTATTTGGCTGCCATTGCGGAGGTCCGCCGCCCGGAGGTTACTGACTGCCGTCAGAAGGGAAGTGGATGGCTTGTTCAGAGTGCCTGTTCGTTCGAAGCGCCCTTGTCCGATGGTCTTGCCATAGTCGTACTGCACCACGCCCTCGAAACGGGGCGTGGGAATGCTGACCACGACATCCCCCAGCCGAATATCCGCCGAGGCAGAAGGCACCCCTCCTCCGATTCCAACCATAAGTAGATGACGGATCGATCCAAAACTGATGAACATGTTGCTAGCGACAGTCGCTGCTGATGTGGTGCCATAGACGCCGGCGGGGAGACAAGCGATCACGACGTGGTGGCTGCCGATGGACCCGAGGGTATACGAATTGCTGTCGCGCGGATGAGTGGGCAAGGCTGGATGGATCTGGTCCAACATGGCTGTTGCTGCTGCTGCCTCGATGGCAAGAGCGCACACCCAGCCGATGGTGTAGTCATCGTGGGAGAGTTGCTGGGGATTCTCTCTGTTGTCGAGCTTTCTCCGCTTCGGGGGATTTTCCAAGATATGCGGTTGTTGATGCTCCATGCGAGGAGATGTAGAACTATGCTCTTTCAAAAGATCAACTGATCAGCTCATGCGTCTAAGTGTCAGGGTGTTAGTAAATTTCATTACTTCAAAGAAGCATTTCTGTGCTGGTGGAAGAAAGTGGGAGAGAGCGATCAGGTATAGCGCCCAAATGCCCGACCGGGTGAGCTTGCAGCCTCGTCAGGACTTGTGGCGTGGCTGTGCCTGCATCTCTTGCATTCAATCACACTAAATGCAGAGCCTGCAGTGGTCATTGTGTCTAATTCGCTGAAATGACAACCTTCCACTACTAAGTACTTCCATTTCCGCTCCATGTTTTCCCACGCTGGTCTGAAATAGCCCTTCGCTCGCATCCGTAAAACACTGTCTAGTGCAGACTTCTGTTTTACTTTGGTAAATGGTGCATGCTGGCCGAGTGGGCACGTAAATGAATACAGACTAGCAATTTCATTTCTCATAGAAACACATTGTGGTGTTTTCCACTGTTCGACGAGTAGCTACTAAGTGGTCCCTTAAGTACTCACTCAGATCCGCTCGGCTTCGACCACGCCCAGTCCATCGCCGGCTCGAGTCCAGAATTTATTCACTCGCAATCCCACTGAGTCCAGCAACCGCGTCCACTGCTGCGTCGTCCGCTCCAGTCCCGAGCAAAACACCATCACCGCCACGTCTGTCATGCCGTGAATCGCTGAGGCGTTCTGGTCGGGTACAATGTATTCTTCCATGATCAGCTTAGAGTAGCCCGGCTCCATTGCTTCCACGACATAGTTGAGGATGATCCGGGCTTTCTCATCAGACCAGTCGTGCATGACATTCTTGAAGTAGTAGACCCGGGCACCTACATACCCTCGTCAGTCGCTGGTCGCTTTTAAACACACTGGAAAAGACGGGGGATCTCACCTTTGACAGGTTGCTGCTCCGTGAAGAAGTTGTACTTGACCGGTACAATATTAGCCCCATCCAAGTCCTGCGCCCCTCGCACCTCGTCGATCACCACCGGCAGATCCTCCAAGACCAACTTCCCCGGAGCATCCGGGAACCGTTTCTTGAACCCCAGAAGATCATGGCCTCGGCCACCACCAATGTCCACCATTAAGGCCCGATCGGGGTTGCTGTCAGCATCGGCCAACACCCGGTCCTGCACGGGGAACCAGTCCGCCCAGTGCGGGCGATCCGCACGCTGGCCTTCCATGAAGTTGTTGAACCGGGCGAGCGCTTCAGGGTTCTGGCAGAGCCACATGAATCCATCTTCCTTCATGTTGTTGGTGTACTGTAGCGGTGCAAACAGAGGATCCTCGGGGTTACGATAGCCGGTGACCTGAAGGTATTCGGGGGTCTTCTGGACAGTTGGGAGGAATTCACAGAACCTGGTGCAACGCCCTGTCTTAGTGACTGTCACAACCAACGTCTTTCATTTTCCCATATAATTACTCACAACGATTCTACCACTCCAACAGACGTTCGGTTGACCATCTCTTTGGTCACTGCGGTCGGCAGATACTGGCCGGGAGCTGGCTCAGCTGCAAAGCCGAATGCCACGCAGAGTCGCATCATTCGCTCTAGTTTTAGTTGGAGCAGTCAGCATCAGGACATAGCTGCCAAATGTATGTCAGAGGTCCAAACTTACCAACCAGAAGAGGATCCGCAGGCTTCAACGCTGCAAGCTCGCCCACAGAGACTGGGCTCGTCGCGTTGGCCAATACAGGGAACACCTTCATGTCGTGAGCTACCTTTACAGCCATTAGGGCTGTCGGCTGTTTTATCATTAGCACAATCAGATATCTGAAGTAACTCAAATTTCCAAGGCCCATGGACTCACCGTATATGCTAGTTTCAGAATTGCATCGCGAGGTTTCTCCAGCGCTCGCGCCAGCTGGGTTGCCTTCTCGAGAGCATCGATCCGGTTATATTCGGTTCCATCGGCCTGAAAAGTTTCCAGCGACGACTGGACGTCCGTCCAAATACTCTGAAGTGATTCTGAGTTCATTTTGTCAAGGAACTGTGCTCTGAGATAGCGAGGGGAGATGTGGGAAGAGCAGCCATTAACGACTCGAGACACCCCTTCTCTTAAAGCCCCCCAGCCCCTGTTGCGGGGTGCACTTGTTCATGGGTTCAGATACAGCGGGGGCATTGTGAACAGCAGGTCCAGTCCGAAGAGATGGCCAACTGCCAGGTGGGTGGCATCCTGTAGCGTTCATCGCCAATGCGAACTAACCCTGAGGCCATCTGGCTCAACACCAGTAAGACGCTTCATCCTGTCAGGCTGTCAACACTTTCGGGTCCCGCTCCGATAATAGTGACAGGTTATTAAGCTCATTGGAACCAGTTTTCATGTGAAATTCCTTCCAGCACGTCGATCACGTAACTAGCAAGTATCACCGTTCAAGAAGGAATACGCCTCGACCGTCCAACGGACAGCAGTGGGGAACATGATGCCGCGCCAACCAGCTCAATTACGATGTCTCTGAGCCTGATGTCTCGTACCCTCGTATATACTGCCCCGAATCGGCTCCACCACCCGCAATTCCGTGTTTCTTTGCGCGGCACCTCCTGGCGTTCTGAGCTTCGAGGCGGAAGAGAAGGTTCATCGACACCGCTACGATCTACCTTCTACCGGATAGTCGTGCAGTAGTAGCCTTTGCTGATTGATGCTAACGCAAGCTTGATACGACGATGATAAAATACAGCATTAGGATGTGCGTAGAATAGGGCTTATCCAGGGTTCCGCACGGAGAACGCCCGAAAGGAAAGAAGGGGGGAAAATATAACATAAAGGATAATAACTAAATCCAATGATAGATTGAGTGGAGAAGATCCAAAGAAAGCAAGAGACGGTGGTTTTAGTGTCAATCCTTCGCTGACTACGATATAATGTAGATAATAGATATACAGCATCTGTTCTCTTAAGTCACGGTCATGCAGGAACCCAGGTTTCCCATATACCATAGTAGAACTGTCCTTTTTCGGTCCAGCTTCGCGTCTTCCTTGACATCTTGGCCTCTCTCCCATTTTCCCTCCTCGTTCAATACGAACCTGGTCCATGCATCGACCGTGGTAGCAACAATTGCGGACCGCCGGGGAGAGATGCTTCCGCGGCTCTCGTGGGTCTCATTTTCCTTTTCAGGCGCAAGTCTGAGATGGTCGGCCGCTGTGCGAATCCCGCTTCTCACACGGGACGACGATTGATACTGGCGCCTCAATATTTTCTGTGGAGAACGTCTCGGACTCTGATTCCGATTCGTAATTCAAACGTCGATCGCAGGCACGATGCCGCGTCGGGGGTGACGGATGGATTCAACGCCCCAATCTTATTTGTCACTAAGAAAAACTATATCCAGCGGATGGCTCAAACGACGGAACCTTATGTTAATTTTCACATTTTCATTTTTGGAGACGGAACGAGTGGGAAAGCCTACGATGGAGCCACCTGCCACTTGGCACAAATATTCTGAATTCTGATGCTTTTCCTCCAGGACCTGAGCACCGCGCACGGTATTCTTTAGGATCCACTGTCGGCCTCAGCTTTCAGCCCCCGCGAGGCAAAGAGCGTACGGTGCTCCTACCACTGCTCATATTTTCTGGACCCGTCCAAGAATTTGGAAACATTCAGTGGTCCTTGTCGACCTCACATTTAGTGCTGCTCTGACACCTTCCACGATCCTCCCCTTAGCACGGCACGGCCCCCTTCCTTTCGGACGAGGCATGAGAACCTGCAGAGCTTAGTTGACGCCGACCGGTGGCCGTTTTGGTAAGGCTTGATTATACTTCTTCCATGGTTGAAGAACTACTAGTTGGATTCTACCATGTGTGATTGGCATTCTTCCTGCAGCATGGAGAGTGGGAGAAAGAGAGATCTGCGGCTTTCCTAAACCGGATCCGTTAACGAGAATCGGCGCGTAGCCTCTTTGTCTGGCGAGGGGAGGCTAGTGCTAGATCCTTCCTGCTTTAGTGTGTTTGGATGCCCTCTCCACTCTAGCTTCGCCAATCTAGTCAAAGCAATTATGGGGAGAGTGCTTCTTTTTCCTTGCTGGGTAACCGATAGTCTGCTACGATTGTGTCACAGGATGCGAAGTGCAGAGCGACGGTCGTTTTTGCCATATCCCTGCTTTTCACTGCTCATCTCTTTTCCGGTCGAGTGAAAGGGGCTTCAGCTATGTCGCGACATTTTGATACAACACAGTCATCGTAACTTCGACCGGTACTTCACCCCGTGGTGCTTTCTCGACTTTCGCTCAACACGCGCAAGTCCTGTTTGCGTGTGGTGGTCTTTGGTCGAAATATGGGCTACAACCTTACCGCGGAGATGTTCAGCGAGTGGGCAATAGGTCTGGTTGTCATTGCAGTTCGATTGTACACACGCTTTTCCGTGGATCGTGGAATGTTCCGCTGGGATGATGTGTGCCTGGTGCTTGGAACGGTAGGCTTTTAGAGGCAAGGGTCCATCTTGCGGAGAAAAGCAGGCTAATTTGCATCAGATATTCTGGACTCTCCTTGTTGTATTCTTACATCTATGCACCGGTTAGCTTATTTGATTCACATCTTGATTGGTTGGCACTGAGTCATTAACATTCTATACTTAGCTGTCTATGGCAGCAATATAGGCCTTAATCACACCACTGCCGCCGAGTTACCGGATGACCAGGTCCCTTCCCTGACCAAAGGCTCGATCTATGCGTTTCTCGCCTGGCTTTCGTACATCCTCATGGTGTGGTCTTTCAAGGGGGTGCTTGTGTTTCTCTACAACAGACTCACGTAAGTCTTAATCTTAGGCCCATTCCCCCGGGATAAGTATAAGTCTGACAGCGCCTAGGATCGGTCTTTCGCAACACCGATTAGCCTTGGCTGTGGGCGCTTTCACAGTATGCACATTCGTCGTCTCATTACTCTTCGACCTCCTTATATGCAGACCGATTGAGAAAAATTAGCAGGTCAAGCCCTATGCAGGAAGTGAGTCGAATACCTGTTGACCATCTCCTCTGCTAACACGAAGCAAGACAACTGCACTGTGCGCCCATTAAACTACATCATCATTGAAGTCTTGAGCATCTTGTAAGTGCGGAATTCTTGCAAATGCAATTACACTTGCTAACCTATTGCACCAGAACCGATCTCTGTATCATGTGCGTTCCGATTCCATTGATTATTGTCGCCAAAATCCCGACGTCTCAGAAGTGGATCCTCACGGGTCTGTTCTCCTCCGGCATCTTCGTCATGATTGCTGCCGGTCTTCGAGCATACTACTCCGTCAAAGACCTCTCGACTCTCGCAACGGCTTTGGGCTGGGCATCACGGCAGGCCTTTGTCTCAGCCATTATCGTCTGCGCTCCAGGGATCAAGCCCCTTCTTTCTCGCTTTTCCTGGTTTGCGTCCTACAGTTCTTCCCGCGGATACGACAAAAAGGACCGAAGCCGAACGACCTTTTTCAACTCCAAGAGTGGCGGTCGAGACGTGACGGTGGTCAGTACGTGTGAGCCTCAGCCGTACGAGCTCTCATCTATGGGCTGGCCAAGGAAGCGCCAGAATTCGTCGGGAGAGAGCCAGGAACATATTATGGATCTCCTGCCGGCACCACAGCAGGGCTACACTGGCGACTCCGAACGGAATATGGGCATTATGATAACGACGGATGTCACTCTGGCGCATGAGGATCTCCCTCCCGAGGATCTGCACAACGTATCCACCACGCCACCATATGGACATTGAGGGCAGTGGTTGTATACGGAGGTTGGGTCCACATGTTAAATAGTGCCAATCTGATGCGATTCCTTTCCCGTTTTGTGTACGCGAATGACCCATAGAAGCTGACTCGGCTCTGTCTTTGTCATCTTTACGGGCCTATCCTATTATGACCATATCAACTAATTCTTAATACATCATGAGCTTTCGATCGAGCTACGTCGCCTACAACGCAGGACTTATTACTGTGAATGCTACACGGGCTTCTCATGGTTTTTCGTCTTGCAATCATCCTGACACCAGCATCATAGCTACAGCTTTCTCTTTGGTTCCAACCGAGCAAGTGGAGCGCGAGTTGCTCAGTCTGTAAGTTAAACGCTCAAGCCACCATTCATAGGTTTCTGGTAGCTATTACGACAAGACAACGACACCCTTGGAGAGAAACACCCCGCAAAAACTGTCGTACGAGGCTATCAACCCCAAAACCAGCCTCATACTCGCGTGTACTCAAGACACAACCCAATCAACAAGTGGCTTAACAACAATATGGTGCCATAAAGACCATTTCACGCTACTTTACGAGCTCATCTCTTTCCGGGCGTGGACTGCTGACCACTCTGTTGAGTGCCCGATGACGGGCCATGAGAGGAACCGGTTTTGGACGATGCAACGTTGGCATTCCGATCGGCAGCCGCTTGAGCTCGAGCAGCAAAGCCACCAGAGCTCATATCTTTTCCACCTCGTGCCTGTAGCTTTGTGAGCATGCAATCTATGCCAACATACAGCAAGTGCTAACTTGGGAGGACTGGATGCGGGAAGCATCCGACTTGGTCGTCTGGTTCGAAGGCATGTTGATATAACAGCGACTGGTTACTATCAGAGTTCTGTTTTGGAAAGGATCGTTGATGCGTTGGAGAGTTCTTTTGTTCAAGATATTCATATCCTCATTATATGCCTCGCACTTCTTTCACATGTTTGTACTACAAGTGCGGTATGGCTTATCTCCTTCGTCATGGGTAACCATCCCGGTGTCATTTTCCGTCCATCCACTACAGCTCTGCACCGTTAGTACTAGTAAGTACTACATCGTCTTCTCGGGACCACTGTTACCAACCGTAGTAGTATGTGCATAACCCAGCTAGCCCACTTCATTGGTTGGAATTTACCCGGCTGCTAGACCTTGTCCCTCGCCATACTCATAGCTCGCATGGCCGCGATTTGCCTTCTAGATATGAGGATGCGACCACTCCGCGGCATCCTTGGTACTTTTGTCTTTGTGACCCTCCCATCAGCACTACCCCATGGTGTTTTCACTACCTATCCTACTTTGTCTTCTGTTTCACTGGAGGGGCCCTAGACCGTGCTGGAAAGCCATTCTTCACGGAGACAGTCAGCACTGCTGTTTTGTGCTAGTGCCAAGTGTGTCCATAGATGGAAAAATACGAAAATTGCTATATCATTTCCACCATAGCTTATGCTCCGATATCCCAACGCGACCCTTTGCAGCCTCGCAGCCATACATGACCAACCAGCGGGCCGACACGCCATCATTGCGTGAACTCAATCAAGACTTAGGTGGCAACTCCGACCATCAGAAATTCTTGCTTGCTGAAATCGAGCTCCAGATGTCTGTAGAATCTGGGCGAATGTACGAGACCACTGCATGTTGGGACATTGGAAGGGAGGTTTGCTTCACCATGACGAAAGCGACCGAAGACTGCTTGCTCAGTGGCACCGTGTAGTTTGTAGTTCGTAGTTTGTACCACCGAAGGGATGCACGCCAGTGGAATAATCTGGAAACGAGCGGGGAATGCGTGGCATGACAGCTTCTCCCCAGCGATGACCAGGAGTGGTACACGGTAGTGGTTGGAAGGAATCCAGACTGCATCCCCTCCCTACTTTCTGGCGGGTGGCAACCGCGCTTATCACGTGATCACGCGTCGAATCCGCGAGAAGCGTCCGGGGCTGCCTGGGGCCTTCCCGCTGTCTCTGGCGGGCACTAACCGCACTAAGCCAAGGGTTCCAGCGATCGTTCAGGGAGCTTCGAGCTTCCTCCAGCAGCTACTCCTACGAGCTGGTACCTGTCTTATCCCAGTCACCATCATGGGGTCCAACAGCTATATAAGGCCCTTCGAGGTCTCTTCCAGTCCATCCTCATCATCGCAACAGACATCAAGCATCTACTACTATCACAACAATAACAACCACTCTATCAAACGCAACCAACGCATACTACACCTCCTACTACTATCATCATAACAACTTCTATCAACAACTTCATCCAATTCATACCTAACACAATGTCTCTCTTCCGAACCATCCCTACTGCTGGCGACTTCGCCCCTCTCTTCCGCCTGCTGGACGACTATGATCTCCACCGCTCCAGCCAGGGCTCCTCGGTGACTTCTGCTCGCACCTTCGCGCCTCGCTTCGACGTCCGCGAGACCTCGGATGGCTACCACCTTGATGGCGAGCTGCCCGGTATCGCCCAGAAGGATGTCGACATTGAGTTCTCCGACCCTCAGACTCTCGTGATCAAGGGTCGCACTGAGCGCGAATACCACTCCTCGGACAATGACGAGGCCCAGAACACTCCTGCCTCGGAAAACACCAACAACAACAACCAGGGCGAGGGCAGCGCTGTCGTCCCCTCTGGTGACAAGCAGGTCTCCAAGAACAAGTCCAAGGCCAAGCACCACTACTGGGTCAGCGAGCGCTCCGTTGGCGAGTTCCACCGCACCTTCTCCTTCCCTACTCGCGTCAACCAGGACGCCGTCAAGGCTTCCTTGAAGAATGGCATCCTCTCCATCTTTGTGCCTAAGGCGGCTGCTCCTTCTTCGAAGAAGATCACCATCGAGTAAAGGATGATCGATCGGTGGTGCGATGAATATCGACTTGATGATGGGTTTCGAAATTGTTCCATAGCGCGTGATCGTTCTACTCTGTTGTCTGTTATCTTCATTCCCTTTTGCTTCTGATCTGAGCCAGAATGTCGGGGGGGCTAGTGTCTAATAGTGGAGGTGTGCATTCTCAGTCGTTGCTGGGTTTTCGCTCCTTTCTAGTGTTGTTATCCTAGTAATACTATACATTAATTCAATCCTTAAGTTCTCTCTTTCGCTCCCTTTGTAGTACTCATGTAGAAGTAATGACTCGCGTTGGTAATCTATAACATCGCAGTCAATTTCGACATTGCCATATTATACTATCATCCCTCTATTTGTTTTGATGTCCAGCGGTGCTCGTCTGTCGTGGTAGTTGCCGCTATCGCCAAGCCCGGTGTCGACTGGCGCGTCGCTTGTGCTGCCACTGCAGTGAACAAACGCAGCTACTCACCTGTTGTTATATCCGGCTAAATGTATTTGGTAGCTTAATATTGATGTAAATTATGCGATCTTATGTGAAGGGTGGAATATATTGAGTTCCCTTACAGTGCGTTGTGTTCTTGAGCCTACTGAGGGGGTCCCGAACAATATATATCTCTACGGCATCTCCTGGACGAAAAGCGAAACCAAACAAAAGTGCAAATTGCAGCGAAGATACCGGATTACAGTTAATAATTACCAGCATATGGTCTATATATGTCTAAGAAGACTCAAGATAAGCGTTAATTCTTATGATATCTTGAGCAGCAGCCCGAATTACAGCATGTGATGCGGTATATAATGATTGCTTTACATAGCAAAAGATAGAGGCAAATAATATCTCCAATCCTCGATGGTCTAACGGTCATGATTTCCGCTTGTCAATCCCTTTCGGGAACAAGCGCGGGAGACCTGGGTTCGACTCCCAGTCGGGGAGATTTCTTTTTTCCACTTTTCCATTTTTTTGCCGGCTCCATCGTGTGTTTTTTTTTTTAATCTACCGCACTCCGGATTTACCCGATCGCGCTGCATGCGATCTTATCTCTCGGCGCCATGTGTGATCACATTTCTTTTATTTCTATTTATTACTACTGTTTTGTTTCTTTTTCCTTATGACGAATTTGGAAGATTGTCCATTAAAAATTAAGATGGCCTGTGATGCTAGAACGTCTCAATACCATACCAACATGCTAAGAACGCCCGTAAACGCCCGTCAACTCAACGAAGCTGCCCCATAGGCCGCAGCGAGACTACCATCCTCATCAAAGAACTAGATTCCATGTAGATACTCAACTAAAAGGGCAGCATTAGATCCTATGTGGCTGTTAGCAGCTGCAACCCCAGATAGCCTCCCACAATGCATGTCACAATTGCCTACTTGCACCGGGATGGCCCTGCCATATGAGTCTCGACAACCAGAACGCCGCTTCGGTGGCAATGCCCACCATCCAAGGCGACATCGCATCTCCAAATAATACTCCGGATTTGCGACCAGCAGCAATGTACATGACAGTCACCACCATAGCAAAGTCGCTAACAACCTCGGCAATATATGCGTTGCGTATCGAAACCCCTCCACGACTGATGATACACCCTATATCAAACCCTGTGCTACCGTATGCTTCTTGCACAGCCCACACTGCCAGGACAATTCCAACAACCTGTCCACCAATATACATAGCAGCCCTTGATAAAGATATCCGGCGAAGAAAGTACGCAGCGAATGTAATACTCGGATTGACATAGCCGCCAGTCGAGCGAGCAAAGGTAAAGATGATCAAAGGGAGTAGGCACACATTGACGATACTCGCGGGCAAGAAGCGGACCCAGTCGTAATTGTTCATGCTGTAGTAGGAAAGGTTATCGGGGTCGTCTCGATCTTTGGAGGCGGGTGCAATCGTCACCCATGTCAACATGAACGTGTACATCATGCTGGCTGTGTCTCTGCATTAGCGCTTTCATACAACGGTAGTAATATCGATTTTAGGGTCGCTGTCTCACCGAGACATTCTAGTATCGTGCACCTCCACATGTCAATGCTTGCCAAGCACTTCCAGACTGGCATTTCAGTATCCGTTTTAACAGTTTTTTGATAGCCATCGGGATGGGTCTGGGGGAAGGGTGCGATGCCGTGCGCTGGCTTTTCGCGACAGCCACTCTTCTCTGTCTCAGGTATCATAATGTTTGAAGAACAAACAACGCAGCCATGCACATGGTCAACGTCCCAAATGCAACAGTAAGTGAAGTATGAAGTCGATGTGGTTTGCTCGGCGGCCGGCGATTGCCGACCCGAGGAAAGTGGATCGCTGATATGAGAAGTCCTTAGACAATGGGTTGTTATCAATCACAAATAGGAATGACACTGTACCTGAACCTACAAATTGAGCCAAACAGATCTAATGCCCTACTTCTGGCTGTTGCCTTTCGGGTTCTTTCGGATTCATGGAATAGTCTTTTACCATTTTCAGTAAGTGACCTAACCGTCGAGATGACATTGGTCACCAGCATAGCAGGTGACGGGTATCTATTCAGAGCGAGCAATGCTTCTAATTGAAGATAAAAACCATTGAAATACAAAAACAGAATGATATCACAGGAACAAGAAAGCCAGGGAAACTTGCGATGAGGGGACAACATGCTGCCTGAACACGTTGTGCTACCCCTATCGCATCAATGTCAGAGAAGAAGAAGTAATGAAGGGAAAAATCGCCATATCCAAGTGCCCAAGGCATGCTTATGCCAATGCTGGGAAAGCATATATCTCAATCCCACTACTGCGTGGGAATGAAGAAGCTTACCAGCTAGAGCAACTGGAGGTAGCCGTCGTCCAGCCAGTGAGACGGTTGGCGATATCAGAGGCGTAGCAAGAAGTGGCGCCGGAGGCAAGGTCCAGGTTGGTGGTGGACTTAAGGGAGTTTATGCCAGAGTTGTACAGTCTGGCGGCACGGTAGTAGGCCGCAACACCAGTCCGACCGGCCAGGTCCAGGAGAGAAGCGAGGCCATCACCACCACTGGCGGAAGTTCCAATAGCTGAAGTAGGAAGGTGTGACGTTAGCAGTGAGAAAAGGCAGGTCTCTAAAGGATCACAACGTACCTCCATCGCGGATCATCTGGACAATCTCTGAGTCGGAGCAGGTGCTCTTTCCAGCGCAAGTACCGGTACCCTGGTGACTCTGCATGAGGCCAGGGTTGCCCACACCGTTGGCGGTAGTCGGGACCCGGACACAGCCCTTGGACTCCTGCAGAACCACGGCCAGAATGAAGCGATGATCGACCTTGGACTCCTTAGCGACCTTCTCAATGGCGCTCTTGATGTTTGCGGTCTCGGTCGCCGAGTTGTCCTGGCCCCAGCCATTGTTGGAACATGACTTGGCGATGATAGCATCCTTGTTGGCCTCCCACCTAGAGTAGTGTTGGTTAGTATAACGAGTGCTTTAAGCGACGAATGAATAAACTTTGAACAGGGGGTCTCAAGCATACATCGCATCGAAGGAAAGCCAGTCGGACTTAGCGGGCCATCCATCAGCCGTCGAACCATCGCCGGTGTACTTCTTGTAAGAGTTCGAGCCCGAGCTCTTGCCAACACTGTCGTTGACGCTAGAGACAGCCAATGCGCTGACGGTCACCACTGCGTTGGTGGAACGGGAGGCCAAGTGCTCTCCCGCCTCGACCTCCAGGGTCCGAGTTCCCAACGGAGCGGCAGCCGCGATGCCGGCAAGGGAGCCGACAGCAAGATACTGTAGGATTGAAGTTAGTGATACGTTGCAGAGAACCGAATCTGTACAGTATGGCTACTCACGTTGAAGAACTGAGTGAAACGCATCTTGATAGAAAGGTATACGAATAGGAATGGGTTAATGAATGGGACAAATATGAATGATTGAGTGCTCTGCAAGGAGTGTATGTGATGGAAGGAATGTGGTGAAGCTAGTCAATAGCTTCTGAATAAACTGTGAAAAGACTGAAAAAAAAGGAAGGACTGTCGAAATCGACTTGAATGCTGTGAAATTGCTCTGCTTGGATAGAGACATCTTGAAGCAGCGCACTCGCGCTCTTTATACAGGCTGGCTGCATGGCTTCTCTTCAGCCCCTCTCAGGAACAGAAGGTGTGAAGGATTGTGAGTGGCCCCAATTTGCAGGAGGTGCTCCAAGGCATCGTTGGTTGGATACTACCTGTGAACGGTGGGCTGAGTGACTTGAGGGGTCCGAGCAAATCAGCGACGATATCCGGTCATCACCAACGGCCCGCTAGTTTAGCTGCCAATCGGCGCTGACGTGTGAGGGTACAAGATGATGGATACTGCCATCACGCCTACCCAGTTCTGCCATCAGGATGCATCCGAGAGGCCCGTCCAACAGTTACATGTGCGGAAACCTAAGATCGTGCGGCATAACGCCGACGACATTGATCCACCGGGGGTATATTCCCAGACCAGTAGAATGGAGAGTCCTCCCTCCAAGATCATGATTAGCGCAAGAAAAAAGCCCGAGAAACCATGTGCACAAGGCCGAGAGAGCCAAGCTCAGCGAGCGTCCGTGTTGGCCGAGTCCATGAGAGCCATCATTGGAGGAAGTCTCCACCCCGCGGTTGTCGCAAGTTCAGGCGCGAGAAACCAGTGAGAAGGCGGAAATGGCCAACGTTAGGTTTTGCATGGGTCTCCGCGAGTCGGAAAGGGGAACCGAGAGCACACACTGCCTGTGCCAAATAGCATCATCGACTGGAGGGACACGTCCAATGTGCGAGTTCAGGCAGACACGTTCGGGCTGAGGCCGAACTAGTGCGGGGCCGAAATCTTCATCGATTCGTGATTTTCAACCTTCACCGAGACAAACACACACCGACTGCCAGAACTGTCTCTGTTTGAGATGCACCCAAAGGAAGAAAACAATAAGTCATACTGTATATACTCAAGCCTTGTGTGCGTTGGATTCCTCCGTCTCCGCGATATCGCATCGACGCGCTCTCTGAGACTCGAGAGTCACACATGCTAACAGCCCTAAGGCACACAGAAATCCCCCAAGAAACTTTGTAGAACAGCCATATAGTGCAGTGGAGAGATGCCCCTATTCAGCATTGGCACTGTGTGACGGAAGGGGCCGGTTTCAGCTTCCAGGGATTGAGTTGTGTTTCAGATGGTGGCCGTGGCGATCCAATCTGGGGGCAGAGAACCAACATTTCGGCTTCCCGTTCCTGCGTAGTTTATTCTCCGGGCGCCTCGATCGCTCATGGGAAGCTGACATTGGCAGATGGCGGATCCGGCCAAGCGCTGTGGCGGTGGGTGGGGTCTGATGCTGCTGGACACGAGCGAGCACGCCAGCCGAACTCGTCTTTAGCGAGCCAATCTAGTTTGCCAGACTTTCCCTTAGCGTCGGACCAGAAGCTATCCAGATGTTACCCCCCTTTCAGCTTCCCATCCCACAGCTGATATCCTCTCTATCGCTAACTCTGCCTCAACAACCATATGGAAGGTATGCTTTCAAGCCTGAGGTTTATGAGTCATGTTGATTTTGATCCCCGACCTATCCAACGGCCTGTTCCGAGGGGTTCTAGTTCACACCTTCTTACCTGAAGATATTGGCGTTGGACTATCCGCTCTCTCTGAAAACTTGCAAGTTGTAAGCCAAGTACTACTTGACAAATAGACATACATGAGGGCTTTTTGCCGTCTCACTGCCTCAAAGGATGATGCAGAAACTTCTTTGTCAAGTGCAAGTTCGGCCCCCAACACTTGACTCCATCCCGCTGGGGGCGTTCGTCGTGACATGAAGATGTAATGCAGGAACCCTTCGTTAGAACCGGACAGTTTTTCATTCGCTAGGTGCGCTACAATTCTCGGAGATACTCTCCTAGGCATTTCTTTGGCATATCGTTGGGGTTCTGGGCCACAACATTAGTGTATCGAGGGTCGTCCCGCAGTTGGCATCTGCAGATACCCAACACAGTGGGATCAACCGCGTTGTGGCTATGCCGCTCCTTGTGCAATTTGTCATATGGTTATGCTTCTCAGGGGCTATTGCATCTGCTATTCACTTGACAACCGGGTTTTGCGACAAACAATTCTCCCCCTCTATAGTAAGATGTTTTGTTGTCAGTGACTTAGCATGTCTCCTCCCTGCGACTCACTTCCTGGCCTTTCCTGCAGGAATTGCCAGCCATGTTTGCAATTCGATTATACTGAGCTCGGGGGATACTTTTGGCTCTGGGAAATTGATAAGACCGCGGTCGGAACCTGGTACGTACACCATGTTGTATTTACTGATTTGCACAATGGAATACGTCTTCATGTCAGTCATGCAATCTAACAGCAACTGAATCTTGAGTTGCCAGGTGTGTGTCTTCTAATATTCTGGGTTTAAGCATTCTCTCTGTCTTTAAAAACCCGGAACAACATACACACTTCTCCTGGGCTACCAACAGGCTTGCTAAGAGTTCTATCAGAGACATTCAGATCCAGAGAATTGTTCTTTCTGGCCGATGCTGTGTAACTAACGCACCTCATGTAGAAGCGAACGTGCCTAACAAGCTACAATCACCATCAAGATTTAGTACGCAACTACGGATTGGTCCTGTGGAGATATTGAAGTGAATGTGGTTGGGGCCTTCGGCTTTTGAAGGCACCTTTGTTCTGGCCTTTCTCCCAGCCTCACATAGTGCGACATAGTAACGACGAGACAAAATCGACACCCCTCGATAGATCTCTTTCACGTCTCTCATTCCCAGCCTACACTATGCTGCGCGACCATTGACCACTCTACCCTGAGGCGAAATTTGCTCACCTTTTTTTTCATGAAGGAGCTTGGACCGACTACGTTGGGACGTAATTTCGGTAGATTACTAGTACCTCTTTGTATCTAGACAACGCAATCAGCTCCCATCAACTATCCGATCATTCAAGCGTCACTTATAACTCAACAGGCTGGGTTTCCGCGGGCGGGTTTGGGCAGTGGGCGGGTTTTGGCGAGGCCTAGGCAGCCTATCCACCACGACTCTAGGCAGAAGGCAGCTATTGTGACTACAAATAGCTGCATCTACTTGCATATGTAGGGAAGGATTATCACACTTGTACCTCAATCTAGGGTCTCGACTTAGAGCGAGGGGTCAGGGTGAATGAAATTCCTTTGAGTGCTTGTCCAACTCCAACATAAGAACAGTAGCCATCCCTAGTCCTTCATTGCAACCAGAAACCCGTCGTAGTTCTTTTCTCCCACAGTCTGAATCGCCGTCGCCTCAACCCCTTCCATCTTTCCAATGGCCTCAATCAGTTCTCTCGTTCCCCTAACCCGGTCGTCTGTCTCTGCTGCCTCCTCAGATACGACCGTCCCATTTCTCACAACGTTATCAACAACAATCACCGCCCTCTCCTTGGTAATACTCAGAGCGGCATTGAAATAAGCCAAATTGTCCGGTTTATTCGCGTCAATAAACACGAAATCGAATTTCTGCCGCTCGCCCCTACGCACCTGGTTCTCAATTTCCGTCAAAACAGTACGACCTGAGCCCTGCAAGATCTCAACCCTCTCGCTTAACCCAGCTTTGATCAAGTTCTGGCGCGCGACTGCCGCGTAGCGACTCTCGAGTTCGATCGTAGTCACTTTCGTGTCCGGGCTAGTCGTGGCTAACCACGCGGCACTATACCCGCCTAACGTTCCCACCTCAAGGATATGCTTTGCGTTGGCCATACGGGCTTGGAGCATGAGGAATTTAGCTTGTGGCGCGGAGCAGGCTATGTCTGGTAGGCCTGCGCTAAGAGAATCGCGGTGGATCGTTTCTAAGGCGCGGTGATAATTTGCTGAATGGAGATGCGCTTTGAAGTAGCTGTCTACATTGGCTGGGCGAGGGTCGTTGCCCCTTGGGAGTGCATCGTAGGCGTCGTGGGTTGAGTGGTACACAGGCTGAGGGGATTGCGACATAATTGTGAGAAGGTGAGAGCTTGATGGATATGTGTATGAATTGCGCCGTGAAAATGAAATATTAGAACTAAAGTACTGTAGGATGAGTCGCCCTGGATGAGTCAGTCGGCAATAGATATCCCGTGCACACCGGTCACACGACCTGTTGCGAACATTAGTAATAGTCCCTGATAATGATAAGTTATTTTCATTATTCTTATATATCTAACCCGGTGGTGTGGCTCAGGAAGAAATAAGATAATATAATAGATTAGAATTAGACCAGTCCGGAAGACCAGAATCATTCAGGATTATAGTAAAATCAAAGTAGTAATATACTGAGATTACATTCCAACAGTTATTATAATTACGGGCAGTCAAAGGCCGCTTAGGCCTCCGGGTGTTACGCTCCCGCATAACCACAGTCACTACATTGGCACGGAGGGACCGTGTGTTATAAGAAAAGCCTTCGAACTTTCGAAAATCAAGGGCTTGGTGGAGTAAATGCTGACAGATGCCAGCCTGTGATCCTTCTATCTCTGCCCTCCACAAATGAGAGGCCCAATTCCCTGGCCGAGCCAGTCAAACAGGACCCACGGCATCCTGGTGGCTCTACTTAATGCTGTAGTGCTGCCAGGGAACCTGGCAATCATAAAGTTGCAGTCTCCACATTTCAGATTTGCTTAGCAGGTCCCTCTTTCAATGTAGGTCTAAAATGACCCCGATCGATAGCACTGAAGTTTTGACAGCCGCTCAGCCTCGCGACATGCACGAGCAATGGTCTACCCTTCGCCGGTATATAATGCAGGGTCTTCCTTCCAGAGTTGGTGCAATTCACAGCTTTCCTTTTCTCTCTCTCCTAAAGATTTAGTATCGGATTGATCACAGTTATAAGTCGATGACCATGGCTGAGTCTGATACCGTTGTCTCAGTCGCAAGTGACCCTGCGTCATCCAATCAAGCTAAAAAGGGCCTCAAGGCGAAAGAAGAAAAGATTGGAATAACCTCTCACTGGACCTTCATAATATGGAGCTGGTTTCTACTCACAGTTCCTCTCTCATCACTGACAGCTGTCTTCCTCGCACTGGTTTTCAGCTACCGGATTGGCCATGGAGACTCGCCGTTTGAGAACCTTCGCGTGGGCCTCGCAACAGAAGGTTCATCAGATGCGTACTACGTCAACATGAATTCGAGTATCCTCCTATTCGTGACTTCATGGGCTAGCACCTTGGCTCCCATGCTGTCGGGCTTTCTCATCACCCTTGCATCGTTTCCCATCGCCAAAAGGTACCTCGAGAACATACAGCAAGGACGTTTTGAACGGCTACCTACCCCGTATCAATTGACGCTTATGCTCAAGTTCTTTGACGGGGGCACTTTGGGAGCAACCTGGAGCTGGATTGTGTACCTCGTCTCGTGGAAAAAGAAGCGTCAGCCTCAGACTCCCACGCTGTTCTCAGCCGCCTCTGTGGCTTTGCTAGCGACATTACTTGGGTATGTACAGAGCTAAAGCATGCACCCCCATAAAACTATTTCGCCGTTGTCTGATAATTTTCGATTCAGAGCGTTGGTTTCCTTGGCAGATACCTGGCTTCACTTGACTACGACAACTGTCTCCTTCACTCGTGCCACTGTCGCCACAAACAATACCAACTACAGCTTTGGCCTGACCCCCCAGTGTTTGAAAGGCAACAACTCAGTCGCAGCACAGGAAGATACTGGTCTATGCAGTGTCTCGATGGCTGTCACGGGCCAATTCCTGGCAAATGCAACTGTTAGTCTCGGCGTGCTCAACAATGTCTCTGATTTTGCGACCGTGTACACCTACGACAACAACAGTACGATGTACAGCTACCTAGGAATACCAGACGGGACTGCCTCTGTGACCGATCGGGATTATGAAGCTCAAACATATGGTGCTGCCACGCAGTGCGAGTTGTTCTCCAAGAGATGCAACCTGACCGAAGTGACGACTTCTCTCCGATACAACTGCTCGAGTGCCTTTGCTGGATTCATCGACTCCACCGAGCTGATAACTGGCTTCTTCACGGACTCGAGCATGACCACTGACATCGAGGACAACGAAACTTCCAACTATGGAACTGGAAACCCATTTTACTATGTGATCGCCGGCGTACTAAGCACCTCCGGTGGGACCGTCCCCAACTCGACAGAGTTCGTGCAGAACGAGTCCGGCGTATATGGCTATGTTCTTGGCTGCAACACCACGATTTACGATATCGTGTACGATCGCGTCAACAACTCCGTAACCCGCTTTGTACCCACCGACAGCAACACCTCAGTATCCAATATCTGGCAGACGAGTATCGCGCAGACCGTCGACTGGGAACCGTCCATCGAGCTGGAGATCGGGGCCGCAGCGTTTAGCCAAACGGGCCAAGAGTTCGCGGACAAGATCGCCCAGTCATTCAGCAAGGTGATCCTGGCCCTTGGAGCAGACGGGGTTGAATCACGCCCAGCACTAGCAGCCCAACAGAGGGAGACTTCCCTTGTATCGCGGGTTCCCATGGCTCCGCTCTTCACCTTGGTTGCTGTGAACTTCTTGTATGTCATCGTGGGCTTGATTTTCGCTGGGATAGCTATCAAGACCGCACGAGGAGCAGTCCCTGATATTCATGCTCGGCTTGGAATTACGGGTCTCGTAGCAGATCGGTTCGAGGACCCTGGATCGCGCAAGGAGGTCCATTCTGTTGATGACATGTTTGAGGAGTATGTCGGGCATCCGAGCCGACGGGTGGCCGTGGAGCCGGAGGATGAAGATGGGGTGTATGCGTTCAAGAATTGGGATACATCTAAATCGAGTTCGGTGGAAGTGAGTGAAGGGTCTATGGTGGTTCAGAGATCTGCGCTGAGTGGTGAGGCTGCTTGATACTATTACCATCTGTCATAGATATAGACAATCCAAGTAAAAATCCAAGTAAAGTGGCAAAAAAACTTTTAGTTGGCTTTATTTCTTCCGATCTTTCTACATTTCGCCTAACTTGAACAACACTGTCCATAAGCAGTTCCAGTTTCGATGAATCCCTTCTTCACCACTAGAAGATGTCACAACCAACAAACAGCGTCCTAGACGACTCTACTATCGGCTATACCCGTCTACCCGATCCCTTTCGATTATTCCCAGATGATTGGTGCTCTCGGTTACTCAACCACCCGAAGGAGTCCCACGGCGCATCTTTTGGCCCCTAAACCCCCGGGCCGCAGCGAATCATGAGGAGTTCAGAATCCGTCAGGATCACACCAAGCCTCATCGATCGGCCAATCGACTGCGGCTCAGCCGCTTTCTTCTCGACTTCCAGGAAGCTGGTCAATTTCCTTGGTCTACGATAGCACTTTTTTATAGCATCCTTTTCATGAATGCTCAATTAGCGGTGACTGCTTGTTCCTGCGGAGACACGTCAAAGGCAGGGGTCCTGCAAGGCTGTGGCTAGAAGCTGAATTTCGTATTCTGGTGGGCTGATATTGGGGAGAAGCGAACGGGGGGAAAGTGCAGATTTAGGTAGCTGATGGGGGAGAGTACTTCATTGTGTGTTTTGATACCTGATTTACTATGTAGCGGGGTCTTAGAATGATATTTAACGATGGCCACAAGCTATAGGTGATGTTTTGGATGTTATATTTGGTAACTAGAGTAGAATTTTCTTCTCCATCGCAGATGTCTTTGAATTCAGAGCTTATACTTGCGCATCAAAGTAGAAATAGTTGCGCCAGAAAAATATATTATTTTTGACCTTGTCCTGATTAATCCTGTTCAGGAGACCCTGCCACACGCAGTTTGACCGTTGTAAGAGCAAAATTATCTATTTCCAGAGTATGGAATGTGAGGATCTCAGTGAGGGAGTCTCCGAATCTGGTTCTCACGTGGGTCTGGTTCCACATACTGGACTTGCCCGAAACAGAAGAACTAAACAAACTCTGCTAGCCCAAACGGGCAGGAGAAAAGCTATTTTGAGAACCGTTGGAAAAACTTTGTTTGTCGTTGTTTCTAGAACAACCATGCAATGCATACTGTACAACATATGCACTATTCAGTGCAGAACGATCTACAGAGGGTCTGAAAGTAACTGGTGAGTGCTTGTCGCTCGGCCATCCCAAGTCAGGTATCGGCCAAGGGGTGCCAGCCTCAATTGGATAGTAATACATGGCAAATTGGGCAGGCCACGCGCCAAGACATCAAAAGGGCAGAGACGTAGGACTGATAGTACATGTTCGTTGATGCGTTCAGTGGATTTCAAATGCGACGTGCCATGCGAAACGTAGGATGGCGGACCAGTCGAGAGAGATGCTCTGCCAACAGACAAGGAAATTTTGTCGAGGACGATAATAGAGGTATAAGACGAACCGAACCCGCTTAAACTCCAAAGACCGGATAGAAAAGAGAAATTGAACAAAGGCTGATAGTAGGTAACGGAGTAAGAGAGAAAGAGCTGAAGGTCAGGGTGGGAGGAGAATAAAAAGAGTAATAGAGCAGAAGGAGAGGAAGAGAGAGAGAGGGAGGAAGGATAGGTCCAGCCCTGGTAGCACAACGTCGAGATTGGTGTGCCAATGATGCTGCAGATCATCCGTGGTCATGCATCATTCCAGTCTCGTACCGCCGCGGCTTCTTTAGCATCTCGCTTTTTGTTGCGATAGAGGAAATAGCAGCATACAGAAACTGCGATGAGGAAGAATCTAGGGACCGTGGTTAGCCTGTCCAAGGTTGCGGGCTCCCATGAGGCGCGGTTTTGAAGAAGCCACCACGCAGTACTCACATGCCAACGATGATGCCCGGCACACCGCTCTTGAGGAAATTGCTGACGGGCTTCTCGCCAGACGAGGAATCCGAGTCGTCGCGTGCCCACAGAGGCATCGCAATGGCGACTGCGCGTCTGGAAAGAGAGAGGACCTGGGATGACTCCATTTTGATGGGACTTGATATGCAAGTTCCGGGGAACGGCAGAGCCGTAGGGGAAGAGACGGGGAGGGGAAAGATAAAAAAGGGGACGTGAGGGTCGCGTCCTGAAGCGCTGGGAACCTGTTCTCGCCCTCAAAAGGGGATAAGACATTGCCAGGACTAGTGGCTTCAGCACGGACCAACAGGGGGTGTGAATGCGGAATGCTGTTTGGTCCAATTTACGGCCTGGTGCCCCTGGGCGGTTTGAGATTGTGGCCGGGAATAGTTTCATCCCCTTGCCAACTGTCTGTCCACCGGCGGCCTCTCCATTCCCCACTGACCCATTCTCTAAAACCCTTTTAAGGTGTCTTGCGGTTTCGAGCTGTAGCAGAGCTAGGTACTAGATAAACCTGGAGGCGATCAACCAGGCGCAGTCTTCTTCACTGAATCAATTGTTTCGAGCTGAGGCTTTGCGGTCTCAACCTTCAAGGTGCCTGGATCGATTTTTCTTTTTTTGGGCTTTTGCCCCTGACATTTCCCAATTAGGCAACCGTGTTTCACCTTGAGGTTGACACCTTAGTGCCTGAGGCATATACAATCTTATATGTATGACGGAGCTAACCGCATCTGGACAGCCCAGTCATGTGAGCCCAAGTTATATGATGGATTCGGTAATACGATTTGGAGAGAGAGAGAGATAAAAATAAGCATTTGGAGAGAGGGATGGGTCACATAAGGTTAATCAATATCCTGACAGACGAAGCACTTGCCTCCTACCTGTGACTTATTTTTGGTACTCGATCTCTGAGAATCTGGTGGCTGGTTGGACAGCCTCGGCAGCAGAGTCACTTATGCAGCGACAGTTAGACTCCTACGAGGGCAAATGGAGAGACAAGATATCTAGCTGCCTGAGTTGCCAACTTGGCGCATCAGGCGGAGATTCTCAATGCCACGGCTGTCTTTGTAAATCTAGACTGCTCCTGTATTTAGAAACATTAGTGACTTTTGGTGTCAACTGATGCGTTAGTCCCTGTTGGTCTAGAAGTCGGCAGTTAGTGCCACAATTCCTACCACCATAGCTGAATCAGGTAACTCGAAATAACCCAGCCGAGCTTCAAGTTGCTACAAGACGAATGGCATTATATCTTCAAAAAGCATGTGCACCATGGCGCGGGATGGTCTCCCTCCTCTCACATTGCCCCGCTCCGAGGGAGAGGGAGAGGGGGTCCGGCGTCATCTTGCCTGCCGTCCCCTTGATAAATCCACGCTTCAGACGTCACACATGACTGAATCTATTGTTCTGGCAGTTCTGAGAATTGACATTACCCTTTACTGCCTTGTTAAGATCAGTGGGCTATAGAGGTTCAACAGTGATCTCGAGGGATCGCATTAAAGATGCTGGTATTCCCGGAGTGAAGCCGAAGCGCGCGGATATGGAAGATAATTCCTTCCCCGCACCTGCAGAAATTCTGCATACAGATTGGCTTATCCACATTATCCGATGTTTTACCGGGAATGGACTCTCCTGCACTGACACCGATCGACAGTTTGAGTTAATCAATCTTCGGGTTGATACGAAACCGACACTTGCCGTGGTGAGTTCATGACTTTTCCCGCATGCGGTCGGCCGCCACCAGGATGACCAGGCAGGTGGACATATTCTTCCTTGTGTTCTGTTATATCCCAGACCAAGGCGCCAGGCATACCTCTACTTCAGGCATCAAGCTCTGTCTGCTGGGATTCTAAGATGGCACCCTTTCCAATTATTGTCTTCGTGCCGGGCGCATGGCACAGCCCGGAATGTTATCGCAGAGTGATCGACCAACTCGAAGCTGCGGGGTACGAGACGGACCTCGTCCATCTTCCCTCCGTGGGACCAACCCAGCACTTACCAGACTTCTCTGCCGATGTTGCCGAAATACGAAGCCATCTAGAGCACCTAGTCGATGCCGGCAAGAAGGTCGTGCTCGTGGTACACTCTTACGGAGGAGTGCCTTCGAATGAAGCCGTCAAAGGGCTTGACTGCGCTAGCCGGCAAAGTAACGGTCAAGCCGGCGGCGTGGCTCATATCTTCTTCTGCTGCTCGTTCATTATCCCCGAAGGAAAATCTCTCCTCGGCGCCTTTGGGGGCAACGACTTGCCGTGGTTCACTGTTTCTGCTGATCGCCTGGAGGTCAACCCAGACAGACCCGACGAGATATTCTACAATGACATGTCGGAAGAAGATGTCCGTGCGGCCGTCAGCTCTCTAAGGCCACACAGTTACCGGACTTTTCGCAGCCTCTGCACATATGCTGCCTGGAAAGAGGTTCCCAGCACCTACCTTTACTGTGCCACGGATGCTGCTATCCCCTTAGAGCTCCAGAGAATGATGGTGGAGCATTGGGCGGCAGGTTATCCCATCCGCACGGAGTTCCTCGATGCCTCTCATAGTCCATTCCTCTCGAAGCCAACCGAAGTAACAGCGGCTATCAGAAGAGCAGCTGGTGAAGAAGTTTAATCATGAAAGGTTATGTGACGTGATGACATGTACACCTGCTGCTTATGATGTGGCTGGAATAGCCTCGCCGATGGCGGTTCTTCACTGTATATAGAGACTAATGCATGTTGAACAAGATTTCCATATTGATGCTTCACAATGAACTTGAGTGGCATGGCTTTTGGTTGAACGATTGGCAAAATCCGACCAGCAACGAAACCCACCTACGATCGGGGCATCGCCATCTGACATTCACATTCACTTCCCACTCCCAAGTACTCCTAATAGGGCGCGGATAGCAGTGAATCGTGCTGCATTTCAACCCTAAAGCATAGAAGAAAAGGTCCCTCTCATATTTGAACCTCACTTTCGGCGAATTTTTGCTTTCATCAAACCCCTGCTCAGTTTTTGTACCACTTCCAACCGTATGTCCCTGTGAGGTCTTTGCTAAGTTACACTTTTAAAGCTACTTCGGCTTATTTCCAAATTCAGAGTCCGGCGTACTACCCCGAACCCTATGAGATGTTAAAACCCGGTTCCGAGCACCAGTGGCACCCAACACCCCAACAACCTGGTTTGCCTAATGCTTACTTGCATGAAGAGAAGATTAGTCGACCGAGAAAGGACTTGCACTTTCTCTCAGCACCATGCGCGCCCCACCAGGAAGGATCATCAGCCCCTCTGGCCCGGAAAGCGATGCCTTGCAAAATGGCTCAGGTTGAGCTCGGTGACCAGGAGACGAGCCTCAGCACTGGAACTGAGGAGCATGAGCGCCAGAATGACTACGAGGTTTGCTGGGAGGAGGACGATCCAGCGAACCCGCACGCCATGGCATCGAAGCGCAAATGGGCCATCGTGAGTCTAGTATGCACCATGACAGTGTGCGTATGCGTCACCAGCTCGCTCTACACGACGACATACAATCAGATCATGGCAGAATTTCACTGCTCTAGGACCGTCGCAACTCTCGGACTGAGTTTCTACATTGCTGGACTGGGATGGGGACCTTTAGTGATGAGTCCATTGTCGGAGTTCTACGGCAGAAGACCCATCTACCTCGTTTCGCTTCCTCTATACATTGTCTTTCTTATACCCTGTGCTGCTGCCCACAATATCCAGACAATGCTAGTTGCGAGGTTCTTAGATGGACTCGCGGGGGCGGCATTCACCTCGGTCGCGGGGGCTACCGTGGGCGACATGTACACCAAAAGCACCCTGCATACCCCTATGCTGCTATACACAGCTTCACCATTGTATGAAACCCATTGTTTTGGTTTCTACTTTGCAACTAATGGCTTTGCAGCACGGGGGCCAGCATAGGACCCATCCTGGGCGGGCTAATAAATACTTGGGCCTTATGGTAGGCGATAAATCTCCCATGAGGTCAAGAAAAAGTCCAGCTCATTCCGTCTAACGGGTAATACAGGAGGTGGTCTTTTTACTTTCTACTCATTTGGTCAAGCATCCAGTCTATTCTTGTCATTATCTTCGTTCCGGAGACATACGCGCCAGTGCTTCTTCGAAACAGGGCTCGCAAATTGCGGCAGGAAACCGGCGACGATCGATGGATAGCAGCAATTGAAAAGCTGGATAGATCTGTCTTCAAGGTAAATCATGGCTCACTTTCTTCGTTGGTAGATGACTGATCAAGAGTCTGAACTAGACAGTCCTTCATTCCCTGTATCGACCATTCATGCTACTTTTCCTGGAGCCGATGTGTCTCAATCTCTGCTTACTTTCGTCCATCGCTCTAGGTGTCCAGTATCTCTTCTTTGGAGCATTCGGGGTTGTGTATGGCAATGCGTATAATTTCGGGTCATGGCAGTCGGGACTGGCATTCACTGGTCTCTTGGTAGGGATGATCATGGCGGTCTTGATTGACCCGTGGTATGTGACGACCAACTAGATGTAGACGGGCACATCGTCTTGCATCTTGATATCAATCTAGGACTAAGAGCTGGGCAGGTGCTGCAAACTATACCCCTACTTCTCCCGAGGCCACAAAGAGGAAGGAAATAATGGGAGCAATGAGCCGGAAAGTCGTCTACCCCCCGCTGTCATCGGAGCTCCACTCATGACGATCGGGTTATTCTGGTTTGGATGGACAGCGTGAGTACATGGATACTCGACTATGACGTGGCAAATGACTGAAAGGCAATAGCTTGCCCTCAGTCCATTGGATTGTACCTATCATCGGAAGCGCCGTGTTTGGAGCCGGGTAAGTTGACACATCTCGGAGACTGGATGCCTGACGCTACCACTGACACCATGAATAGAATGATCTTCGTATTCCAAGGTGTCTTTACCTTTTTCGTGGATGCGTATCCATTGTATGCAGCCAGTGCGCTTGGTGCCAATAGCTTTACCAGGAGTACCTTTGCAGCTGCTTTCCCTCTCTTTGGCGTGGCGAGTAAGTCTTCTCACTCTTGAATAGGCTTCCTGACACAATCGCTGACAGTTACATCACAATACTAGTGTACCATAAGTTGGGCGATCAGTGGGCTACATCCCTGCTTGCTTTCCTGAGCCTTGCTATGGCTCCGTTTCCGTAAGTTAATTGTGAAAGGGAAAAAAGCATATCACATTTACAGGTATATTATAGATACATCTTCTTCAGATACGGAAAGAGGATTCGGAGCAGGAGTCGCTTTGCGGCCTAAAAGTCATGGGAAAGGATAGTTGGAATGTACTATATCAGACTCGATGGGAACGCCAAGTACTTCCCCAGAGTACTTCGTTGAAGATCAATGAAGTGAGCTTGTGTGTCACCTTCAAAATTTATTAAGGCAATGAGAATGCTTTTAGAACAACAAGAAGATTCATTCGATTAAATGAGCTAAGGTGACAATCTGAGAAAAGAAGAGCAATAACGAGCTGGTTAGTGAAAGAAACCCACGATCATAAAGCCGGTCTTCTGAAACCACAACTACTTTTTGTACAGAATCCTTTCCTAATCGGATTCTGATGATTTCCTAGCCTTTGAAACATGTCTCAGAAATATAACACCGACAACGATCAAGCAACCACAAGGCTACCTCATTGTCTAGTGCTAGCCATAACGACAACTGGGTGACCGATATCTATACCTTGTTTGTGAGCTTTCAAAGCCATCACTGCATCCAGGCGGTCTGGCAGAAGCTCGTTCTCGATCTCCAGCGCATGGAGTCCGGCCTCAGCTCCCGTTAGGTGGCCGAAAACATGCCGTAGTGTACTCACGCGATAGAAATAAAACTGCACGCGTTCGTGATCAGCTTGCCGTTTCAATTTTATAAGGACTCACAAACCCATAATGCGGGGTGACATCAAACTCACCGGTCCAAGTCCCTTTTCCTGCAGAGTCGCATACCCTTCAATCACCGAGTCTGGTTCACTTTGCACCTTCCAAGACATGGACGGAATTCTTCCGGTGAAGCCTGCTGCATCTGCTAACTGGAGCATGGTGTCGATTGGGACTCTGCCGCCCATGCTTGAGAGGACGACACCGCTTTCAGTGAGCAGATCGAAGGTCCTTGCCTGCAACAGACAGACATAGTGGAGGTCAAGAAGAGCCTTGGATACAAACGAGGGGACAACCCCCGAGACGTCTGAGCAGTCGAAATAGGTGGAGGAGGTCTGACCGTCCAGGAGATCAGCGTCATCCGGCAGTGGAATGTTGGGCAAGTTCCTGGGTGAAACATCAGTTTCGTTTGACTCTAGAGTATGAACGAAAATAAATCGAGAGAAAAGGCCCACTCATATATCAGGTCAAAAGGCTCCTGGCCCTTAAGGGGCACTAAGCTATGACCAGACAGTCCGGTGGCATCTCTGGCAACTGTCCTCACCCGACCATCGGCCTTCTCAGCGGCAGACATCAGATTGATCTTGGCCTTGTCGACAACTTCATCATGGAGATCTGTCATGACGATGCTGCGAAGGTGAGGAAAGACATCCAGCGCTGCAATGGCGTCGGTGCCTGAGCCAGTACCAATAGTTGCAAAGCGTTGCACTGGATCAAGAGTGGAAGCCTGGAGCGCCTCGAAGGAGGTGAACGCAGCAGTCACTGCCCAGTCGGCACGGGGGTTATAAATCTATATGGCAGTGTTGGTACATGAGTGACCGGAGAAAAGGAGACAGCGGACAGCGTACCTTTGGCTGGTAGCTGAGGTCTGAGAGGGAGATGCTAAACCTGCGGCTGACATGCTGGGGTCTGACACCAAAGAAAGCCTTGAAGTCAATGACGAAGGTGCTAAAGGATTCCGGTACTCTCCGTATTTTGAAGTCGAGATTGTTCGTATTGTAAGTGTCTTCTTGAACAAGGTATGTAGTCATTGTTGCAGTTATCTTCTTGAAATTGGTCTAGGAGGGATTCTTCCACACCATTAGCGTCTACGGCCATTAAAGCTTTATAGGTATTCGGCACACTATCGCAGTACGCCTTAGGTTATCCCAATTGCCTAATGGGAGATCGATGGCAGACGTGTGAAGTAGCGATCAACATCAGCGTGAGGCCGAATTGAGTTAAAGTTAAGCAGCGCCCTTCACTTCATTGAGAGTAAGCCCGCATGTCCGCAGGTGTCACATGCTGCAGCAGGCCTATAAGCTTATGTGCACCCAGCAGACAGGCGTTCCAGATGCCGAATACAGGTAGCTAAGGCCTATGCCCGTGCTTACAGGCATGTAACCTGTGAAGACTCACCTATACATTGATATTCTCTAGGTAGATGCCGTAGTACCATACAATCCTAGGTGTCTCCTGAAGTAGTATTTGGCCAGATCCCGGATTCAGGAGCCTAGTCTAGAGACATCAAGAAAGGAAACCTCCGTGCTTGCTACCATTGGATCAAGCTGCCAATTTGAGGGAGCCATAGCCAAAGTGTGCTTGTTGACGGTTCTCGCCAGGAGTACTTCGAGACTATAAGTGTGAAAGTTTCGCCGAGACGCCTGAGGCCAAAGGTGGCTTGCACAGCCACCAGGCCGAGTAACTTTGTGTTCAAAAATGGCATAAAATTGAGTTACCCACCACTGCTGTGTGAACACACTGACAAGATCCATCCAATCGGAAATTATACACAGCAGGAAACGTAGATCACTTGACCGAATCGCCCTAATCTTAGCGTTGACGTGGTTCCTGGTTCTGTGAACTCACAATTCAACTTAAACACTCACCACCAGAAAACCCTGCAGATTGAGTGCCGCTGATCTCCGACTCATCAAACCTCGAGGTCACGGCATTTGAATAAAAATTTACCTCAGAAGTGGAAGGCCTAAGCAGTACGGCTGCCAAGGCTTGCAGAACAGCTACAACTACCCTCTTATGGTGCATAAAACCAGGAGAGAGAGGTAAAACAGCTGGCCGAAGTATATGCGGATTGAGGATGGCTTTTTCACGGACATGGGCTGACCTCCAAGCTAAGGGTCGGTGGCTTTTAGCGCCTGCGTGGAAGTATATGGTGTTCCTACCGCTCATTAAGACAACACACTACAAGGACGAGGCCACCATGAACCGGCCTCAGTGATAAGCAAAGCCGTTTGGATAGCGAGAGCTTTACTATACGACAATAAATTAGACACGTACCTCAATTAGGAGCGAGTGAGCCCTCCATATTTTAGGGCGGACACGAGCGCATCATATATGTGGAAGAGTGACCAGCCGCGCATTTATTTCCCCTCTTTTATTGTCTTCTCCTCTCTCGCTCCTTTCTTTAATATTCTGGAATTGAGTAGCTCAATGGGAGGCCATTCACCAGGTTGTTGGGCTAAATTTTGCTTAGACCAGTTCGCAAAGGAGATTCCAAGTTGCGTAGCTCGTATCCGTAGGGGCCGAGAGTGGATGAAACACACACATCTAGGTCAATGAGTTTTGTAAGAGCTTTGACACCATAAGCACTCAAGATCCAGAGGCTAATACATATAGGGTAGGTACGTCGACGTCAGCTTGAGAGCGTTAAATTGTGGCTACCACCTGGCAAATCTCCGATCGACCTCCGCGGCGCAAGGCTGAATGCTGGAAAGGCCTTATCCCTCCTCTCAGTGCTCTGGACGGGACCCTCGGAAGAACTGGAAGCCAGCACGAGCCCCTGAATCTCCACTCCAGCTGAGTTTTCGCTTGGCGTTACGCGCTGTTCATGAAGTTAGTGACGCGGACCCCGGCTAAGCTGGTAGTGGTAGTGTGGATGCTCCTCGAATGAGAGAAGCCCTGCGGCACCACGCAACCCCACTGCGCAGCCGCCATTGCGCTCTACTTGATACTAAATATACTAGTTCCACTAAAGGGTTCGTAGTCGGAATTGGTCTGTTGGGGGCCGCATCTGTATTGTATTGTTACCCGATATTACAGGCAGAAGCCTCATTCATCTGAACTATTAAACATCTGTCTTCAGTTATTTTAACTTTGTTCACCATCAAATAGGGCAGAAAGTTTGAGCCTGTTGACGCAAGCCACGTCAGATACGAGTAACTAGAATGAGGATTGTTTGTAACTAAAGAGTAACAATGCTTTCTCTTTTAGTTAGTATCGTCATCAGAAGAATGCACTGCTGAGACAACGGAGCCATGAGTGGTGCGATCCTCGATCTGACAGGTTCTAGGCAGTAGGTATCATTTGGTATCATTGCTTACGGCTGCCACTGGCAGTCATTGTTCGTGGAGAAGGATTCAGGACCCGTCACGGAAGTTCAGAATGTAGATCCAACACCCTTGGTGTCATGTTAGCGTGGGCGTCAAGTCCAGGCTTTGCTTTTTAAAAGACTGATAGTCCCAGGTCAAAACTGACAACCTGATCCATCTTTACCTGTGCGCTTCCTTGGTTTCCACAGCAAGAAAGAGAGAGTTCGTTCTGATGTCAGAACCAGGATGACATTCAGACGCCCGAGAATATGGCGCAGGTTCTTGCTAATCCTTGGGGCCTCAGCTATTCTCTTTCTTCTCTGCCGCAATGATAAACCACGGTGGCTAGCGGCTCGACGAGCCCATAGCTCGTGTACTGGGTTCGATCTCGCATCAGTATCCGAAGACCTCCACTCGCGCATGAAGGCTGAAAGCGACTACACTCCCGTCGAAATCCATCAGTTCGTGTGCGGCATTATCAACCATAATATGACCGCGTCCGCTCAGCTTGAGTGTCCCGCGACTATCAGCCAGCGTTACCATTCACTGATTCCCGTCGACGGAAAGCACCCCGAAATCCAATACTTCTTTGCCCTCAACCTCTACCAAGTGATTCATATCATCCTTCCTTTGATGGGAAGCATCCTGGAGGCTATCCGATACCTGGGGCCAGAGCACTGCGCTTTGTCGATTGTGGAGGGCCGGTCAACCGATGGAACATATGAGATCCTGGCTCGTTTGAAGCCGGAGCTGCATGCCATGGGAGTCCGATATTATTTCTCTCGGAGCCCGATAAACCCGCTCGGCCCGGGCGAAAACCGCATCAAGGACCTGTCCGAGCTGCGGAATATGGCTCTCGAGCCTCTCATCACCGGAGCCAGACAGAAGGGTGGCCCTTTTGGCCATGATCCCATGATCATATTCATTAACGACATCGGTATCTGCCCGGAGGACATACTCGAGTTGATCTATCAGCAAAAGGTGCAAGATGCGACGATGACATGTGCATTTGACTGGAGAGAGGAAGGGGTAATCCACGATGTTTGGGTATCCCGGGACCTCTCTGGAGATCTCTTCTTCGACATTTCATCGGACGGGTCGATCTGGGACTCTCATAACCTATTTTCCCATCATGGACCCAGTCGTGAACGTTTTATAAAGCATCTACCTGTGCAGGTATATAGCTGCTGGGGTGGAATGGTCACCTTGGACAGTGGCCCATTTATTGATGGGCAGGTACAGTTCCGATTTTCAGAGGAGGATGAGTGCTACATGGGGGAGCCTACACTGCTGGCACAAGACCTCTGGCGCTTGGGTCTTGGGAAAGTGCTTGCTATTCCAACCGTGAATGTTGCATATGAATATCGCTGGTCGTTGAGGGCTAAGAACGAAAAGGGCTACGTCCATACGCTCCTGGGTAATCCAGGGCCAGGGCGATATTCCCCTCACGATGAGCTGGTACATTGGCAGAAAGAGCCGCCGAAGCAGATCAAATGCATGCCAGCCTGGGACGACCAGTCCTGGGTAGATGCTGTTTAATTTCATTCCCCGAGCCATTTTCGTAGAGTGGATCTTTTGTATTGTGATGTGCATTCATCTAACCAGGCTGATTACTGCGGGCAGTCAGGCAGAGCGAGGCAGTGCTTCCACCCGGCCGTTCGGTCGCGTGTACGTGGCTTGCAGTGAACCCTTGCTGGCGCACCTGCGGATGGCTATTAAAGGTATCTCGTTGATTGCGATGGCTTTTCCAGCCAATAGCTGACCGCTTTCAATCGGGTGATTGCAGGGGATAACCTCACGACCAGGGCCCGGCTGGATCTATCCAGCGCTAAAGCTGCGCCGTTGCTGACTAGCGCTGACACGCTCGCTGTGTTCTCAACCTGGCTGCTCCCGCTGAATTCCCCATGTGATGCTGTCTAAATGCATGTCTTAAGCCCCTGTTGTACCGGAATTGATCAGGCATTGGAGGATGGCTCGTTCCGAAGCCCGGCCTATCTCGCAATCCACCCCTGGAGGCGGGGTTGCTGCGCCGCATTAACTTGCTTTCGTCCTTTGTTCGGAGGTGGGCCGGGCCTTAAATGTCTTGAGGCCGTCTTGCGATCCGTTCGTCCACATTTGTTCGTCGCCCGCTTGGCAGACGGCAGCCTTCCTCATGGCGCCTCAGCATCACTACGCGCTGGCGGACCAAGGAGAGCCGGAAGTAGAGACAGTACCAGAGAAGAATGCAAATTCAACTGCCAATGCACATTCAGAGGCTGCTACACCCCAAAATGAGGAAGAATTCTCCGATGAACCTCCAGCAACCCCTTCGTCGGTCGCATCCACACTCGAGAAGGGTACATCCAGCACGTCCCACTGGACTATTGGCTGGATGACTCCAAGTTCCATCATTACTTGCTTTCTCTTAGGTAGGCTTTATCACTATAGCGATTGAGGTGCAATTATTGCCTCGCCTACCCTCTCCTAAATTCGGAGGGTCGTTAACTGTGCATTTCAGCGGCCTCTGTGGCATCCATGCATCTCGGTCTCTTTCATTGGTTGGACCAGCGTGAAGTCGACAAGACCATCAAGCAGCCATATGTGACAGCCCTGTCAGTTGTATTTGTGAACGTATTCCGAACATTCCTGGCCGCCGCGTTGGGCATGTCTTTTATCCAGATGCTATGGAAGGACCTGCGCGCCCGTCCGATGCGCATCGGCGACATTGACTCCTTCCTCTCGGTGTTGACGAACCCCCTCTATCTCGGAAATGTAAAGCTTCTCGCGGTGGCTCCTATTCCATTCGTTTGCGCCTTGATATGTTGGTGTATCCCTATCGCCATGATCTTCCCAGCGGGTGCCCTGACCGTCGAGTCCAAGTCGCTCCATATTCTGAAGAATCAGTCGGTTCCGACATTTGACCCAGCCTTTATGGGAAATGGCACATTTGGTGGCATGATGGCTGAAGCACTGTGGCAGCCCGATTCTTACGATGCCTATGAGTAGGTTCTATGTAAAAATTGTTGATTGTTCTGGTGAACGGATGCCCTAACGACTTTCCAATAGCGGACCTACCTATAAGCTTACCCGCGTTGCAAGACAGGCCATGATGGCCGGGCACTATCTTCCATCCTCGTCTCCGTGCGCTACCGATTGCTCCTACACTATAAGCATACCAGGCCCCAGCTTCGAGTGCCGCAACTACTCCTCTCCAGATCTTTACAGCTGGGTCAACCGGTCCTACCCGCAGACGCACTCGTGGGGGTATCTCTACATCGCGTCGCGGGATAATGCTGCCCGCAGCAACCGCTCGGAATATGCTTTTGACTTCGGTTTGCGCTGGATGCGGGACGGCGGATATCAGAATCTCACCTGCCGAGCATACGAGTCGAACTACAACCTGCACATCACCTACACGGGGAGCCAGCAACACGTCACCACGGAGGTTAACACAATTCGCCAATTAAACAGCTCGTATATTTACGACAATGGTGGCATATATCCTCGGACTGGGTCTCTGGACTCGCGAATCAATACAACCACGATGGGAGAAACAGGAGGCAACGTTATCGACATCTTCCGCCGGGCGAACCTAGCCGCTGTCCAAGACACAGTTGTGTACGCACTCTCAGGATATATTGACATGCTCAGTAAGTACTTCTTTACGCAAGTCGCAGACTAAATCTAGCAAAGACTCACCGAATGTAGTCCTCCACAGCCAGCCATCAGCCAACACCATCATCTCCCTGACAGAACTATCCTCCGGTCCTGCAAACACACCAAGCTTCAACATTACGAGCGCGTCAATGCAAGACCTACTACAAAACATTACAATCTCCCTTCTGACTATGAATCAAACCACCACTGAGGTTACCGTTATGAACAATGTGACCGTGAACGTATACTCCTTTAGCCGACCGGCCCGCCTGATCGCCGCGTACTTTGCGTGTCTTGGATCTGCGCTGGCGTTTATTCTCTTTGGTGGACATGCACTAATCAGCAACGGAATATCTGCAAGCATGACCGGCATGTTTCAGACATTGTGCACCACTCGAGCCAGTGCACGGCTGGACGATCTGGCGGCTAAGGGGTGCTTGGGAGGTCGAGAGAATGTCCCGGATGAGTTGAGGAATTTGAAGGTCATGTTCGGGGAAATCCAAGGGAAGGATGGCGTACGAATGGCAGGCCTGGGTTCTGTGGATGAGGTTATTCCGTTGAAGAGAGGTTCGATATGATCTGATGAGTTGGTAAACTCGGAGTAGTACATCCGGGATGGACTATTGGGACATACCATGATTAATGTTTTAATGTGACGAATGATATTATCAATTGATTCGAATGGGGCACTATTGGAACAAGATCTGTGTACGGTGCGCACCATGATCTGCTATTGATTAGTTAGCCATCAAGCTCGACATATCAGCTTATGTCTAAGGATGTGAGAGTTGTTCGGTCGTCCTAGACCAATACTGCCTACGTCGAGAGCACAAAGTGCTACATTATATTGATCGCTTTATATATCCCTCTAATTGTTCTACCTGGATTGACGGGATTATCTGTGGCGAGGTACAAAGTAGGAGATGGCCTACCTCATGCAAGAATGAGGGGAAGTTGCAGGTGCCCTACTGGCCAATGGAGACAACATCGTAGAAGGTTCCACATATATTAAAGCCTTATATTACTCGCTCCGAAGGAATCTTGACAACGTTCAATTTAACCACGCCCACCTAAAAGTTAGAGCCTTTGAGCAACAAGGCTTTGGTTCCATATACGCGTGCGTGCTGCTATCTCGGAGACCTCGGGTTCATTTAGGTTGACATGGCTGCATCAGCAGCCAACAGCATCTCGACTTACGCATGATCGACATCGGCCGGGCTTTTATGCATGATGGCTTGGACCTGTCGTTTGTCGCCTGGTGGACCAGCAGGATGCCCAAGGAATTGGCGGGGCAAAGAAAAGAAGAGAGGGCAGGCATCATCTATAGGGAGATCAAGTAAAATGCCCGGTTATATACATCTTATGAAAGAAGATATAAAGCCATCTAGACTCCCTTGAGCGCGCTACACTCAGGATCATACCATTTACTTCCCACTAACCGACTGAGCGGCATTAGGAACTTACCCCACTAACCTCTGCACAAAGCAGACACTCATCATGACCATCTTTCGGAGTTCGGCAAAGGCCAGTGAGAGCGAACCTCAGTATGGCATCAAAGTGCTGTACGACTCCAACGAAGCGGAGGTTGAGTGAGTTTCCACAGACCTGATAAAGAATATCTTTCCCGAAGTTGACTTTCTTAGCATCGTCTTTGTCCATGGCCTCGGCGGAAGTCGCGACGCAACCTGGACGATCGACGATGTGTGCTGGCCCCAAGCCCTTCTACCGCAAGACTTGCCAAAAACCCGTATCATGACTTTTGGGTATGATTCACGGGTGGTCAGCTTCACGACAGCTCTTTCCCAGAACGGAATCGTGGGCAATGCCGAGGATCTTTGTGCCCAGTTGGCACGGTTTAGAGCCTCTTCGGTAAGAAGCTTTACGATTAAACCAGGATCTCGAGAAAGCTAAGGATGCAAAATAGCCGGATCGCCCGATTATCTTTGTAGCCCATAGCTTGGGCGGCTTGGTCTGCGCGCAGGTAAGTTAACAACCCTTCTTTTCTCCTCAAAGTCGAGCGACTTAACGGATCATCGCAGGCTGTCGTGGCAGGCAATCGCAGTTCCCCGTCCGACAACACGCAGATAATCAGCCAACACGTCCGCGGCATCGCCTTTCTGGGAACTCCATTCTGCGGTTCCGAAATCGCGAACTGGGTGTCACGCTTAAATAAAGTGGCGGATTACATCTTTGAAAGCAACAAGGCCAATATCTCGGACCTGAAAAGCAAATCGGGCACATTGCAGCTCCTGATCGAAGAATTTGCGAACGTATTGCGAAAACGCGATAACTCCGATGACAGTATCCTAACCACTTTCTTCTACGAGCAGTTGAAAACACAGGGCGTCATGGTAAACGGACTGCAGATTCCTGAAATCTCTACTAGTTAAGCTAACTTGAGCAAAGGTGGTTGACCGCAATTCTGCCACTATCCCCGGTCGCGGAGACATGATATCCATCCAAGCCGATCACAAAAACATCTGCAAGTTCCGATCGAGGGAAGATGATGAAGGATATGGGTTGGTGCTTGGTGCACTGAGGAAGATGATGGTTGAGGCACCGGTGAAGCAGAAGTCGAGTGTAAGGATCTACTGCTTGATACGCTACTACAATTGCTAACTTTCATCCCAGAGCCCTGTATTCAACTTCAACAATGCTGGGGCTTCCATCAACAACCAGGCAGGCCAGCAAACTATCAATGGGGGGATGAACTTTGGGACATTTGCGCGATAGATGCGCTTGCAAGTATTTGGTATCTGTTGCCCTATCGAGATGATACTGAATTGCAACATTGGATTCTGGTCAAGATGTCTTAGTCTGTATTTGTGTGGTGATCGTTGATGAAGAGACACGAAATGTGAAGATGCTTGCATTTCATTCATTAAGCGTTTTATGTGCATTCATAGTAGACTGTATGCGTTCAGGTAAAGTTTGACGATTGCTAACAGTGAATATATTCATCATGAATCATAAAAAGAAATCGTCATCCAAAAACCCCCCTTCAAAGCAAGTTCAGCTCCAATTTGTTCGCCAGGGGAATATGACCAAGCAACCTGGCGAGCTCCGAAGGGCGGTGATTAGAGCGGTTTCTCGCATGCTTGTCGGCCCCTCGCCTCAAGAGAATGCCGATAATATCATCGTGTCCCCCAGATGCAGCGACGTGAAGCACTGTCTGGCCTTGCGAATCCACGGCCGAAGCGTTTGCCCCGTTGTCCAGTAGATGCTTCACTTTCGCAGTTTCCCCTTTCCCGGCTGCTTCTAGGAGCTTCTGATCGAGATGAGACTGAGATAAGGGATGATATATTAGTCTGTGTAGTATCTATGGGTGTTGAACGATTCATTTGTCTACCTTGTCCTCAGCAATATGCTGCACGCCATCTGTGACCATGGAAGTCAGTACTAGTGTAGTAATTAGAAGCTTGATCGAATAATATACCTTGCTCATAGGCATAGATAGTATTATTATAAATACTGCCATAAACAACCTGACTACCAGCCTGGTTGTGAACTGTGTTGTCTCTGTTGTCAAACGTGTTTCCGTCACCCATCTCGTCTCAGCAGGAACTATGATTAATCGGAGAAACAGATGATTTGATGTGGAGTTGTTCCTGGCAAGGATGAAGGTGGGATGGAGTGAGGAGGTACAGAGAATTCGAAGTTAAGATGTGTCATGCTGTTTGGCCTGACAGTTGCTGCCCTACAACAGCACTTCGCTGTCCAGCTCAACTAGCTCCACCATACTTTGTGGAATCATTTGCCTCGAAGCTCAGTGGGGACTGCAGGTATCAATATGCAATAGTTACATGCCAGGATAATATTGGCCAGGCTTGCATGAAAGGCCTCCAGAGCAGGCTATTCCCACCAAATCTGAGGAGGGGCAGGAGGGGAACGCAGCATGAGTGGGTCGGCTGGAGTATCCCCTGGTCTATGCAGGTACTTTCTTGCTCTGGGCTGGTACTGCGATTCATAATTCAGTGTTAGAATTGTATATCTAAACAGAAATATAAGCATCACTCAGTAGGCTTGACCATAAATGTACTCTTACTAGCTTTGAACAAAAACAGCCTAAGCTTCGGTCGATTGGCGGATGATTGCCGCCTAAAATCAGAATCAAAGCATGGCTCCGTTTTGAGGCAACTACATTTACAGCGCCACTCTTCCAGTCAGCATCCTTCGGTCCATATAGAAGCAAGTGTCAGCATTTTCTATTTAACCCATAATCCTCTCCACCAGATTCACCCTCTCCCAACCATATTCCATCAATCCATCTTCGATCGCTGCCCGCAACCATGGCACTCATTGAAATCACTGTCATCTCAGATCCAGTATGCCCATGGGTATGTCACATTCCGTCCATATTATCTTAGACTTAATTTAATCGAGACTTCCACCTCGACAGTGCTACATTGGCTACCGCCGCCTAACCAAGGCCATCCGCCTATACCAAAAGACCTACCCCGGGGGAAGCCAAGACCGCATCCGCATTTCCTGGAAACCGTACTTTCTAGACCGCGATGCTCCGATGGAAAGTGTTCCCTACATAGGTCTGTGGCCTTATAACCCTCAAGTTCGAGATCAATCCTAATGAAACCCCCGCAATAGAGAGAATGACCCAAAGACTTGGAGCCGATAAAGTCCCTGCCGCAAAAGCTCGGCTGGAGCGACTAGGTGCCCAAGAAGGGATCTATTTCAAGTTTGGAGGACGGTTTGGGAATAGCCTGCGTGCGCACCAACTGCTTTTGTTGAGCGAGTTAATTAGTCGGCAAGGAGAGATTGATGGTTGTGGTGCTCGCGATACTGCCACGGCTGTTGCTGAAGGCATCTTCCGGGCCCATTTTGAGGATGAACTGGATATTACTGATGTGGAAACCTTGGTGCGCGTTGCCGTACACGCTAGTGAGGGGTATTTGGATGAAGTCAAGGTCCGGTCCTGGCTTGAACAGGGACAGGGAGTGGAGGAGATTGATGATATGGCGACAAGGGCTCGTCAGGAAGGAGTTCACGGTGTGCCATGCTTTCAGATTGGCGGGGGAGAGAATGCTGAAGGTGCGGTGTTGACTTTAAGTGGTGCTCTGGATGTCGATGAGTTCTTGCAGGCCCTTATTGCACATAAAGCAGGAAAGGGTTTGGATTCTGCGGACAAGGTATTGGGAGGTCAGGAAATGACTTCGTGTTGAGACTATGATGGGGCTTCAGTAAATATGTACTGTTATTGAGAGATATCAAGCTCAGTCAACTATGTACGAATTTGGTCCAGATGCATATTGATCCTTGCTCACTGCAAGCTCCCACTTCCCTCTTTCACTTCCCCTGCGGCAGGTAAACGCTCATCTCAAATCCATTCGTGAAAGGCAACGTCATATTGCGGAAGCCATTCTCAGGCGATCTCAAGAAGGACAATAGATCCGCGTAGCCCTGAGCTCCGGAGATCGTGTTATCCGCAAGGACCACTGCACCGTGTCGGAGCCGAGGGAGAACGATTTTAAGGCTAGGAAGTGCTAGAGGAGTCCAGACTATGGATCTCAGTTAGCCATATAGGTGTCCTCGGCCAACAAGGCAACAAACTTACTGTCAAGAAGGAGAAGATCGATTTCCGGCAGCCCTTCCTTCAAAGTTTCAAGCAGATCACCCTCTCTCAGATCGATCTGTTTCTCCACAACATCACCACACTGACGCCAGTAAGCACGGGCAATATCCGCCTTCGATTTCTCCTTCTCCGTTGCGATGACAGTGCCAGACTTGCCGGTTGCGGCGGTGGTCTTCGCGACAGCCAGAGCAAGGTAGATGGTGCTGACCCCAAAGCTGGTGCCTGCCTCGATGACATTAGTCGCACCCATGGCGTTGATCAGCTGATAGGTAAATTGGCATTTGTCTTCGTCCAGCGCGATGAATTTGTCGAGCATGACTTGGTCGAATTCGGCTTGCTTGGCGGCAGCGTCTTTGTCTTCTAGCTTGCCGAGAAGAGTCGTGGAAATAAACTTGCCGTTCTTGGAAATCAGAGCTTCCTGTTCCAAGGACTTTTTGTGAAGTTCGGAAAGGAGCTGTAGGACATGCTGCGGGGCATCGACGGGATTCGGGGATGACATGGTGTGCTTTTATCCGGTGTTAAGAGGACTGCTACTTTGTGGAAGTATCGATTTTTGAGAGTCAATGACAAGAAACCTGAAAGTGCCGTACAAATCACTTCAGCTTGGGATAATGGTTGATGAAATATGCTACTTTGCTCACGCCGGAAGAAGAGGAAGAGTGAAGGATGTGGGGGAAGTGGGTTCTTGGCATTCGGGGGAGCATCAACAGTGGCATGTTTACTTCCGGATAGCGTCGGAACAGCAAAGAGGATACAGGGATCAGTCATTGCAGTGATACTTCGAAAGGATCAGATGCCGGCAAAAATGGCTCTTAACACGAACTGCTATTGCAATAATCCGTCGTACAGAAATGGACTAATGAAAGCAAGTCAAGAAGGCTACAGCCGGCAATGGCAATTCCGTCTACCTTCGATATCATCCTTCCGAGGTATCTTAGGCACACATGCCTTATTGAAGCCTCAAATTGGATACCATTCTCTTTCTGCTTCTATAGATGTTTCTTCCGTGGTTGAAGTTGCCAGGTCCAGGAATTCTAAAATATTGCCTCCGCGGAGATCGAGTATAGTTCTTGGCATTTTGGAGAAGGCGATTGAGTCATCCAGCACCACAACAAAAAGACAATTATATACCGGCTAATAAAAGCGGTAAATTCAATGTGCTGACTCTATTTTCTGGTAGCCATTATGACTGTCACTCGACCGTCTTGAAAATTAGTGACAATGTATGTGGGCTTTTCCCGATACACTGTACACAGAAACTTGACCATAATCAATGGTATTATTATGAGTCATTATGTCCCTGTCACAAAGCTACAACCCTAATCAAGAGTAGTATTCACTCTCTAACCCACTTTACCACCCGCCTCAGCACTAAAACTCCATCTGTTGGCTGTTCTAGCCTCTTCAGGTAGTCTTGTAGTTCCCACTCCGAAAAATTGCCATTGTACACATCATCTTGATTAACAAACAAGTCATGATTTACCATCAGGTAAACAAAGCCTACTCCAGGTTGGTCCACCTCTCGTACATGAAACTCCGGTAACCTCTGGGGAGAATCATCAGCAGGGCGAACAACCAAAGGGCAGCCATCAAACAGCGCACGTAGGTCTTGACACCTGATCGGGTAGAGAAAAGCTTCATTCCAGCTTCAGTCAACTTAACATCTTCAGGGCCGACCTATAGTAATTGATACGTCAATCTGTAGGCTATGGTGAGCAGGGTGGCTGCGACACCTACAATGGGTCCCGTAGGAACGGCTCGCACTTCTCCACCAAATGCCCTCGATATAGCATGGTGGCCCCAGCAGATGCCCAGAATCTTAGTCTTTGGTGACTCCCGCGCAGTCCTACGGAGGAAGTCCAGAACACCAAGCACCCAGGGTTCCGAGGATGAGGCATCGGCTTTCCCTCCACTCAAGACGATCAAGTCATAACCTTGGGGGTTGGGAGAATTCCCTTCAAACACGGGATCGCACATACCGACCTGGGCGTTTGGTGCAATGAGATCAAAGGCATCCTGATAAGACCCGCAGACATCGTTCCAGAACTCATTGCCAAGGGGTGTGTTGATAGGGACTGCGATGCGTAGTGGTGCGTGGGCAGCCATTGTGTTGGACGTGCTGGGAGATTTTGTTAAACTGAATGGGCGAGTTATGAGCGATTTGTATTCATCTCATGCTGTCAATGCTACAAGAGACTAGCAGGTGCTTGTACCCTTAATAATTACTGACTGTCGTCAACGCCGAACTTGAAAAACAAAGACTTTTCTGTCTAAATTGATAGTGCATCGCATCTGCACACCAATTATAGTAATGTCCCCTTCGCAGATCTGATTGGGTCACCATAATTTGAGATCGTCACGAAATATCCAGCTATAACTGACAGTGGCAGAGGCAAGTGTAATCCCAATCGGGTGAACGAGAACGATCGGATCTCCCACCGAAAGTGGGTCTCAACCCATAATTACCGGATCGGGTGCGCGAAAACGATGCCGAGCGAAGATTTGACATGGAGCGAAAGGCATGAGACTAGAGTCACAACAGCTGGTCAAATCAAACCCTTTGGATTATTATTAACATAGATGATTCGAGCGCTCTGAATGATCCAGGATTGCTAGTGGCAAAGCCAGATAAGTAGTCATCACAGTAGTATAAAGTTGAGCCATTTTTCCCCGGTACCCTGCCCTTAGGCTTCAAACAAACTATACACTTCCTTGAGACCATCATATCATCATGTTCTTTGCTAGTGCACACGCTGAAACCGATGAGGAGGTTCTCCTTCAGTTCATCAAGGAGAACCCCCTCGGTATGCTCATTACGGGCATTGACTCCTCCGCCCAGGACTTTCTCCAATGCACCCACGTCCCCTTCGTGCTAGACCACCCCAAGACCGAAGAGAACTCATCATCCAACCCACAACTTCGTGCACATATTGCAAAGCAGAATCCCCAAGCCAAATCCATGCTCGAGCTTACCAACGGAGCGCCACCGAATATCCTTCCGCTCGAACGCGATGTCCTGGTGGTGTTCAACGGACGCCATGATCACTATGTGACTCCCAAATTTTACACCGAGACGAAGCCTGACACCGGCAAGGTAGTCCCAACATGGAACTACTCTGCCGTTCAAATTTACGGCAAGCTCTCCCTGTATTATGATTCCAGGACCCCAGAGGCGGGCGCCTTCCTATGGAAGCAGATACACGATCTGTCGGAACAGTGCGAGCGACGGATCATGGGATTCACCGGAGGAGACCGGCCACAGCCGTGGAAGGTTGCAGATGCACCTGAGCGATACATCGAGCTGATGCAGAGGAACGTGGTAGGGATCCGGATTGAGATTACCAAGATTGAGGGCAAGTACAAGATGAGTCAGGAGATGAGGCCAGGGGACCGGAACGGCGTGGTTAGGGGGTTTGCAGCCATGGGCGGGGAAACAGGACAAGCTATTTCAGCTTTGGTTCAGGAACGAGGGGAGTTGATTGATAAAAAGAAGGCACTAAAGTCCGCTTCAATAGAATAGAATAAAAATGATATAGCTAGTTTGTACCGGTTCTATCGGAGATAAGCATTTCCTAATCTGGTTTAGCGTTTCAATTGACTCTGTGCATAATCTCGTGCGCTATAATAAGAGTGACTCAACCCCCGCCATTGCCCTCGGCTGTCATCGGACGCGCTGGTTTGACATTAGGAAACGGGTTTTTAGGCAAAAATACAATATATCACTTCCTCATCCTATCACATGTACAAACCGGCACCACCAAGACCTAAAAAGACAAACATCATCCGCTCCCGCAATGGCTGTAAAAGTTGCCGCAGTCGCAGAACCAAGTGTGATGAGCGGAAGCCAAAATGCGGAACCTGCGCGAGACTTGGAAAGATCTGTGAATATGCTAGACCAGCTTTCAAATTCCAAGTTACGACAGTCGACGACCCAAGACCACCACCAGAGCCACTAGCAACAGCAACAGCGTCCAATGTGTCGTCAGAAGAGACAACCCCAACACCGGCCGGAGACCAAACATCGGCCGTTCGAGCCGCACAAGATGTTCCCTCTATCGGAAGCTATGACATTATCCGGTCATTGCAAACGACGGACCGCGATATCTTCTATACCACCTACTGGGAGGGCTCTTGCTTGCCAGCCTTGCACCCGATATTCAAATTCGCCACCTCATTGGCCGCTGGCCATCCCATTCTCAACGACGCCCTCCTAGCTTTATCTGCCTGCAATATTGGCCGCATTCAGGCCGAGCACAGAACAGAATCGTCCGGGTCGATGTGCTCATTGAGCCCTAGTCTGGTTCACCAGACACGGAGTCATCTATACTACTCGTCCGCGATCCAAAAGCTGGCCATCATGCAATCACAAGACTACCATCAGAACCCTACCACAATACTGATTGTGCTTGTTCTGTTCGCTCATCTAGAGCAAGCTATGGGGAATTTTCAGGGCTTCTATACTCACGTCCGGGGCATGATGAATCTTCTTGAATGGCATAACGGCGTCAAAGACGCAGCCACAAAGTCGCTGCTTGCTTCATGGATGCAAATCCGGTATGTTGTCTGGTGGGCTCGGGCCTATTTCAGTTCGATAGAAGTTTGTCAGCATCTCCCATCGATACCTTTACCGGCCTCCCTATTAGACGTTCCGCAGACATTGCATGAGCGGCGTGTGAAAGTTCTTAGCATCATGTGTGAATCACACCGATTGAATTTCAACGCCGTGCTGCAGCAGTTTCGGAATTTGCAGTCGGACGATGCTAGTGGTTTCGATGTCGACGAGCGCTATGTTTATTGCACTGCTCTATTGCATCAAGAAGCGGCAAAGCTGGATGCGTGGGTGTTGCAACTTCCGCCATCTGAGCAGCCAATATACGAGCTCAGCGACACAAACGGTACTACCATCCGTTTTCAGTCCCACGATGCCGCGCTGAACTACGCATACTACGCGGTTGCGCGAGCCATGCAGTGCACCGGGGTCTTACAACTCCTCTACAGTTCTGATACCCCTCAGCACGAACGGGAGTGTAATGAAGAAGAGTATTGGGTTCAGACATTAGTCCGTATCGCACAGTGGAGCGATATGCAGACATCAATCACCAAAAATAGCTACACCATCGGGTTCTCAGGCTTACTCCTGGCGGGTATTCTCCGATGCCAGAGTCTATCAGTCGGGTTGGAGATCCAGGACTGGTTACAAGCGCTCATAAACCTGCAACCAACAGAAGAAGGGGCATTTCCGATCTATCAGACTTTTCATGTGGTCAAGATCATCAATCAACAGAGGGCAATCGGCCGAGATATTTTTGCCGTCACTCAGCCGGTGGATGACGGAGGCGGAACGCCCAAGCTTACTGGCTACAACAGTCAGTCGATCACAAGCCTTCTCTTCCATGGGAAGTACCAGAATCTGGATTCCCTTTTCCAAGAGTGCATCTCCCTGGATGTCTGAATTCGGATACTGTCGATAATGGGAAGTTGAGCACCTTGTCTAATACGAGACACTCAATCTCCTGTTGGACACAGCACCATTGAGATATTCATTATTTTCGACAGACAGTCAGGCGGCTAAGCGGGGTAGTGCCGGGGATCGCCTGCCTCGGCTCTATCGGAACTAGATCGACTCTTTCGGAAATATCCCGGTATATGCCAGATGCAAATCACGAGGAGATCACCCACACACTGATCCTCAATGCCCCTCCAGACGGATTCTCAAAAGTACCGGTTACAACGACGTTCACCTCAGCTACAGCCGCTTTGACCCGATGGGCCAAGATAAACCGTCTGGAGGCAGTATCTTACATCCATCCCCACGCATTTACTCCACCATGCAGAGACCGGTCACGGTCACTGGTTGTGAAAACCTTCTACCTCACGCGCACAGTGGTGGATAGGTTACACAACGGAATTTTCCGTGGGTATAAGCGTATCAGCGCCTGAAAGTTGTTGGCAGTCATTGTGGCGGTTCTCCGCCGGCGTTATCCGGGACACTCTTGCTTCTGGGTATAGAGAGTTGGGTGTCCGATCCGTAAGGGACTACCCGAGAAGAAATGCAAGTGCAGCTAGTTCCGGTTATCTGGAGGCACGGACGGCACGGCGAGCGGGAATGTATGACTGTAGTGACTTGCTGCTGCTGTTGGGAGTCGCGTGGCTCAGATACTCACTGACTCGGCCGATTTACGAACAGCGTCGCAAAGACTTTGTATGTGAAGTGGTAAATGGACTATATGCAGCAATGTGATGGATTCTTGAGCTTTCGACTCATCTAAACTATATAATATTAAATACTTCCTGATGATATACTACGAACTGATCTTTGAATTCCAACTTTTGACTTTATCCTCACGTTTTAGCACAAGGCACCACATACAATTGCGAATGAGCCGCATTAAGCCGATAGATGGGTGCTACCTCATCGAGCATCACTATCGTGAAACTTGTCCAACCTCAGCAATTTCTTCGCGTTTTCCCGACCAATAGCATAATAATTGTCGACACCTCCCACAGCCTCAACAATAGCGTCCTTGTCATGATCCCACCAGTTACAGCCACTCTCCGTCGTTTCATACGGGTAGTCGACGCTAAACAGCACCCGGTCAACACCAATCTCATTGACCACATACTTCAAAGTCGGAGTAGAGAAGTGACCACTAGTCGTAAGCCATATATTATGCTTAAAGTAGTGGTAGAGGCTCTTCTGAGCCATGACCCGGCCCTCCTCATCCGCTATTGGTTTCTTCACATCCCGGAACCAATGGTCAATCCGCCAGAAATCGAAGGGAATGTGCTCTCCTAGATGACCAATGATGATTTTAAGATTTGGAAAGCGATCAAAAACTCCATTGGAGATGATTCCCAACGTATGGAGACTGACATCGTTGGCAAATGATAGAGGCGGGCCGATAAGCGCAGGTCGCTGGGCATAGAGTTTCTCGAGGATGGTCCCGGTCGGAGCAGCAGGGTGGATGTACAGCGGGACGTCCAGCTCTGTTAGAGCTTTCCAGAACACATCATATTTTGGCTGGTCGTAAAACAAGTACGTCTCACCATCTGGACCTGCATGCTGAAAGCTACACAGCAGCGCGCCGTGAAATCCTAGTTCCTGGACGCACCGACGCAGTTCGTTCGCGGCCTGAGCCGGATCATGCATTGAGAGGCAAGCGAAAGCCCCCAGACGGTCCCGATGGTTTTTGATCTGTTCCGCTGCCCAATTGTTGGTCTCAGTGGCCACTCGCTCAGCTTCGGTCTTGTCAAAGATCCCTTGGATGCCGGGAACGGTGAGAGAGATGATGGTGTATCCCACGCCGTGTGCGTCGGCTAGTTTCAGTCGTTCTTGGTTGATGTCGTTGATTTGACGCATGTAGCGGGGACGGTCATTGGGAGCGATGTAGAGACCAGCCTCATGGTTGGACTTTTCTTTCATATTTGGTCGCTCGTAGGCTTCTTCGAGGACGACTTTGCCTAACATTTTGAGGGCTGTGGTGGTGATTGTTGAGAATAAATGGTTACTCTTATCCCTGCCCGGTAATAGCTGGACCGGAACTGCTGTTCACTCTCGAGTATCGCCAGGTTTGATGAGTACACTGTATACGGTTTGCGGTCCAATCTCAATAGGCAGGGATGGGAGAAGCAGTGGTTAGTTATGCATTGAATCGATGAAATCATCTTTGTGGGTCTGTCCCTAACTCTATATGACATCATGTTACTCAGCCAAATGTGAGGATAAATCAGGTCTACATCTACAGAATATAAATAAGGCAGGTTCTCAGAGAAGTGGTTCCCCTAGAAGCAAGTATGCTAATATAGATGTAGTGCTAGTTTGTGATAATTGGCTCTATCAAGCTTATAAACGTCTAACTACGGTCTTCCATTTCTCCCGGATCCTGATATTGAGATGCTTACTAATATTATAATAGTAAAGACAACACTTCAATTATTCGCCAGTAACCATCTGTTCCAGTACTTTGTAGGTCTTCGTCGGGCAATATATGGGATGATCCACTTGAGGAGGCCAGAGCAAGAGAGAGCTGAAGGCCGACTCGATCTATCAATGTAGGTCGTACTTTGCGGGACAGCGTTATCAGTGGGCATCAAGTGATTGGATGGAATATAATAGTTCTAGCTTTCGGTAGGTGATAATTGATAAGGAATAGTTACTTTGGCAACGTGTCCGAAGGAATTGATTACGTTGAGATAAGAAAGCGCTCATCTTCCCATACGCTCACTATTGTAGACAGTGACGCACATCGCTCAGTGTGGCTAAAGTTCTAGATACTGCAAATTGTGCATTAAAGTCAGTGTCGTTGGGCATTCATATTGTTAGTTGACGCGTGTGCATGTATCATGCAAGTACCCCGCATCTAGTCATCAATAAGACGCTGAATGCCAATCTCGTCGTAAACCCAAACCATCATAAGAAATTAACACCACCCCATATCTCTTCAAACGGCCTTGCTACGCTTGAAACATTCGCTATAATGACAAGAGCAAAGACATTTAAGCTCAAAATCCTTATGATTCATGGTACCACAATAACCGCAAACCCAGATACCATGACCACCACTAATCATAAATCTACGTTGATAGGCTATACTGAAACCGGAGAGTTCTTTCGCTCAGAAGTACTTGACCTGGAGAAGGCCCTTATCGAAGCCTTTCCAGTAGCGCCTGCCCCTGGTTATCATCCCGATTATCCGGATGGCGTAGAGCTCGTATACCCAGATGGCACCTGGAGACTCAAGCCAACCGATTGGGCCCGCTATATACCGGGGACCGATCCAGGTTTTGGATGGTTCTACAAGGTTGACGACGACGATGAATTTCCAGGCTTGCTCGATGGATTGCAAAAGCTTGGTGATATTATGCGCTCGCAGGGGCCCTTTGCCGGGGTCATTGGATTTTCTCAAGGGGGATTCTTGACCGGACTTATCACAAGCATGCTTGAGCCGGGCAGGAAGAGTGTCTTCGAGAAAGTCGAGGTCGAAAATGGAGGTATTCCATTCCCGAAGGCATTCGATGGAGTCCACCCTATCAAATTCTCAATCAGCTGCTGTGGTTTCGCTGCATTGAACCTTCGATACAAAGCCTTTTATATGCCAAAGATATCAGGGCCGATGCTCCATGTAAATGGGCAATTCGATGATATTGTGTACGACAAAAGAAGTCGCACTCTGATTGATGCGACCACGGGTGCTGAGGAAGAGAAAGTGCTCATTCACCCGGGTGGTCATTCTGTGCCGACTAGCAAATTGTACACGGATGCGATGGTCATGTTCATCCGAAGTAAACTCTCGAGTTGATTGACCGCGCGAGCTTGTAGACTGTTATATACTATTTGGGAGCTGCAGCACCTGCATAGCCAGCATTTCAACAAGAGGAGATCAATTGCATTGAGAATGTTAGCTGGATTGATCCTAAATACTACCCATAAAAATATGGAACTAGGTATTAGGAAGCTAGTTTCATCTGGCCTTCACGGATAGAGGTCAAAAAGAGCTAATGTGCCAGAATAGTGGTCGAATAGTCTGCTATGTGGGCATGTGCCTTCCAACTCGTGGCACAATGCTTCAACATTCATATAAGTTTACCTGTCACTTAATTTGACACTCTGGACCCATAAATCAAACTTCCGAGTATTTGTCCGAAGTGGAGATTACTCTACAGCCCCAGCCCATGTTTAACCAAGCAGAAGCTACTACAGACATTCACACAATAATTTACGTTGCTCATGGGTTCGTGCGCAAGCTAGAGAGCGTATATAAGCTCTGCATATGTCCCAGCCGGCAGCTGCACTGTCAGCTTCACAATATTCTTACCTCAGCTCCCCCTGTAACAGTCAAGCTAATATGGACATTTTACGAAGGCATCAGGTTTTTCAATGGTAAGCAACAGTCATATTTTCAAGCTATCTTCAACAAAGTGTCCGGAAGTTCTGCAGTAAAAACAGTGGACTTTTTCTTTGAAGTCATATGACCAGAGTTGGAATCTCCAACCACTTCAGCAGGCACTGGACATGATAAACTTGCCCTCCTCATCATCGGTATCTGTGTCCGTCTGTTCTCCCGGTAGACATACGGCCTTGATTGCTTTGTCTAGCACTCCTTCTCCGATGTATTTGAGCGCTTTCCTGACGAGCCATCCATCGTCGATGGCGTTGGTCACATCTTGGCATACGGCTCCGTGATTCCGTCCGGTTTCTTCACGTACTTTATGTTCGTCGACTTGTTTATCTTCTTGGGGTTCTCCAGGTTCGTCCTGGTCTGCTTCGTCGTTATGTTCGCTCTCCTCATATTGCCTTGTGACCTCCCTTAGGAAGGCTTCGAATGAACCTCCGGAGCCTGCATCGGAGGCATCCGAGAATAGCCTTTCCGACACGATCTCGGGCTGCCGCAACAGATCAAACGCACCCGAAGACAAGGTCTCAGGCAAGAAGACATCATCAATACAACGAGCCGCCGCTATCGGCAAGCTCGGATCGTTGGCAATGTCATCAAAGACTTCGTCTGAGAATTCATTGTCAATCGATGACAGATGACCATCGACCAAGTCCCCATCATGCTCGATGTTTAGGGTCTCTCTGCCCTCTTCAAAGAGCGAGAGGCTCAGTTGAGCAGGACCCTCTCCCACAAAGACATAGAACTGGGCCAGCTGGCCCACCACGAGTGCACCGTAAACTGCCCTCCGGCTTCCGCGGGTATTTTGCGTGGTGTACGCATTGCTCATCCGATCTTTGAGGGTAACTTGCAAGGTCGGCCAATCGACGGCAGTTGGGCCCGCAACATCTTTCCAAACGAGCATGATAAAGTTGGTCTCTTCGACTGGATGCGTTCGGTGGCTGACAATGACATGGCTAAGGTTGTAATCCCGAAGCCCAACACGGTCCGTTCGCTGGTCGATAGCCTTAATGTCTACCTCACTCAAGCAAGCCTGCATCCGACTGAGCCACGCATTCAGAGAATGGATACGGCTCGGTCTGGGGGTACGGCTAGGTCGAGAGTATGGAACCGAACGTCTCTGGTGTCGTGAATACTTCTTGATGTGTCCCTGTGAGTTGGGTATGGCGGAGCTCACAAGGTCGGAACTTAAGCTGGTATTGCCGGTGGTAGATTGTCTGGAAGACCGGCGGAGTTGTTCAGGATCCTTCTTGTCGTCCTTGGCAGATATCCCTTTGGGCCTCCGGGGACATTCCTCATTCTCGGGGCTGTCGTCAGGTGTCAAGGGCTCCATTGGCCGCACGAGAGAGTTGGGCCTGCTCCATACTTGTCTGTAGAAGGTGGGACGAGGCATGGCGGTGATCTCTTCGGGACTTAGGAAAGCCTCCGAATCAGCCGACATATAGGGCGGACATGAATACCCTTCAGCCCAGCGTTCACCAATCGGACTTTCATCGCTGACACCAGACACTTGGTTCAGCAGGTGCTTATTGGCCTCGGTCCACGTCTCCTTCTCTGACTCTCTTGCATTTTCGTTGGAGATCTTCCCATGTTTAGTGCCGGCGCGCATTGCATGTTTTCTTGTATCAGGCTCAGAGGGCTTGGGCCTGCCCTGTCTATTGGGGCGTGAGGCAGGCATGTTGATTGACAGAGAGGCTTTTCTGCAATGCACTCTTGCTATGGTAATGTCTTGATATGATAGCAAAGTGTCTTACTGCCGGTGCTGGAGGAGATAGGAAACATCTTGGTCCCTGGAGAGGAAATCGGGGTATAAAAAGGGGGCCCTTCGCTAGCGGCATGACAGTGACGAGTCTGTCCAGCCCTGCCCTTTGGTTCCAGGCGTAGCTCGATGAATGATAGCAATATCTCCGTGCATGATGGTAGACAGTGCCGTTGTCTTCTGTGGCGAATTCCAGTCAGGATAGTGGAATAACAACGGTTAACTCCCTCCTTGAGATTCAGCGGAGGATGCGCCGTCTTTTGATTGAATTGCTGTGCAACCTTGTTATATTTTTATCCAATAGCAAAAATCCCTCGTTATGCTTAGCAGATGTGAATTTTTGGCTTAGTGAAGGACAGGATGTGTTTCAGGGCAACTAGTGAGAAGGCGTGAATACAGTCAAACAAATTCACACTTGTCAGTGAAGTATTGATTCCTCAGGCATAAACGTACTACAACTACTGCTTTGAAGTCAAAATTCATGAAAATTGGCTTCAAGTCTAGCTGAAATTGGTACTTTGCTGTGTTATTCTATCTAGTGAATTCTCTATCCATGAAGTCCATCTATCCTACAGCAGTGAAGCAGATATACTACGTATCATGTAGCTTAGCTTGTTCTGCAAGCTTAAACCATTAACTTTTTCCGTTCCGCTACAATCTCGACGCGTCATGTGACCTACTGGCAGGGAGACGTGCCCCGTCCACATCCCCATTGTTTCCCCACAATTCATTAGGAGACTGCCAGACTGCGCGTCCAAAAAATATGGGGTTTATCGATTTCATCAAGGACATTTTGCGTCCGGGCAATGGGGTGGATTACCCAAAGCCAGGTGACATGGTGACTGTGCATTACCACGGCTATCTTTACGACCCGGCACGGTCCAGGAATCGAGGGCGTCGGTATGTTCCTATCCATCCGGAAGACACGGCTTGCCGTTTGTTTCAGCCTTCTTTGCATGGCCTGGGCTGTTCTAAGTACTAATGATTGTTTGTTCTGCTGCAGATTCGATAGCAGTATTAAACGGGGATTTCCTTTTACTTTCAAGGTCGGTGTCGGCCAGGTTATCAAAGGTGTGTCATTCAGACGATGCCCAGTAATCCGTGCAAGTTAGGCTGATCAGTTTTAGGATGGGATGTCGGTATCCTGGGAATGAGTCTGGGTGAAAGAGCATATCTTACCTTCGGCCCGTACGTGTTATTCACAATGGCTATCTTCTTTCAACATGTCCACTACTAACCATTTCATTTGTACTACAGTCACTATGGATACGGCGAGAAGCAAGTTCTATTCTATGGACAAAGTTTGGAATTCGCGCTGATTTGTTTCCCAGGGGAGCTTCTCCGTTTATTCCTGGCAATTCAACCCTCGTCTTGTAAGTGCTTACCCCAAACCAAGGCTTCTTTCGACTCACAGATATGCAGTGATGTCCAGCTACTGGCCATTAATGGCCGAGGAATTGAGTCGGATGAATCCGAATAAATGTACAATAGTATCTTTGTTGCTCATTAATGTTCACATTATACACCATTTCCCTCCCATTTATAATCATATTGCACTTTCAGATATAGAGTGCCCCATATCACTTTTGCTCGATATATCTTATCCCCCATCGCCCTCTTGCACTAATCTTTGCTCTCCTCAAGTAGACGCCGCTGCAGCACGAATAACCTCTGCCACCCGCGAAGGCTGACTTATCTGTGGCATGTGGCCAGCACTGCACCGCTCAATCTGGCTTCCGGCCAGGTTCGCTAGTTGCTCCTGCAGGCCCGCTGGAAGAGCGTTATCTCCCTCGCAGACGAGGTAAACACTGGGCACATCCTTCCACCCCGCGTAGGGTACCGTGCCGTTCCAACCATCAGCCGGCTGGGGCTTAAGCTCAGCCAGCCACTCTGCCTTCTCTGGCTCGGGGACATCGTCCAAAAGAAGCACCTCGGGCTTGGCACAGTACATCGCACCTCCCTGTCAAAACGCCCGTCAGTCATGATATTTTTTGACCAAGGAAAGATGCGGAGGCAACAATCACGAGATGATGGGAACAAGAAACACAATAGACGGGATAACCAACCTCGACAACAGCAAATGGCATATCCTCGTGCTCGTGGCCTTCGGGGAAAACCGCTGCAGTCAAGAAGACAATCTTGACGACTCCACCCTGTCCAACAGCCGACTTGCTGAGGCCCTCCATGGCAGCGCTGCCGAGAAATCCACCGGCTGAATGCAATACGAGAATTACCTCTTCTCCGCGCTGCACGATGCTCGTCAGATGGTCGCGCACGGCGGCTATATCATCGGCCATAGTCGGGTTCCCGGGCGAGGTGGTTCCTGTGCTGGGTAGTGTGCAGACATCGGTCTTCAAACCGGCAGCCTGCAGGAGATCGCATACGGGGGAGAAGACTTTGGGGCCCTCCCAGAAACCGGGGACGAAGAGGATAGTGGGTGCCATGATGGCCGAATGATAATGGTACAGTGGGTGAGCTTACGGTGTAGTCAAATTATGGGTGACAGAGGGGAGCACTTGCGGCTTATATGTATCTGTCGCTAGCGCATCCTGGTAGCCTAAATGAGGGGTACAAGGCTGTCACTAAGGGCACCATATACTGCTAAGTCGCACTACACAACTACAGGGGCTCAGAAGCCATTACATGGCAGCTTGCGTGAGGCAACGTCGTTTGTTGGCTGCAGTAGCGTGTGGCTACGGGGTATTTCTTGCTCCACCCAAGACAAAGGAAAGCTGAACATCCACTTAAATCTCACGTCAGGCGGACGAGTCGTGACTCCGATTCCAGCCTGTTTTGAGCACGGACAGGGTCGCGATTTGACGGATAAATTGGCCAATGAAACCTTGGTAGATTAGCTACTTGGTATTGCGCTAGTTGCTAAGCTTTCTGTTCGCTTAGCGTCGCCGTCCGGTCGACAGCGCCGTGGCTCGCATCTAACTTGCATTCAGCGCATCGCCAGCTGCCAGTGGACGCAGGATTCTATATCTTGAACTGGATGTGTCGGTTTTAAGTAGCTCTACCTCGGTGGCCAATGGAGCTTACCTGCAGACTCGATGCTTGGTCTAACTGTGTCACTTAATCTGTGGATCGGCATGTTGACGCTATCTTGCAATGTAAAGGGTTTATGTTCGATCGTAAATTTTAGTTGTAGCTGTATACTGGTGAGTTACTAGTGCTATATGGTGGCAAACAGGGTCAGTGTCGTGATGCTTGCAGGTGCAATCACTGGTCTGCTCATTCTGCGAGCTGCAATACTATGTTGAGCAAACTGGACCAAGAATATATATCTTGCCACGGTCCAGATGGGCATAGTAGCACGAACTTCTTTACCCGCGAATAGTAGTTCCATTACATACTTAATACATTATAAACGCCCCTTACAAGCTACACAACCGAACTAAGATGGAAAATCTAAGGTTGACACACAGATTCGCCGCCTATCAATCCGGCCTGTCCGTAAAGCAGCTCTTGCGAAACGAAGCTTTAACTCTTAGTTATAAGGCAAAAGGAGTTGGAACAAATATCAAGTACGGCCGGGTGGCGCAATGGTAGCGCGCTGCCTTCCGGTAGTGGATGTGGCAGTGGTTGCGTGTTCGAGTCACGTCTCGGTCGTTTCTTTTTTCTTTTGCATCTACACTCCGTACCAGAAGTGATAGTCTTAGATTTTATTTTTTTATTGGTCGCAACTATTATTCTCTCCCCGCTTCATTTCTAGTCCCATCTGCCTTCATTACAGTTTGCGGTCGCGCACACCCTATATCCACCATGGTAACCCACTCTTGGGCACATCGTAGAAAGCAAGGGCCTTACGAGAACAGCACTTGACTAAAGTCCGTCTCGAGTATCGTGTCTCTCTGGTCATTCACAATTCTGCATTAGGCGCGATCTGGGTTGATCAAGCTACTGCGGAAAGAATCATGTCTGCGGCCTATAATCGATATATCAGCAGCAGCACCATGCCATCATGATCAGTACCTACCTGTTCAGCAATACCATATGTAGGCGCCTGATAATGCGCCGCCAACGGGAGCGGAATAATGCCCGAGTCCACAACCCTCAGTCGCTCAGCCTGATAGACTCGACACTCAGTGTCCACAACTTCTCCCATCGCACAAGTCCCTGAGTAGTGATAGGTGCTACCACCACTCCGATTCGCCCGGACCTCGATCGCCTCATTAGACCAGTTATCCCGGAGAAAATCATCCACACCGAACTCAACAGCATTGAGACCCTCAACGGCCTGGATGGCTCGCGCAGTCTCCCGCACATTCTCATACAACGCTGATCGGTCAATCGGGGACGCAAGGAGTTTGGGATCGAGCACGGGTGCGTCAGCAGGGTCAGATGAGCGCAGCGTGAGAGTACCCCGTGACACCGAGTCGACGAGAACGTGCATGAGGCTGATGACGCGCTTACCGGGCCAGCCTTCGAGGGGTTTCTTGCGAGCGGACGTGTCGACGGCGGTGTAGCTGACTTGATTAGCAGTGTCCCTTCTTCTGCGGGCTTGGAGAAACAGCATACACGATAAAATTTTCGAGTTGCATCTTCCCGTCAGCCAAGTACCGACTTCGCTCAGTTGGGCTCAGTATTTTCTTGGCTATCTCTTGCGTTTTCGTGTCTGCAGGCGCAAAGGACATCCAATCGTATGGCAAGCCCGCTAGCCAATGGACTTGATCGGTCTCCATTTCCCCGTCACCTAGGGTAGCATTGCACTCGTCGATCGTCCAGTAAGTGAATATATGCGGATGGTCAGCATAGTTCTTCCCCACGGGGAGGTCTGCGACCGGGGTGATGTTGTGTCGCTTCAGCTCTGCTGCTGGGCCGATGCCGCTGGTACTGTTATTAGGCTCCTCACTTCTCAGAAGCAGCTAGTGCTGACCCACCTGAGTAAAAGTATTTTGGGTGATCCATATGCTCCTGCCGACAGAATCACTTCTTTTCGAGCCCTGACCTGGACACGCTCAATCTGATCTCCCACTGCTCGCGCAACAACGACGCCTTCCGCAGTCCTTCCGGTCATGATGAGTCTCTCCACCGTTGCTTTCGTCCAGAGAGTGACATTGCTCCCCAAAGGGTAGCTACTCGCAAAGCTCCTCAGTCCTGCATAGGAGGAACTGAAAGCCTCCGAATACCCCAGCTGCTCTCCACTATTCATATCGTCTGCCTGCTTGCGACCGAGAAATTCGTGAAATCTGCGACTCTTCTCCCGCAACGGATAATTGCGTGGCTTGCCACTATTCGTCGCATGACTGACCTATACAATATCAATACGGTTCCTCATGCCAGTAAAGTGCGATAGCTACCTTGATCGGTCCACGATCTCCATGAGAATCAATCGTGAGAAGACCTCTCTTCTTCATCTCCACAGAAGGGTACCATGTCTCGACCCGCTTAAAATATGGCAGAAGACCATTCCACGACCATCTCCGGTCTTGAACTAAATCTGCCCATTGGTCACTGTCCCAACAGGCCCATATCAGCATCAATCTCCGGAAACATAATATCACCCCCACTCCCCGAGGGGAACTCACTAATCAACAGCCGGGCCCCGCGTATACACCTGATAATTAACCCCCGACCCTCCTCCGACAATCTTGCCAGAGGCCAAACAAACCGTATCACCTCCGAAAGCGCGCTCCTGCGGCACCGAGCGAAGATTCCATTCGAGATCTGAGTCGAACCCTGCCACGAAGCCCATTGCGGCAGATGTCCGATCATCTTTCTCGATGCCTGCTTCAATGAGCAGGATGCGTAAGTCGGGACGACTTTGCGAGATTCGACTTGCTAAGACGCAGCCTGTTGCTTGTCAATGAGGACGGGTGTGGTTGTTATGGGGGTATTACCCGCAACGCCTGCTCCGACTATGATGAAGTCGAATGTTTCCTCTGTGTGCATGTTGTTGATGTGACATTTGGTTCATAACTATAACTGCAGAGATGGATGACAGAGATTGTATGCCACTGATGCAACGAGCGAGTAATATACTCGAAGCTACGGGTGGCCTGAAAGAGTGAGATATTCAGAGCTCGTCCGTTTGCGGAGATGCTGGCTAGACAGATTTTGATGGCTGTTACACGACGAGAGTCAGCTGTTCGGAAAGGAAGCTTTGCATGCCATTTGCTATCCGCAGGGAATCCCACGCATCATCCAATTGAAGAATGGACATGAAACAGACAAGCATGTCGTTACATCCAACCTAAAGGCACTTTGGCTTTAAGGCGTGCACTATGACCGCATGATGGCTGGTCTGGACACCAGAGAGAGTTGGACGCGAAACCTAATTTGCATGAGGGGAAACGGCCTTGCCGTCAGAACGTCCCGAGTATCAACAATCAAGAAAAAACACAATGAGCTGAAGTCTCTAATTCCATCATCATATCAATCATCATCATCTCATCTATTCTACATCTAAGTCAAAACACTCCTGGCAGAACGACGAACCTATTTCCAGGTATTCTCGGTAACCGCCCAGGGACCCGGGGGCACCTTATCATTCCACTCGCCGCGCGGAGGGCGCCACAGCAAAAGAATAGCGGGCGGTTGACATTCATGCACCAACCTGTTCCACTCATCACTGGGGTTCTTCTTCGCAAAGTCGATATTCAGACTGATGACGCGCTTGTATCCGCTCTCTTCATACAACCAGCGACCGATGGGACTGCCCTCGATCCAGCTCTCATATCCCAAGGGGTCAATCCTCTCATGTCCCCATTGCATGAGAAGGCGTCCTACGCCTCGACGGCGGTAATCGGGGTGAACGCCCATAGCATTTACACCTATACGCATCATCGATAAATTAGTCCCCTTAGAAAATAAAAAAGAAGATAACACAGAATAAAGGGGGAAAGAATATACCAGCATGAGGCCTCTGCAACCAACACATTCTCGGAAAAAAGGCCTGACTGAGCATGCGACTAGCATACTCGGCGCGTTCGGAGCCCTCCGGGTACCACGTACACGATAAGGGTTGAGGGCCATTAGGAAAGGGGTTCTTGTGGAAAATGAGCCATTCGCAGCCACCGGCCACGCGACCGGTCTCGGTATCGATCACATAGATGAGATGGGAGGCAGGATTCTTCTCGTGCGCGGCCCAGCGGATTTCCGTGTCGAGGGCTTTGTCTTTTACGCGGTCTTCTGCGGTATGGCCGCTTACGGGGTGGACGGCGGTGAATACTGGGCTGTTTGGTGGTGGTGCGACCGGGCAAATTAGTTTGAATACTACTGTGCGGAGAGGAGAGGATAGGAGGATGGGAGGATGGGAAGGAACTAATGAAGGAAGAAGGAAGAAGGAAGGATGGAAAGGAATGTGTGGTGGTAATTGCGCTCACTCACTTGTAAGGGTTGAAGTTGGCTGACCAGAGGACATCGACTAGACGAGCATATTCCTCCTTGGTGTGGATTTCCCGGACTTCGAACTGCGACTTGGTCATGATGGGGGGAGATGGGGAGATAGAGGGCTGGCTGGACTGGACTGGACTTGGACTGGACTTGGACTGGACTTGGGGAAGGATTGATGGATGGATGATCGATTTGAAACGGGGAAATTGAGGGGCGCGCGGGATCGAGGGGAACAACAAGAAAAGAAAGCAAGAAAGAAAGAAAAGTATTTGACACACTTGACTAATAGATAGTGAAGGGAAAATAAATTAGTTAACCTCACTAAACTACCAGTTAATTAACTAATTTAGTAGCCGAAAGCCGATGTTACCCTGTCACGGAGTGGACGGACTAAATGAATTCCTTCTTTTAGATTAAAAAAGTAGTATAAAGTAGACTATTTTAGGGCGACACTACCGTAGGGAAAAAGTCCCTGATCAAGTAGGGAATTGCGCCATTTCCCGAGCTGTTTAGTTAGTAAAAAGCATCCCAACTAAAGCTCGGCTAGCGGACCCTGGTAGTGCTTCCGCGCCCATCCCACATAGTAGATGATACTGATGAGGGTAACTCCCGCGAAGATGACAATGCTGTAGTTAATATTCTTCGGGGCAGGGTGGTTCTCCGGTGGCCAGCAGCCGAAGAACATCATGATGATCGAGTAGGCAATGGCAAAAATGTTATTTGCCGTGCCCAACCACCCTTTGACCCGGAAGGGCCCCCAGTTGAGGACACCGCCGCCTTGACCCGGCTCGGTAAGGTCGCCGCGCAATCTACGATAGAGCAGGAGAGTTAGAGAGATCATGTATGAGGCAAAGAAGGCCTCCAGCACCAGCGACAAGATGATGTTCAGCACCACTGCCGACCCGATGTTAATCAGGCTGAGCAGACCGGCCGCGACAACCACCACCAACGTGCTGTGGAAGGGCACAAGAGTCCGTTGGTTCACCTGTAGATATGACCGATCGCAATTAGAATCTTCCCAACAAAAACAACATGGAGGTTAGGTCCATCACATACCTGTCGCACCCAGCGCCAGCCGGGAATGGCCTGCTCGCGGGAGAATGACCACAGCATCCGACTGCCGGAAGAAATCCCCGCGAGTCCTGCGCACGCTTGCAGAATGGCCATCATACTGGAGAGAACCACGGCGGCGCCCTTACTGCCGGTCGAGCTCGCCAGCATGTACATGAAGGGGTACGAGGCACTGGATTCCACAATCTTCAGCAGGTCTCCAGCGGTGAAGAGGAAGGCAATCAGAATGGCAAAGCCAGTTGCACCGTTGATCATGAGGGCCAACAGCATGGAGCGGGGAACGACCCGGCTGCTGTTGGCGACTTCTTCGGCCATCTGCAAGGAGTTGAGTTAGTGACTGACTCGGACAGCGGTTAAACACCGAGAAGGAAACACTTACATGAACAGCGCCATCCGTGCCTAGTGAACAAAACTGAGTCAGTCCATTATGTTGCAGTCGATTAGACGCGGGAAGTCTGCCTTACCAACAAATGCAGCTACAGTGCCCTTTAATCCGATAAAAGTAGCCAAGGTGAGATCACCCCAGCCACCGTAATCGAAGGATACAGTAAAGATCGATCGCGGATCAGCCTTGGGCCCCAAATAGACCAGCGGAACCAAGACGGCGAAGAAGCCAAGCACATGGACAAGAAGAATAAGCACTTCAATGACCGGTAAGATCATCCCCAGCCAAGTATTCAGAACTGTGCAGACGAGCAAAATCGCCCACATGATCAGCGTGATGTGCCATCCTTTGGGGTCATAGCTGGGGATGTTCATGGCAATGGTGCTCTGCAGAACACTGGCGGCCAGGTAGATGGCGGCTGTGGGGGCAGCCGTCCACGCAATGATGCAGACCGAGCCTGGAATTTTCCTTTGCGTTAGCCAATTCCGACCGCGGTTCGCATATTCGGCACATGGAGTTGCACACATACCAGTGACATGACTGAGAAACTTCCTGGCCGACCTGGGGGCCAAGATGCTCACCCAATGATATTGTCCGCCCGCCTGTGGTGAGAAATTAGGCTCATTCTCAGCTGCAGCAAGTGTCGGACACATACCGAAGGCATCATACTGGCTAGTTCCCCCATCGAAATGAACACGGAAATGATGCCTGCCCATACTCCAAGAAAGCCATACACCAGACCGGCGGGACCACCACTGCACGAAGGTTAACAGACATTTTTCTTTCAGAGGCAAGTTCATTCCGTGGCTGGCCTTACTTGGTGAGTCCCAAGCCAATGTTCCTATTTATCCTATTAGCATGTACAGATTTGACGGGATAAAAAGCAAGGGGGGGAGTGGGGAACCGGGAGGAGGGGTTAAAGAAAAAGAAAATCAAATAATAAGAAAATATCGCATACATTATAACCGCTTCCCAAGTCAGCATCAAGCTGCAGGCAAACCCGACGGTACTCGTCAGACCAAATCGTCGCTAGCAAGGGTAGATCTCAGCGGCTGATGGGAGTAAAATCTCGGGGTAAACACGCGTGTTGGTTACCTTCAACACCTCCTTCTTTCCGACCCTGGCCAGCTCGTAAGCATCGTTGCTGAAAGTAGCCTTACTTGGCGTGCCAGAATCCCGGTTCGTTGGAGCACGCAGCTCGATCGAATGTTCAACATCGCTGTTCCTGGCCATTTTGGGAACTCGTCACGACCTGTCTAAGACGCAGGAAACTAGACAGGTAAGAGAAGGTGTGATTTCGAAGGCATGGATTTTAAGAACTGATTCGGAGTCATTTTATGCAAGCGCGGCCGGATAAAATCCAACGTAGACGGTTAACCCTGCAGGATTGCCACACACACTCCTGGCAATAGACCAATTATCGGTCGGACTACCCGAAGAAGAAAAGGGTCCCTATCCCTATCGGCTGCAGAAAGTATCGTGCGATGATTGGGGGCCAGATGCATCGCAAGTTGGGGGCCGTTATTTCGATATCTGAAGGATGGCTGAGTGTGAGTGAAGGAAATTGCAACGCCAGTGTCTAGCTAGTTAGTCTAGCCTATCGAGAAATGTTCGACTACGAAATTAGACGATCTTGGCTGCCGCGTGTCTCATATGGGCGTAAATTGAAATTGGAACGCGACCAAGCGACTCCGGAGGGAAGAAGGAATGAAGGCTGGCAAGCAGGGGGGGGGGGAGGGTGGAGTTGTGTAGGTGGAGAACAAAACAGGGAGAGGGTGTGCACAACCACAACCACAATGGGACCATCCAACGTCAGCCCTAGTCTACAGTAGAGTAGATACCTGTCCATCTTGTTCGGGTTGGCCGGAAAAGCCCGCCCACCACCATCACCAACACAGCACAAACCAAGAAGCAATTCAGCCAAGGCAGCTCGGCTACTCAAGCAGTCTTGGCCACAAGCAGTGAGACCGAGACAGCCAACCGTCTCACATGTATTGACTGCTGTTTCCCCATCGGGGTTAGATATTCCTGCAGAGGGCAGAGAAGTGCGGCCACTAAGGAATCCAGGCGGAGGGGCGCAGAGCCATAGTGCGACGCTTATAGGCTGATGGCCTTGGCGATCATCGGGTCTCCCCGACTAAACTTTCCGGGCGGCACGCGCCAGCCCCAGTAGTATCCAGTGTTATCCAGCGTATCCTGTCTGTCCGGTGTGTCTCCAGTGTCTCCAGTGCGACCCGTGCTCCTTCTCCGCCCGCGTGCGTGCACAGCATGTTTGCTGCTGGGCTGTGTATGGGGCTGTTCACGCACTGCTCACAAGTCGGATCTGCCTCCTCTTCAGTCTGGTCTTATTTAACTTATATGCCTAAAATCGGTCAATCACGATCAGCTTCGTAGCCAGCCAAAATCCTTCACTACCTGTGCCTTGGAATCCGATTCGGTACCATGAAGGTTATTTTGTTTCAAGCCTGAAAAGCCATGACAGACCATTCCGCAGCAGTCAAGGTCGTGACATGCTTCCTCCTCATCGTCTCGTTCATCGCAGTCGTAGCCTGTTTGACGACAAACTGGCAGGTTCTGAGGAGGAAGGTGTCTAGTGTGGCGCTCCTTTTGAGCACTTTGGTTAGCTAGCTCTCTCAGATAACGTGTCATCGTGCCCTTTGTATAGTAAAACTGACTGCCAGTAGATCGCATCGATTGCCTCCGGGGCAGCTGTATCCGTCGCTGCAACTCATGGCTTGGGACAGGCTTCCCCCCTCACAGACGGCCAGGTGGTCGTCATGCAGAAGGCCCTCTATTCCATGGAGGTGCTGTATGTTTTGACTCTGGGACTGGGAAAGCTATCTGTCATGGTTCTCTTTTACAGTCTGCTCTCGTCGACAGGCCAGTCGAAGTCCGTCCTGGCAGCGACGGGTCTACTTCTAATATGGGTTGTGGTGATGGTCATTGTGGTATGCCTGCAATGCCATCCACCCGAAGTTTGGAACATCGTCGGCGGAACGTGTCTTGACTTGGTAAGTAAAATGCGATGCGATAACCCCAACTAAGAAAACATTGCTAATGTATACAAGTCCGGGATTTGGATAGCATTCGGCGTCATGAACGTCTTGGTCGAGATCATGATTATCGCAGTTCCGTCCTTCATCATCTTCCGTCTGAAACTGAGTCTGAAAAGACGCTTGGTCGTCATAAGCTGCTTCGGCATCCGGATCCTGTATGTCGCAAAGCCAGCACCGAGTCTTACACTTCTAACCTTTTGTCTAGGGACATCGCGGGCAGTATTGTACAGCTATGCTACGTCCGTAATTTCAAGATCCACGCCGACTCCCCAATGCCGACCAATGTTTGGCAATGGGCGATTTGCAGTCAAGTGCTTCAAACAGTGGCTATCTTATCTGCCTGTGTGCCATACCTTCGAGAGTTCCTGGAGTCGTTCCCCAGTGGTATGTTCAAGCCGACTGAACTCAAACATCCTACGGTGCAGTCGGCATACAATGCAACCAAATGTTCGGACAGTGATATAGAATTAATGAGGCCGGAATCAACAAAAGATACTTAGTTTAATTAATTGACTTGAATTTCACAACTAAATACATAAATCTTCTCGTTGTATCATTGATCCCTTGTATTATCCCGCTTGACCATTTACTTGCTGATAGCAGCAACGGTAAGCTCGTCCATCTGACGGACGTTGGCGTCAGCAGCGGCACGCTCGACGTTGTTGGTGGTAGGGAGGGCGAGAGCCACAGCCGAGAGGGCGACGAGGAGGAGAGTAGCGGCACGCATTGTGTAAGATGTGGATGTTTGGAGAAGGGTTGTCTCGGAGGAGAAGCAGGAGTCTGTCACAGAGATTTGTTAACCCAAAGGAACCTGTAGAACTTGGTGTTCCATCAAGACCAGGTGAGCATACCTTTGCTTGGGAGGATTGGGAGTATGAGACTTGAAGACTTGAGAATTGCTGCTGAATGAACGAGGAGCGAGGGGGGCTTCGAGGGGATTACATAGGAACCAGCAGCGGAGGACCGGCAAGGTCCGAAGGCAATTGATCCGAGGTGGGATAGAAGCAGTCCGTCACATAGTGGAGCCTCAGATAGACAGGATTCCCAGTTTGCGACGCTACTATCAACCGGTGTGCCGTGCTGACCAGCCTTGCATTAGCTTCAGCTCTTTCATGCAATGTGAACCCACATCGCCGACAGCCCCATTGCCGGAATCGCATGATGTGTTCCGGAGCCGACGTTCCATCAGTATTGTGACAAATGTGACAAGGACTCGGTGTTTAAAGTCTGAGCATTGCGTTGACCCCCGACGCCCCTCCGGCTGCCAAACCCCTCCATGCTCCTTCCCCCCTCTCACAATGTATTCCTACGAGAAAGTCAACCGTGACGACGACAGCGACCAGGGGCTTCTGGCTGAGGACTCGGAGAGAGTCGCACCTCAGCCCAGAGTCTCTAGGTTCCCTAGCTGGACGAACGCCTTGCTGCTCTTGGGGCTCTTGTTTTCGCTATCGCTGAACGTGGGATGGTTTGTGTTCCAGAAGGGCCACAATGTTCCCATCCAGGACTTGGATCCTGATGCGGCCATGGCAAAACAGCGTTCTCCTTACAGTACGTACTTATCGCAAAGGTCACTATATGGGGTTTCATCTCTAACATTGTTTCCAATGACCAGCCGGTCTCGCATGGGATACTCACAAGCCTTACTCCCACCACTCCGAGTATACTAGCGAGAACGCGACCCATGCGGATGAGATGTGGGAGAGCCTGAGCATGGACCCCATGGTTATTGCTCCTACTTGGGAATGGGCTCAGAGCAAGGGACTGTCCGATTCTTGGGCTTTCCCTTGGGATTCGAACCGGAGGATCTACTTCATCAAGGTGTTCCATCAACTCCACTGTCTGGTGAGTCAAATTCGCAGCATTCATAGTCAAAACAGATGCTGAAATTCTACTTTTATCTACTAGAAACTCATGCGCCACTCGTACCATGAGCTCTGGTCCGGACAAGAGAGCTCGATCCCCGCTCCTCATATCGAACACTGCCTCGATTCCCTGCGACAGGATCTGATGTGCAAGGCCGATGATACCCCCATGCCATCTCTTCAGCTGCTGAATGGTGGTGGAGAAGGACAACAAATGCAATGCAAGGACTTCGATAAGCTGGTAGCCTGGTCAAAGGCACCGGAACGCAATGCTTGCTACAAGCGACTGACCGACTACAAGCCGATCGTCCATAGCATTGAGCGCTATGCCTTCTGTCCTGAGGATAGTGAGCACTACCCGACGATGAGCAAGTATTTCGAGGAACACGGACATTATGCCGATCCTTTTTCGGAATAGACAAGGGCGAGGCTGATTTGGATCGGTTGGGGAGGGTGAAAAGCAGCCAAGAAAGGCCAGCCGAGGGGAGGAGGGGAAAAGGGCCTTTTAGCGCCGAAATCCCTAGTCAGCACCTAATTTAGTCTATTTAGCTTCAATGCAACTAAGAAAGTAGCACCGTTTAGTGGCCAGTAACTCTGCAAGCCCCCCTGCAAGCCCACTGGGGGCCAAACGGTACCACCTTCTTCTTCCTGTTAGCCCATTTGCGTGGCCTGAGTGGACAAAGTACTTTATCTGCTTATCTGCTTACTGTCAAAGGAGCATCAAGCCTGATCAGCCTCGGTCTGAGCGCAAACCCTTCTCTCGTCCGATCTTCCCCTCCATTCCTTTCGTCCCGTCCCTTTTTTTTTAATCACACATCGGCTCCCTTTCATCGCCTGTCTTCCTTTCCTTTCCATTAACTTTTCACCAATCCTTCTACCTTCTTATTGGTGGTTATTTAACCCGTCCATAAGCATGGATGAGGAAGATGGCCATTGCAAAGAGACCGAGGTCACCGTCCAGTCGACGAGCCCCGTGGACTCGGCCGATTATGATCCTTTCGACCCCCAAACCCGCTCCACCACGTATAAGTGGATCACCGTCGTCCTTGTCGCGGGATTATCAACCATGGTGTAAGATTGATCTCCCATAATTCTAAAGGTCAAGGCTTCTGACTGTTGCGCCCGGGAAAGTCAGCTGTCCACCATCATAGCTGCCCCTGTCTCCCCGTCCATCTTGGCTCATTTTCATTCCGACAATGCCCTCTACCGCACCCTCATTGTTTCCATCTGGGAACTCGGTAAAATCGTAGCACCGTTACTATGGGGCCCGCTTTCTGAGTTGTATGGCCGACAATGGCCTCTGAATATTGCCAACCTCTTCTTCGTGGCCTTCTTGGCTGGCACTGCCGCCAGTACCAGTATCCAGATGCTGATTGCATTCCGGTTCCTGAGTGGTGCGGCGACTGCAGCATCAGCCATCGGTCCTGGCATTGTCAGCGATCTCTTTCCAGAGGAAAGTCGCGGACGTGCCATGTCTATTATGTCCTTGACCGGTGCATTGGGACCAGTAGTAGGCCCCATCATCGGCTCCTATCTGGGTGAAAAAGCCGGATGGCGATGGGCATTCTGGTTACCGACCATTGCTACGGGTACTCTGTCCCTGCTCATTCTTGTTGTGTACCGTGAAACGTACAGCGTCACTCTCCAAAAACGCAAAGCTAGACAGCAGAGCCCCGAGAGTGGTTCCAAGAGTCCCGAGGATACAGACAAGACGGCCAGTCAAGTATTTTTCAAAGCTATTCTCCGGCCACTTCGTCTGCTCATCCGGTCCCCCATGCTGATACTAGTTACCTTCTACCTCAGCGTGGTCTACGGGTACACCTACCTGGTGATGACAACCATTGCACCGCTGTTCCAGGATGTCTACGGCTTCTCCGAAGGAGCATCCGGCCTAGCCTTCCTCGGACTGTGCCTTGGGCTTATTCTGGGGGCTTTCCTTTGCAGCTTTCTGCTAGATCGCTATGTACGCACAGCCAGGGCACGGTCCGGCACCTCTAAACCAGAGCAGCGCCTTCCTCCCGTCCTGATTGCATGCTTCGTCATGTCAGGCGGCCTTTTTCTCTTTGGCTGGACTGCACAGTATCATGTCCAATGGATTGCACCAATTATTGGTACGGGCATTATTGGGTTTGGACTAGTGTCTACCACCATCACCTTGCAGACTTACGTCGTGGACCTTTTTGGCATCTACGCCGCGAGTGCTACGAGCGCAATGCTGGTGCCCAGAAATGCCTGCGCCGCATTCCTGCCCCTTGCAGGGCCACCACTGTTTGACCGCCTTGGATACAACTGGGGCGGGACTCTACTGGCCCTGATTGTATTGGTGTTCTCGCTCATGCCCCTAATCTTTATCAAGTATGGCGAGAGATTGCGGGGAAAGAATCTACTTGATGATTGAGATGTCTCGGAATTTGTATAGTACGTTTAGTATGACAAAAGTATTAACATGATGGTAATGAAACTGCTTGGGAATGATCTCATTTTGAAGAAGTATCTGCTGTGCATACACTACTCTCCAGGGCTGGATCCGACGCACGACTAGTATATACCCGTCTAGGAAGGCTTTGCGGGGACCGATCTCAGATGGGCAGAATGACGGGCCCTGAATGCTAAATGCTATATAGGCAACAACACCTCGATCTGGATATACAGTATCCAGCTTGTTTAACGCATGATATCTGGATACGTACTTGATGTTCTACAAAGGTCGATGGCCTTCCCGTCCCGTCCTAAGGAACTCAATCTGGCTCTGGGTATCCCTGTGGGTCTCCGAAATCTGGAGCGCCCTGGCTGCATTCTTCATCAACATCATGGAAAAAAAGAGAGAATTGAAGCTGTGATGTGGGCCATGTCCATAAACTTGAACATGAAGACAAATTGAATGCATTAAATTCGAAACGTAATCATTGACTTGCCCGTATTCATCACCCCCTAAAATAATTGAACACTCGCAAAATTCGCTTCCTTCAGACATCATCGGCAGTTCAAGGTTCTACTGGGACACCAGCGTCGCCAGATCCGTATCGATGGAGCGGTAGAACCCCAAGGCCGAGATCATAGGCTTATCGTCGAAACGGTAAAGGTACACGGTCTCCCCCTCAGCCGCAATATGCCGATACTTGTACCAGGACGGCACGCAGAACGTGTCCCCTGTCTCCCATACAAGAGTCTTGTCCCCAATTTCCGAGCATCCGCTTCCCGCGATAACATGGTAGACCGCGGAGGTTGTCTCCTGCCGGGGTAGGGAAGATGTACCAGCGTCGACCCGTTCGGCACTACCGCCTAGAACACGACTCACTACACATTAAGCCTGTCAGCCAAAGGCGTACCTATGTTATATTGCAAAGCAGAACCAACAGGCGGGCTAATCATACCTTCGCTACCATCAGCCCTAAGATATCGCCTCACAGCCCAGGTACCCGGGGCCATATCCAGCTCCGCCTTCATCTTGTCCCACGGGAATACAATGGGTGAGGTCGCGCTATCAACATCCTCCGCAGGGTACCGCGGTTGATCATAGTGATCGACAAAATGCACAGGGAAGTGGCGGAAATTAGGTAGATCCAGACCGTCCAGCCAGATCATAGGCCCGGTTCCGTCCTTCCCGTGGTCGTGGTAGTTCCACGTCGGGGTGAGAATCACGTCGCCTTTCTGCATCTTGATCCTCTTGCCATGCACAGCAGTAAACCCCCCATTGCCTTCGATAATATACCGCATTGCGAACGCGGTATGACGGTGGGCGGGGGCTGTCTCATTGGGCATTACGAGTTGGAGACCTGCGTAGAGCGTATCGGTTGTGTATGGTGCATCTAGTAAGAAATAAGATGGAATTCAGCGTCATCGTCAAGCCGTGCATTGGGAAGGAATACTATATACCTCTAGCGGGGTTGACAAGCATGAGCACTCTCCTCTCAGCCTGTTTCTCGGTGACGAGTTCGCCGGCGCGAAGCAAGTTTGGACGGATGCTATCATATCTCCAAATGAAGGGTACAGCTGTTGGATTAGGCTCTGGCGGGTTGAGTCTGGTCATCTGCGTCCATAGTGGCAGAGTCTTGCTCTCCTTCAAGTCTTGTAGAAGCTGCTCTGCGCTGTCTGCGCCGTTCGACCCGGTATTGCAAGCTGATGGAGACATAATGGGAGTGCGAAAGTGTCGAGATCTAGCAGTTCAAGGTATTCTGGATTAATTTAATTTAAGCATGGCCCATCCGTATTAGTATATGTACGTCGATTTAGAAGCGACATCACCATGTTCTGTAACTCGCGCCTTCGATCGTGCCGGGGCGGGGAAAGATCGGAAAGGGGACGGTTGACGGGGAAGGATCGGGAACGCCGGAATAGTAACGTGTTTTGGACCTTTTCCCAGCTGTAAACAACCAATGTTTTGCTGGTTTAATAGATCGTGTCGCTACTACCCTACTTAGGTCTGATTGCTGTGTGTACACAATAGATATTTGTCTTTCCGTCCTGCAAGAGGGACCGCACGCGCGCGACACCGTGTACAACGGATTGAGCGAGAGTGTCAAAGTTGAAGGCCACCGTATCTACGGCAGACCTCAATATCACGAATATTGGAATGGCTTCCAGGCGGATGAGTGCGCAGAGCACGATTGCGGACCTCAGGGTTAGGCATCCTACTTTGGCTGCTAGAAATAGCACACCTCGCCTGTCTAACAAAACTCCAGGTCCCGGACTACCCCAGCAACTGCCTCCAATTCACGCAGCAGCTCACGGCATCTACCACGCAAACTCTTCCACAGAAAGATGCGTCTGTTCGTCTGAATATCATTCTCGCTGGTGCTGGATTGGGAGGCCTCGCAACAGCAATTGCCCTCGCCCAAGCCGGCCACGCGGTAAAGATCTACGAACAGACTCCCGTCCTCGGAGAAGTGGGCGCCGGTATTCAAATCCCATCCAACTCAACACGCATCCTGTTCAGCTTAGGGCTACAGTCGTACTTAGAGCCATACGTAACGGCGCCTGAATCGATCTCGTTTCGGAGGTGGCAGAACGGCAAGGTCATCGGCCTGACGAAGCTTATCCCAAATTTCGTCAACGATTTCAAAGCTCCGTACTACGTGATCCACCGGGCCGACTTCCATTCAGCTCTATGTCAAAAGGCTCTTGATGTCGGCGTGGAAATAGAACTGGGCGCGAAAGTTGTCGATTATGATCCGATTGTCGGCAGCATCACGCTTGCCGACGGGACGAAGCACTCGGCAGACCTCATTGTTGCGGCGGATGGTTTGTTTCTCGACTTTTGGGATAAAACAGCTGATACCACGGCCGAGACCGCTAACTGCTACCAGGTATAAAATCTGTCGCTCGAAATGTTGTCCTACAAGGGGATGAGATGTGTTTCCAGGGACCTGGTTTCGCTGCCTACCGTGCGGTCGTCGATGTGGGTAAGATGAGAACGGACCCTGACCTGTCATGGATTCTAGAAAAGCCTGCTCTGAATATATGGTATTCCTTCCTCTCCCTCTCAAACAGAGTCCCTGGTATTATGATTTGCTTATTGTTGCTGCGCTAAATGCGCATTTTAGGATTGGAGACTCCAGGCACGTCATGACATACACGATCGGCGCTGGGAAGGCTTTCAATATGGTCCTATCACATCCGGAAATGACCGACCCCGGTACTTGGAAACCGGAGACGGCACTCGAAGACATGAAAGCGGAATTTCAGGGCTGGGATCCAATGTAGGTGACCTACCACTTGGTTCGATCCGAAGCGCCCTCAGCACTCTAAACTCAGTTGGATAGACTCTCAAAAATCATCGGCATGGTTGAGAAGACCGTCAAATGGCCTTTGCTCACCGGGACGTTACTCAAAAACTGGACCGTTGGAAAGCTCGTTATCCTCGGCGATGCTGCCCATGCTATGGTACCATACATGTCGCAAGGTTGGTTGAGCCATCCATTGCCCATTGCTATCGTCGATGGAGTTACCAATATACAGATACATACCGGAAGCTAACCCTTCACTACCCAGGCGCCGCAATGGCAGTAGAAGACGGCATAGCCCTATCCCGCTCCTTGTCACACATGACCTCCAAAGACCAGTTGCAGAAAGCTCTGAGTATTTTCCAGGAAGTGCGAAAGAAACGCGCCGGCCATATGCAGGAGGCGAGCCTGCTGAACGGGAAATTGTGGCATTTCCCAGACGGATCCTTGCAGCAAGCGAGAGACGAGGCGATGGCGCCTGAAGTGCAAGGGATCCCATTCAGTCATAGTCCAAACCAGTGGAGCGATCCGGCGACGCAGATGTGGTGCTATGGGTATGATGCTGAGGAGGCGATCGATATTGCTTGGATGGAGAGTCTGGAGGCGCGGGTTGATTGTGTTCATTAGGAGTCTAGATTTCCGCAGGCTGTTATGCAGAAGAATCAATTTTTTATACTTAGGTTCCCTATGAAAATTGCTACTCTTTGGCAAATTAGCGATTTTATCTTGTCGTTGGGTGTATAATATGGGGCAACGCAAACTTTTGACATACTAACTAGTCACTGTACCGGAATGTTTTGGCTATTTTTGGCCACACCGACTGTGGAACCGGGGTAAGTGGGTCACGTGATTTGACCGCCTTCTCCGGATTTCCCACTCTTTCCCCGACCGTTCCCAAGTACTCTCCGCATCTACGCTTCATCGGCCCTCCAGACTCAGAGACACGTTGGAGTGGCATGATCCTCATTTTGGATCTACTACTTTTACCCGCTAGACCAAAATGGATTTTGCTCCCGAGCTGCCGACTCCGCAGGGCCAGTCAGTCAAACGCCGTCGTGTGGCTCTAGCCTGCGATGCATGCAGAACTAGAAAATCAAGGGTATGATTTCTTCAGACTTCAAATAACTTGTCATACGTTATCTCTTGTAGTTGTAACTCTTAAAACTATGGCAGTGCGATGGCCGCCGCCCCAAATGTGGAATGTGCGAAGACCTAGGCTTCGAGTGTGCCTATACGCCGTCGACAAGTACCACAAATATAATCGTGCAAAAAGAGTACGCCAACAATCTGACCATGACCGACATCATGCCATACCCCTCACGAATTTGGCTAATTTGTTCAGTTATCTGAGAGACCTTGAAGAGCGCGTTAAATCGCTAGAAACCAGCATGGCCACCGTCAAGTCTGATCTCTCTGGCTTTGCGTCGCAAATTAATGGAAGCATGCCTGATGCCCCTAGGAAGGAGAATCCCTTGAGTGACCAGGGTGAACGATTTTCCGACTTTGCTGGCACCGAAGACACAATCGATGCCATGGGCGCTGTTGCATTTGCCGACGAGGAAGATTGTGGGTTTTTTGGTACGTTCCCTATCCTTATAGAAATATAGACAAATACAGCTCATACCGGTTTAGGTCCCTCATCGAACATTGCCTTCCTCCGCCATCTCTCCTGTGCAGTGGCACATAGCGCAAGCGCGCAGAAGGAAATCACCTCTCCTCCGTTGGATCGCGTCGCTTACGACGGGGGCTTTGTCAGTGCTACACGACCTTCATCCCCTTCTCATGATCAGCGGCCCGATAGTATCGATGACGAGAAGTTTGATAAATTCGCGCTGCCGCCTCCCGAGGAGTCATTAGCGCTCATCCATCGTTATTTTGCCGATACTGGGCTTCTCTTCCCTTATATCCATCCGCCTACATTCTTCGAAACCTACGCTGAACTCAAGGACAATTCAAAGCGGGTCCGACGCACATGGCTTGGCTTGCTGAACATAATACTTGCCATGGCGAAGCTAACAGCTGTTTCGGGGACGACATCTGCAGAGACGGGAATTAGCGAGTCAGCTATTTATTATCACCGGGCGCTGAGCCTCTGCAAGGGAGAGATTTTACGCGGCACGACACTAGAAGTTGGTAGGTACAGCATCTATGCTCCGGTTAGGGCTCGAGTGCTCTTGTATTTGCCTGCCACTAAGATCAACACAGTGCAGTATCTCCTGGTCATGGGCCAGTATCTTCAAGGGACGCAGAAGTCTGTTCAGGCGTGGACAATCCATGGGTTAGCCGTGAAGGCTGCACTTCAACTCGGGCTTCATTCAAAGGGCGCCTCGAGGGCTTTCACCCCGCTGGAACAAGAGGTCAGAAAGCGAACGTGGTTTGGATGTGTCGTTTTGGATCGGTAAGTACCTTTCGCGGTTCCCGCAGTAAGATCTATTCCTTTCTAATTGCTTCGTGTCAGGTCCTTGAGCATGACTTTTGGACGCCCGGCGGCAATTCCGGACTGCTATGTGAAACTCGACCTACCTGCATTCCAAGGACGCAGCGAGGTCCTTTCGATAGGCAACGAAACCGATGCCCATAACAGCATTAGGTTCTTCAACGCCACAGTGTTCGTGCTAATCTTTTCCTCCTCAACCGGAAAACAATTCAGCAGGCTAACATCAAGATCAGCACACTGTACAAACAAATCGCTAACATTATTGATCGTATATATGGGCAAAATCTCGGATGCGATTCTCCCTTATCCATAGGTGAAACAGTCGGCCGTGTCCTCGGCATAGAAAACCAACTCTTCTCCTGGGTATTAGGACTCCCGGAGAGTCTCCGCCAAGTGACGGTCCAAAGCATGCGAGAGGAGATCGAGCGCTCAGAAGTAGGAGACGAGGGCCATCACAAGCTCTATCCGCTGAAGTTTCGTATCATTCTAACACTGCGATATTTCCACGTCCAAATTCTACTACATAGGCCTATCCTCGTCAAGTTCCTAGACGCAACAGGGCCTTCCGGACTCGAAGCAGGCGAGGTCAAGCTCCTGAATGACATCGGCTACAGTAGCATGAATAAATGTATCGACTCGGCAATGGGCATCATCGACATCATCCATGAACTCGTTTCGACTACCGGTTGGCAGAAAGACCTTCTTGGCGCTTGGTGGTACTCGTTATACTATAGTATGTCACCTACCCTATATCTGATTGATTGCCGTGTTCTTTGCTTCTCTTTCTGGCTGCTGGCTCTAAATCTACTCCCCTCAACTAATACTGGACCACAGCATTCAATGCCGCCTTGGTTATCATTGGAGCCATGTGGGTCCAACGAAACAGGGACACGTCTGAGGACCCAGTCAACAATGGAGGGGACAACAACATGGATATCTACCTAAGCCGCGCTGTTTCAACATTGCAGAACCTGAACGTTGGAAACCGCATGGTGGACCGCTGCAAATACTATCTGGACCAGCTAATCACTTTGCTGGGTCTACAAGGTAAGGTTTCCAATTCCATCCACTCAAAAAAGAAAATAAATACAGCGCTAATCTGAGTGTCACAATAAACAGCGGACAGAATCGCGGAGATCGGGATCATCTCGGGCATGAACAATCCGGTGGCAGGAAATTCAACCACCGGCTTCGATTTTCCCTCTCTTGGTATCGAATGCGGGGAGTTTATGATAGATGACTTCTTTCCAGGCTTTGCCCGGGGATCGGGGTTTGGACGGTGGTAGGGAGGGGGCGCCCCGGGTTGGGGGGTTGGGTTTCAAACCAGTTTTTCTCTGCTCCCAGCTCCTCTTATGATAAGGCGCATGCGAAAAAGTTACATGTGAAAATAGCTAAGACCTGAGGATGAATCGATATCGGGGAAGGTCCCGGCGAGGTTTTAGACTCGCCTAAATACCAAGCAAGGGGACAAGCAACGAAAGAATCCTTAAGACCGCAATTGGTTAACTATGTAAGTTAGGTACTCATTACCTCCGCCTCATGCAATCCACCAAACTGCTCCTCCCTACTAAAGACGTGCGGCAGATAACGGAACTTCACTCCCATCCACCCAACTCCCATGCAACCCCGGCCTCAGTCGCACAGGAAGGAGAATCTTCGCCCTCGCCCGCGTGAAATCAGCCGTATCGAGCAAATGCAACTCACTCGACATCGAGTCATAGTTGTTCACCAGCGCCAGGAGATACCCATCCCCTTCAGCAGCCGACTCGCTACGGGGGATAAAGACGGGCTCTTGAACCATATGCGTCTTCCCAGAGAAATATACCTCTGTTTTTCCCGTAACATTATCAAAATGCGCAAGCGAGTTGTACAGCGGGTATCCACCGCCGAGCACAGGTGCAATCCGCGCAAAGTCTGTGCCGAGGCTCGGGTCCATCATGTCGAAGAAGACATGTCGATGAGGCTTCGTGGCGTAGCGATCATCGATGCGGTAGAACTCTGAGTTGTCCATCTGAAGGATGCGTGGTTCGGTGAGGTTCAGATCTTCGGCTCGTGGGTTGATCGTGAAGCGGACAAGTTGGGAACGGATCGAGCTGGGCTCTGGTGCGTTTCCTTGCGCGTCGGGCCACCAGAAGAAAACATTCTTCTCGCTTAGCCCGAGATCGATGATGAGGTTGCCGCTCGAGTCTTCATGTGCGTTTGCGGTGTGCCCCGGGAATGAGTTCTTGTACTGGAACCACTGCACCCAGGAGTATTAGCAGGCGCGATGAAATTAAAGCGGCTGCGGATACCTACCTTGACATCCGTAGTCTTTGCTCCGCGGCGCGGTATGACGCCTAAATACAGCGGCGTTTCGGGGCTCCATTGCCAATGCTCGCCGCCTTGCTTCATACGTTCGATGTCACACAACTGCGGGATGATTGGGAAGATAACCTGTTGGGATATTAGCATTGCTTCCACTCCCCTGTCCAGTGGAACGGGACGAGGGAGATTGATTGCTGAAACGCACCCAGTTGTCCGTCACCGCGAAATCATGAATCATCGCAACAACAGGTGCGACCAGCCAAATGACCTCGGTAAACTTCCCATCGGGGCCCACAGTGTAGTAGCAGACGTCCGGGGTCCCATCGCCCCGAGCTTCGTAACCAAAACAGATCATCTCGCCCGTCTCCGGGTCGAACTTTGGATGCGCAGTAAAGGTCATACTAGGTAGCTGGCCGTCAAAGTCGTAGAGACCCTTTGTCTCGAGTGTGACCGGATCCATCGCGTAGGGGGGCGAATCCTCCTTCAGCGCGAGGAGTTGCCCGTTGAAGTACACGATGTTTGTATTAGCGGTGCTGCGGACTTTGAACTCGACGGCGTCGGTAAATTTGTTGCGGTATTTGCCTTCAATAGACCAGAGGAATAGGGTCAGCTGTGCTGTGCACACCCTCCGTGGCTAGCTTGCTCAACATGATATAGAAAAGGCGGGACTACCAACCGATCAGCGCTCGTTGAGCCTGGCGCTCCCGGACAAACTTCTCCGTCCTCACATAGCGTTGCTGGAAGGAGACTCTGCCGTCATGGAATCGAAAGGCAGTGATGTTACCGTCACCGTTGAACCACTGTATCGTCATTGGCTTACTAGTTCTCACACGCGCAGGAGATGAATGTTGGATCACTTCACTCACAGGATCGTTCTCGATAAACGGGGGTAGCTGAGGGTCAGGCATCACCCTGTAGAATACACCATCAATGTCTGTAGGGAGGTCTCCCAAGACCTCCAGATTCAGGGTTTCGCCCTCGACACGGCACGGCTTCATAAAGCCGGAGAACTGGGGGCAAGCTGGAAAGGCCGTGGTTCTAGTTTCAGTCATGGCTGCAATATGTGTATTTCCTACTCAAGGAACAGAACTAGGGCGTGAGATGTCGCTGGATCGTTGGACCAAGAGGTATGCGTTGTGCTGCAGAAGACTAGACTCGAATCCGCCTTTATATCAGGGCCTGAGATAGAAACCACCGCTTCTCCTCAGGGTTTGACCATCATCACTAAAAGTGGACCGTAACTTCGGCACTGGTGGAAAGCCGCAGAGTAATGATCGGCCGTGACTACCTGGTCGTGAAGCCAATGAACACTAAGAATCCCCCCGCCTCTCGGGCTTTGGGTCATCGTTGCAAAAGGTGGACCGCAACTTCGGCACTGGTGGAAAGCCGCTGAGTAATAATCCGCCATGACTACGTCCGCCTTTCCGATGCTCCCCCGGTTAGGGCAAAATTGACCCGACCACTCCCCGTGCTAACCCCGGCGCTGGAACTATTATGCGTTTGAGGGCGGCCACCTCGATTTACTTGATATTCACCGAGCCTGTTTCTCCCTCTGTTTCCTATACGCTGTTATAACTTGAAGAACGCCCGTCATGTCTCTCCCCTGGAAGCGTCTGATTCGCTTTCAAGCCTCGGATGGCCGCATTCTGCGCGGCGAGCCTATTATCCCGGCAGCGGGAGAAACCGACCTAGGGCTGATCACCGAGGTCGATGGTCTTCAAGCCAAAGTGCTTAGCGGAAGCGACATTTACGATGTGACCGGCAAGACCCAGGTGACAGACGAGGTCGTGACGGTGAAGCGCATCCTCTCGCCACTCGCACAGAGTGATGTACCCATCATGCGATGCGTGGGTCTCAATTACGCCAAGCATAGTATGGACGACTTTCTCCTCGGATCTATCCAAGTGCCTATGTACCAACCTGACATGAACATAAACAGTCCGAGAAGCCGGGCGCAAGCCCCCACCGTTTCCGTTTATTTTCTTCAAGCCGAATACCTGCGTTCATGATCACGGCGAGCCGGTTGTGATACCAAGGATCGCACAGAATGACCAGGCGGACTACGAAGGTGAGCTGGTAGGTATCTCTGAGAGCCTCCTGACCATTGAGTATGTCGGAATGCCGTTTCTTACTTACTCAGTATCCTTCTACTATTTTTAGTGCATAGTAATCGGAAAAGATGCCAAGGACGTCCCAGTCGAGTCCGCGCTCGACTACGTCGCAGCCTACACAGTTGGAAATGATATTTCCTCCCGGAAGCTTCAGCGTGATCCCACGTATGCCGGTGTCGTCCCTCAATGGGGGTTCTCGAAAGGCTTCGATACATTTGCGCCGCTGGGGCCCGTTCTAGTTGCTGCCTCCGAAATTCCTGATCCATCTCAATTACAACTGACAACGACCGTGGATGGAGAGGTGAGGCAGCAAGAATCTGTCGGGGATCTTCTGTTTGATTGCAGGTACTTGATCTCGTACTTGTCTCAAGGGACTACACTTCAGAAGGGGAGTGTCATTATGACGGGAACTCCTGGAGGTAAGGGGAAATTCTACTGCTAAATATCTATGTTGAAACATGAGTAAGAGCATTGCTGACTGGGACTCAGGTGTCGGCGCTGGATTTACGCCTCCAAAGTGGTTGGTGCCTGGGACTCAAATGGATGTGCATATTTCGGGTATAGGGACGTTGCGGAACAATGTTGTCTTTGCGTAGAACGGGTCGAACTGTTGACGTTAAAGAATTTGATAGAGACAACGCATTTTCATGGAAATAATACCAGTGTATGTTCCACGTTTGTCGCGCACCATGTGCGGAACTATCAAAACATCATTTATCGATCTCAATTACAACATTTGGACCGGTTCCGAGCTCAAAATCCTCGCGATGTTGTACCAAAGGGTTCTATGGAAGTGCTGCGAAATCTCATTACTGCTTCAAATCGTTTCAGGGGGACAGACTCTGCTCACACACCGAGCTAGCAATTGTCGAGACGACGTAAACAGTACGGCTCATACATCACTAACTGTAGTCGGACTAGTATGATGTACATTTTTTTATAGCACCTAGTACACATCTATCGCCACAAGGCCCGGTCTCGTCGGCGGCTTCAAGTCCCCCAAGAATATAGATCCAAGAAGCCATTTATGCCGCGCACTATCCGCGGCGACCTCAAAGCGAGGACTGGTCTTGGTATACCACTCCCTACCCCCATTGCTCATAGACGTGATTGCCAGATCATCGGCCTCGAATACAGACTTCATAGTATCCTGGCTTGCCCTCCCATAGCCTTCATTAGTAATTCCAAGCATCGTCCCGTCATCCGCTTGTATGGTGTATCGAGCGTAGACATGGATCACCCCGTCCGGACGGACCGCGTTCCAGTCCCCGCTGCTGTTCGCCAGTATCTTGCCGTTGAGTTTTGGGCCCACGACGACTCATCCTCCGGTGATGGGGATGAATCTTCGATCGCCCGAGAACGTCACGCCAAAGCCGACCGCCGGGGCTAGGTCGACCTATGAGTTAAGGAATATGCGAGGAGTGGAAGAGTTGGCATCGGAAAATAAGGACGAGACGAGAAGCGGCCGCCGCAATCTGGGAGGAAAGGTCAGCAACTGACGAGGAGAAAAAAGAAAACGGTCGTGATGTCTCTCCAAGGAGGCTTAGCTTCTATTCTTTAGCTAGTGCTACTCCTCCATTGCTGCGCGGCCTAGCAACATTTTCGGGGAGGCGGGGAAAGATCGGTAGACTCAGCTTTAAGCCCTCCGCGCCGGGGTACCCCCGGATCCCCGCAGTCTCAGCTCGCCCACGGAGTATAATGCAGTTCTTGGCTCTTGCCTGGAGTACGTAGTACGTACGCCAGTTAACACTTGAGTCTCCAATCGAAATTGTCGCGCCCATCTGCCCCCTTTGGCATACAACCATCTCCCCCTTTCTTTTTGTGTATGGCCGCTGGTACTAGCGACGTTGCCTTAAGATCTGACCTAGTCTGCTCTCGACAGGGGTCCGCTTCTATACCATTCTTCCCTACCCTATCAGTCTCTTTCTCTTGACTGACCACCACGGCAACCTGAACGATGCCTACCCTGAGCCATCGGGGTCTTCAATTGATCTCAATCCCTACGGATGATCCGGGTGATCCTCTTCGCTGGCCCAGCTGGCTCAAATTGTCTGTCATACTCTCGACGTCCTTGGCCAATTTTGTCTCCAACATGGGTGGTGCTGGATTGTCCGTTGCCGTCCCGGTCTTGATGCAGCAGCTCCAGCGTTCCCAAGAAGAGGTAACCCAGCTACTCACGGTACGCAGTTCATATAACCTGGAAACCCACGGGTATAAGCACAGTCTCCTGACTTAACCTGAATAGCTTAACTTTCTGTTCCTGGGCATTGGCAATATCTTCTGGGTCCCGCTTGCGGTCAAGTTTGGCAAACGTGCATCGATTATATCCTCGATGCTGCTTCAGGCAGGGGCCCTGGTGTGGTGTGCGGTAGCTACGGGCTATGACAGCCTCTTGGGCGCAAGATGCGTTCTTGGATTTGCTGCTGCTGCTGGCGAAGTAAGAAGCCGCTCCCATAAAGATTTACCTAGTCTTATCACCTGGATACCCCGAATTGACGTTGGATGATCTATAGAGTATCGTACCCGAGATCGTTGCTGATATATTCTTCGTCCACGAGCGTGCTACGATGATGGCAATGTGAGATTTTGGACCCTTTCATAGTACACCACCTGTTGAGACTTTTCCTGATTTTATATAGCTATGTTGTCTTGATCTCTGGAGGCTCAGCCGTTGGCCCCTTAATTGGAGGTTTTATGGTAGAGTACGCCTCGGGCACGTGGCGGTCATACATGTGGCTTTGCTTCGCGCTCGCCAGTTTCAATATAGTGCTCTTGGTCTTCCTCTTCCCGGAATCGACCTTCAAGCGACCGGAACCTTCTCAGGAACAGGAGTTACAGCCCGTCGCAGAACACAAAGAGACTACGAGTTCATTCATCGAGAATGCCTCAGCTGCAGCTCCAGAGGACTCCTATACGACCCACACGCCCCCATTCAAGGGTGTCCTTCGGCCGTTCCATTACAATAAGGATGCCAGCTTTTTCAAGGCAGTGATCTCGCCTCTCAAGCTGTTGGTTCATCCGTCGGTCTGTTGGGGCATCTTTACCTACGGCATATCTCTAAGTCCGCAAATCATTATGATGTACGTGCTCCTATGAGAAACTCTGTCGCGGAAAAAGACCAGCGCCCGTGCTAATAACAGATACATTATAACAGCTTTAACTTCTCCGCTCTGCTAGAAGCGCCGCCATACCTCTTCCGCTCCGAGTATGTCGGTCTCATGGAAATCGCCGCTATTGTGGGATTCCTACTAGCATGCTACGGCGGTGGCTACCTATCCGATATCGTAAACAGAATTATTGCCCAACGCAGCAGCAGTAGCAGCATCCGCCCCGAACAACGCCTCATCTCTCTCATCCCAGGAATGGCCATCGGGCCGGCAGGCTGTATCCTGCTCGCGTTTGCCTGCGGCCACAAACTCCACTGGGCCACCATCGCGGTTGGCTTCGGAATGGTCTCGTTTGGGACCGTGTATACACCCAACATCGCTCTTACGTACATCGTGCACTTGCATCAACAAGATGCCGCGAACTGTCTTGTCTCAATTAGCTTGGTCAAAAACCTGGTGGCATTTACGTTTCTGTATGTTGCTGTGGACTGGGTTGAGAGGGAGGGTTACGTGCAGGTTTTTATGATCATGTTTATGTTGAATGTTTTAGCTCTTCTCTGTGCGGTCCCGTTGTATTTTCTGGGACGGAGGAAGGACTTGAACGTATATAATGGGATGGAGGGGCGTGCGTAAGTCAGATGTGGAGAGATATACATCTTGCGGTTCTTTCAATTGCACCGGTCTTATGTGTAAAATTGCTGCACCATAGACCGTGTTATTGCTAATAGAATTACTCACAAACCCACAGCTAAGCTTCTCGTAGGAGGCTAATCTGTCCATACGAAGCATACAAGCTGTAGAGTAAGATAACATGCGTGCACAACATTGTTTGTCGAGTGGAAGGCCCGGCGATTTGAGTATCATAAAAGGGCACCTAGATAGATCGGTACGACACTATTAAACGGCAGCCTCATTTGCTCGTTTACATCCTCCTAGCCGCTCAAAAAAGCGTGTGTTAGTTTGCCTCCCTTTCCTGGGCTTCGAGTAAAGAAAACAGTATGCAGCGTGAGATCGTGGTCAGCCAGACAAGTAATAAACAAAGTGTCATGCTTTGTGGCAGGGGTTTGGTGTGCCAGAGGCTGGAAGGGGCGGTGATATGCCGATTTGTGTAGCACCTAGCCTTCTAAAACACCCCATACTTTAATAGGAGGGCCCAGCACATCGTCTGGGTGCGAAATGATTTACTCCCTTCTGCGGGGAAATCCGCCTTTGCCGCGACGCGGAATATCCCCCCAGGGTATGTGGACTGTAAAGACTCATGAATATTAAGACTCTGGTCCTTCTTCCGCACGGTCGCGAACGAGGCTGTGTCCTTCAGGCATGGATACGGGAACAGTCGCAATAGATACTCTTCTTGCACTCGAGGATAATAATATGCCCGGAGCATAACACAACAACAATGCTTGTTGGGCGACGCAAAATTGAGATTCCTCGTAGGCAGCAGGATTGTGTTTCCGTAGGTAGCCGTAACGCCCCGCCTCCAAGCTTTTAACAGGTCCAGGCCAACTCAGGGTTCTTCTGATTGACCACGGATACATAATCCACTGGCTGTGCAATTATAGACCAATGGAATGTCGTGTTGATACCTGTTATTTGACACTAAGATGACATGTCGATCGAAGCTTGTGTTGGTACCCGAAACAGTATGGTTTGCTGGTACCATAGGAGGGCTGTGAAATGCCTCAATCCCTAACCAGTTATTATTCGATGAGGTCATAGCACTAGCTATGCAGATCTGCTCAGCCCGAGTGGATTTGTTGATCGTGGCGTCTTTACTGTGGATGCGAGACAACGAATCGCAGACTGTAAAAACCCGTGGCTGGTGAGCTGTCCGCATTACTAGTATGGATGCGAGGAACAGCCTGCGCAGCTAAAGCCTGTAGAACAAGAAACTCCGAAAGAAGAAGTATCTACTGCGCATATACTACTCTCCAGGGCTGAATCCGACTCACGACTAGTATATACCCGTTTAGGAAGGCCTTGCGGGGACCGATCACAGCTGGGCAGAATGGCTGGCCTTGAATGCTATATGCTATACAGACAACAACACCTCGATCTGAAAATAGTATCCAGCTTGTTTAACGCATGATGTCATATAATTAAATATATATATAATGATCGGTACCTTCCAGCCATAACACCAACTTCAGCAGCAACAATTTCATTTCTCTTGCAGTCCCAAAAGTCTCGTTGCAATGCTGTCGCTTTTAATATCAGCAGCAGCTGCCACTCTCGCATCTGCCCTGGAACTTCCCCAGGGTTATTCCCCGGATCCTGTCTCTTGCCCAACAAATCTTTCATGGATCCGACCGGCAGTTGCACTCAGCAGAGATGAAGCGCAATGGGTTGAAGGGCGGAAGAATGTCATCCTGGGCTCATTAGACGCATATTTGAAACGACTCAACCTGGACGACTTCGACACAGACGAATACATATCGCGTCTCAACAACACCAGTCAGACCCCAATCATGGGAATGGCCATCAGTGGAGGAGGTTTCGGATCCGCCTACACCGGGACTGGTCTAATCCGTGCTTTGGATGACCGTCTTCCCGCAGCCAACGAGCAACGTACCGGTGGACTTCTACAAAGCATGACCTATCTGTCTGGTTTGTCTGGAGGATCCTGGCCCGCAGTGTCCTTCCCATCATACAACTTTCCCACCGCAGACGAGATTGTCGATTACTGGAAACCGGAGATTGACCGATTCTTCACGGTCACGAACACCTCTGCTGAAGCTGCCACTGGAAAGGCCATCTTTGAACAGATTGCTACGAAGTACCTGGCTGGCTTCGAGGTAGCGCTAAGTGATTATCTAGGACGAGGATTTGCGTACGAGTTCATTCCCGGACAATCCGGCGGCCTACACACCACGTTTTCGGGGATCCGGAATCTAAGCAATTTTATCAATCATCAAATGCCGATGCCTATCATTCATCTGGCTTCAGTTGAACCGGAAGATGCAGAGTACTACGACCTTTTGGTGCCGTCATCTAATGGAACGATTGTAAGTAGTGCTTCTTCTCGATGAACTACCAGCTCCAGCTAACGCGGTCTAGTTTGATTTGACTCCCTTCGAATTCGGCGCCTGGGACGGAGACGTGCATGCATTTACACCCACTGAGTGGCTCGGAAATCAACTATCTAACGGCATTCCGGTAAACCAGAGCAAATGCTGGAAAGGATTTGATCGATCCTCGTAAGTAATCTATGGCCCCAGCCTCGCACGCTTCTAACTTCATCCCAGACTTGTCATCGGCACCTCCGCCGACGCCTTCAACTTCTGGTACCTCGAAAGCGTCTCCAACGGAACCCTTGGCCAATTTGCCAAACGTTCCGCCACTCATGAGTCCTCTCTCACCAAACGATTGTCCCAACCTGCCAACCTGAACGCACTCGTTGACGCCTTCCAAGAGACCTTTGATCTAAACCTAACCAAAATATCCTACTCGAAATTCCCCAACCCATTCACCAACCTATCCCTCTCTACCGGTAATACCCACAAATCCTCAACCCTAAACCTCGTCGACGGCAGCGAAACAGGCCAAACAATCCCCCTCTGGGGCCAGATCCAGCCCGCGCGCAACGTCGACTTCATCATAGCCTGGGACGACTCCCAAGACGCAGACCCCTACAGCTGGAACAACGGCACAAACCTCTACAACACGTACCTCGCCGCCAACGCAACAGGGCTTCCCTTTCCGATAATCCCATCCTCCAGAACAATGATGAACCTTAATTACACTCTCCATCCACAATTCTTCGGCTGCGACGCCAACCTCACCACCACAGGCGACGACCGCGCCCCCATCGTGTTGTACATGGCTAATGCGCCGTATAGCGCATACACGAACTTCTCGTTCTGGCAGACGGAGACGAGTCGGGAGCAAATGGGGGAGATATTCGTGAATAGTTTTGATATTGTTACGCAAGCGAATGGGTCGTGGGATGGGGAGTGGGCGGAGTGTATGGGGTGTGCGGCTGTGGAAAGGAGTTTGGCGCGCGTGGGAATGGAGAGGACGAGGCAGTGTCAGAGGTGCTTTGAGAGGTATTGTTGGGATGGGACGCTAGATGAGAGGGATCCTGGGGTGTTGGATCCGACGTTAGTTTTGGATCCGGGGATGAAGTTTGGGTTGTGGAATGCTACGAATCCTTATTGATGCTGGTTGTAGACTTACAGGTGGAGGCTGGTCTGGGAGAGCGTTGTATTTATGTGATATTTGGCAAGTTCACCATATAGACCCAACTGATCTTGTTTCGCTACGAGGCGGAGAACCATGTCCCAACATAACTTCATAAGTGGTAGAAATGAATTCCGGATCTTCCTTTCGGACTCAATATTCTTCTCTAAAGACGCAGCACAACTTTCCCAACCTGCTTACCCTGCCAAACATACTCAACAGCCTCCTCAGCTTGCTCGAACGGAAACACCTTATCAATAAGGTCATCAAGTAGCGTCTGTGAAGCCGAGAGCGCCTCACAAAAGTCCTCCAGATCGAGCTTCGAGCCCGCATTAATGCCCCTTTCCAGGTCAGTCAAGTCCGAATTTCACTATTCGGCATCATAACACTCACCTAAGGTTGATCCTCCGGTCAATAAGAGTCGGAACCAGTTCGCGCAGCTCAGATGGATCCTGCTTTCCAAGATATCCCACCTGGCTGACCACCCCTCCACGGCGAGTGCAGCGCATACTCTTGACCAGGGAGCCCGTCCCCCCGTTCTCCACCACCAAGTCCACGCCAACACCACCAGTAAGATTCAATACCTCTTCATCCCACTCTGGTATATTCTTATAATTAACCGTCAAGATAGCAGAACCAGCATACTTCTCCTTAATGGCCTGAAGCTTCGCATCGCTCGACGACGTCAGAATCACACGCAGACCAGCCGCAAGCGCCAACTTCAGCGCAAACATACTGACGCCTCCGGTCCCTACCACATTCATAAGTATTCCTTCCCTTCACACTCCAAGAACACCAATCATAGAGACAAAAACACTCACCCTGCACCAAAACCGTCTGCCCAATCCTCATCCCCTTCAACGCCGACCACGCCGTAACCCCCGCACAAGGGATCATCGACGCCTGCACCCAATCCAAATAAACAGGGAGTTTACACAGCACACTCTCATCATAGACGATATAATCCGCCATCACCCCATCTTCGTCGGCAGCGAGCCACGACCGCTTCGTCGCACGCTCTGTTATCTGCTCGGTGTCTGTAATCGGCGCCGCACGATCCCCAACAGCCAGAGTCTTCACTTTCTCTCCTACGGCAATTACTTCTCCGGCAGCGTCGTTGCCCAGGATGCCGTGCGGCAGGACAGGCCATGGGTTCCCGCCATTGGCGATGTTGGCGTCACGATAGTTGAGGGCGACGGCGTGCACGCGGATCAGAACTGCCGTGGAGGATAGTGGGAGGGGGAGTGGCTCTGTTACAATGTTCACTTTGGGGGTATGGGGGGTGTAGTCGTCTGTTCGGCGGACGGCGCGACGGTGGGTGATTTGTGCGTGAGACATCTTTTTCTTTGGGTGGATTTAATGATGGATGGTGTATCTACGGAGGGTGTAATGATTGTTTATACGGACTTATGTGTTTTTTCTTCTGCTATGTACCCCGCGTTCTGGATGCTTTTGGTTGTGGTTCGGATGGGACAGCCGAGCCGATGGGAGCTTATGAATCAATCCATGAATGAGGTTTCCGAGATCCGACATCCGAGACATTAATCGGGTGTTGGAATATGTTATGCTCGGGTTCTGTATGAGGCTAAATGTATGGATCTGAAATTATATACTAGAATCACATTTGTCTCGAACGTATATATCCTCGGAGACTAGGGAATGTGCTTTAGCCGTCACGACAGGTTCACCCGGGTAGCCTGCCATTAGCCCGCGATAACTATTCGTAAACAGAACCAGCACGGCCAATTTACCCACACAGCATCATGCTAGTACCCTTGACGTCAATTCTAATATAATCTTATCGCAGCGCTATAATTTGATAACTATCTCCTCAGAGTCCAGCATTCTATCCAGTTTCTGGAAGTGCCAGACATCGTCATATCCACGTTAACTGATCAGCCGAGATGATATACAAATGATGTATTAGTGGCCATTGTCAGACACTCCGATCTGTATATAAACACCACCTCTGCCAAGCAAATATTCTCTCATCAAGATAATATTCACATAAAAAAACAAATCTTAATTGATTCTAGAGCTCATAACGCACACAACTCTTAATACCCTCCACCTGTTACTACCACTCAACCGCTTCTTCATCATGGCCGACCAACCCCCCATGGGCCGCGACTTTATCGATGCAAAGAACGTCGACCCCGTCGACCACAATGACCAGACCGATCCCGAAGACTCTGCTAGCCAGCCTCGTTTCCCGGGCCCCGGTTCGAGCACGACCGCTCCGTCTACCTCGAAGCCGCATTCGAACAAGTTGTTGAACAAGCTGGATCCGCGATACGATAGCGATGTTTTGGAGTCGGAGAAGCAGGAGAACGAGAAGGCGCAGCGGAGGGGATGGGATTGAGTCTGCTTTGATGATGGATTGTCAAGATAGGAAGAGAGGATGATGGCTTATGATCATGTTTACATGTTTTTGAATTTCTGATGTTATTATACTCGTACATAAATTATGATACTATGTTATATTGTACAATATATGAACTTAATAATGTAAGACCTCAAGGTAATTAGTATGGAAAGGTAGAATCACGCCCCGTTGATAATCTCGTTGGCGATCTTCTCCGCAAGCATATCTGTTCCGCGTCAGTCTCTGACCCACAGTTAACCATCAGGTAAAAGGTAAACTTACAAACAGTAGACTGAGGATGTCCCGGCGGCAAGAACGGGAAGGCAGATGCATCCACGACTCTCACACCTTGGACTCCATACACCCGAGCCTGACTATCCACCACCGCCATCTCATCATCCGACGTGCCCATCTTGCACGTGCAAGCAGCATGCCACAGCGTCATGACATTATCCTTGATCCACTGGAGGGTCTGCTCGTCCGACTGTACCTCCAGACCAGGGTTGTACTCATTGCCAATGATGACTGGCGCCATGGCCTTGCTCTGAAAGGCCGCGCGAACACGCTTAAACATGGCGACGGCGACCTCCTGGTCGGATTGAGTGGCGAGCCAGTTGGGGTTGATGACGGGGAGGTCGTCGGTGTCAGCTGAACGGAGTGTGATGTTGCCGCGAGAGGTCGGGGTGATGAGCACCGCCAGCATGGAGGCGTACTGGTAGCCGTCTTCGGGCTGGTTGGTGAGCAGGTTGGACACGTTGCCCATGTATCCAGCGCCAGAGATGTACTATACAGTATTAGCGTTCCTATAGTATGAAGCGCGCATACAAGGTATATACATACCTCCGCTTCAGGCCAGTCACTGGGAAAGGTAGCCAGTTGCTTGGTGGTCTGGCTGCTGAATGCACTACGCAGAGCCGCCGGGATCTTCTCCCAGGCCAGGTAATCCGAAATCGGGTTGGTTAGAGGGCCGTTGCCGAAGCCGACCATGTTGATGAACTGGCCGACGATACCTAGAAAGTCATTGGCGATCGCGGTGAAGGTCTGCACGTTGACGCGATACGAAGGCGCAAAGAACGGATGATCCCACATGTTCTGACCCACGCCCGGACGGTTCGCCACGACCTGAATACCGTATTCCTCGAGCTGGTCTTGGGGACCAACTCCAGACACCATGAGCAGCTGGGGAGACTGGAAGGCACCCGCAGAAACGATGACTTCGCGGTTAGCTTTAATGGTGTAGATGTTGCCCGCGGAGCCCTTGACTTGCACGCCGGTCGCCTGTTTCTGGTTGTTGAAGATGATCTTCTTGGCGAGGGTGTTTGCATACGTGGTCAGTGTCGATGGTTTGTTCGCCAAGAATGACTCCTCAGAACTACTCCGGACCTCGCCGTTGGGGTCGATGGTTGATGCGCAGTACTGGCCGCCCATCAGTGAGCCCAGGTTGAAGTCCTGCGTCTCGTTGATGCCAATGGCTTTCATGCCGAGGTCCATCCACGTCGAGAAGGGCATCGCGTAGTTCGCGTACGACACCTTCAGCGGACCACCAGTGAATTCATAGGCACTGGGATCATAGCCAGCAGTGGCATTCTTGGCCCTGATTTGAGTGTTGGGGGGAGTGAATTTCACGCTGTTCTTATAGAAGGGCAGTGTCTGGTCGAAGGTGTAGCTGCTATCGTTGACAGCCGTGGCCCATTGCTCCATGGACTCGATGGTTGGCCTGGCAGTCCGTTAGAGGACTCTATACTGGGTTGTTTATAATGAAAGGAGCGACAAACCGTTGATAAATCATAAAGTTCATTGCAGAGCTGTTCAACTGCGTTAGCTTTGTCCTTTCTGAACGATATGCACCACTTACGATCCACCCCAGCATTTCCCCCGAGCATAGTGAATGGACCGGCCATTCGCACCGGGGACATTCTCTGCGACAAATCCCCAGTCGTGGGCAGCAGCAGTTTCTGGATCCGACCCAACTGGAAGCACGTCCGCAGCAGGCACCTCGGCCACCGACTCGAGTTCATATGACCCTCCAGCCTCAATCACTGCGACTTTGAAATTCTTCTGCGCCAGTCGAGTTGCGATAGTGTTTCCAGCCGTACCGCCACCTACGACCACATAATCATATTCCGAATCACCAAACAGGCCACGCTCGTCGTAGTTGTGCGAAAGAGGGTCAGGATTGGCAATGGTCCCGGTGACCATGCACTGTAAAGCGAGTGACAAGAGAACGCGACGGATCATCTTAGAAGATTAGTATCCGAAATTAGAGCGCTCTCAAGGGACTTACAATGAGTGACAGAGAGGAGCGACTGGGGTAGACACGTAAAGAACGACGCGCTTGGCGGGGAATGTGTACATTCCGTCGGCATCAGGGGTTAAGTATGCTGCATGATTCCCCTTCAGTCCGACCGAGCTGAGGTGCTACCCATCATTTCGAACTAGGTTTCACCTGCCTGACCCCTGTCCGAGTGTATGTTTACAATCACGATTAAGCACACGGACATATGGTTCCTGGTGCCAAAATCGGGTCAGGATGAAACGGCCATCCGGGCGGGTGGAGATCTCCCGGTCGGAGATGCAGTTCAATCAGGAATGGCCGCCTCATTAATCGGGCGACGGGCGCAAATTTGGGTCGCCCACATGGCTGCTCCAGCAATAAATAGTATAGCTGGTCGCTTGGTCAAAACCTAATGTTTATTGCTCCTGAGTTCTGGTCTGGTTATATTGGGTCTACTGCGTTGTTTGTTTTCCTTCCGGTCGGATGATGTGTTAGGGTTCAACGGTAGTCCGTTATAACAGCTTTCTTGCATTGCATTACCGTCTGTTCCGAATGATTATCTTGAGATGAGGATCGTCCGCAAGACCATGATTGAGATGGTATCCTCTTCTGTTCTTGTTCGAATAAGTGGTCAAGGAGGGCACCATTTCCTTCACTGAAATATCAGGCGTGTAGGCCAATAATCACCCCTGTCTTGAGCAGATTCCCATATCGCTATTGTGGTGACAACCCAGAGTCACATACAATGACCTTTAGATTGTGTTGAATGGTAGTAGATATAGTATAAGCCTTGCAAATGAAGGTGTAAAAACAGTGGGATCGGTCATGCCATCGATGCGTTGGTGGCGCCTGCGCTTTGTTTATGCATAAATCAGCATGTTATAGGCCCACAGTTCAGCCATCAGTACACCATAATGCTTCTAGATGGACGAGAAGTTACCAAGTATCGAAGCGATTCCACACATTTCCCTAAATTTCGAGATTTGCCCTTGCGGACTACTTTTTACCAGGGGCATGCTCAGGTGCCTTGCCAGTTGCCAATCCCGAGGCGGCTGCCCAGCCTTCCCAATGCGGTAATGGTCGCGAGCCACTCTGCTGCAACTTGACGTCCTTGTCACATCTCCTCAACACCCTCATTGACTGGCCTATCCTCAAACCTAGTTGCCATATCTTCCGATGCGCAGCCGGGATGTAGTTTCCTGCAAGGATCTCACCAAACGCACTGATGTTCTCACGAGCAACCAGAGACACCATTATCCAGGATGATTCCTGATGACTACGACAGATTATAGAAGACCCCCGGCAGGCTGACAGGCTGACGAGATAACGTCAAGCCCCAAGAGGAGCCATGTGTAACGATGAGATAAGATGACATACAATTAGGAGGCACCATCTCATCAGCCCCGTGGCAACTGACCAAGTGGAGAGAGAGGGCATCACATATCGATCAATGGCCGCAATCAGGCTTCACAGCCGCATGCTACTTCATCCCAACATTCCAGAGACAAATCCGAGGCACACTTTATTCCCAACAAGAAGCGACCTTCATGTGTCAAGGATCCTCAGTTGAGTCAAGCGCTGAGCCGTTACTCCAACCAACGACGGGCCTTCTTTTCGAGGGATCTGCAAAGCCGCGGCGATTTCCCCTCGTTAAGCGGCTTAACGAACCCCCAAACTTAACCCGTTCAGAACATCTGATGCCCACATGAACCACTCCCCGGATTCTCAATCACATGCGATCAACATGAGGAACTTGCCTTTGCGTTCGGAGATGGCCTCCCGCTGCAGTGTGAAAATCCCGGTCCTCCAGCCCTATATAGCTATCCCACCCCCTCCTCACCCCACAGGGATATCCTCGCAGATGAGTTGACCACCACCCTACCTCCCATCATGAGCGGTACACACCCTAATCCGAAGGATTCGATGAAGTCCACCTGGCGCCGGCTGGATCGCGCCGAGTGGACCATCTATCACTGGTTCTACGAGATCCTCGGTGTGCACCCCGAACACCTCGACAAGGAGGTCCCCGTGCACCAAAAGACCGAGAAGATCCCCTACATGAGAACATGGTCCCAGCATGTTTGGATCCTCTACCACGCCTTCATCCCCCTCGCCGTCCACCACGTCTACGTCTCCTACACAGGCCAGAACTTCACCCCCGTGGGCGCCTTCTTCTTCTACTCCATCGCCTTCAAGCTCATCGCCATCCACCAACTCCAAGTCATGCGCCGCATGGGCCACGTCCTCGGCTTCCTAGACGGCGACCAGCACGGCCGTGACGGCGTCCCGGACGTCGGGGTAGCCAAGGTCGTCCGGTCCCTGATATCGACATCAACCTTCCGACCCATCATGACCGTCTTCCTCAGCTACCGAGTCAGTCAAGCACCGGCACAGATGAGCTGGGGCTGGCTACCGCTCGAGATCGGGCTATACGGAATCATCCTCGACTTCTGGTTCTACTGGTACCATCGACTGATGCACGACGTGGGCAGTCTCTGGAAATATCACCGGACGCATCATCTCACCAAACACCCCAACCCGCTTCTCACCCTGTATGCGGACACGGAGCAGGAGTTCTTCGATATCGCAGGCATCCCGCTGATGACGTACTTCAGTATGCGGCTGATGGGGATGCCGATGGGGTTCTATGAGTGGTGGATCTGTCATCAGTATGTGGTGTTCACGGAGTTGGCGGGCCATAGTGGATTGAGGATGCATGCGTCGCCGCCGTCAACGCTGGATTGGTTGTTGAGGTTGGTTGGGGCGGAGTTGGTTATTGAGGATCATGATTTGCATCATCGGAAGGGGTGGAAGAAGAGTCATAATTATGGGAAGCAGACTAGGCTGTGGGATAAGATCTTTGGAACGTGCCATGAGCGGATTGAGAGTCGGGAGGAAAATGTGGATTATGATAATACGGTTAGGATGCCGATCTTTTAGTGTGTGGGGGAGTAGCAGGGAGGATTGTTGGGGATAAACGTTGTATTTATGGATGATGGGAAGTTTTTGTGATTTATTGTCCATTTTGCGGGAGTTGTATATAATGATGATGTTTATGGGATGGAGAAGTTATGAATATAATGCCTTGTTTTGTTTAAGATACCATCCAGACTCGACATGGGGTGCAGGAACTAGATAGATAGTCGATAGAAAATCAGGGGCACTGCCCCGCATGCCTCCGCAAGCGAAGACCACCAAAATAGCCGCGCAGTCATCACATCCCAGTGATCAGATTCATCAACATTCCAAGCTTCCATCGGATCGCATCATCTGATTAGCATACTGCACAATGGCATCCCAGCGAATTCACCTCATCGGACTAGGAAGCATTGGGACTCTGATCGCTCACTCGCTTCGCTCCCTCCCCGCACCCCCGCCCATAACGATTTTACTCCATCGCGAATCAGCGTACCAAGACTTTGTCTCTGGGGGGAGCAAGCTGCGTCTCCAAATTGGAGAAAACGGGCCAACACAAGAGACCACCGGGTACGACGCCGAACTCCTACAGGGGGAATCACCCATCCATCACCTAATTGTAGCGGTCAAGGCGAGCGCAACCATCCCCGCTCTCAGATCGATCCAGCACCGGCTCGGACGGCATTCCGTGATCTGTCTCTTCCAAAATGGCCTAGGGCAAATCGAAGAGCTCAATGAGCGCCTATTCACGGACCCGCTTACACGACCGACCTACATGTTTGGCATTATGCGCCATGGGGTCTACATAAAAGCGCCGTTTGAAGCCGTGCTGGCGGGGCTGACCGGATCATGCGCTCTGGGGATCGTCAACAATGACCAACAGGCATCCCCATTATCTGCTTCTTCGACAGTATCCGCCCAATCTCGATTTCTCATTAACCGGCTGGTCGAAGCACCGATCGTCCGAAGCTCCGAACTGCCATGGATGGAGCTCCACCAGGCCCAGCTGCTGAAACTCGCGACCAACTGCGTGGTCAATCCACTGACGGCATTGCTGGACGTGCGGAACGGCTCGCTGCTAGCTAACTCCGAGCTGCAGGAGATGCAACGTCAACTTCTCCAGGAGATCTCGCTGGTGTTCCGTCGTCTTCCGGAGTTTCAGGGTCTGCCCGATGTGGAGGAACAATTCTCGGTGGCCAGACTCGAGGAGCAATTGATCGGGAACATTGAGAAGACGGCCAGTAATTCCAGCAGTATGCGCGAGGATGTACGAGCAGGTCGAGCGACAGAGATTGCATATATCAACGGATGGATAGTGCGACGGGGCCAGCAGTTGGGGCTGGACTGTCCTACGAATCGGTGCCTGACCCAGCTAATTCTGGCTAAGAGTAGCCAAGGGCGCTAAGCCGGCGAGAATTTGGTGTGGGAAGGGGGCACTGGGTCCAAATCAAACAAGCATAAGCCCAGCAGGCTGAATGGCCCACAGTCCGTTTTCAGTCCGCGGTATCAGGGTTAGACCAGCAATAAACCAGCACTCGCTAGATATCTACTACTCTGCTTCTCATGAGCATACTAGTATGCCACAGATCCAGATATGTCTTGGATAAATGATAGTCAGGGGTCATTGATGGATCGTTTGTCCAAATTGAGCAGTGTGTCCTTCAGCGTCAGGCACCTGGGGGCCATTGGGCATGGCGTCCACTACTAGAAGCGGATCGATAGTACCAGACTGGTCTCGCGGGCGGATCGAACCAGGCGAAAATTCTATGCAAATCCTGCAAAAAGATTTGCAGGCCTGACTAATGACTCGTGCGCATGACGTCAGGGAGGCGGAGTCTGGGGCTTGGCGTTCGAGGGGCTCTGCGTGGTGTGCCTCAGGCCGAGATCACTCTACCCCTCAGAAATCTGGCAAACATCAGGAATATCCACGAAATATGCCATCCGCTCATTCAATTGCTACCAGGAAAGTCATATACACCCCGTTCAAGCAGACTTCCGCCTGGGATCTCCTCCTGGCAAGCCCCCGATGATCATTCAATCGGCAATCGCAATGAGGAATGGCAGCCGTTCGCGGTGGGTCTCCCGAGTGCAGGACGGATAAATCGGATGCTGGCCTAGGGTGCCACAGCAGTGGAGGCAAGCAAGCTGTTTTCGTTTATTATTCAGGCTAGACCCCCATCGCTCAGCCTTTGTCTGTCCCTGTTGGTCCCTTTGCGTGCAAGCACATCCTGTTATCCCTGGCTTCAGGGCCCGTCGTCCAGATCAGACCAGATCCTGCTCCCTGCTGGCTGCCAATATGTCTCCCATCGACGAGCAACTAGAGATGGCGGAGGTCGATGCTCGGCCCCATACTAATGGCGCGAGCAAGGAGGAAGGCCTCGAGAGGCCATCATCCTCAGGTACCACTGGCTCGACCGGTTACAGTAGCTCGCTTGAATACAATCCCCAGCTGCACACCCTTCATTCGCGGAACACCGAAATCGATCTAGAGCGTCATCGCACGGCCACTTCCCATGCCCTAAGCAGGATCGAAACCCAGCGGCTTCAGCATCAGTTGACCGTGGGTGAAAGTGTCAAGTCTCGCGCCTCCCGCACGCCTTTGCCTCGTATGGGCGCCAACAAGGATTACCCACCACCTCTTCCCGATCGCGAGGACTACGTCGTCGAGTTTGACGGTCCAGAAGATCCTTTATACCCTCAGAACTGGGAATTGGGGACGAAGTATGCCTTTCCAACCCTGTCGCGCATGAAAGACATGTTGGTCGACCGAATACTGACTTATGTTCTCGCCTAGGATTTACATTAGCGCCATCCTCGCCTTCACCAGTATCTGCAGTACCTTCGATTCCGCTATCTTTAGTTCCTCTACCACCAACGTTGCGCGGGTGTTCGGTGTAGGTATTGAAGTCGCCACCCTGTCGAGTTCGTTGTATATCTGCGGTTATGCGTCCGGTCCCCTGGTGTGGGCACCCCTTTCCGAGCTGAAGGGACGGAAGCCACCCATTGTAGTGGCTATGTTGGGATTCGGTATCTTCAACACCGCTGTTGCCGTCGCCAAGGACCTGCAGACGATCATGATCTGTCGCTTCTTCTGTGGTGTCTTTGGCAGTTGTCCGCTGGCGGTTGTGGCTGCCGTTTTCTCCGATATCTATAACAACCGCACTCGTGGTGTTGCCATTGCCATGTTTTCCAGCACAGTGTTCTTGGGTCCGCTTCTGGCTCCGTTTATCGGTGGTTTCATTAACTCGTCGTACCTGGGTTGGCGCTGGACCGCCTACATCCCCGCGTTCATGGGTTATGCCGCCTTCGTGTTGAACATGTTCTTCCTGAAGGAATCCTATCCGCCGATCATCCTGGTCTCGAAGGCTTCAGAACTGCGCCGTCGCACCAAGAACTGGGGCATCCACGCCAAACAGGAGGAAATCGAGGTTGACTTGCGGGAGTTGCTGGTGAACAACTTTTCCCGTCCCCTTCGGTTGCTCTTTGGCGAGCCATTGATTCTGGCGGTGACGATTTACCTCAGTTTCATCTATGGCCTGTTGTACTGCTTCTTGACAGCCTACACACTCGTCTTCCAGGGCGTGTACGGTATGTCTGCTGGAGTTGGCGGATTGACGTTGTTTGGCATGGTGGTCGGTTTGTTCATTGCGGCCTCTTATATCATTTTCGCCAGTCGCGGGTACAACAAGAAGTTGGAAGCGAATGGGGGCATTCCCGTCCCTGAATGGCGTCTGCCGCCTGTGATTATCGGCGGTGCGCTCTTCGCTGGAGGACTATTCTGGTTCGGTTGGACCGGATTCACGAAGAGTATCCATTGGATTGTACCCACACTGAGTGGATTGTTCACTGGATTTGGTCTGTTGATCATCTTCATCCAGTTGTTCAACTATCTGATCGACACCTACCTTATGTTGTAAGTTGCCTTGCCTTATTCGTTGTTAATAGATTCTGTTCTAACCATCATTCCAGTGCCGCATCGGCTATCGCAGCGAACACCTTCTGTCGTTCCCTAGTGGCAGCCAGCTTTCCCCTCTTCTCACGTCAGATGTTTAACAACATGGGCATCCAGTGGGCTGCCACGCTACTGGGCTGTGTGGCGTCTATCCTGGTGCCTATCCCGGTTGCTTTCTATTTCTATGGTAAAAACCTGAGGAAGCGGAGCAAGTTTGCGCCGTTTTATGACAAGGTTGCTGAGTCTCATGCGGAGGATCCAGTGGAGGAGAACGGAGTCGCGGAGCACTAAACGCTTCATTAATAAACAAAAGTTTTGCATATAGCTATGTGGGCGGTTGCATTTTCTCATACCCTGTACATCATTAATGTTAATGTGGATAATCAGAAGACAAGTAATGATCAGACGCGCGTCCAATGTTTCCCGGTAGTTCCAGTCCTGTGATGTTCGGTGTTGAGATGTTGTTGGCCGCAGATGCTACAAGACCCAGTGCTTGCTTATTCCTTTACCGCCATTCTTGCAAGCTTCGCTTATGTAGGCAATAAAAGCGCTGGATTTACGTAATCAAGGTGCTGTAGTGTAGTGGTCATCATGAAACGTTGTGGTTTTCCGCAGCGCCGTTTCGACCTGGGTTCGATTCACAGCAGCGCCAAAACTGGCGACTGGCTTGATTACTTCTTTTTATATTTTTTCCTCTAGATTAGCGACACTGTCGTGCTCTATCCCCCCTTTCCCTTTTTTTTTTATACTCATTGCTCCCATTGTACGTGTTACACTGGATGTTTTTGCTCAATCGCACAATATATGCTAGCTGGTCTTCATCTAGCCATTTGCTTAATACTAGGACGGCTACAAGCGAGACTATTTTCACTTCGCATACTTATAGTCGCAGCTTTGTCTTGCTATTGCGAGAGTCCTTGCTGCCTAATAATAAACCAGACCCTGAATACACACACACAAAGCTAAATAAACTTCCAGGGCCTCCTCCGCACAGGCAGAATCACGTACACGGCTGGTGCCTGGAGGCCCACTCAAGCTCCGTCCAATCAAATCACAACTGGTTCGGCAATTCCCCCAGAGCTCAGGCAGCAGCAGCCACGGGAGCCTCAGGCTGGTGGATTGCCGTCAGAACAATATCACCTCCCAGTAGATCTCCGCCTCACGCTCACCTCTATATAATGATGTTTGTCCCATATTTCTGGTCCTTCTTCTATAAGCATCATATCATAAGAGCCTTCCATCATTCGTGACTACTCTCCCACGCCTCTAATTATCCTGACTGAAATCTGACGACATAATTGCTCTTGTCCGCTACTCCGCTACTCACACTACCTATCATCTCAATTCTAGGGGACCTTTCCTCCACTCACTCCCATAGTCTAATACTTAGCACACTCACACCCCACATTTCACTCATCACCATGACCGGCCAAGCTTTCAAGGGCTTGGTCATAGCCGTTGCTGGGTCTTTTTCCGGTGGCTACAAACAAGGTGAGCATGTCTGACGTTACTGCCAGAAGCCACATACTGATTTTACTCACTTCAAATAGCAAATCTGAAGACTATCGTCCAGCGTCATGGGGGGACGTTCAGCTCAGCAGTGACGGAAGATTGCACTCATCTAGTGACCACTCAAAGGGAAGTGGACAACAAGAGCGTCAAATGTGAGTACCAAGCAGAGCCCTGTCTACACCTTCTGCTGACAATGCTTAGACACGCAGGCTCGCAAGGTCTACACCTGCAACATCGTCTCCTTAGACTGGCTTGTTGAGTCAGACAGTGCAGGAAAGAAGTTGGATGAGAAGAAATTCCTGATGGGCTCCGACATCAAGAAAGACGATGAGCCGGAAAGTCCAAAGAAGCGCACCCTAGAACAGGCTCTGGGAATAAACGAGGATGGCACTACGAAGAAGCTCAAGGACGCACAGACGGTCGGCACCAAACAAATCAATGTTCCTGTCGATGATACATGTCCTCTGCGATGTAAGAGGCACCGAATTTGGATAGCCTGAAGGGAAAGCTAACATGAATAGTGACCTTCACCGTGTACATTGATTCCACAGGCCTCATCTGGGATGCGACACTCAATCAGACGAGTGCGACCAACAATAACAACAAATTCTACCGCATTCAGCTTCTCCACAGAAACAACGAATTCAGAACTTGGACCCACTGGGGCCGGGTAGGCGAACATGGACAACATGCGTTGCTGGGTGGTGGCGGCTTAGATGAGGCAGAATATGAGTTCAAGAAGAAGTTCAAGGACAAGTCCGGCTTGACCTGGGAGAATCGCTTGGATCCACCAAAGAAGGGTAAATACACCTTCATTGAAAAGAACTATGAAGAGGACACGGAAGACGAAGACGAGGACGAAGACAAAGTCGTCGCGAAGAAACCCACCAAGCCCAAGGCAGAGGAAGTGAAATGCACCTTATCAGCACCCGTCCAGGACCTCGTGTCATTCATCTTCAACAAGGATTTTTTTCAGTCCACCATGGCTTCCATGTCCTACGACGCTCAGAAATTACCCTTGGGGAAGCTGAGCAAGCGTACTCTCCAGAACGGTTTTCAGGCACTGAAGGATCTGTCAGAGCTTATTGCTAATCCTGCCCTGGCAAGTACAAAGTACGATACTAGCTTTACTGCTGCAGTGGAGCATCTCAGCAACCTATACTTTACCGTGATTCCGCATGCATTCGGACGCAACAGACCCCCGGTTTTGAACAACGACAATCTGCTCAAGAGAGAGATCGAATTGCTGGAGGCATTGACCGACATGGAAGTTGCGAACAGTATCATGAAAGATGCCAGAAACACCGATACAGTCCACCCTCTGGACCGTCAGTTCCAGGGCTTGAATATGCAAGAGATGACGCCATGTACGTCTGGTCCCTGTAGCCTTGCCCCTTTGACTAGTACTAACTCTAAGCAGTGGAACACACATCTACCGAATTCATCGAGCTGGCCAACTACCTCAACCAGTCTCGCGGTCACACCCACGGCGTTCAATACAAGGTTCGTATCTGATGCACCATTTTTAATGAACCAAGTTAACCGTAACAGGTCATAAACATCTTCCGCATCGAGCGCCAAGGCGAGAAAGACCGATTCCAGTCATCCATGTACTCCAATATCAAAAACTCCTGTCGCCGTCTCCTGTGGCACGGTTCTCGCAGCACCAATTTTGGTGGTATCTTAAGCCAGGGTCTACGTATTGCACCGCCCGAGGCCCCCGTCAGCGGGTACATGTTTGGCAAAGGTGTCTACTTTGCGGACATGTCGACCAAGTCAGCGGGTTACTGCTTCTCTTGGGGGAGTGGAAACAGGGGTCTGCTCCTTCTTTGTGACGTTGAGGTCGGCAATCCCATGTATGAGCGGGACACTGCAAGCTTCAACGCGGGCCAAGAAGCTAAAGCGGAGGCCAAAATTGCCACCCTTGGTCGTGGTCGCTCGATCCCTGGTGGATGGAAAGACGCTGGCTGTGTCAATGAAGATCTGAAGGGGGTGTTGATGCCCGATGTGCGGATGCCGACTACTAATTCTAACTCGAGGGGCCTGATGTACAATGAGTACATCGTGTACGATGTGGCTCAGATCCAGCAGAAGTATCTGTTCCATGTCGACATGCGGTAGACCTGTTTTTGTTCTGGATTTTGGACTCGTGGTATGGCGCATATATCAGCTTAGCGGCGGCATCTGGGGCGGGTTATGGCGTTCAGCGAATTCTCTGGATTTAATTTATGATTTACAGGCCCGGAGTTAGGGGGCTATGTTTTAGCTGACGCACCTGCATAGCTAGCATATCATATGGCAGGCTCGATCGAGTATAAGAATATGAAATGAATTGTTCTTAGCTGACAATTATGAATCATCTCAAGACAACGGAGCAACAGGGGCAGGGTCAATTCTGTCTGGGATCCATCTCAATATCGAAAATCATTCAGGAGAAAGAGGAGGAAGATAGGGCACGTAGGCAGCAGCAGCAAAGGATCTGGAGGTGCCTGGCTACAGTAAATATCTCCACAAATTATGATCCCCGTTACAAGTTAGGTATGCAGTCCAGCCAACACACGATCGAGTTTGTTGACTAGGGCCCACCGACGATCCTCCTCCTCATCCATAGTACTATCTCCACCGACGATCCTTTCCTGTGAAGACTTAAAAGAAGGCTGCTTATCCTGCCGAGATAGGCATTCGTAAGAGGAAAGCACTCTGAAAAGAACAAGCAAAAGACAGCTAGATTAGAAACTTTAACAAGAAGAAAAGCACGCGTGCGGTTCAGTGAGGGGTGGATGGGGACACCGCATAGAAATACAAAGGAATACATTGAAGAATCAGTCTTATTGGATGGCCTTGGTCTTACATGCATCTGTCCCAAAGCCGATTCCAGCCTGCATGAGAAGGATTCGGGCGCTTATAAATGAGTCGGGGTTACCGAGCATTTAAGAACTACTACTCTCCATCCCCTCACCCACATCCCTTACCGCAACCCCGCAAAGCGAATCTCATCCTCTCTCATTATGCTGGTCTACCTTACGAACTTCTTCATAGCATGGCTCGCCTACTTTTGGCAGCCGAAGCAACAACCCTGCAGTAGTTTAACCCTGCCACATATCCCCGGGGTTGACATCATATCCATGACGCGCCAAGAGGTCCATAACTACAGCGTAGCAGCCTCCCCGCCATACAATCTCGCAGACGTACACAATCTTGACTTCTGCAACGTATCCGTCACTCTGACTCACCCTGGTGAAGATGACACCGTCTCCGTCTCTGTCTGGCTCCCCCTAAACAACTGGAACGGCCGTTTCCAGGCTACTGGTGGCGGCGGCCTCGCAGCCGGAATCATTGGCTTAGCACCAGCTCACCCAGTCAGCCAGGGCTACGCAACAGCTGCTACCGATGGCGGACTAACCTTGAATGGAACCAGTAATCCCCAGACGGGGGCCTGGATTCTGCGCCCCGACGGTTCCATCAACACTGCTCTGCTACTGAACTTTGCCCATCGCTCGATCTATGACATGACTATCATCGGGAAGACTCTCACCGAGCGCTTCTACGGATCCCCGCCAAGATACTCCTACTGGAGCGGCTGCTCTACCGGCGGCAGGCAGGGATACTTTGCTGCAGCAAAGTATCCGAATCTCTTTGGTGGAGTTCTCGCCGGTGCACCGGCCCTCAATTTCCCACGTTTGATCGGGTATATGTTCTGGCCGCCGGTGCATATGTTCCATTCCGCAGCGCCGCCACAGTGCGTCTTTGACACCTTTTGGAAGGCAATTATAGACGAATGCGATCCACTTGATGGAGCCACGGACGGGTTGATATCGGATTACAATCCACAGAGCTGCCCATTCAATCCCGAAACACTTGTTGGGCACACGGTAACATGTCCAGAGATGGGCTCAGATTCCCCAGTGACCATCACAGCCCAGCACGCCACCCTCGTCAAGCAAATCCTGCAGGGCCCCGATCTACAAGATCACCCCAACCTCTGGACAGGCCTTCCACCGGGCGCCTCATTCCGCGGAACGGCAAACACACAAGCAATCAACGGATCCATCGTCAGGCCCGTCCCCTTCTTCCCCATCATCGGCTGGATTAAGAACTTCGTTTATCGGGACCCGGACTACAACGTATTCGACATGACCTTCGATGACTTCAATACCGCCTACCGCCTCACGCTGGACGGTTACAATGGCATTCTCGGATCGGATGATCTCAATCTCTCTGATTTTCGTCATGCAGGGGGGAAGCTATTGACCTGGCACGGGTTGGCAGATGAGTTAATTCCAGCGTCGTGGACGAATGCATTCTGGGAGGGGATTGATAAGAAGGACGGTGCGGATGTGGATGAGTTCTATCGGATTTTCCTTGCCCCTGGGCTGGGACACTGCTCGGCTGGGCATGGACCGAAACCAATTGATCCATTGGGCGCGTTGGTGCGCTGGGTGGAGGAGGGGATTGCGCCTGATAGGTTGAGTGCGGCGGCTGTCAAGGCGGATGGGAAGGAGGTGACGAGGGAGTTGTGTCGGTATCCGGCGACGCTGGTGTACGATGGGCATGGGGACGTGAATGATGCGGGGAGTTTTTCGTGTAAGCCTCGGGAGGGGTGAGGGCTAGGAAGTTATATATATAGATATATACTACGATTGTAGTGGTATTTGTGGGGCCTTAGAAATGGGAACTTAAGGACTAGCTTAAGACTGATTGAGTTGGGATCTAACGGGATAGAAAGATGCTTTCAGGATTGGATGTTAAGAGGCGTTTCACGAATTGGCTAATTTCGGGCTTCAATTTAGTTAGCATTGAATGGATTTACAATAATGTGCTGGGACACATACTGATACGACTTACTTTGACCACAGAGCTGCGGCATTGAAACAAGAATCCTTAGTAATTGGGGAGTATGAAGGAGTAGCATGTCTGGGTAGTGATGGGATGAAGCCTCGATCGTAGTGACAATCTCGGGAGGAGTGGATACTGCAATGGCAAAAGGCAACAACAAAGGAAAAAAAAAAACACAAAAAATGGAGCTGCGGGGAATCGAACCCCGGACCTCTCCCATGCTAAGGGAATATTATACCACTAAACCACAGCCCCATTTGATGAAAGACAGGGGTCTACTTTTGCTAGATAATCTCTGCTATACTAGCAATCCAATGGTCCGAGGTGACAGGTCGTCGTGGTGTTAGAAATCCCACATGAGGGATGGACAGTTGGTGGTCATGGATTCCTTAGTAGAATATGCTTGATTATATGGTTTCTTAGACTGTTGTTGACTGGGATGTTTGGGTGCGGACGATGTCGAATGGCATTGTTCAGGTAGGCAACTCATCCAGCGGAAATATAATCCTCGTACCCGTGCTGGCTTGCTCGCGAATTAACCAAGGTGAAAAAGAAACAACATTCCCATTAGAAGCACACTATCCACCACAGATCTACAGTTCAACGCCCTCTCATAGTGCCGAAGTCTGTTGTATAAGCACCAGCGACCGATATAGCCATAATAATGATGCCTGCCCCTCGATCATCGGGGAGAGTGAAGAGAGCCGGCGACATGACCAACTTGTGGTCCAGTACCAACAAGTATGAGACGAAGATACGTTGATCCATACTCACTGCTATTCAAGTGCAGAGCACTCGAGCAGTTCTCAATTACACCACGAACCAGCGAGAACACCGACCTGCCCAGCCAGAGATCCTCACCACTGCGGGGAAGCAGGGTAAGCATCAGCGACAGACAATCCTGCGACAAGACTCAGCTCAGCCACCAAGAAACGCCCGACAATCACAAGGTTCCACACCTGGCTTGCAGAAGCGACCGTAGCAAGATCACGATGGCGTTCTGCAACCTTGATCGGAGGCCGCTTGTCCATGCCACACCAACCACAACGCATACCCGAGAGCTGAGCAGTTGAACTAATGCACCATCCATGCAGCATCTCTGATCGATTGTGGAAGCGATAACGCAGAGACCAATGAAAAATAAATTAAATATGCAACATCGGCACAACCCCTCCTCTAGCTGCTCTACAGTATAAAGCAGACAGAGCTCGCTCTGCTAGCCCACTTCGCTCCTTGATGCCGTTATGCTCAGCTCCCCAATCGCCACCATGCTAGTCACGATGTGGACGGGGGCTTTTGTTGCCTTTACCAGTGTATATATTTTCTTCGCCTTTTTTACCCGCAAGAGCAAGCATCCGCCTCTACCTCCCGGTCCTCGACGGAAGCCCATCGTGGGTAATCTCTGGGACCTGCCCGATCCAAGCCAGCAGGATTGGCAGCACTGGCTGAAGCACAAGCATCGCTATGGTATGACTGGGTGTTGAACTGACTTGGGAATGTGTGGCTTCCTGTCTGACTGCGAAAAGGCCCAATTAGTTCACTCAGCATCATGGGCCAAACCATCATCGTCCTGAACGACGCCCGACTAGCGGTGGAATTACTCGAGTCACGATCGTCGATCCACTCCTCGCGTCCACAACAACACTTCGCAGAGATGTAAGCCAACAAGACCTACATAAGCAGGACCGCAGATCAACTAATCAATTGTACAGGGCGGGTTGGAACAACGTCCTCGGAGCGGTGAAGCAGTCCCAGCGCTTCCGAGCAACGCGCAAGAACCTGCATAGGGAGATTGGCTCCAACGTTTCGGTCGCTCGATTCAATGAAATCCAGACAGCGGAGGTGGGTCGGTTTCTACTGAGGGTGCTGGATGCGCCGGATAAGCTGATGAAGCATATACGCAAGTGGGTCGAACCACCTTCCCCCCATAACTCTTCATCGATCGCGGAGACTAAAGATTGACCACCAGAGAGGCGGGCGCAATCATACTAAAGGTAGGGTATGGATATACCATCGAACCGCATGATCAAGACCCATTGGTTGATCTGGCCGACAAAGCAATGATGGATTTTTCGATGGCCATGCTTCCAGCCACATGGGCAGTGGACTTTTTCCCACCCCGTAAGCCATACCCCGCAGCCATACAGGGACAAGCCAGACTAATTGGATTATCAGTAAAGTATCTTCCATCCTGGTTTCCAGGCACAGAATTCTATTGAAGATCGCACAACGCTATCGAAAGAATGTCACGGCATTTAGCGACATCCCATACGCATTCGTGAAGGAACAAATGCGCACTGGCCGCTTTGTTCCCTCTTTTCTCTCCAACCTCCTCGAGAGCAGTGACCTAGAGCCTGGATCCGAAGAAGAGAACACGGTCAAGTGGTCGGCTGGATCGCTTTACGCTGGGGGTGCAGATACGGTAAGGAGTGCTTGCTTTGTGCATGATCCGATCCGACATGCATACAATGCCTTAGTACTAACAATTCACCAACAGACCGTCTCCTCCATAGCCAGCTTCTTTCTCGCAATGGCCCTCTTCCCCGAAGTGCAGCGCAAGGCGCAGCAGGAACTCGACACGGTGATCGGAACAGATCGACTGCCGCAGTACGCGGACCGGGAACATTTACCTTATATCAATGCGTTAGTCAAAGAGACGTTCCGATGGCATCCAGTGGTACCCATGAGCCTCACCCACACCTCAACCGCCGATGATGTATGCGAGGGATACTTTATCCCTAAGGGGTCATCAGTTCTTGCCAATATATGGTCAGTCCCCCCTCTCGCCCTATGACCCGTACTTCTTACCACCAATTAACACCAGTGAAATCATATAGGGCATTCACCCACGACCCAGCAGCCTACCACGACCCCATGACCTTCAAACCCGAACGATTCCTTGGCCCAAAGCCAGAGCGAGATCCTCACTTCCTTGTATTCGGGTTCGGTCGACGAGTCTGTCCGGGGCGGACTCTGGCTGATGTGAACGTGTATCTCACTGTCGCTCAAGCACTTGCTGTGTTTGAGATCTCGAAGCCAGTGGAAAACGGGAAAGTTAAGGATGTTCAGCCGGAATTTCTGCCCGGTGTCATCAGCCATCCTGCGCCGTTTGATGTGTCTATTCGGCCGAGGAGCGCGAAGCATTTGGAATTGCTTCGGTCGTTGGAGCAGAAGTATCCTTGGGAGAAGAGTAATGCAGAGGATCTGAAAAATATCTAGTATTAGGGTGGGATGGTGGTGGTGAAGATGGATTCATGGTTGGGGAAGCCGGGATAGTGGTGGCTAGGGATGTTGTATATAGACCGAGAAGAGATTATATCATATTTATGGCCCGCTTAGAGCAAGCGGATAGCTTACTATGAGATATATACATTATCCTTTACACTTTCCAAGCGTATGGTGGGATAGTTGTATACCAATCACACCGACAAGCAGATGCAGACGCATTCAGGTCTTCGCATCTTCAGTATTCGGCCGTCTGAGCCCCTCCATCAACCACTCGTCAAACAGAAATTCGGTCGCAGTCGGCCGATCCTCTGCATTCCATTGTAAGGCCTTCCGAAGCCATCGGAAGAACCCTTCTTTATTCTCCCCTGGGATATCGGCGCCTAAACTTTCCAGAGAAATTTCCGGAATCGTCGCCAAGTCCTTCCAATTACCTAGAGATACCAATTAGATCGGACTTGGGTTGTAGGAGAATCTTGGTCTTACCCTGTTCATCCCATAATACATAAGCTAATCTGCATCGCTCGCGGAAACTAGCCGGAGGAGGTCCCATGAGCGCTATCATCTCCGCAATATGCACTCGGTCATCGAAGATCCCATCTGCATTTCTGCCATCGAACATGTGTCGAGGACTTACGATGTCCCATGCCTATAATGAAGAAAGATTTAGCATAGAGGTAGGGCGGAGTATTTGTCTTGAGAGGGTATCTTACCACCATCGCAACATTCCATATATCCACCTTGTAGTCCCAGTTCTCCTTCAAGACAACTCAGGAGCCCTGTACATATTCGGCATAATGTCGTCTCTATTCTCGACATCGCCAAATCGGGCCTCGCCGAAATCACTAATTAGGGGTAGGCCACTTCCCCCGGGGTTATAGACAGTAGAGAGATAGATGGTCCTGTCTTTGAGGATCTTTCTAGGTGACGGATCGTTGACTTCTCGTTCTTCGAGATTCTCGAGTGTCTTAGTATCAGGGATTGGGAGGAGCAAGTTCTTCAATTGAAGATCTTTTCTTGGATTAGTCTAACAGTTTAAATTGTGGAAGTGGGAGTATTACCAGTATGTACTATACGAGCAGCAGAGTGCAGAAAGTCCAGAGCGATCAATAGCTGCCTGATACAAGACTTCATCTCGCCCAGAGTCATGGTATTTCCAGGGATGTATTTCTGTAGGAGTGTATCTGCACTCATGCCCATAGGCTCATGAACGAGACAAACATGAGGGCCGTGGGGCCCGGTGACAGTGAAATGATCGAAGAGCCTGCGAACGAGATCTCTCCCTGGGTGCTCAACTTCTACAGCATTCATACGATTGTAGATCTCCAGCTCATGATTCTTTTCTTGGCCAATGACATATATCTTAAGCACAACATATTTGGAGTCACTGAGATCTCACTTTTGTTAGGGGTAGCGTGGCCATGAAGGAGGCCTTTCAGACGTACCGAAGGTCGCGACCTAACCAGACAGTTGATGTCACTCCGTAACCGAGTTTGGCAAGCACTTGATACCTGTTATCGAGTACCTCTCCCTGTTGCACCGGGTAGTACTTTTCTGGATGGTAAGTGGGGAGAGTCTCTTCCTCAATCTCTATACTGGGATCAATAAGGGCATCTGTAGTGGGAAATACTGTCAAGGAGGACGTCCACTGCGAAGAGTAACGAATTGTTTGATATGACGCGCGTGTGATTTTTCGGAGACGTGGTGTAGGGGTAGGTATAACATGGCGACAGGCGAGGTGTAGCTTGGCGTGAAGCATCCCGAGACGACGGGCGCATTGGGTGATGCGTCCTGCCATGGTGATAGCTGTGGTTCAAGCTAACTATCTTATCTAGATAGATGGTGTTATTGACGGGTCGGTGGAGCGCGAGATCCATCCGGCCATCCAGAAAGGGGATGGGTGCTGCATAAATGACATAAGCAGTATTACTTGCATATGCATAATGTATATTGATGCCTCGGGCTGACCCTTTTGAGAGCCTGGTACTCACTATAGTGAATACGTTACGTGGAGAGAATATGTGAGTGTGATCCTACAGGAAAATCAAAGAAAGATGGAATATAATGCTATATTCGTCCATTCACAAAGTCAGGACGTGCACAAACCAGACAACCGAGGCCTGATAAGAGCCTTTGCTGGCTGCTATACAATAATTGAAAAAGATCACATTTTCCTCTTCATTAATACACATACCGAAACCTCGTGTTTTCTTTATCTGTCAGCCCAGCCCACTTGGCTTCATCCACCATTGAATCCTCCACCTTGCCATGCCGGCGATCCCGTCTCCGGTTCTCCCACACATAATATGCGAACAGCACGACGGACATGACGGCTGCCGCTGCCTGGGTGGCCAGCACCGCAATCTTCGCGGGACGGTATTCAGGGGCATCACGGGCCTGGAAGGTCTGGGGCCCGATGATGTTCCCGACCGAGAAGGAGCCGGCGATCAGTGCACTGCTGAAAGCGCGCTTGGTGTGACCGGCACAGTTGGCCATGGTCCACTGATACAGGATGGGGAGGGTGGCAACAATGGCATTGACCAGGTAGATACCGATGAGGACACCGGCTTTGTTGCTCTTAGGGAGGAAGGAGAGAAGGCCACCGCCGATAATGCCGGGGATGGTGCAGAAGGCGTTCCAGGCCCAGCGGTGCGAGGTTCTGCGGATACCAAAGCCGACGAGGAGGGTGAAGAAGATACTGACAATTCCGGAGGGCATGTTGAGAAGGGCGGAGATGGGGCCGGAGTATCCAAACCCGGCGATGAGAGTGGCGGAGTAGGTGGTTACAACACCGCTAGAAACAGAGATCTGGCACGGGGTAAGCTTGGAAGTGAGGTGTGTGATGGTCAGGGACTCATCTTACGAGGATGGTGATCAAGACTAATAGCCAGAGTTGGATGTCAAGCACGCCTTCCCAGATCTGCTTAAGGTTGATGGCGCTGCTCCACACTCCCGTCTGGTTGACACTGACGTGCTGCAGGAGAGCCACCTTTTCTTCCTCGGACAGCCACTTGGCCTTCATTGGGGTGTCAGGAATGAAGAGCAGAGTGAGTACACCAATCAGTACCGTGACCAAGCCAATGACTAGGAACATGATGCGCCACCCGGCCAGGGTGGCCCCGTGGTGAACATGCTGGAACCCAAAGGATACCAGGCCACCAATGATCTGGGCCACTCCCAAGCCATTATACCAGAGGGTGAAGCGAGGTGCCTGCTCGCTTTTTGTATAGTATTGACTGCTGATCAGCATCAGCGATGGGCCAATCGTGGCTTCGAAGATACCCAGGAAGACACGGGCCGTCAGGAGGGTCGCATAGTTTTTGGCTCCTGCGGAGGCTGCAGCGGCAACTCCCCAGAGAGCGACATTTACACCGAGCCACTTGGCGGCGGGGACTTTTTGCAGACAGTAGACTGATGAGAGAAAGGCGTCAGCGCACTGTTCATGTTTGTCGAGGCAAACGAACATACTATTGGGAGCTTCAGCGATCAAATAGGCCAGGAAGAACCACGTTGCGGTGTTGGTGTACTCGTTCCCCGCCAGGTGAAGTTCCGTTTTCATCCCCATGACGGCAGCATACTATGTCCCCCCTTGCGTCAATGAGGGGTGTGCTGGCAGGAGGCTTGCGACGACTTACGTTGAGCATGACCTTGTCCAAGAATTGCAGGACATAGCACGAGAACATAAAGGGTATCAGATGCCAGTCGATCTTCCGACGCAATGCCCGTAGGTCGATTTGAGGGCTGTCGGCGGCCGCATGGCCCTGGAGGTATTCCACAGCATCGTCGGTGCGATCCACAGGCAGAGCCTGAGAAAAGGCGCCCGGCAGCTTCTCCTCCATGTTGAATCTATAGATCTGTCGACAAGGGACCAGAAGCAAAAGAAAAGAAAAGAGACAAGGGGGAAAATTGCGGGAAAATAATGAAAGAACAAGACACAGTCAGGGAAAGGAATGCCGGGATGGGAGGTTACATGCAGGATCCTGCAGGCAAAAAACCACGGGAAGTGCAACCGGATTGGCCGCAGGGGTGCCATTGGGTTCCAGTAGTTATAATATATTTGTCAAGATAACTGCCTGGCCACTTCATCTTGCAGAGGCCTGCAGATGTTCCAATGTCTACGCTAGACTAGGGTTCGAAATTTTAGTGCGCGCGATCCAGCCCGGATTGTTCTGGTCGCCGAAGGATTTTGATTGCGAACCCACCAGGAATCATCCCATTCACTACGGTATTCTTGGCCTGACCGAAGTTAATTGCTGAAGGATTCTGAATCCGAATCATATTCCAGCTCTGAGGACCAAGATTTGCCCCTTGTTGTAGGGCTTCAGCATGATCCTGCGAAGCCCAGGATCGAAAAATCCCTTCAACCAGCGCACAGCACGACTTGCATAATCACTACGCAAATATCCCTTCTCCCTCATGTCTCTCCCCTCTTTCTCCTTGACCTTCTACATTTACAGCCAGTATGGGCTGGGTGCACCATGCCTCGCCTGAAGTGGAAGCGGAGTCGCAATATCGCCTCATTCTAGGGGTGTGCCTGGGCTTGACCCTGTTGATGATTATCACAGTTTGCCTGCGTTTAGCAATTCGATTCAACGCCCGCCGATTGGAAGCGTCCGATTTTGTGATGCTGGTGACTATGGTGGGTTACCTTCGGTGGATAGACGATCCGACCGCTAATCGGTGCCAGATCTTCAGCATCATATACAGCGCATTGTGCGTCGCTCGTGAGTCGACCAAGCCTTGAGTCCAGTCTAAGCGCTCACTTTCAACAGAGAGCAGGTACGGCCTCGGATTACCCTTGTCGCTGCGCCCCAAGGCAGACCTTCCGGATTACACAAAGGTATGCGCTGTGCCTGAATTTCAGTCAAGACAGAGTATTTATAAAAACACCAACAGCTCAATTATGCCGGTCGCCCATTCTACCAACTTGGAATCGCCGGATTCAAAGCTTCTCTATGCCTCAATTATTTGCGATTGATTTCCGGAACATCCAAGAATTTCTACCGAATCCTCATATGGGCCGTAATAGCTGTCTCGACACTTGGCCATCTTGCGGGCACATTAGTTCTGATATTCGACTGCCAGCCGGTGAGAGAGTGTGAAATATTCCCCAGTCGCAGGGCTAGCTGGCTGATATGACGATCGAAAGGTTGAGCGCGCCTGGAACCCCAACATCTCCGGGTCGTGTCTCCCAGCAGGGCCAACATTCTATGGATTAGCCATCTTCACCATTATCTGCGACATCACCATCATCATCCTTCCCATTCCGCTGTTGCTCCAACTGAATATCAAGACCGCACAAAAAGCGGGAGTAGTTTGTCTGTTCCTGCTGGGGCTGTTCACCACGATCTGCTCTATCCTTCGCCTCACGCAAATCCATCGAGTGGCATATGGCGATGGAAATTCGACCATGTTGGTGCTGTGGGGCACAATTGAGTTCAATGTCGGGGTAGGTTTCCACGAGCACGCGAAATAGGATTATGCACCGAACCACTGACTTAATGGATTAGAACATTGTAACTTGTGTCCCCTTCCTCGCCCCTCTGCTGAAAGGTGCAGTGCGCGATTTCCGATCGTACAGTGGCCGGAAAGGGTACGATAGCCGGAGCTATGCTTTGCAGACCTGGTCCAAAGACCCGCGCTCGCAGTTACGGTCGACAACTTCGGCGGCGCCGCAACCCAAACGCACGCCCAGCGAAGAGCTTATCCTCGAGAGTGGGGGCATCGACGAGGGTGGCATTCATATGACGGTGGAGCTGCGCGTGTCGCTGGAGAAGAGGCCAACGACAGAGGTCAGAAAGTGATGCCAGTACTCTTGCCAACGACTGATGGCGCCATTCCTTAGAACTAATCTCTTAGACTTTCGTTATGTATATTAATCACTCACTGGGTCTTCCTTTTTCTTCTCGTCCTATTGTGAGCCACTTTCCGGCGATTTCTGAAATAGTGCAATGCAGGAATCTTATTAGGTGCTTAGCACGACGGGATTAATAGTGCTTACGCTTCTCAGGATCAAATCAGACCAGGATCATACTGGGTCGATGTAACAGACACAAGCCAATGGAGTCGGGCAGAACAGGCCAGGCCAACCGTCCCCGACGGGATCTTCCCGGCCATCAAGCCTAGCTCCATCCAGGAAGAATCCTGTGCGTCCCGTGAAACCTTAATGGTGGTCCACCCGGACGGCCAGCCCCGGGCGGCGACCGAGCTGTGTCCCGCCCACGCCAGCTGGCCTGTTGGTGAGAGATGGATAATCTGGCCGCCTAGTCAAACCAGTAACTGGATATTAGGGTCTGGCCGGTGTGCTAAGTATCTGCTAGAGAGATGGTACCACTATCAGTACGGTTCAGATCCACTACGGACGGACAGTGACAGGTTGACACCGGAGAAGTAACTGTGGTGGTAGGGCTAGAGACCGGGACTAAGGCCTCAAGCACGACGCCGTCCCCCACGCGATTCCAGCCTAACATTCTTAGTGCTGTTAAGGCTCTTTTAGGGCCGGCCTTGTTTCACCTCACGCATTAGAGGGGCACGAAACATCCAATGTAACTTTATTGCGGCGTGATTACGGTTTAATTATGATTAAATTAAGGTTGGCAGAGGTTTTCATTGCCTAATAGAGTCCTTTATCCCAGCTGCTGGTCGTCAACCTTACCAACCCTGTTCGTTGTTCTCAGCAGCACGGATACGAGTCTCTGGCTCCTTGCATATCCAACGACATGGTGATAGCATTTCTAGCAGTGACCCTCAGTTATCAGACAATGCGGCATCAATCTTGACTCTCACCGAGCATTCCCCCTGATCTAACTGGAAAAGATGAGCATAAATTATTCAGAGACAAACACGAGCCTTAGCACCATCAAGCTCTCTAAGACCAACCAACTACGGAGTAGTATAGTTTCGTCGGCCTGACCCCATCCCCAACAATGCCTTACATTCTCATCCCATTGGCACATTCCCTATGATCATGGTTCCACCAATCCAATTCCTGCGCACCTACCACACGTGTGACCGTCCGATTCCAGCCGGCACCCCGTCCGATCCTTGATTACAGCAGTATTACAGCGATGCGTCTTCAGGTAAAAGGGTCAGGGGATGAACCCGTGTTCCCGTGGAACCGAACATCCGTGCCTCCTCGCTGCCCACATCATGGCTGATCTTCCCGTTCTCATCGTCGGTGCAGGCATCAGTGGCCTTCTTCTGGCCCAGCATCTCCAAAAGCTCGGTGTCCCTTACAAGATCTTCGAGCGCGATGCCGCCATCGACGCACGGAGCGGGGGTTGGGGGTTGACGCTTCATTGGGCGCTCCCTGCACTGCGGGAACTCCTACCGGACCACCTCGTGCAACGCCTCCCAGAGGCATATGTCAACAAGGCGGCTGCTGCTCGCGGTGACACCGGTCGCTTTTCGTTCTTTGACCTGAAAACCGGATCTGCGTTGTACAGCGTTCCAGCTGCGGAGCGGATTCGGGTCAGTCGTGTCCGATTGAGGCAGCTGGTGGCCACGGGGCTCGATGTTCAGGTAAGTCTTTATCCACTACCTTGGTGAGATGGAATGGAATGAGTTCAAAACTTTCAGACCACTCTGACCAGAATTGTAGTGGAACAAAACTCTCCAAAATATCGAGTCCACCGCCGATACCGTCACCGCGCATTTCGCAGACGGAACCTCCTACACAGGATGCCTCTTGATCGGCTGCGATGGATCGCGATCCCCCACCCGCGAGATCTTGTACCCGGACAGCCATGAGATGAATCCACTACCGGTGCAGATCCTCGGCGCAGCTACTCTGTATACAGCAGAGGAGATGGCAGGGGCTGCAGAGATTGATCCATTCATATTTCAGGGCTCGCATCCTGAATCTAACGTCTTTCTCTTCTTCAGCAGTATGCATATATCCCCATTCTATCACAAGTCCCACATAAACACGATGGCTAACTTACTATCCTCTATCTTAGTACTCGATACTCCCAACAACTTCGTCGAAAGCAGCAAAGACAAATATGAATGCCAGATCATATTATCATGGGCAGATTCCAAGGAAATCGCAGTCCCCAGCGACAACGGGGAGCGACTCGCCCTCATGAAATCCTTGGCCTCGGACTGGGCGGAGCCATTCAGGACCCTAGTCCATCGGTTACCTGAGAACACGGAGGCACGGTCAATCCGCATCGCGGACTGGATGTTCCGACCGCTGCAAAATCGCTCGCACCCCAGGGTTGTGCTGATGGGTGATTCGGCGCATACGATGACTATGTGTATGTCCATATAATGCTGTGCTATATGGGAAGATACATGCTGACAGAGATAATTTAGACCGTGGAGAAGGGGCCAATAATGCCATCGTCGATGTACTGGATCTGACCCAACGTGTGGATATGCGTTCGCTAGGGTGAGTCTGTCAGCGGATGTACTACTGTGGTCGGAGACAACTAACTAATCGGTCCAAACAGATCCATGTCGACACAAGCGCTGCGAGATGCATTGGACGCCTACGAGAACGACGTCTTCAGGCGCGCAGAGCCTAGTGTACTTAACTCGCGCCAGGCCTGTGTCGATGCTCATGACTTCACACGTATCCTAGACGAGAGTCCCCTAGTATCAGCCCGCGTGCTGAAGGAGGATACCACGGAGCAATAGTCTTAGCCAGAGAATCATCACAGTGTTGCGGGGAGGCAGCATAGATAATTCCTTCAATAAATCACAAACATAATAATTCTATGCTTCACCAGAACACTGCGTATAAGTACAAGGTACCGGACCTATATTCACACACTCCACCCCTTTTAAACCCCCAATGAAGAAGCAACATCGTTATGCAAAATACCCATGTACAACATCTCCTCTCGGCCAACTCACAAATCAACTAGAATATCACCGCCCACCCAATCCCTCATGCGGCGCACGACCGACCTTCGGTTCTCCGGGCTTTCCACCCTTAACAGCCTCCCGATCCCCATCAGAAACAAACATCGAGCGCCCAAGCTTATTCTCCCCATCAATAGCCTGCTGGTCTCCCTCGGGGGAGAATCTTTTCTCCTTGCTTGGCGACTGCATCCGGAATGTGAGCAAGGCGCCGGAGATAACCGCGAACATGGTTAGGAAGGCGATATTCCGGGACCTAACCATACATGTATACTGGTTAAAAATAATGTCCGTATATGATTTACTTCGGTATCGAGGGGGAAGGAGTGGTGCTTACTTAGGTCCGGATGACATGCCATTTCCGTAACTCAGACTTGGGTTCGGCATAGTGGGTAGGATGATGATGATGATGATGTGTGTATCATTTAACTCGAAATTGGTTATTATTGTTAGGAGATGATACTTGTTGTTCAGGTCCTCTTATATTTGAATTCGAATAGTCGCCACGATGACACAACCATGACTGCGATGGGTGTAGGTTTGGCCAGACTTGCGTTTAGCTTTGGTGGGCAGCAGTGTAAGGTTTGGGTGGGTTGTGGATGGGGAAGATGCTCCCGGCGGCTGAGCTGGGTGTAGTTTACTTCATCTATTGTTGCTATTGTGATGAAAGTAGATTGAGTTGTTTGCAGGATATGGTATTTGTTCAGACTAAGTTATACTCCAGGATGTCACAGGATTAGTGCTCAAACTGCTATGAGCGACGGTGATTTGGATCGACCGGTGATGATGTGTTCGGGATGAACTAGGCTTGTGAATGGTGTAGGGACCATATAATGAGAATTATATGAGCTCTTTCTCTTTTTGTCAGCGAAAAAGATGATGGTTGTATATCGGCTACGGCAAAAAAAAATGATGCAAAAAGATCTGACAAGAGTGGGATTCGAACCCACGCCCCTTTCGAGACTAGGAATGCTCCGAAGAACATGCGAGATCAGATACACCTGACCCTAGCGCCTTAGACCGCTCGGCCATCTTGCCTGTTGCTTGAAAATTGCTAGCACCTTTTGCTATAACAGCCCTTACATTCTTTTTGACGTCTAGCAGAGGTTGTCGCAATTACATGCTTCAAAATCATGCCTGATGCTACGAGGTGCATGTCCTATTACTAGGTAAAATGTACCTATAGTTTGACACATAGTGATGGTCTCGACGATTATTATTAACCGTCTAGTATAGTGATCGTTTGATCATACTTAGTACTAGTAGTCTGGTCGGGCCATTGATCTGAACTGACATATATATCTACACAGTGCGGAATGGGGTTCCTTCAGGTGCTCGCAGCAAAATCCACAGTTCCAGGTGGATGCGCTCGTCGAGAGATCATGCGATTCAACTGTGTCCGTCACATGCTCCACGGCAGCGTTAACAGTAGATATGCACGAGTCCAGACGATCATTTAGTCGCAATGATCAACTGAATTGCAACGCTACGAGAAACTATCGAATATAGAGTAACAGTATTGGCTGCTTGCGACCGAGCGCGATTTCCTACGGGGCCCAAACTACTTTCAACAAATGCAGTCAGAGATGACTTAACACGCAATCTCGGGCCGGCCAGCATTGATACCGAACGGGGATAGGCTCAGGATGCGCCGTGAAACAGTGATTATATACCCGTTTAGGAAACTCATAAGGAGGCTGAACGCGATCGCCAGCAATTCGTGCCCCACAGAAGGAATTGGCCGTGCCAGCTGGTTGATGATGACAAAAGGATTACGGAGTATGCTGCACATCATATCATCAATCGCTATCAGCAGAAATAGAACATAATATCTATGATCGACCGCAGAGAACAGACTAAAGGGGTAAAGGGGCCAGGAACAGGAGAGCTTCCCTCTGCTTGCTTCTCCACTCCTGAATGCAGGTACCAGCACAGTTATGAGAAGGTAGATAGTTCATGGAACCCACCGGTCGGGTCATCACCGAATTGTTCTTATAAATTGGACAGAAATCGAGTGCACACATCGAGGTGAGGGTCGGTGATCAACGTGGACAGCAACCACGAGCATAGCCAGAACACTAAGCCGAATTTAGAGAACAGCTAGCGCGCATATATGCACTAGCCAGCCAAGAAGCGCAGACACAAATCAACACCTCCTCTGATAGCAGCTACTAGCAACTGTACAGGAAGAACTGTGAAGATGGTGCACTAAATCTCGTACTAGTCAGAGGGGTATCGGGGTGAATGTTGAGTATTATTGAGAAGTAGGTATGATTACTGATCTCAGCGACGTTCGAACTATTGAGAAATCCCAGCTATTGCTGTCAGCACTAAGGGGGCGCCCGGGGAGAAAAGAGTGGCCAAGGACCGCCAATCTGCGCCTTTTGCTTGGATTGACTCAGACGCGTCATCCCAGTTCTGACAGTGCGAGATGTGATTAGCAGTGCCATTTCAACCGCATCACACACTCCAGCACGATTAGTTCGGAAACGAGCACGAGCCAAGAGGGCCAAACCCCCTCATGGCATGTTACTTAGTCTAACGCTCGCTAATTTATTTGATGCATTGATGGTCTGAAAGCAACAGACCGAATTGCCAGGAGGCCTGCCTAGCTTGCCCACGAAGGGCTCGTGCACCACGCGATGCACTCAACGGTCGAAATAAGAGTATGAAAGGATCAAATATATTGAATCCTCCCGTTCCCACCGGATAATTCGCTCTTGGCGTATGAGGGGAGGTGAGGGGAAATGAGGAGGCATGAGGGGAAATACACACCCGCTGACTAACTGAACCCCTGAGCTCCCTGAGCTCTGAGCACGAGGCATAGGATGGAGCTATTCATAGATGTCATTGAGTGGCGCTTATGCTTTCTTTGCAATCTTACTAGGCTCTTGTCGCCATGGTGGGATGAGTCCCAACCAATTACTCGGGAGGCCGTCTCTCAAATTTCTGCCTGGGAGGGACACTAGTGCCCCAGGGACTATAAGGGGTGGTCGACGACAATGGAGCACATGTGATAGGATCCCCCAGACCTCCCAAGGGCTTGGTAAGTAATTGAGGCGATCTTTGGAATAGGCACGGCGGGGCGACAGTCCGAAAGGGAGGTAACCCCCGATGTTGTCTCTCGACTGGCCAGTCTAAAAAACGCCACCAGGCCAGATACAGTACTAGCCACGCAGGGATTTCACTCCACCGCTTGCCAGTCATTTGAACAAAGGCATTAGAAAAGGCTATCGAGCTTCGTGGTACACTTTTTGTGCTTTTTTTCCAGCTCTCATGACCACCCCCGCCTCGCGTCGATTCGGGAATCTCAGACGAGAGTCTAAATCTCTTCGCTGTGCCGCGCCAATTCTAAAGGACACTGACTCGGAACACCCAATCAGAATATAATGAACTCGATACACAAGACATGCCATTAGCCGAGTAGGCGTCCAGCCAGGTTGCAGCCAAGGCCAACGATTTCGTTTGTTGAGAATGTGTTGGACCACCACAATGGGATCTAGGTGGATGTCACTGCGCGGTTTTCTTTTCCATCTTGCGCTCCACGAGTGATAGGGCTGAAGAACACTGTCACTGTGAACAGACTCAGAACTAGCGACGACTCTAAGAGGACTAGAAAAGAGCGCAATCCAGCGCACAGAAAGGATCATCGTGCTTTCCACGATTCTACGGCATACGGAAAGTCCTCCGTATCTAGTCCGGCCCGCGTAATCCGTAACCATGGATCCAGGGCCGTGTCTGACTCTGTCATCCACCCCCCTGGAGATCCCCTCTCCACCGGCTTAGATTGATCCTCCTTCTGAAAGAGGCAACCCCAAAGCAGACCGTGCTTCGAAAGGTTCGAAGCTTCTTTATCCTCCCGCCTTGTAACCGTGGCGCGGTATGAGGTGATCACCCTAATCATCCCCTTTTCTCTTACCGGGACTCCGCACCTGATAGTGGTTGCGATAAAGAACAGGACTGCAACTGTAGATCCAGGAGCTGAGGAGCTATTTAGAAACCATCATCGTTGGTGCCTGCGATAGCGCACAACAAGTGCCACCATGAGTGCCACCCAGAAACGTGGCCGGAGGCGGAGAATTTTTACAGGCGCCCAGTTTTATCGCCACCACCAGCCAAGAATAACACGGAAACGTAGCTTTCCGACATAATGCTTACAAAGTTTGTTGTCAATGTTATTCTTCCTCACTCGTGGCCAGATACGAGGATCAACGCCAGGAACCAAGTAAAGATACGAAGCAAAAAAAAGTTTGGAACCAGGGACAGGCCCGGGGATACCCGACCTATGAAGCAAAGCAAAGTAGCACAAGTAAAAGTACCAGCTCGGCTTCTCGCGTTTTGCTTCCATGGCCGAGGATGAAACCCGGAGCCACTTTCTGACTCGCTTGCCGGCTTCCGACTGGCGTTGGCCGCCCCACGTGGGCCTGGCAGGAGGTTTACTATTATTCGATATTATTCGGCCTTGGTTTTGCATAAGCCCACACAAGCCAGGACAAAGAACAAAGAAAACAAAAAATAATAAGCCACAAATGCAAAAAGTACCGAACGAGGTGAACCCTGATCCTTTGCCAAGACAGCTACTGAGATAGCTTCTCATCCTAAGGCTTCGAGTGGTTCTGATGCCGAGAAATCGAAACCATCACTGCTTGTAGTTGTCTGATGCCCTCAAACATAACTCACGATGGTCTGGTCGCCCCAGCCGGGGCCCCCAGCCAGCAGCCGTAGTCATTATCAACCGGCCGATAGGGATTTTCATGCCAATAACAAGCTTCGGTGGCGCTTCTAGGGTATCCCTCTAGCGACTAGAACCATTGGGACCGTCGCATGTTGGTCGCACTTTGAGCCGTCTCCAGGCGGACTATTGCCCTCTTATAAAGCTTGGTTGAGACTAGGAGAGACGCCGTTCGCCGCGCAGGTTGAGATAGGCAGCTAACTGAGCCAAGCTCGCTCCCAAAACTTCCCAGGTGGAGATGGAACCCCCCAGTCGTCACGGAAGATGATAACTCCTTTCGGCACATGCCCGAACCCGCCCCGGTAATTGCACTGAGTCGTTTCCGTCGAATCCGTCGAATCCACGGTACCCTCGATCGACACTTGACGCGACGTTCCTAATTGGACTTAGAGCGGGCGAGGGCTCCTGGCCACGCTGCCTGTCAGGACCAACCCCAGGGGGTTCGAGGGCACAGCGGTTATATAGGCCAAAATGCCGTCGGTGGAAAGGAAGCCTGAAACAATTCCACCCCCGGTCACTTTTTCCCCATCATGCTGTCCCTGGCGATCCAGTCCTTGCTGTTCGAGGCAGACGCCCATGCGGCCAGTCCGGCCCTGCAGCGTCGCTCGTCCTCGTCGGCAAGCACTGAGGGCGAGGCTGTCATGAGCCCACTGCCGAGTTTGCAGACCAAGGGCTTGATCGTAATCTCGGCGCTGGCCACCGTCTCACTCATTTGTACTCTTTCCTTGTTGACTTTCTTTACCTATCGTTTTATCTTCTGGAAACGCCACTACAAACGTTACATCGGTTACAATCAATATGTCGTGCTCATGTTCAATCTCATTCTGGCTGACTTTATCCAAAGTCTGGGCTTTATCATCAGTCTGCGATGGATCCAGACCAACTCGGTGACCGCCTCAGATCCTGCATGCTTCCTGCAGGGGATCTGGCTGCAGATTGGTGATCCCATGAGTGGTCTGTTTGTGCTCGCCATCGCCGCACATACTTTTATGCACGTCACCTTGGGGTACCAGATCTCACACCGTCTCTTCGTCTCCATCATTTGTGGCCTGTGGCTCTTTGGGGTTATCACGACTGTCATTCCGATCGCAGCACACGGTCGGTACGTGTGGTATCCAGCTGTAGCCTGGGTAAGTTGATTTTTTCTCTCACATTACCTTTTTCTCTTTCATAAGCCACTAACATTCATCTACCCTAGTGCTGGATGACCCCCAAGTATGAGTCGATGCGTCTGTGGACTCACTACTTTTGGATTTTCGCCTCTGAATTCTTCACCGTCGTCCTGTATGCGATCATGTTCATTCAGCTGCGCAAGAAAATCGCCGAGTCAGCCATTCTGGGCGAGCACAACTCTGAGAGTCTGACCCGACTCAAGCGCGTTATTTTCCACATGGCCTTATACCCTGTGGTGTATATCTGCCTTACCTTGCCCCTTGCCGCAGGTCGAATGGCTTCCGCCAGTGGTCATTCCCCCAGTGTGCTCTACTTCTGCTTTGCCGGATCCTTCATGACGCTGTGTGGCTTCTGTGATTCCCTCATGTACACGTTGAGTCGCCGCAGCGTGGTGCTGGAGCCCGAGGCCAGGATCCACGGCAGCAGCAACAAATATTCCAGCCGACCGAACAAATCGTCGGTCGCACACCACTATGGAAACAGTATCGATGGCAAGGGACCGACCAACACGACGATTGCTCGCGGTCGCAGCGATTCCACCGAGGAGATGATCGGCAAGGACGGGTTGGAGCTGGCCCCGATGGGAGTGGTGCTGCAGCACACGACGATCGAGGTCACCCATGAGGCGGCGTATGACTCGGCATCGAGCAATCTGAGTGGCCAACGCGAGCGAAGCAGCATTTACCATTAAACTTCCTAAGCTGTCATGACGATTTTGCAACTTTTATATGAGATTACCGGCCGAACACCGAGCGCCGGGTTTATACAATTTTAATCAAGTCGCATTTGCCATCCTATTACAGAAACAGTCGAGAAAGGTGTTCCCTTTTTCTTTGCATCTGCGACAAAGTCCGTCTCGCCACAGCTATGCGAGCATCACGCGCCCACAAGCTATCGTCGCTGATCGATTTGCGACCGACGCGCGCATTGTATCTGAAGGTCCCTCCACCGTACTTCAGAGGACCGAAACCCTCACTGGGTTAGCGACGACCCAGCCCAGCCACTGAGTGGCGCGGCCAACCCACATGCGCCGTGAAAGGGACACCTAGCCCACAGGCAATGAAATGCCAGTCAAAATGGGCAATTTCATCAAGATCCCGATCCAGTCACCTAGACCAGACAGACTTTGCAACGCTTTGACTGCAACGCTTTGACCTGCGCTGGCCACGCAATGAATGAAATGGCGCCTATCCTGGTAATTTTCCGGGGTTAATGATTCTGGCGGAGGACAGCAACATCTGCCATCTACACGTCACTGTACATATTTCCTATCAGTCATGATGCAAGTATAAACGAACATAAAATCAAAAAGACAATTACTACCACAATACAGTATACACAAGTAAATTCGGAACATAGCCGACAAGCCAATAGGAATGTACCCCATAATTGAGTTGTCCCAACCCCGCACGGAGACAAGATCTAAGGTTATCTGCGTCTTGTACCCCCTTGCTTTGCTTTCAACCACCATCTTATCCATCTCTTTTATTTCCCCTCCCTGTCAGTTATACAAATATCATACATACAATACAATATGTACATGAAAGAGATATACACGGACTCCACCCCCTCCACCCTCCACACCTTCATCCAACAAAACCCCCTCGGCGTCCTCACTACCGCCATCCCCTCCTCTACACACCCATTACTCCAATCCACCCACATCCCCTGGGTACTCGACATTCCTCCTCCCAGCACTGCCGATAACAGTAACACCGTCAAACTCCGCGGCCACATCGCCCGCGCCAACCCCCAATGCGCCGCCATCCTCGACTCCCTAGCCACTCAACCCGAATCCATTCTCCCCACCGAAGTCCTCATCCTCTTCACCTCCCCCTACCACAGCTACATCACCCCGCACTTCTACACCACCACCAAGCCCCTCACCGGCAAAGTCGCTCCAACATGGAACTACGCCGCCGTGCAAGTCTACGGCTGCGCACGGATCTACAACCCCCGTTCAGAGGGAGAGCTCGGCGAGCAGGCCTCGATGTTCTTGGATACACAACTCCGCGATCTATCAGCGCACTGTGAGGGGGAGATCATGGGGTATACTACCACCGGTACTAGTGATACTCATACTCATAACAACCCGGAGGAGAAACCATGTCCCCGAGCATGGACCGTCGACGAAGCGCCCGACGCATACATCAACATCCTGAAGAAGAATATCATCGGGATAGAAGTGACTGTGACGCGAATGGACGGGAAATTTAAAATGAGCCAGGAACGCGGAGAGGGGGATCGGGAAGGGGTGCTAAGGGGTTTGGATGGGATGGGAGGGGATGTCGCGAGGGGAGTGGCGGGGATGGTGAGGGAGTGTTGTTGTGATACTAGACCATGAATAAATATAGAGGATTGTGGATTATGAGGGGTAAGTTAGGGGCAGAATTACATCAACGGGCAAGATGGCCGAGCGGTCTAAGGCGCTAGGGTCAGGTTATCTGATCTCGCATGTTCTTCGGAGCATTCCTAGTCTCGAAAGGGGCGTGGGTTCGAATCCCACTCTTGTCATATCTTTTTGCATGGTTTTTTTTGTGCATGGGATGGATTGTTTGTTTGAGAGTAGATACTGATACATAGATTATATATTCTATTGTGATTTTGATAGAAAAGGTGTTGGTTAGCCTCAATGTTGATGAGGTTTCATGTAACACAGGGAAGACTAATATATTTATCTCCATATATTGTACTCGACTCCACGAGATACAATCACCTGGACGGTGGAAGCACGCACATGCACTTAATTTCTGGGTAATTGTCTTTAATTACGAAACTATCTCCTCTAAAATAAACCTTCACTGCATCATGGTCAAAGGCAAGAGAGTACCAAGCACTGGTATTTGGGTTGTATTGTTCTTCTCCTCACCTGACATGTTTCAAGCACACAGCACCTAAACGACGGTGGTATAGAAACAACATCACATCGGGCGCTGACTCCTACGGGTCCCAGGGCCACAACAATAGTCCAGATGTTATCATAAAGGCAGGACCAGTTGGAATGGGCTTGTTTCGATCCCCACTGTGGCTTACAGAACATGGTTAGTGAGAGCGCTCTATCACTCACATCCCCACCAGAGCTTCCTATATCTATCCCCGGCTTTCCGACGGGGCTGTACATATTATATTCGAATTTCTAGTGATTGTTACTGAAGTGAACTAGACCGGTCAGTTGCATACTTAGCATGGTCCCGAATCGTCCATGAACATGACATATTGGTGACCGTTTGCCAGGAGAGTGGCAGTATTGTCATACACCGATCAAGGAAGCATTCAAGATAAGATTCCCACAGAGTCTGACCTTCACCGAACTGCCACTGGAAAAAAATGTCTTGAATGCACAGTTGACGCTTTGCCAAGCTCATCGCCCCCTCGTAGACCATTACCCCCCGCGACATCTCTCGCATCACCCCAACAAGCCTCGATGCCAACAAGCCAAGAAAGGTTAGCCGACACTAGGGTCATCTGCTCGTCTTCTAGTCGTCTAGTCATGCTGTTAGGCGTCATAGCAGTGACTCATATCCGACTGGACCTCAGCCTGATTTTGAGCTCGAGCCACCAGGTACCTGGAGGCAGGGCTAAAGACTGAAGCGCTCACGGCCGATACGGAGTCCGTCGGCACAGTGAACCGAACCAAAGTATTAGATAGCTTTATCTTAAAGATAACCGAACTGGGCAGGTGTAGTAGTGAAATGGCACTATCATGGCCTTAGAGAAATGAGAGTATGGGACGACTTGTCGCTAGCTTGGGTTCTCATTATTAGGGAAAATCAGCGGAGAGTGGACTGAGCGCAGGGTAGATAGATAGATTTCTGGTGGACTGAATTGGTCTGAGATTTTGTCGAGGCTAGTAGCGTGTGATATGGTGGACCCTGATTTGACTTCTCTCGTGAGGTGAGCATGGCATTTTAGAGTTCTCCAACCGCTGCTTTCTTCCGAGTTTGAGGGGTTACTCTCCATGCGTATAGATGATGGCTAGTATCCCATGTCCTGCATCAAAATCCGTCATATGGTCAAGATAACAAGTCCAGTGCAAGTCCAATACCCCTTTCAAGGCGAGCATGATAGCAAAAGTTTTGCTTAATATAACGGTAGCACTAGCCCCTCGATCCACCCTATACGAAGTGGATATCGCAGTTCACGGCCAGGATGCGAATCAGGGTCTTGCCAAGCGCTCTTTGATCTCTAGGCGAACGGGCCGATAACCACGAAGGAGGCGCTATTGTCAGGGATTAAATTGCATTGTACTGTGCAAAGGCCCGTTGAACTAGGCTGTGAAACCGACAAACTCAAATGCCCCAAATGCTAACCTGGAATAGTAGCTGTTCTGTTCTTGTTCCAGTCGAAGGATGGTTAGCTAACCGCGACGGCTTATTAACTAACTCTAGTCGACCGCGCGGATGACAGCTTGTCATTGGATAAGGGGGAACAAGTCCGCGGTGACTAACAAAGAAGTTTTAGCGCTGGACGAAGAATCGGGTGCCTCCGCCTGCATCCGAGGATGCGAGGCCACGCCATCCCACGTTTGGGTTTGTCGTCACTCTGGCTGGGTGTGCAGTGTTGAACAGCATGTAGTGGTGATCTCAATCGCAAATGGACAGGAGATGATATTCATGTCATAATCAGAGTGCCATGTCAGCGACCATGTCTTGCCAAGAGTCATCATTTCCGGTAAGACCGACGGAGGTAAAATCCCGGTCATTCACTAGTTCGAGGGAGGGAATAGTCTCGCAGGTCTCTTCTTCTTTCTTCCTCGGGGTGGCGGATGGATCACTTCTTCATTTGATGGTTGCCTGCCAACGACCCACTTGACTAGGTTTCCCCCCTGATGGGATTCGTTGGTTTTACCAGACAGAGCCTCTTCACAGCCCAGCGCGTGTTCCGCAAAAGCAACAGCCCAAGGGTCTGAAGGCTGACATTGGAGCGGGTCTGACGCAGGATGGCTTGCTGTTAAAAAAACTCAGGAACAGGCCAAGACGAAGCGACCGCGCAAGGCTGAGCAGTTCTCCGATTTCCCCCGTGCCCCTCCTGCCCCTCCCATGGGCGAGCTTTTTATCCAGATCCATCGTTTCTGCACCGATCATATAAGAAGCTCCGCACCCCCAAACTCCCCTGGCAAGTTCCTGCCCCCAAATTACGTGAGACAGGGAACCATCACAGCAACACCATGAAGAGCACCACTCTTCTTTCCTTGGCCTGGGCTGCCCAGTCCGCCTATTCCCTCTCTATCCACGAGCGCGATGAACCCGCTACTCTTCAGTTCAACTTTGAACGTCGTCAGATCGCCGACCGGTCCCGTCGGAAGCGATCGACGGCCTCGGCCGACCTCGTTAACCTGGTATGTTCCCATTCCGAGTCTCAAATCAGGGGAATTATGACGGTCGCTAATGCAGGTTTCTAGGCTACGAATCTTGGCTACACGATGAACCTCACACTCGGCACTCCCGGCCAGGAAGTCAGTGTGACGTTGGACACCGGCAGCAGCGATCTCTGGGTCAATGGGGCCAACTCGTCCGTCTGCCCCTGTACCGATTACGGCTCTTACAACTCAAGCGCTTCTTCCACCTACACCTTCGTGAACGATGAGTTTTATATCCAGTATGTCGACGGCAGTGAAGCCACAGGCGACTATGTCAACGATACCCTAAAGTTCTCCAATGTGACTTTGACGAACTTTCAATTTGCCGTCGCATATGACGGCGACTCCGAGGGTAAGTCTTCGCTATTCCCTCACTTTCTTTTTACACTTTGCTAACGGCGGTACCATGCAGAGGGCGTCCTCGGTATCGGATACGCCAGCAATGAAGCCAGCCAGGCCACCGTCGGTGGTGGTGAATACACCAACTTCCCCGAAGCCCTCGTCGATCAAGGCGCGATCAACTGGCCGGCCTACAGTCTATGGCTGGATGACCTCGACGAAGGAAAAGGCACCATTCTGTTCGGCGGAGTCAACACCGCCAAGTACTACGGCAGCCTGCAGACCCTGCCTATCGTCTCCATCGAAGACATGTACGTCGAGTTCGCGGTCAACCTGACGGCCGTGCACCTTGAGAAGAACGGCAACTCCGTCTCGGTCAACAACAGCGCCACGCAATTCCCCATCCCCGCCGTGCTGGACAGCGGCACGGCCCTAACCTACATCCCGACTTCCGCCGCAGCCAGCATCTACGAGGCCGTCGGTGCCCAATACCTGAGCGAGTACGGGTATGGAGTGATCGAGTGCGACGTCAAGGACGAAGACTTCACCTTCCTGTTCGACTTTGGATCCTTCAACATGAGCGTTGACATCAGCGAGATGATCCTCGAGGCCAGTTCCGACATGACCGACATGAACGTTTGTACGTTTGGCCTCGCAGTGATCGAAAATGAGGCCCTGCTGGGCGATACCTTCCTGCGCAGCGCATACGTCGTCTACGATCTCGGAAACAATGAGATCTCCCTGGCCAAGGCCAACTTCAACCCCGGCGAGGACCACGTCCTGGAGATCGGCACCGGATCGGATGCCGTGCCCAAGGCGACGGGGGCGACGGCGACCGGCGCGGCAGCCACATCCACGGCCTCGAGCGACAAGTCGGACAAGGAGAGTTCGGCTACAGTGCCGCGCAGCCAGATTGTCTCGCTGGTGGCGGGAGTCTTGGTCGGTGTTTTCTTGGTTCTGTAAATATAGAGATTTCACGTTGCATGTTGATGATACATACCATAGATTTACTTCTGTTTGCCCCTTACATCTCGAAATGTTTTCTGTTTTTAGCTTGATATCCCATCGCTTCAGGTTCAGATATGGAAATGAAATGAAAATCGGAATGCAAGATCTGATCGAATAGTTGTTTCATTGCCGCGTGGCTGGTCCGATCGGCACGAAGCCAGTAATCGACAACCAATCATACATTGTGATTTCCTGTCAACCTCCTTGCGACTACTTACTACTAATTTTATCATATCATGCCGTTGTGACCTATCCTACTCGGTGTCCCCACACCGATAATAGCCACCCGCGACCGGATAATCGGTAGCCTGCCAAGAGTCGAACGGCTTTCCTGTGGAAAGGGTGGCTGCAACCTGTTTGTTTCAGTTTTTGTGTTGCAGAATTGACTATCCTTCTGACCTGTGTATGATACCCGGATGGTGACGTAGTGAAAATGTTGGTGGAGCGATTAAGGTTTGTGCCTGTCAGCCTCGTCTAGTCCATCATCATGTCTTTTCCGGACTATCACTTCCTCTACTCTGAAACACTGTAACTCCCCCGCCAGTATTCTTTTCGTCAACTAGAACGTTCGATGTGAACCGGATTGAAGAGTGCCCGGTGACGGTCGGAAGCAATCACACTGTGTCCTCCGTGGCCAAAATCACACTATCGAGAAACTACTGCATGTGAGAAGAAGTAAACCTACGCGGAACCGAGGGGAGAGCGAAAAGAAGCAACGCTGAGGATAAATGAGAATCCACCTCCAACCTCGTCCCAGACCAATCTGCCCCTCCTACCAAACGAGAACCCCCAGACGATCGCTATGCCTATCCTCCCCCGCCTTCATCTCTTCGAAATCGCCGATCAGCCATGGTGTCCCGACAAGGCCATCGAATATGTTCAGCTATGCCTCACCCACTGCTGGAACCTGCGCCTGCCACCGATCGCCAAGGCTTCTTCAGCCGACGTTGCCTGCGACGTCCTTGCTGAGAATTTTCCCGACATCTCGTCTTTCACCTTTGTCGATTTGGGCTCGGGCGCAGGAGGCCCATCCTCCACCCTGGAGCGACTTCTCAACGCCCGCCTGCGCGCCCAGCATCTCCCCCCGGCCCAGTTCCTGCTGACCGACCTCAACCCCCATCCGCGCGAATGGGCTGCCCTCACCAAGCAACAAGAAAACATCTCCTACATCTCTGAATCAGTGGATGCGACCAAATGTGATCGACTGGTCCCACAGATCCGGAAGGAATGTCGAATGTTCAACGTGGCGTTTCACCATTTCGATGACCCTCTTGCTATGCCCATGTTGCGGAGCGCGATTGAATCGGCCGATGCATTCATGTATGTCATCAAGCCCCATAAATACACATACCTTGACATTTTGCTTCGCTAGTATGGATAAACACTGATGACGAGAATTAAGTATTTTCGAACTCACCGCGCGTGATTTCAGCTCGATGCTTATATTACCTGGCATAGTACTGATCGCATTCCAGTACACTCTGCTTCGATTCTGGCGGTCACCCTTACATTTGCTCTTCACATTTGTGTTGCCTCTGGCACCTCTACTAATGGTCTTTGATGGCTTTGTGTCCATCATGCGCTGCCGGACTCCTGATGAGCTGCATGATCTAGTCAGACGGTCGGATGCGGCTGGCTTGGAGAACTGGGAGTTTCGGTCTGGCAAGTCGCCTGTTATGTATCCGACTACAAATGTGCATTGGTTTATGGGGGTGAAGAAGACAGCTCAGTAATTCTGCTCAGAGATGGGGAAGCTGTAATCAGTCAAGTTTAATTGCTATGTGGTGGGTTGATCCTATTCTAGTATCTAACTATCTAGTACCCACACAGAACTTGTGATCTGTGTTTCAACGATCAAGATGACGAGGTGGCTTAGTCTCATGAGAACTATTGCAAAAGTGCTGCAACCATCCTCTTCCAAAGTGCATTCATTCAAATGTGGTCGTCAACCAGGACACCCTATAGGGAGCCTCGTCAGTGTAGGAATCAGCGGTCCTGGTCCACGCCTATGCTTTTATGCAAATATTGACCACAGAGCGAAGGTGAGTGAGTCTTCAGCATGGCTGCCTCCAAGTAGCTCAGAGGTATACACCTCGACAGCCGATGCCGAGACCCTAAAGTTCACTAGCCGTTAGTGAGTGAATAGTCACCACATCGACCCATCATTGGCTGCAGTTAGCCCACGTGCTTATCCTGCTTGCAGATGAGCACTTGGACTACAGGGCATTCATCATACAAGGTCGCGTGGCTGACGCAGCCAAATGCAAGGAACCCGGGAAAGGATCCTATCCAGCCTGGGGTACGACTTGCGTCTCCACACCCCATGTAAGCGAGATGATGGCTGTAGCCGAGACATGACAGACACCCTATTTCGTGGTGCCGTGGCTGATTTCAATCAAGAAGATGCCCACGTGCATCGATACTCTTCAGCAGCTGGTACACTCAAACGGTATCTGAGCATGACATATACACAATAATGCACAAGGCAGTGATGGGCATGTATACGGCTTTGCATTTCATTGCTTCCCCCCAGAGCATGCAATGCCTACAGATTGGCACCTCGCCCCCTCCTGCCTGGCGTTAATGCTGACTGAACTGTTTCTTGCAATTAAAGTGGGAGTATCAATATGCACCCGACTATTGCTACCCTTTCTATACTGGCAGTAGCCTCACTAGCTGAGGCTGTTGCCATTGAAGCTCGCTCGCAGAACGCCACTCCACTGACTCCCAGTCCCTCGGCTACCACAACCGGGATTGATTGGTTTCAGACCACGCCTGAAAGCTACCAGGGTATGCAGTCGCTCCTCTTTTGGACTCTATATCAAGCTGACTTCAGAAGGCACGACTGCAACCGGCGTTGCTCCCTTCTTAGCCGAGACAAACCCTGCTCCGTTTGGACAAAAGACCCTGTCTCCAAATGACCCGTTGGAAACAAGTGAACCGATCGAGGGGGCTGCTGGTCGCAATATATTCCATTACATGGGCAACTTAAGGTACATTTCCTAGTGATGGGTTCCCCATGGCCCTCAATGTTAAGCCCATTACTAAACACATACAGCCCTTACCATGTGCCCGATGGCTTCGGAGTGGATGAATATCCTCTCCCAAAAGGATCCAACATCACTCAGATGCATATGATCCATCGCCACGGCTCCCGTTATCCTTCATCCTCAGAAGGTCTGGCCTCATGGGCCCAGAAAATCATCAATTCTACCGCCAGTGGCAACAACTTCACGGGCGCACTTTCTTTCCTAAACGATTGGGACTACGGACTAGGTCTAGAAATCCTCGTCCCCAAAGGCCGCCAGGAGCTCTACGACAGCGGCGTCCTAAACTTCTACAACTACGGACACCTTTACAATGCGAGCTCCCCCCATAAGCTGGTAGCGCGCACCACCACCCAAGACCGCATGCTCAAATCCGCGGAGAACTTTCTCGCCGGCTTCTTTGGCCTTGAATGGACCGAAAAAGCCAACCTCCTCCCAATAATAGAAGGAGTTGGCTACAACAACTCCCTAATCGGGACTTACTCCTGCACCCGTGCACTAGAGTACATGGCATACAACGCCACCACACCCCTATCAACATGGAAAAACATATACCTCAAAGCGCGCACCGAAGCGCTCCGCACCCTGACCGGATCCTACAACTGGACCACCACCGACAGCTTCAACGCGCAGGATATGTGCGCCTACGAGACCATCAGCTATGGCTACAGCCAATTCTGCGAGCTTTTCACCTTCGAAGAATTCGAAAACTTCGGCTACGCCTTCGACATCGAGTTCGCCAACATGGTCGGGTTTGCCTGTCCCGCGGGCCGCGCGCAGGGAATTGCCTGGGTGGAGGAATTCCTCGCCCGTGTGGAGGGCCACTTACTCCAGACTACAGGCACTAATGCTAACATGACCTTGGACACCAACCCTGTGACGTTCCCAACGGACCAGAATCTTTACCTGGATTTCTCGCATGATGCCGGTATAGTTGCTGTTCTTACGGCGTTTGGGTTCCGGCAGTTCGCCGAATCCCTGCCTGCCACTGGGCCCCCTCTGTACCAGCAGTTCAAGAGCAGTAAAATCGTGCCTTTTGCTGGTCGGACGAATATTGAGATCATTAAGGCGCCGAATCAGGTGGCTGCTATTCGTCCTGCGGGTGATCAGAGCGATGCTTATGTTGATGGTACTGGAGAGACGTTTTATGTTCACTTTTTGCAGAATCAGCGTACGCTTCCCCTGCATTCTAGCTTTGAGGAATGCGAGTATCGCGATGATGGATGGTGCGAGCTTTCGACGTTTATGGCTGTTCAGAAGAAGAGTTTGCAAAGATCTCAGTTTGAGTATGCTTGTTTTGGGAATTGGACTGTGACTGAGTATGGGACTGTTACTGATGGTGTTCCGGTTTGAGATGCTGCAAACAGATCATGTATCATAGAAAGAGCACAAAAATGAGTAGAAGCTAGTGTGGTATGTTTTATTCAATATATACTCCAACATGAAGGATATGTAATTTATGGAAGCAGCAGCAGCACAATATAGTGACATTGCCTCGGCGTGCACAAATTAGTTATCCGGAACCGGATGGTCCGCCGCTTCAACGCCTGCATGCCAGCGATACTTTGCAGCCGGATGATCAGCCGGCGGGCCGCTCTGGCCTTCTTTGCTGTAAAGATTTTCTCGGTACGTTCCCTTCTTGACAGTGTAGTCATCCCAGAAGAGGCCTCTCTTACGAAGTTCAGGGATTAGCAGGTCGATGATATCCTTGAAAGAGCCGGGTTTGATAGCATACGCCTGGGACCTGTTAGCCAAGCACATCCTCCATACTGTCGAGCAACTCACCAAATTGAATCCATCCACATCTGCCTCATTCACCCACCGTTCCATCTCATCAGCCACCTGCTCCGGTGTTCCCACCGGTGTCGCGCCCAATCCACCCACCGTGATATGCTGGCCCACGGTAGCCTTAGTCCAATTCTCGACTTCCGGGGTAGCCTTCGACCAACCCTCAACCGCAGACCTATCACGCACCCATTAGCATCTCTCCCTCAAACCATCCACGTAGATGATAACATACCGAATAGCATTACTCTCCACATGCCTCAACTCCTCATCATCCCCATACCGATCCAGATCAATGCCCGTCCACCCCCCAAACAGCGCCAACGCACCATCAATCGACCCCAAGCTCCTAAAATACCTAAACTTCTCCTGTGCCTCCTCCTCCGTCCTTCCCAGCACCGGACACAACAGCGCCAGAAACTTAATTCCCGCGGGGTCTCGCCCGAACTGCGTCTTTGCCGTCTCCCGTATCTCCGCAATATTCTTCGCCACCACGGACGGACTATGTCCCGCCACAAAAATCGCCTCGGCATGTTGCGCCGCGAACGCCTTCCCGGCTTTAGATGTCCCCGCTTGGAGGATCACGGGCGTGCGTTGCGGGCTGGGTTGGCAGATGTGCGGGCCGGGCACGGTGAAGTATTTGCCGGAGTGGTTGATTTCGCGCACCCGTGTTGGGTCCGTGTAGATTCCGCGGGTGCGGTCCAGGACCACGGCGTCGGATCGCCATGAAGATTCCCATAGTTTGTAGGTGACTTTGATGTATTCTTCGGCTTGGGCGTAGCGGTCGTCGTGCTGGAAGTTGGTTAGTATAAGGGGGGGTAGAATGATTTATGGGTGGAGCTGTGGGTTACCTGGGGTTGCTGGGTGTGGCCCAGGTTACGGGCTGCGGAGTCGAGATAGCCGGTTACGATCTGGCTTGTTTAGTTTTGTGATTACTATTAGCTGAGGTGGGTGGGTGGGTGCTTACGTTCCATCCTATCCTGGTTTGTGTTAGTATTGGTGGTGGTGAGGATGATCGTGTAGGATGATAACTTACCGTCCCTTAGTGAGATGATCAATAGTGGAGAGACGACGCGCAAGATGATACGGCTGCTCGTAAGTCGTTGTGACAGTCACTCCGAAGCCGATATTTTGCGTTGCGGCTGCCATGGCAGGTACGACAGCTAAAGGCTCGTTGACGGGCCATTGTGCGCCAGAGATAATGGCTGGTTCGAGGTTGCGGGGGCCTTTGTACACGTCGTAGCCGCCTGGGAAGGTTAGTATGTATGTTTCAAAGGTGCACTGAGGTTCAGAGTTACCTAAGACATCTGCGATGAAGATTCCGTGAAACTTAGCGGATTCTAGAAGCTTTGCGAGCTCAATCCAGTGGTCGATGTCGTTGAATCGGTGCGATTCGTCCTCTGGGTGTCGCCACAGCCCTGGGGACTGGTGGCCACTACCTGGGGTATGTTAGCCGATGAAGAGAAGAGAAGTGAGTGGGATGATGCGTACACATTTCCACAAATGCATTGAGGATGAGTTGTTTGCGGGGTCGAGATGTAGCGTTGTCGATAGCCATTGTGGAGGATAGATAGGATGTTAGGTTAGTGACAGGGGTGCTCGCTTGGGCTTATCCGAACCGGCAAAGGCTGAGTCTTCAATATGAAAAATAGAACAAGAAGACCAGTTAATTATAGAGTTTCTGGCTCAGAGATCGACCGTGAATAAGTATGGACCATAAGTGTGTAATTCAGACCTCGCTGGAGGGGATATTCTGTAGCATCACAGTGGGCCGGGATGACGTGATGGGGAGATGAGGGGTCGCCCATTCACGGGCATCCCATATTCAATACAACCCCAAATAAGAGCAGGGATCATTCTGAATCTCTTTATCTGAAAACTGGACTCATCGATTTGTGGTAGAGATTTACAAGACCTCGGTAGTTGGGCGAAAACTTGGCACAAGCCACCTTGGGGTCCCGGGGCATTCACCCCTGCCCTATCTTTGGTCCTGTTCCGCCAACTATCGTTGTTGTCACGCAATAACTTAACTTTATTGACCTTACGCTATATGGACAATCATGCACGTATATCGGCCGAATAACTTTAAACTTAGATATATTATCCCCAGGATCTTGGAACACGGTCCAAGCACCTCATATGCATAGGCTATCGTATCATCAGGGAACACCATGTTCGCAGTAGCATACAATGATCGGCGGATAGCGTGATAGTAATGATAATGTGTGCTGTGATGTAGATCTTAAAGGTACAATTGCCGGGGTGCCTCCACATAGTCAGCCTTGTCTTTCTTGTCAGTGAGTGCTGCATTGCCTAGCCACCGGGGTTTCTTAACAAGATGTCGGAGATTCAAGCTCGCGCAGCAGGAGCATCAGTGCAACCGCCACTGTCCCAGGCTGTTGGATATGTTATAGTCGTGGTGCTAGGGCTCATCATCGCCGGTGGTATGTCCACCAAAAATGGACGAGTGATGCAGCTGACAAAGCAGTGATGATGGTCATCACCAAGATCCTTAAGAAAACAACGGGCGAGGATAACAAGAAGACTGAGATGTATGTCCAACCGCACTAATGACATTTTACATGCTAATTATTCAGGTTCATGACTGCCAATCGCACCGTTCGGACCGGCTTGACAGCATCCGCAGTAATTTCGGTACGAGTCTATCCTCGGTAGCGATACATCCCCTACTAAGTAAACAGTCCTGGTTGTGGACAACAGCAATGCTAGGAGCATCGTTTGTAGGCTATGATTATGGCGTGGCTGGCCCATTCTGGTTCGCCGCAGGCTGCAGTCCCATGATTGTCTTTTTCGCCTTGATTGGAATATCGTGCAAGAGGAAGATTCCGGATGCACACACATCGCTCGAAGTGGTCCGGATCCGATATGGTAGGCTGCATGGAAGCTATACTTATCGACTTGATGTTGATGTGTTCAGGTCGCATTGCACACGCGGTCTTTATGACCCTGTGCTTGATAAACAACATTTTTGCCTGCGCTAACATGCTTCTGGGCGCTGCTGCTGTTATCTCCGCCATGTAAGTGGGCCACCAGATTGACGAACATTGCTGACCATATAGAACTGGGATGCATATCATTGCTGCGACATTTTTACTGCCAGTTGGTGTTACTGTGTACACCTTCGTAGGCGGCATTAAAGCCACGTAAGTGCCCTGCTGAGGAAGATGTACACTATGCTTACCGGAGAAGATTCCTTACGGACTACTTCCACACGGCGATCATTCTTATCATCGCATGCTATCTCTCGGTCAAAGCATTCACTTTCGAAGAGGTTGGCTCAATTGGTAAATTATATGAGCTCGTCCAAGCTGCTGCACAGCGCCACCCTGTGTCAGGAAATCAAGATGGGACGTACCTGACCATGACTTCGAAGGGTGTATGTACTATGCTCCATGCTGTTGTCTCCGCTAACAAACGCAGGCTATCCTGTTCGGGATACTTCATATTTGCTCCAACTTCGGCCTAGTGATCGTAAGTATAAACACACCGACCTGAGGTATCATTAACATTTCTGCCAGATGGACACCAGCTACTTCATCAAAGCTTTTTCCGCTGCTCCCTCCTCAGTAGTACCGGGATACACCATCGGTGGGATTGCCTACTTTGCCATTCCCTGGGCTCTAGGAACCATTATGAGCTCCCTTGCCTTAGGTCTTGAAAACACAGCGTCCTTCCCGACATATCCCCGCGTAGGTACTCTTCACTTTTGATCCCAGGAGATGCTAATCAATGCAGCGCATGACCTCCACAGAAGTGAGCAACGGCCTTGTCCTTCCATACGCGGCCATGACCATTGCAGGAAAAGGCGGGGCAGCTGCAGTTCTCCTTATTACCTTCATGGCAGTAACTTCGACCCTCTCCGCGCAAGTCATCGCCGTCAGCTCTATCCTAAGCTTCGACGTGTACCGAGAATACATTAATAGGGCGGCATCAGACAGGGACATCATCCGTGCCAGTCACTTCGGTGTCATTTTCTTTGCTGCGTTTTCTGCTGGGTTCAGCACTATGCTCCATTACGTTGGTATTGACCTGGGCTGGACACTATATATGCTCGGTAAGCCTCCACTTCAACCAAGGTCGGTCCAAATACTTATGGAAATAGGTGTGGTAACCTGTCCTGGAATCTTTCCCATGGCCTTCACAATCCTCTGGCGTCGACAGAGCAGAGCAGCCGCCATCCTGTCCCCAATTCTGGGAATGGCGACCGGCATCGGCGTATGGTTGGGTACAGCACAGCACTTCTACGGTGCCGTGTCTGTCAGCTCAACGGGGCAAATACTACCTTGCGTATATGGAACTGTAGCGTCTGCTTTCTCGCCGATAGTGTACTCCGTCGTGATTACCCTAGTCAACCCGCAGAGGTATGACTGGGCGGAGTTCCGCAAGGAGAAGCTGGGACTCGAGCGACTGGATAGTGATAGCGATATCACGGTGAATGGTCAAGGTAGTGAAGAGCAGCAAAATCGGACCTCGTTTGATCCCCAGGAGCTGAAGAGATGGGGGCGCATTGCTGCGTTTTGGTCCATTGCGACTTTCCTGGGCCATTGGGTGTTGTGGCCATTGCCGATGTACGGATCAGAATATGTTTTTGGAAAGGGAGTGAGTATTTGTCACTGTTGCTTCTTGTGTGAATGTCGGTGGATTGCTAACAGATTTGTCAGTTCTTCACTGCTTGGGTTATTGTGGGAATTATCTGGTTGTGGATTACCATGCTCGTGGCGATATTCTATCCCCTTCTCGATGGGGGAATGCAGCAGATGTTGCAAATATCGCGGGCCCTGCGGGGAAGGAGAGAGGCAGTCACATCCACATCACTACCATCAGTGAATAATGATTCTCCCGAGGTCTTCAGAGTGAATGAGAAGACTTGACCGTCGTGTCAATTTTGTGGAAGATGCCGAGTTATATGGAGATGCCTATGAATGCTGCCTACGCAGGATCGACAGCAATTCACAAGTATTAGGTAATTATTCATTTCAGTATATTAAACGCCTAGTATAAAAGGCCCCCGTCTTTCGTCGTTTGGTTCACAAGAACTTCATCATGAACATAATCGAGTCTTTCATCTATATATATAAACCAATCTTTTAGATGCTACCATCCTCACTTTACACGTTTGCCCGAACAGCAACCATGTATGCTGATGATCCCCTTAGTCTGTCAGCGCTTCCCAGACAAATTGATTCATTGATCGAGACATTCATGGTTCTGATTTGCGGTGTCTGCAAAACAGGTCTTCCAAAGAGCTACTGTTCAGTCGAGAATTTGACTGAATTTGCTTGATCTTTCGAGACACCACAGTCATTGTAACAAGGCACCCACCAGATCATCCGTCATTTCCGCTACCTATGTGGGCTTTTCTCCTGTTATTCGTACCGAGACTGCCTATTCTGACTAGCCAGAGTCATTTTGGTTCTGAAACCACTTCCTTAAGCTCGATATATTGAATTCGTTCAAACTAGCCCCGGAACTTGGGAATTATTTTTACCATGGCAGCCACACTGCCACTCGAGCTACTCCATATAATTGGAGACAGATTACGCCAGAAAGGAGTGCCATTAGCTCCCTGTACCACTGTCAGCCGCTGGTGGAAGGACGTTTTCGAGGCATATATATACATTCGGGTTGTGGTCCGCAGCACAAAGGCTGAGTTGGAAGCTCCTCTTCCCGGTATACCTGTCGATGTATTCAAGAGTTTGGCCTCACAAGATGGAAATCCTCGACATTGCCATCAATGACATACAAATTTCCCGAGGTATTTAGAGTGAACGGGAAGCCTTGACTATCAAGTTCATTTTGCGCAAGGTCTCGATGTGCTGGTAGTTCCCACGGCTGCTGGGACAGAGATATATGTTACAAAGGATCAGCCAGCTATCTTAACTATGCGTGAAGCCAGAGGTATTGAGAAAACTTGGATATACCAGTTGGCATTGTGAAAGACATGTGGACTTTGGGCAGGCATACTCTGTACGGCTTACTAACTGGCCACCGAATTAGCTGCAGCGCTGGCAGCGATTCGTCTACAGGACTATACATATCAGGGAATAGCAACGATGCTCATATAATGCCAATCTTTAGCTTGAGCTGTTTTTGCTCCATATGGCCTTAAGACTTTCCGCGCTGATGCGTTTTTTTTTTTTTCCATCTTCGACAAGAACTTCAAAATCTCACAGTTTTGTGACAAAACATTTCAATGAACGAACATTTGGGCTTTAAAGTCGAGAAGCCCGGATGGCTTGACTTTGTGCAGGCAGACGCTGGAATTCGCCTCTCGTGCCCACATTAGGCGAGGAAAAGGTACTCAGTGTAGGGGTCAGCGGCTACAGTTCGCTTTTAAGTTACACTTCATATATATGAGATACTGTATAAAATGTGAATCTTAATAGTTTATTTGAAAAGTTTCTAGGTAGATGACAACCGCCCAGGAGCTTGGAAACTACTTTCACAATCACTGTCACAGTGGTTCAGTTCAGACCAAGGCCCGAAATACAACCGAAGATTTTCAGACGGGACAGGTCGATATATACGTCCATTCGTACATATGTCACGGGGTCAAGTATTATGGGGTGGTTTTAGGTGTGCACGATAATACGCATATTCTCACCAACAACAATCGAATTGCGTCGCTATCACTCCTCGACAGGATGATAACCATGAAGTTGGCTACAAAAGGCAAGACCAGAGATCCGAGAACGAACTCGATTTCGCTTACTGAGGCACCCTATCAGTAGCTGTTCATGACTTCCCTACTAGATACTAGAAGCCACACAATTGGTTGATGGTAAGGAAGTGTAGGGATTTGGACAAATCACAATTCTGTCTTCTCCATCCATTGAGCAAGACCTCTCTTTTCCTGCGGAGAAAGGACGCACTTCCGTCTCGCAACGCGTCCCCTCTTGCGGCAATTCTCCAGTCCGAAAGTACGTCTTAATATAATGCTCCTTACACGCCAATCGGGAAGCAAAAGAGCAATGCTACAGCGAACGTCAATAAGATTATCGAGGATATACAAGGAGGAACCGGAAGAACTTACACCTTCAGCGTGCTAGACTTCATAGATACTTAGTGCTTAACAGTCTGCGAAGATGTATGAAGTCCTCACGCGGGATAACCTCATATAAGTTCATGCGAATCTCAATGGGTGCCTGAATGTATGAGGTTGCGAAAGGTACTACCTGGCGTATTAAGAAGCGCAGCCGGAGGGCCGAACTCGACTATCTGTCCCTGGTCGAGGACCAGTACGAGGTCATAATCCTCACGAACAGCGTCTTTCTTTAAGCGATGGATAACCTCGAGCACGGTATGTTTTTGCAGGCTGTTGCGCAGGAGGCATCGCATGGTACGTTCTGTCTCCTGGTCAACAGAACTGGTGACTTCGTCGAGGAGAATGACCGGAAACTTGGAACTTTCCTGACGGAGACGACAAAGCAGCCTCGCCAAGCAGAATAGTTGCTGCTGCCCTGGTGTGAGTGACCCGTCGGTATCAATGTCAAGATCGAGAGCCGATTTCGGTATGGGAAAGTGGGCCCCTGCGTCCGAGAGGCTTTGGTGGTAAAGCTGCTCGAACACCTCCCAGATGCCCACTTGCTGCAAGGACTCTCTAGCATAGGTGTCAAAGTCCTGTGAATCAGCATGCCGGCCCCAGGGGTCCATATTATAGCGAACCGAATTGGCGAAGAGTAAAGGCTTCTGTGGCAGGCTGAGGAAACTGCCTCGAATAGAATCCCGACTGAAGCCTGTAATGGGTTCATCGCCGACAGTCACCACGCCACGCTGAATGTCCAGCAACCGTAGCAGCGTTCCCAGAAGAGCAGATTTACCACTAAAGATGAACAGTACCTGTCAGTTACTATTGTCGTATTACTCAGTTGAAGGTTGAAGCGGCAGCATTGGCTTACCTGCCAGTTCGGCCACATATGGCCACTTTCTGTCCTTCCCGAACTGAAAAGGTGACATCCTTCAGGATCATGTCCCCACTAGTTCTATGAAGAGGAATGAACTGTCAGTTTCATATCTCACAATCCTCACAAACAAACCGAGTCATACCCGTTGACGGCAGAGACGTCCTGGAATGCAACGTTGCCGTTTGCAAACCCTGCTTTATGTTCAGGCCGGTTGGAAGGGTCATCTTCCGGTGTCATACTGATGTTAAATTGACGAATTCGGGCCGCAGCCCCGATAGAAGTCTCCAAATCGACCCAAAAAGTCATAACATAACGTATAGTAGAACTGAGTGAAATCTAATTCGAGGGTTGAAGATGTCCCCGATTAGCTTCCTGCGTCTTAAATGGTTCGAAGGGAAGAGGCAAGGCATACAAGGTTAACCAACGCTAGACCCAGAAAGCCAACTGATCGTTGTGATCGCAAGCCTACTGCGAGGCCGGTGACCGCTACTGCAAGGATCATGACGATAAAGTCTAGGATCATTTTCAGCCAGACCTGTATGGAAAGGAGCATATAGTTGGCCGCCTGAGAAGTCTGCAAGAGTTGCCTGGCCTGGCATTGAAACTCATCTATTCGACCAAAAGCCCGAACGGTTAAGAGACCAGAAATGGTGTCATTAACAAAACCCGAGAGCGGAGCCTTGGACTCAATGTCCATGAGCCGGAGCTGCTTCGAGGTGCGCAAGTAAAACCTCTGCAACACCCACAGACCTCCTACCAGGAATGGGACGGAGATCACCAGGTACTTAGAGGATAAGAGAACAATGATTGTCTCACCGAGAGCGGCGCAAAGTGCTAAAAGTACTCGTGAGTGGAATGGCTCCTGTTAATGGAAAGAGAAAGTATACCTGTGAAGGTGTTCAACCAAGCCATGGGGAGGTCGTTGTCCAACAACATGATGTCTTGAATAAATCTGTTTCGAGCCATATTAGGAAAGCTCAGGTATTGTGGATATCAAATACCTGTTTGCGATGGAATCAGACCCCTTGGAGATTACGTAGGAGACTGGGCCCCTGCGAGACGCAGTTAGTTGATGTTGACGCAGACACCAAGATATGGAAGCAGCACCTTATCAGACTTTCCAACTGATCCCCATAGATGCCAATAGAAGATGAAGTCATCAGAAACTCGAAGAAAACACTGTTGGGAAACCCTGGTTGTAAGCGGGTAACCAATATAGACCGGAGAGTAATGAGGACGGACCAGCAAGTTATATAGAGGAGGATCAATCCTCCTACTACTAAGCCTGTGAAGATACCAACATAATAAGCCACGTGGTCTGGATGTTTTGACTCTGCCCAATCCTGCAACCAGACACCTCGAGGAATGTTAGCGCTCGGTCTGTAGTACCCATGGATGACTCGAGAACTGAAGTATATATCTTACTTTCGAAGGAGCGCTCTGCCCCAATTGCCATTGCCAGAGCCACAAAGACCAGAAAGCCGGTGACACTCATTGAGCGGGCGAAGAAAAGATAAATCGACCAGTCTGATGGGGCTGTGGCCGCGCTTTCATCCTCATCAGGTAGGCTGCGAGCCACTGAATCCACGCTAGCCACGGTGATACTTTCTGTAGGAGTGGAGGCTGTTTTCAAATTCTCAAAGTTATCATTACCCCCCAGGTTTCTGTTTCCAATCATTTCTTCAATATTGGAAGTTTTCTTAGATGAACCACGAAAGAGGATACGGCCTTGGTCCATAGTAATGACATCATCAAATTTGGATATGCACAGATCTGAGCCCGGTATTAGCTTCAGGAATATCGGGTAGTCGGGAGCGAGGAGAGGGGAGGAAGGATATACCGGAGTGAGTGGCAAGGACAACAGTGCACTCGAGGCGCTTCAGGAGACCAAATGGGGAGAAGACAGCTCCGATAATTCCTTGTTCCGTCTTCTTATCCAGGCCGCTCAGTATGTCGTCAGCCAGAAGCAGTTGGGGCCGGGAGTACAGAGCGCGGGCAAGCGACTAAGCAGAGTCAGCATGAGACGGAAGCATACGACACAATCCCACTCACAATTCTTTGACGCTGGCCGCCGCTCAATCTCGAGCCCCCGTGGCCGATGATCGTGCTGTCCCTCTCTGATAGACTGTCGAGATCGGGAAGCAGGTGAACAGCCTCCAGCACCTGCTGGTACCATCCAGAATCCATCGCACGGCCACCAAGGATGTTATTGCGAATAGTGTCGTTAAGAAGCCAGGGCTCTTGAGCACAATAAGCCATACGTAGATGTGGACGGACGTAGCTGTATCCGGACACGAAGCAGAGCTCGCCGAGGATTGCTTTCAACAGAGAGGATTTCCCGGAACCAATGCTAAATCTCATAAGCCAAAAAGTCTATAAACTGAAAATATGTGCACTGGAACAGACCTTCCTGCTACGATGACCGCACTACCCTGACGGATGACGAGCGTAAGGTCGGATAGCAAAACCTCTCCCTCGGTGTTCCCCCCAGAGTAACACGCATTGTGAAATTTAATGAGTGTGCCACACTCTTCTCCATCTAGTGACACAGAAGCATCTGGTAAGGGTTTGCAGTTGAGCTCAAATATATCCTTTCCATGGGCATCAACCGTTTCTTGTAGGGACAGAGTGCCCTTGGCTTGCATAGATGAGTGTTCTTCTAAAAAGGACTGGATGCGCTGAATGCACTTGCATGCTGATAAATAGAGGATCTGTTGAAATCTGGAGCAGAGCCAAAGAGGTGAACATGGTATCAGTTGTCATCACTTCGTCGCGCGTCCTTGACACAATAGCAAACCCGCCGTATGCTGCTACGAGAGCTATCTGAGAAGATGCTGATGCTGGGACAGTCGATAAGATAGACCAGATTAGCTTGGATCATTAAGCCTGCTCTGCAGCATCGGGGAGCTTACACGTTGTTATAATTAAGGATAAAACACGACGGAATTTACTGCCCTGAATATTAGCTGACGATCCATGAGTCTAGTCCAGTCTCCTTACCGTGCCAGGTGAACTTCGACGATCCTTAGTCTCTTCAATTCCTTCATATATTGGGCGGCAAGTCCCAACATCTTTACTTCCTTGTAGTGAGACAACAGGGTCATGGTTGACCGGACTCGCCTATCCGTGGCCGCGAGCCATTTGATCTGCCGCTCGCCAATTGGGTCGCCATAGAGTGTGCTCAATAGGGTCAGTACAACGGTACTTAATAGCGGCCCTAGAAATCTGAACTAGTTTTAGCATAAAAAGACCCCGTATGCTTCTAAATGATGAACTTACGCTAGCCCTAACTTCCAGTAAATCATATACAGGCTTACACCGACGGAGATCACGGCAGCCCAGAGATCATGAATCACACGCGCACCCTCAATGATATGTTCCATATCTACGTTGATCAGGGTGGTGATAAGGCCTGGGTCAGCTTTCGCAATTGGCAAGCGGAGCAACTTGCTATAGATGGCATCAACCAGAACGTTGCGGATCTGCAACGCCAGGCGATTTGACGCGTGTGCATACCATGCGTTGAACATGGATGTGAGACCGTAAAGCAACGCGCATGCCCCAATCAATCCGTAACCCACACTCATCCGCTCGCTGTACCCTTCGCCCTGGACAAAGTCTAGTATGCGCTGAAGTAGCAGAGGTTGGACAAGGGTCACGGCAATCATTACTCCACGCGGCAGGGCAGGTATCAGCAGTTCAATGCGTAGTGTTAGAAAAAGGGCTCGTAGCAGAGAAGTTGCTTTGGATCCTTGCACCTGACTCAAGCGAGAATATTGACCAAATCGAGTATTGTAATGGCCCGCCGTGGCGGCATCATACATGCCAAAGAGATCGCTGTATTTCAAAGAGCGCTTGTTTCCTTGCAGGGAGAACGCGGAGGTGAAAGATCAGCTTCACAGTCTAAATGGACTATAAGCATACGGAGAGACCTACCATCCCACAGTGTACGCGCTAGCCAGAGGAATAGGCCCCGACCATAGAGCCCGCTTAGCTGCTCCCTCGAAAGCGTTGCCAGTGCCGCGGTAGGCAAGTGATGGGGCTTCGTCCGGGCCTCAGCCCTGGCCAAGACAACAGTGACGGCGAGACTGATCGTCTCAACGATAGCTAGGCCAGTATCCCTTTGCATAAGCCAGAGAGAACGGATACGCACCGCTTGAAAGATGATTGTTACTGAAAGGAAGAGACTGAGGAACAGACTGGGTGCGACCGCGGTGCGGTGCAATCGATACGACCACCACGCTAAGGGAAACGCTGTTACGAAGTATATAACCTCCGCTGCGATACTGGTGCGGACTCGAATTGGAGTTCTCGACCACAATATCAGCGAGGCCAATCGTAACACAGTGTAAAGACTGACTGCCAGCTAAGGTGAGTTAGCCTGTCGTCATCCGCAGTATTATGGATACATTCGGCACCCCTACCGGTTTGCAGGTGCTCAGATAAGGTGTTGCATGTAAGAGCTGCCTCCGCTCCCTTCCGCAAAGCACGCCAATGAGGGAAGCGACAATGAAGAGGATACTGGGCAGAATGATCAGGATGGTATCCTCAAAGGTAAGGGTGAAATCAAAGCCACCGCGGCAGCTCTGTGCCCACGGGCCCCAGGATTCATCGATCTGTTCGCAGGTTGCTATCATAGTCATCTGAATTCGGTAGTAATTCCAAGAGATAGATCAAGAGATTAATAGACACGATTGACGCAGAAAGAAGCGGGATTATATATGACTTCCGTATCAGATAGATAAGCCAGTGATTGGCCTGTTACAGTCACAGGTAGGCTGAAAATATACACAGAATAACAAGTGGTCTGGATTCGAGGTCTTATCATTGGACATCCCTGCTAGTACATTGCACCATTATATCTGGACCGACGGAGACCGAACCCCCCAAGGAGTGCTCCTTGGACCCGGCGATAACGAAAATCACCTAATCTATCCCCATAACTCTGGGGATTGTCAAGCGGGCCAGGAATATTTTCGCGACATCTGAGGGTCCTACCACCAAAATGTGGATGGAGGGGAGGCTGAAAACCTAATTGCGTGGGACACCTGAATAGTGAGTAACCCGTTTGAGTCAACCAAAAATCCATCATGTCAAAGGTGTACAAAGGCTGTAACATTGACCCAAGGCCTACCATATGCAGCAAACAGCCGAGATCTCCAAAGTTCAAAGATCAAACGCATAACTAGCCAATGGCCAGACAACTCAGAGATGCATAACGCATTTCGTGGCAAGACGTCATTAGAAACAGAACCTCCTATCTCTAAACCAACCCAGCTTCCTGCTTAACCGCCTCCAGCCAACACAAATCATCCGCATATGTCTGATTCCACGGATCATCACTCTCATACGCGAACAGCCTCGCACGATCCTGAATCATCTGATCCGACGGCCTGCATCCATTTGACATCTGTTCGCGAATAAACGCCAACAGATCGCGGTGCACATCAAAATACCGATCCAAAGCAGTCGGCACATCCCACCGAAACGGAATTTCATCGTCCTCTTCATCCTCCTCCCGCGGCATCGGAAACACATCCGATGTCCGCCACGGATCAGGCGTCTGCGCCTCACGCCCAATCAAATATGGCGGTATCGCATTCTCAACGAGCCGCTGAGCTTCCGGCTCGAAACCCCAATCGCCCATCCACTGCTTCATGTCGGCACCGTGCTTGAAATGCTCTGCGACATGGTCGACTCTCTCCTGCCAGGATTGGAACGTTGCGCTGCAGAACCCGCAGCGGGAGAGGATACGGTGGCCTCGGCTTTCGCGCCAGGTGAGCATGGCTGCATGGAAAGTGTCGACGCGGTGGGTTAGTTTCAGGTGCTGCCGGAGGTTGTCCTTCCGAGTGAAGATGCGTTGCTCGGATGGTTTCTCGAGACAGGTACTGTAGTTGTGTGCTGTTTCGAGATGGTCTTCGTCTGCGTTGGCTTGTTGACAGAAGACGCACACAGGTGTGCCGTTGTTGTCGATGATGAGTCCGCCTTCTGGAGAACAGCGCCATTGGTCGACGGGAAGGTGAAGAGCCTTCTCGTGGCGCTGCCAGTCGTATTTCGTTGCGAACGTGTCCGCGCAGAACGTACACTGGTAGGGCCTACGAGTCCACTGCAGACGGTTTGCATGACGGATGTGTTTCCGACGGTGGCGACGAGATGACGGACGATGAAGTGGGGTTGGTGGACGTTGTGGCGGCCTATGCGATGATAAGGCGACCGAAATCTCCGAGCTGGATGACTGGCTGCGTCCACAGCTGCTGATGGAAGCATCCCCGAGAACGAAGGAGCCGCTGGAGTCGTTGCTGGACCAGGCGTACTGGGGTACGGTGTATGGCAAGCTGTCCGAAAAAGCGGAAATATCGCTATCGGCGAGAGCTCGCAGGATGTCATCTGTGGCTGCGGCCTCGCTTTCCGGTGGCGAGCTCCTCCAGCGTTCCATGGGGGATAGGAATGACGGGCTCTGACGGGCAGACATATACCCGCTGGAGCGCTTACGCCGTCGAGCGTTGATAAACCAGTTGGAGACTTGCGCCCGAGTCAGACTGGTGCGTTGCGCCAGCTCATCCTTCTCCTGGGTCGTGGGATATGGGTTCTCCGGGTGGTTGTTGAGCCATGACTTGAGGGTTCTCACGGCCTCCACGGATAGACGCTGAGGAGGGCGTGTAGGGGGGGCAGGCCCGCCGCTATCTGGAGATACTGATGTCGCATCTGGCTGGGATGGAAGAGGAGAGAAGCTATCGGGAAGCTCCGACGGTAGCGAGAAGATGGGGTCTACGGTGGCGGGATATGAAACAGCGTCTTCATCATGCAGCGGTGGCAGGGATAATATATCATCACATAATTTAGGGAACGCCTGGTGAGCGTGCTCCATCTGGATAGTATGCGGACATGCTCACCAGAGTAAGGACCTAGATCGATGTGAAAGTTGAGGTTGCAAGCGGACAAAATCCTCTGCGCCCTGCCATTGACATCCGCTCCACTTGCCGGCTGTCGGCCGCCTTCCATGGATCCTCTTATTCGCTGCTGACTCCGATTGTAGCCGAGATCGGAGGATAATAGTGAGGTAACCTAATCATTAAGTTTTCAATCTAAGATTCGAATAGCTTTGAGTCACTCAATTGTAGCCACTGTACAGTTCATCTTCGCAGTTAGGGTTTTCACCCTACTGGTGCTTATTTTAACCTCTACAAACTATCAGGAATCGTAGGAATTGCATCCCTCCATCGTTGCTCCAATATGGCCTCCACGTCTACCACCACTGCCGTTGAATGGCAGCAGGGTCCCCCGATTGAGCTTGAGTCCAGGGCTCCCAAAAATGCCGTCGCACCGGTGTCAGATCCGACCGATGAGGTCATGGAGGCCTCCCGTCTGGCCGACGCCGAAGTCCCTGAAGGAGGAGCAGGGTGGATAGTTATCGCAGGTTGTGCAGTGATTACCTGGTGGTTCATTGGGACATCCTACTGCTGGGGTGTGCTACAGGCAGCGCTTGTCAAGGACGGAGTATCATCTGCATCTACCCTGTCATTTGTGGGCTCATTAGCACCGGCTTGTATCTCGTTTCTGGGTATTCTCAATGCTCGCGTGATCCGCAAACTAGGCACCAGAACGTCGGCACTCCTGGGGATATTCCTACTTGGATTGGGAGAAATCCTTAGTGGATTCGCAGTCCACGAGGTTGGCGGTCTGTTTGTTACTTCTGGTGTGGTGATGGGACTCGGAACGAGGTATGTCACAGCACTCCTAACTGATTGTAGTTTGCTAATGAAGTAGTATTTCTTTCATGGTGGTCTCCATCACACCGGCCCAATACTTCAAGGCAAAGCGCGGCATTGCCAACGGTATTGTCTACGCAGCGGGTGGTCTCGGCGGTGCAGCCATCAGTTTCATCTTGGATGCCCTGCTGTCTCGCGTCGGCACGGCTTGGACGTTCCGCATTCTGGGGTTTATCACGATGGGCACTGGTCTCCCTGCAGCTTTTCTTGTGAAGCAGCGGATACCTATTCCTCCATCTGCTTTCGTAGAGTGGTAGGCACAGTACACCCACCATATAAATCCATCGCACTCAGCTAAATCTACCCCAGGCGTCTATTCCGCGACATCCGATTCCTGCTGCTCTTTGCAGCCGGGGCCATCGCGACCTTCCCTCTACTCGTCCCCCCATTCTTCCTGCCCCTGTACACCGACTCCCTGGGCTTAGGCTCAGCCGCAGGAGCTGGTGTTGTGGCAGCATTCAACTTTTCCTCCGCGCTAGGAAGATTGACCTGCGGATTTGCCAGCGATACGATTGGCGGACTCAACACGCTGTTCGTGTCGCTGTTACTCAGCGCACTGAGCATGTTAATAATCTGGCCTGTTTCAACATCCATTGGACCATTGGTTGTTTTCGTGATCATTAACGGGATGGCGAACGGTGGGTTCTTCTCTACTATTCCTACGGTTGTGGGGAATGTGTTTGGGTCTGCCAGGGTGTCTGTTGCTATGGGTATGATTGTTACTAGTTGGGCAGGGGGTTATCTTTTGGTGAGTGCAGTGCTGTGAATACGCCTTGGCGTTTGGATACTAATAAGTGGTGTTCAGGGATCACCTATTGCAGGTTACATTCTCGACGCCTCGGGTGGCGAGGATGCCGGGATCAAGGCGTACAGACCGGCCATTCTGTATGCGGGATTCATGGCTTTGGGGGCGTCTATTCTGGCTGCTTTTATACGTTTGAAGACAGATACACGACTGCTTAAGAAGGTGTAGCTTATTGTCGAATTAGAACCAGCTGGAATGCGTTTGTCGAACTGAATAGTAGTTATGGTCTGTTGAGGAAGAACGATATGGCTATACGTAAAAAATACAGTAGCCGAGAGGGGCGACATGCGTTTGCGAGACGGCCATTGAAGAGAATCGCCGGTGCAGGTCCCAACAGTATTGTGAGATTCTTCGTCAAACCAGGTTTACCATTGCTACCAGCTATCAATACCGACAAGCCAAGTGCAAGGTGTCGCCCGCTCGTATCATCTACCAGTGAACTCACCCCCACTACCACAGGAACCCTAACCCCAAAGTACCACTAATCAGACAATAAGTAACAAAATAATCGGAATCAAATGTGACAATACACTCTCCAGTAACCCCGGAGCCAATAAGCACAATAACAAAGTAGCCCAAGTTACACCCCAGGAATGTGACGTTGCCGGATCCGGCCTCAACACCCACCCTCATCCACACCCACATAATGCCTATTGGCCCGACACCCAACCCCAGATCCAGTGTGACCTGACACTGCATCACAAATCTCGAGCTTATTGGTAGATTAAATCTCATTGGTGTGTTCCTGGATGATTTGATAGGTGGGGTCGGTTTCTATGGAAGCATGAGATGCCACATTCCGATGCGGGAATGGGAATGTAGCGTAGATGACAATATTCGATCAACACAAATCAATCTTCTTTCTCTCCCTTTCCAACTCTCACTGCCGCTCAGGGAGCAGAGCAGATCTGATTCACCACTATCATCACCATGTTGCTGCGAATATGGCACATCCTGTATACCTTCATCGTAGTCGTGCAGGCCATTGACTACGATGTCGACGATCCAGGTACTGTCCCTACCCACACAATACACAACCCCATTGCCTACATACATACCCGAACGAACCAGCTAATTAACCTGAATAGACTCCATCAAAGCAGCCTGCCACTCCGTCGCCCGCCAAATGCTAACACACTACACGGGCAACCAACCCGGCGACAACCCGGGCAACCTCCCCGACCCCTACTACTGGTGGGAAGCCGGCGCCATGTTCACAGCGCTAGTCGACTATTGGTACCTCACCTCCGACGACACATGGAACAACATAACGACACAAGGCATAACCTGGCAAGCCGGGCCCAGCGGCTCCTTCATGCCAGCGAACCAAACCCGCACCGAGGGCAATGATGATCAATCCTTCTGGGCCTTCGCAGCCATGTCCGCCGCGGAGCGAAACTTTCCAGACCCGCCTCCATCCTCCGGAAGCCCAGGGTGGCTCGCCATGGCGCAAGCAGTATTCAACACGCAAGCTGCGCGGTGGGACAAGAGTACCTGTAACGGCGGGCTACGATGGCAGATATTCACGTTCAATAATGGGTGGACGTATAAGAATACCATCTCGAACGGGTGTTTTTTCAATCTTGCTGCTAGGCTAGCCAAGTATACGGGGAATAGCACGTATGCGGACTGGGCAGATACGGTGTGGGATTGGACGGGCGAGGTTGGGTTCATGACGGATACGTATCGGTTTTGGGATGGGGCGGATGTGAGCAGTGGGTGCGGGGATTGGAATTATATTGAGTGGACGTATAATACAGGAGTTTATCTGCTGGGGGCGGCGGTTATGTATAATCTGGTGGGTTATTCTCTCCCTTGATTGTGATTATTGGTGGAAGGTGGCTAATGGTGACAGACTGAATCGCCCGTCTGGAAAGCCCGAACAGAAGGCATTCTCAATGCCAGCTTCGTCTTTTTCCAAGACGATGTCATGTATGAGCGGGCATGTGAACCTGTGAGCACATGCCAGGTTGATCAGCGCTCCTTCAAGGGGTACTTGGCGCGGTGGATGGCCGCGACAACGCAAATGGCGCCGTTCACGTACGATCTGGTGATGCCGAAGCTGCGGGCGTCGGCAAAGGCAGCGGCAGAGACGTGCACTGGGGGTGAACTCCAGGCGACCTGCGGGCTGAAGTGGACGGATCGGAAGTGGGATGGAATGGATGATGTGGGGATCCAGATGGCGGCGCTGGAGGTGATGCAGTCGACGTTGATCAGTCGGGTTGATCCTCCTGTCACGCAGGATACAGGGGGCACGAGCCAGGGCAATCCAGCGGGTGGAGAGCCAGGACCCCCGCCGGCGCCGGTGCCGGAGGGACTGAGGTTGGAGATCACGAAGGCGGATCGGGCGGGGGCAGGGATGATGACGGTGATGCTTTCGATGATAGTTATTGGGTCCACAGGGTGGATGGTTTACGAGTAATGGATGGGATCTTCTGGGTTATGAAGGTTTCATTATGTACATGTTCATATTGTCATTCTATTTGGTAACTATGCTGGTCACAGAATCACTTTCCTACAGGGATATACTCGTTGACACCTTGCACTGTCCACAGAGCAGGGTGTTTGTCCCTCGCGCTCTCCATCCCAGTAAACATGTTGTCCAGTGCTTTCGTATGTCCCTTCTCGTATCCTCTGATGCGGAGATACTCCAATTGCATCGGCAAATGATCCACCAGGACGATATCTCCTAACTCACCCATCCCAGTAGCAATATACCACAGACAACTTACTCCCAGACTCAAGCTCTTCAGCGACATGAACTCCTTCAACACACTTTTATTCTCAGCATCATCCTGCAACCCGCTTTCACGCTTCACAGCAACAAATTGAGACAGCTGATCGTCAAATTCCAAATCGAGCACTTCCAACGTGGCCCGATGTCTCAGGATAGCCTCTATCAAACTGTACCGATCAAAGAACTCTGCAAAGCCGGCATAGCAGCCCCCCTGTACAACTGAGTACCTCAACTCTTTCAAGCATTTCATCGAACAGATAACCTTGCACAACAGATCCGACTTGAAATCGCACCCCCTCAGATCCAATCGCGAGATATTTGCTGAAAAAGGCGGAAGCAACCCATCCAGTGCAGCGCTAGAGGCATTCCCGAACCCCTGAATAGCCTGCATCCGCAGAGATTCGATACTGGGAAGGGTGCGCACCAGCTCAATACAAAGACAGAGGTCCTGGGGAGTGCAAGCACGGGACCGCGCAATATGGAAGCTAGAGGCTTCTGTTGTTAGAATCTGGAAGTGCTTAACATTAGCCAAGTAGGGGATCTTTCCTTCGCCCTTTTCGATGAGATGACTCGAGTTGGCATGTTTGAGGAACTTGGCTAGTGGGTACTTCTCGATTTTGGCTGCGAAATGGTGGTTATCGGAAGGGTCATTGAATCGGGAAGATGTGTACTCCCAAAAGGGAGGGGAGATAGCAAGAGAAGTCAGGTTGGGGGAGGATGCTATGAGGAGGACCGTCAAGGCTTGGCCGATGAAGGTGGATTTGCCGTGGTAAGCATCCTCTTGGGTGCTGGCTGGGTCAGATACGGTGGTGATTTCAATAACGGTAATAGAGAACGCACTTGTAGTATGTGAGATACTGCCAGTCCTTAGTGTAGTCTGTTTCTTGCATGGCCATGTTGAGTAGTCTCTCCTGTTCAGCACCGATAAAGCCGGCTCTGGTGGCGGCCGCACGGAGACGCTGCATGTCGCCTGCGTCAACAGGGCGATCATATTCCCGCGGCTTGTAGTTCAGCGGAGAGCGGACGGGAAGGTCCATCTCGATGTGACGCACATAACTGGCGAGGTTACAGTCATGCAGGATGTCAAGGAGGATGGTATAGGCGTTTTTCAGGTCCGGGGTGCAGTTGATGCGGATACAGCGATATCTGGTTTTATTTACGAGGTCATTGCTGTGGATGAGCGTGAACAGCGATGGACTGAGGAGAGAAAAGGAGTAGACATCTCCGCTGTGATCGAGAAAGGAGATGACGTGCAAGAGGATGTCAGCGGGGAGAACCGAGAGGGCCGGCATGATTGTGGAGATTGGATAGGAACAGGTGAGGTTGGAATACACTTGCATTACTCGTCGCGCTTGGAGGGGTCTTCGGTTGCGGCACATTCGGGTGGTCCCACTCGCACAGGAGGGGGACGTGCGAGTGAACCGCGATGGTCTAGGCCTGCCTCTCACCATCTCGCCTGTTCGATTGAGTTAATTTAAGTTAATATGTTCACTATTCCATCGGATTTAGACCTAATATAGCCCTTTCTTTTGATCAAATAAAGTTAGGATTTCGCAAAGCTTCCCGAGTTACTCGACATGTCTAGGAACTGTCAGCACATTCTAATCTATCTTATTCGGTTAGAACATAAGATGGTTATCTGCATTTATCGATAATCTACATCTTTGGTACTACTAACGCCAGCTGGCGGGCTCTATGTGTGAGGCTGTGAAGTAAAAGGACAGTGCCAGACGCGCTCCAAGACCGCGTGTACTAGCGTGTATTTGATTACTAGTCTCGCACTTACACTAACCATATGACGAGCGCTAACCATACAAATTGGTAGAAACTCAATATACCACTGCTGTATACCATCCCTTATGATATGTATAGAACTAGTGCCCATCGGCGTATTACACAGGTAATTGAAGAGAAACTCAAACCTTTTCTGATAGTAGCTGTAGCAAGACGCCTAACTCAGAGAAGAAAAGTGTTCATACTCATAATTTTAAATGACTGTCCCTGAAAGTAATTGGTGAAGGATCGCCAGATTTTCCATTCACTCCCTCACAAGAAATTTCAGCGATGGGTGTACGTCTATTTAGGTACGGAGGTCTGATGTAGTAAATGATAATCTGCTGATATCTTATCCAGTGTCGGTAGCCCCCACCTAGGTAATCGCTCTATCTTCACAGTGGAGGGTTGACATCTTCAATTCATATGCCAGATATTCAAGTCAAGAAGACACTTCATCGACAAGTCCTACCGTCTACTATTCTGAATCCTCGTGTAAAGCATCGAGTATGAGATATCCGTCTCAGTCGTGGATCAATGTAGTAAGAGTATCTAGTGTCGTAACTCTGCCTTGCAGGTTCTCACCAGTTCCCCCCTGGTATATCATAGTCTTACTATGTGATGGTCGGGTGTTGTCTTAGTGCGAAAATATGGGAAGACCCTTTTTACTGATGTCGCGACAGGCTTCCCGATTTATATCCAGCTCAAAACGTCTATTGGACCACTTGAGGTGAGACAGAATTCCGGGTTTCATGAAGGCTTACGATCATGGGCTTGTCAGATGCATGAAATGGAGAAGCACTATATCGATATTACCAGGCAATAATCAGAGACTATAACAGCATAGTACCCCCAAAATTGGCAAATTTCGGCCCTAAGCTCATAGCTCATAGCGGAATATATATCCTCCCGTAGATGGAATCCAAGAGCCAAGGTGCGGGTCTATAATGTATGATGTTCCAGGACTGCCCTGTATCTAATCTTACCCGCTCTCAGTTTCTCAATCGCCTCTTCAAGGCCGTTCCTAGTAAGAGGGAAAGTCATAATAGTCGGTTTGATATCAAACCGGGCAGCAGACTCCAACAACTCTTGCAGATTACGCCGCGAAGTGATGAAGCATCCCTGAATCCGTATCCCCTTCTGACCAAACGGAACTAAAGGAATAGGAGTAGGCTTCAAGGTCACAGAAATATGATATATAGTCCCGTTTGTATCAACCAAATCCAGTAGACTGCGATGAATATTAGCATGATCTATGGCACTCTGTTTAGAGGGTAGATGGAATACCCACGAGGCATAGTCAACATCAGAGCTCCCACATAATAAAAGATGTTTGACGGGTTTGATGTGATTTGGCATCTGAGGATTGGGAAAGCGATAGAACTCTGACGCTCCAAATTCTAGCGCTTCCTCGCGTTTCTTTTCCGAACTTGACAACGCCACCACGTTATATCTCAATGCCCCAGCAAGCTTGATCGCGAGATGACCAAGCCCCCCTATTCCCATGACACCAACACGGTCGGAAGGTCGGATGCCATTGTTGGTCAAGCAAGCCCAGACAGAAGCACCGGCGCATAGGAGTGGTGCTGCATGGGCCGAATCGTATCCTTCTGGAATGGGATAGACGGCATCGGCATCCCAGACGGTGCCGTGGCTGAATGATCCAACATCGAAGTCATGTTGGCCGTATGCTCGTTTTTCTCTGCAGTGATGATCGCAGCCTTGCAAGATTAGTATGCATCAGGTTGAATAGAACAGAGTACTGATGGCGGAGTGGAAGGGAACCGACATACCACTTATACAGTTGTCGCATCTCCCACACACACGACGGATAAAGCCGAATCCAACCCTGTCCCCAACTTTTACGGACCTCACGCTGGGACCAACGTGCTTTACAACACCTACCCCTTCGTGTCCAAGAGCCTGGTCGCAATGAAGAAAGTGCTCGTCTGTTCCGCACAGGCCGGAATGGGTGGTCTCGATGAAGACATCATTATCTCCGAGTCGCCGAGTAGTCAATTTCTCCACAACCTTCCCATCTGGTGACCCGCACAATACTTTGAATGTATATTCCATTGTGGTCTTGAGGTTTTCGTTGTTTCAAAAATGAAAGGCTTCCTGCTGTTGCGTGTATAGGCATTAAAATAGAAAGTTGACACGCAGAGAGAATACCCGGGGCTTGAAAGGCGACCCGAAGCCAACAGATCGCTAGCAGTGGCAGCCTAGCCCTTACTTGCTCCATAGCTGTTCATACAGCTAGGCCTGCTTCTGGAGAACTACGGTACGAGCTAATATCTCGAGACCCACTGAAATGCGAAGATTTGTAAATGCGACCCGCCTACTCTGGTTGAGCGCATATGCCAATGTCCTCGTTGAAATTCAATTACAAGGGAGCTGCGAGGGCACATTTTCTCCTTCGGGACTTATACGCGGAAGTACATATATTACTGTACAACATGAGTACAGAAAGTATGGTGATAAAGAAGGCTGAAGAAGGTCATGCGGAAATTTTTGGGTTTACACCATGTCGGCAGTGACAAGGTTAGTCTCAACAGTGTAAAGCCTCGATCCTGCTAGAACCCCTGGCCCCCCATTTCTGGAACCCATATCCCTAATAATTTAAGCTTACTCTGCTGTTATTACACCATTATCACACGTTAAGCCTGCTCATATCATTAGACAAGCGACTGTCCCTGTATTTTGATGCTACCGGACGCTGCGCTATACCAAGACTGGACTATCTCAGGAGAGAAGATCATTGCACATCTATACTGTATTTAGAGACAGAAGTTTGATATCTGTGCGTGAGTGTTTTGGGATATTGATAGTAACGAATAAGATAGTTCCAAGGAAGTGAGGGGTTCCCAGATACAGAAGAAGTTCTTATTACATCAGTGGATCCCTGCGCAAGGAGGAAGAGAACAGCAACCTGAATTATTTAATCCGGAAAGCTGCATTATGTAAAAGAATGTAAGAGTTCTGCAAGTGTGTCGCACAAAATATCCGCACAAAACTTGGCGGAGTAAATGGTGTGGACTGCATAACGCAGATAAAGCGTTGGCCTGGGTGTACAGAATGAAAGGCCACCGGAAAAGGGAAATATAACTTAGAACAACAAGGCATGATACTTACTGTGTAGCTCAAGTGTCTCGATTAATATTCTCGTCAACATACAATGAATCGAGACAGCATGCTTCATGAGTTACGCAAGAATCTACCTTCGATATCAGTCGACGGGATACTGCTCCACGCGGCATTTTTGACGGTTAATCTGGTTTTGAAACTGGGAGGGTGGCCCGGTTTGTTGAAGTTCATGCTAAGAACTTTCGCCATCAGTTCAGTATTGGCACCCATCGGCCTGATAGGCTTTCTTTTCCTGGTGTCGTTTACCCCGCGTAACATTAAATCTTTATCAAAGGACAAGTCCGTTATAGGGAAGCCCCTTCTCTTCCCCATCACTCTTGACCACACTCGCCTGTCGCCGATAAAAAACAAATTCACCTTCAATGTCTTGTTTGTTGGAATACCTGTAGGAATCAGTTGTCGTTTCGGGCGACTGTTATCTATTGATGCCGAGCATACAGATGAAGAGGAGTGTACTGAGAGATCTTCTCTTCTGAGGTTGTTACAAACCTACTTTTCCAGCTGGTTCAGCTTTGACTCAGCTCGGTACCTCCACCGTGGTGATGATACCCTCAGCTTAGAGAATAAGCTAAATAAATTTCTGAGAGAACAGGTAGGCGATCTGAACATAGGGTAGTGTGAATTAGGCTGACATGGCATTAAGAACGAGAACCCTGCCAAATGGCCGTACGCATATATGCTGAGCGTACCGCGGTTCCTGTGGTGGGAACGGAGCGTGGTGACATGGTGGTATCTATATTCGGAAAGCAAGGAATTGGACGCGGTGATTATGGAGATCAACAACTCATTTGACGAGAAGAGAAACGTATTATTCAAGGTGCGGCGTACCGGCATATATACTGAAAGCCCAGAAAAAGGTTCTGAGCAGCTCTTGAACTGCAAAGAGGAATATTTAGATGAGGACCAAAGGGTATTTTCGCTGATCCCACAACATGGGAAATATGCCTACAAAGCGACCTGGAAAAAAGAGATTTTCTCCAGTCCATTTGAAAAAGTTGGAGAAACAGTCTCTAGCACGTTTCTGGACCCTGTAGTGCCCTCATCATGGTCAGGAAATCGATCTCTCTCAAATACGACGACCTTCGATCCTTCTGGTGCCCCTAGAATGATAGCAAGGCTTTGGTGCAAGGTACCACCCATCGACCCCGGCAAGGCATCCTCTTTCCAAATCTTCAGTATCCTCTTGATATGGACTGTGAATGTTACTCTGGCAACACCGAGAATTCTATTCCAAGCTATTCGGCTTCACGTCATGAATCTCATGAGGATGATGGAGCACCCGGATGTACGGCCTGGAAGCGAGCCAAGACGTCCGAGTGAAGGGGAAAGGAAAGATGCACCACTCAAGATGCTACATATCCTATTTGATCTACATGCTAACCTATAAAGCAGGATGCTCGAACGATTCTTTCGAGAATTTCTAAAACACATAGTTGCCTCTTATCCAGGCAACTTGGAAGTCACCTACATGCCTTGTAAATCAGTATTCAAAACCACAATTTGCCTAAGGTCTACACAGTACTCGGCAGAAGGTCAAGATCCCAGGCGGCTGAGACTTGAGGTTATGGATCCTGGCTTTTATTCTAGAATCGTCAATTCTCCGAATGCAGGCACTGCTATGGCGAAGGAGACAAAACCTGGAAGGTCACCCGCTGATGCATTATCGTCTCCCGTCATTGCATCCGATATAACTCAATTCCTACAGCTCTTGGATGTGAAGGTGATAGAGAACAGAACCTACGATAAAGCGTGTTCCAGAATATCGTCATGGGTACTATGTCTCCGCCGTTGGCTGACTTCCTCATTCATGGATTCCTATGTTTGCAAGGCTCTCCCCCCTCGTGCACAAGAGGATTACGTCTCATGTCTGATCCAATTATGGGTGGAAAAATTGCCATGGGACTTCTTGAGTTCTCACCAGACATACCGCGTGATTAGGGTTGCGATGTTGCAGTGGGCTATATGCTGGATACTATTCTGCACAGCATGACAATTTGGGTGCTTAGGAATAGAAGGAGGTCTAGAGATATAACAGGATGGGTGTAGTTGGTCTGGTTGTGATTATTCCTATAATCTAAGCAGCTGAAAGTTTCACGCTCCAGTTCGTCTTCAAATACGAATATTGTTACTCAGTCATGACCAGGCTAGACTATTGAAGATGCCACAAGAATCAAGCTGCAGGTCCCGGGGGTCTCTGAGAAGAAAAGCCCTCTGTCACTGAAACAAAGACACACACAAACAAACAAAGAAAAAAAAAAGTCACGCGTGAGCACATATCAACTCTGTGCAATTCTGTGCGAAGGGGAGGAGAGAGAGAAGGGGGGAGAAGGGGGCGTACTGGAAGATATTTCCTTTCTGTGCAAGTGATGGGCGACGGCGGAAAACGCCTCCTAAGCACCCCTCCATATGACGTAAAACTATGAAATGAGTAAGATTGCTAAAAATAAACATGAAGAGATATCTCTTGGAATCGCCGCTATAGGTTGCGTTTCCGTCGAAGGTTCCGCATGATATACCAACAAGAACAATTAATCTCCAACCCCACAAGCACAATTGTCGGCCAAAAGACAAGCCCACCATTCCAAGAAAAGGGCCCAGTTACATGCATATGAATATCCGAGCCCAACGCAAAGACTATGGGTACAATCAGGTTAATCCATCCCATGGCTCTTGGAAAGACGGGGTCAGGACTATTGTCAGAGAAAACAGCCCAGGTAGTCGTCCACCACTGCACCCAAAATATGGGCCATGGCAGAAGCATACTGATCCAAAATAGGTCATTTATTAACTGTGTCAGCTCCGGGCCGTAGTCGCGGAAAGTCATAGCGGCGAGTAAGGTCGCGGGTACCATGAAGGCGCAAAATCCGGCTGCAGCACTGGCGAGCTGGAGGTCCGGAATAGTTGGGTTAAGATTGAAAATATGGCGGATTTGACTTGTAATTGCGGCTGAGTAAGGGACGTAGAGAACCCCCGATAGTTACCATGAAAAATACACTCGCTGCCCGAGTCCCTTTTAAGTAGGTCCGATAATGGGTGTAAACTCTCTCTGCATGATCTATGCAGCACATTTGCCTTGTGTCTATCCATTCTCTTTCTGTCCCAACGTACATGATGTAACATATCATCGTCCATGAATGTCTTTATTACAGTATTGATACAACTCAAGCGATTTCTTGGCCGGAACTGCACCCCTGCTTTTTCGGTAGATATTCTAAATTGTCCGATAAATCACTCGGTGTATTTCATTTTTCACATATCTCCATTCCCCTCCGCCAAAACACCTACTTGCATATTGTGTTACACATACGGGGCCTCAGCAGACACCACTCGAGCCAAGAATTTCATGCCTCCCGAAACATCAGAACATTGCTCTCTTGAGCCTTACAACAGGGCAGTGAGATCGGCATCGTCCTGAAAGGGGCCTATCTGGCCCCTCACCTAGCCTGGCAATTATTACGATCTCTGTATATGGCAATCGTGTCTTGTCATATCGTCCTCAAATCTTGTGCTTTTGCTTGGCATTGAGATTGATGAACCCTGATATCATACCGAGTAAAAGTCTTTTGATCAATACCTTTTGACTTCATTATGCACTTGGTTCACGTTTGTTTTTGTAATGCACTATTTTCACAAGAAACTAGCATTGATGAAAGATATTGAAGATGTTTATTTATCTTATATTTGACTCTATAGTTGCGGTTCTCAGTCCCTCTCTGGCCAAATTTATTCGCTCCCGGAAACGGGGTGCACTCCCACTGCCCCCAGGGCCGAAGGGTCTGCCTCTGGTTGGTAATATACATGATCTCCCGCCGCACGGGAGTAGAGAGTGGGAGCACTGGTTAAAGCATAAAGATATCTACGGTATGTTATCTTCCTCGTACAAGCTTCGGCCCCGTCCATTGAAGCTCAAATTACCAGGCCCTATCAGCTCTGTGTCGACGCCGGGAAATACTCTGATCATTCTCAATGATGCCAAGGTTGCGATTGACCTTTTGGAAAGGCGATCGGTGCACTACTCATCCCGACCTCGTATGGTCTTCGGCACAGAATTGTAAGTCCAGAGGCATGCTCCTCCTACTGTTTAGGAAATTGTGCTGACAATGTTCAATCTCGGGGATAGGGCGGGATGGGAGCGCATGGTCACCATGAACCGCAACCCTGTCCATGTTCGGGGACAGCGAAGACGGATCCACCAATTTCTGGGCTCGGCAAATGCCCTTTCTTCGTTCTATACTCAGCAGGATATTGAAGCTCGGCGCTTTCTTTTTCGGGTTCTCCGGTCTCCTGAACGGCTCGTGGATCATATTCGAAGGTACATATACGGCCTGTCTAATACGGTATCATGTAGCTTACAGATTGCAACAGCCAAACAGGCGCCACCATACTGAAAATTGTCTATGGATATACTACACAGCCTCACGGTCGTGACCCTCTTGTTGATCTTGCGGATTCATCGACGGAACAATTTGCAAAAGCACATACGCCAGGGACATGGCTTGTGGATAGCTTCCCTTGTAAGTGCTGAAATCGCCACTATCTAGCTATAACAGTCTAATGGATCTTATTGGAGTGAGGTATCTCCCGGCTTGGTTCCCTGGGGCTAGCTTCCAGACCAAAGCCCTCGAATGGAGATCCACATTGGACAAATTGACTGAACAACCGTATGCATTTGTCCAACAACAAATGAAGAACGGGACGTTCCAGCCATCCTACGTTTCTAAGCATCTCACACAGGCGGGACCTAACATGAACTCCGAGGAGGAAATGGAAATCAAGTGGTCGGCGTCGACACTCTACGGAGCTGGTGCAGATACGGTCAGTACATTGTTGTTGAAGAACAGAGAAGAAAGGATTATATATGAGAATCTGAGTTTGACAAATGCAGACGGTATCCGCGATATCATCGTTTTTTCTAGCGATGGCCATTTTCCCTGCCGTCCAAGCCAAAGCGCAAGAAGAACTCGATCAGGTTGTAGGGACCAACCTCCCAACAACAGAAGACCGCACACACCTACCATACATAAACGCAGTTATCAAAGAAGTCCTTCGATGGAATCCTGTCACTCCTCTTGGCGTTGCACATGCTTCCACAAAGGAAGATGTATACGAAGGCTATAGAATTCCGAAAGACGCAACCATGGTCCCAAATATTTGGTAAGCTGTCAAAGATACCCTTGCCTCATTATCTAGCTCATCTGGGGATTCAGGGCCTTTCTGCACGACCCCAAAGTCTATTCGGATCCGATGACATTCAATCCTGAGAGGTTCTTAACAACGGAGAGCTACCAGGCAGAGCATGATCCACATAATCTCGCTTTTGGTTTCGGTCGTAGAATTTGTCCCGGTCGTGGCTTTGCTGACTCTACCATATTTCTTACCGTTGTCCGCTCGTTGCAGGCTTTCCGAGTTGCCAAAATCTTCGAAGATGGAAGAGAGATCGAGCCCGTTGTGGGGTATCTGCCTGGAGTAATCAGTCATCCTAAGCCTTTCGTAATCTCTATTACACCGAGGAGTAAAGAGCATGAGTCATTTATTGGTTCCATTGAGATAGAGCATCCGTGGGAAAAAGGGGACCTCGTCTCAGTCTAGACTATTGGTCTCGGGTACGCATCTATGGGCTCAATATTCGTATATCAGCGTCTAGTCCAAGGGCCTAGGAGGTCCATATTAAGCGTCAATGTATTGGTAATTGTGGCAAGCAAGCTCACAGTTCTTACCGTATTGACTTCTTTCTTCAGAATGCCGCTATTCGGCAACTGCAAACCTCCCAATTTCCTTCTTGGGACAATGGGGTTAATTAGATTTTACTTCATTAGTTCGACATAGCCAAGTGCAAGTGATCGGACATATCAATACTAAATTCGTCGTAGAGCCATGCGCCGTGCAAGTAGACGAAATAGGCAGTAGTGCATTCTGTTCGAGAGGGGAATAAGTCATGCTGCCATGTCGTCCCAGATGTTTAGTCACATTTGCGGAAGTTTATGTAGATCTAAATAATGTCTCCTGCATTTACACTTTCCCACTTAAGAATTTCGGGGTTGCGAGGGGGTAAATAGCAGCAAGGGATGCAAGGAAGAATGGCGACGATTTTTATCATACACATGAGAGAAGAGATACTGCATAAGCGGTGTACCTGGGCGCTACAAGCCTTAGAAATGGCATTCTTACGGAGAGATTTCTGTGAGCATCAATATTCCAATGAGGAAGGGAACAGGCCTGTGTTTTGCAAAATATCCCTGTTCTATTTCAATTTTAAATCATTTATCTGTCCTATAGTATTGAAAAAGTACTGCCATGGCTTATCTTCTACGCGGAACAGCCTTCATTACTGGAGCAGGCTCGGGTAGGACTGCACCATCACGTGAATCTAATCGCGGAGCTGAAGCAAAGAAAATTAGGCATCGGAGCTGGCGTGGCTCGTACGTTCAGCCAGAACGGAATTTCCAAGCTAGCATTAATCGACATTAATCCGTCAAGTCTTCAAAAAGTTTCCGAGTCGCTGAGACAAAGATCTCCCGATGTAGAACTACTAACAGCAGCTGTTGACGTGACTAACGAAGTACATGTCGACAATGCGGTCCAGAAGGCGGCCACTAAGTTCGGTCGTGTGGACATTGGAGTTAACTGCGCTGGAGTTTGTGATCCGAAAGAGCCTACTGATCGATTGTCCCTGAAGGATTGGCAGCGGACAATTAACATTAACCAGACCGGTGTGTGGCTGTCGCAGAGGGCACTTATTCGGCAAATGCTCACTCAGACGTATTACAACTCTAATAGGCTGTGGCGGTAGATTCATGTTCTGACACTCTATAGATCGCGTGATATTCGACATGGCCGGGGTGTTATTATAAACGTCTGCTCTTCGCTAGGCATTACTGCCTCAGCTACGGGTATGCCTTATCCAGCATACACATCCTCGAAACACGGTACGTTTGTTCGCGCGGCCCAAAGAATATTCTGCTCAGGGCTTATAAGCATCTACAGGCGTGATGGGGTTCACGAAAATGGTTTGCAGCAACTATCAAATTTTAATATGATTCACCTCAGCTGATTAATGGCATAGGATGCCAAGTACTACGCTCCCATTGGGATTCGCATAAATGCAGTCTGCCCAGGGTATGTTAAGCTTTGATTTTGCTGGCTCTTGTACATCTCTGAAGCGCGTACAGATTTGTGGACACTCCAATGGTATTGGGAGCAGGGAATTCGGGGGTCTTTAAGAAAGAAGTTGAGAGTGCACCAGTAGGAAGAATAGCCAATGTGGAAGAGATCACAGATTCAATCTTATTCCTCGCATCGCCGATGAGCAGCTTTATCTATGGAGCAGGATTAGTCGTTGACGGGGGATATGGACTCTAGATGCTCGTTATACTGTTAACCAGGGATTTGATCAGAGTTTCTCCATTGGGATCAGGCGAGAATTAAAACTTTCTATCTTCTACTATGTTACCGCGATATCTAAACTCATGCATGGCCTGTAGCTGCATCTGTTTGGCGGAGCTATAGCATGCAAACAACTTCGAAACCTCAATATATTTTTCTTCATGATGGGCACCATACACGAGCCTAAGACCACGGGAGAGACGACACTCACGCTTTCATCAGTATTCGTGTACCTTGGCTTAGGTCTCATGACCACTGGGACTCTCCTGGCATTACATGTAGCCTATTTGCCTTGCTGAGCTCCACCACAATGTTGTGGAGCAATAGGGCCCTCCTGTAGAAGGAAACTACATGAACTGATGCATTACATCGTAAACGGCTATGCCTATCACTGGAAGAGATGACTATCCTTCTTCGGACCTCTTTTTATTTGTGCAGATGACTAAGCGGAAATATGAAAATGGCCAACGAACAGACGTGCTCGCCCTCCATTTAATTTAAATACACATGAAAGCATATGTAAGGGACGCATTCAGCAAAGACGTTATCCAGCTACCTGCAATATGCTTAAGAAACCAAGGTATGAATGAAAATCGCAATATGTTGTAGAACCTCGCTAGTGGAACATGTGCTAGCCTTACTATGTAGGGTATAGATGTGTATGCCTCATCCCGTGACCTAAGACCACCTACTCTAAGCATGATGTCCTCGCTCAAGTTCTTACGTGCCTCACACCCAGATCGAACTATGCACAGTTTTACTTGCCTTTCAAACTATGATATCTGCATCGACGACCGATACCTTCACCCAAGTGATCATTATCGGAGCAGGTATGTCAGGTCTGGCCATGGCCTGTCAGCTCAAAAAGCAACTTTGCTGCGAGGACTTTGTCATATACGACCGAGCTCCTAACTTTGGAGGAACATGGTACTTTAACAAGTGTGAGTTTCTGCCTGTGACTACCTGAGCAGACTTATAGTCACCTTTTCGCTCATAAATGGAGTAGATCCAGGTTGCGGAGTCGACATCCCTGCGGCGTTCTATAGCTTTTCCTTCGCTCTATACCCCCAATTCACCTGCTTCTTCCCGAAGCAAGAAGAGATATTGCAATATATCCACGGCGTTGCAGACGAGTTCAGCGTGGCTCTGAAACTGGTTGGTCATACAGAGTGGGAGGGGGCAGACTGGCAGGATTCTGAACAGTGCTGGGAAGTGAGACTGAGGGAGATCCCGAGTGGTCGGAAGTTCACTCGTCGTTGTCGAATTCTTATCTCGGCTGTGGGGGGATTGACGAATCCCAAGCATGTCATGCTGCAAGGAATAAAAAGATTCCAAGGGAATATAGTGCATACAGCACGGTGGGATCAGGGGACTTCCGTTGCAGGGAAAAACGTCATCGTCATTGGAAATGGAGGTAGTGGCCCGAGTCCTTGCTATTCTCTGCGCTGGATGCTGACATTCAGATGTTGATCCTAGCGTCAGCCACCCAGTTGATCCCAGCCATTGCCGAGGATGCCGCCTCTATCACTCAGTTTATTCGGGTATGCTTGCCAAATTTATGGGGAGCATTGCTCTGTATCCATGCTCAGGAACATTATAGACCCCACATCACTATATGCCCGGCAAAAACTTCCGGATCAACGGACTCTGGAGTACTATCTTTCAAAGCATACCGGTATGCTTCTGGCTGTTTCGGGCATTCATCTTTCTTTATCTAGAGACCTCTATTCTCCTCGGGGAACTCACATGGCTGGGGGAATTGATGAGGAGATGGGAGACTTATAGATCCCGACAGCATGTGAGGAAGTGTGCGCCAGGTAAGTTATTGAATATTGTCCAATCTTTTCTTTAAGGAATATGCTGACACTCTGAATCTGCGGAAGAGCAGTATTGGTCTCTTCTCACCCCAGAATACTCTATCGGGTGCAAGGTAACCGTTATTCATGCGTGTATATTCAGTTTTCACGTACTGGATGCTAAGCATGACTTAGCGCCGTGTGTTTGATAATGACGGTTACCTGAAATGTCTACACCGACCCAATGTCGACATCACAAATGATCCAGTTGTGGCAGTGGAGGAGCAGTCTATAATAACGCAAACTGGGAAGAGGTTTCCGGCAGATTTGATTGTATGCTTCTCCAGATGCAATACCACGAGAGACCGACGTTGACTTGCATTATGGAAGGTGTTTGCGACGGGGTTCGCTCTCTCGCAGTACGACATCGACCTGCGAGGTCGTAACGGGCGTACGCGACAAGAACATTGGAATCGATTCGGCTGTATACAAGCATTTGAGACGGTGGCCATGGCGGAATTTCCGAACTTCTTCTACATTCTCGGACCCAACTCTGGCAGGGGCCATACATCAACTGTCTATTCAATTGAAAGTTATGATGCCTGTGCACCAACTGTTACTCATAGACCATTGCTAATCTTGACCCTCCAGCCACGTTGACCTGGTAATTCGGATTATTAAACCAATAATGGAACACAATGCAGTTTCAGTTGTGATAAAACAAGCAAGTGAAGAACGGTTTAACGCGAAGTTGAAGTCTGCACTTAGGAAGACCGTCTTCACAAATATGTGCAGAAGTGTGAGTTTCACTTTGGTTGACAGGAACCTTACTCCACCCTATTAATAAGTCTTCCACAGTGGTACATAGACCCACGAACAGACCAGAATTGGTTTACTTACCCATGGAATTCCTTCAGAATGTGGTACACGACTCAGTATGGTGGGATGGAAGATTGGACATACACGAAAGCAGTTGCCAGCCTCGACAATCAGTCTCGTCCGTGTTCTAACCGTTGTGGAAGAGAAGCCCTTCCTATCCTGATTATAATCCTCTCCGTTCTCTTTGGTTGCATATTTGTGACGGAACATGGAATGCTTCTATCTTCATGTACCTAATGCTGCGTGAGTATCAGCATGTGCGTGTCAGACTCGGCTACTCAAAGCTGCGAAACTCTTTAATATGTATCATTAAATTCCCGTATTAAGACATCAGTTCTGCAATCATGCCTTGGACAATGCTGTAACGCAGAATGGCCTCACATCGCACATCCACCAATGATAGACTCCTATTAAAATTCTTCACCAGCTAGACTGTCATCCCACAACGGCCGTGCGTCGAGTGACAGGTGCCCCGTGGATGCGCTAATGCACCTCAGCGGGTCATCAGACGGCACAACGCTATGCATGGGCGTTTAAGTGACACCAAAGTAGCCATCCAACAACTAGGGTGATGATATTCCTCTACCACTGTCCATATTAGACTTTCCCACCGTCATAATGGGCTTTCCTCAGCCCGCCCGAAGCCCAAACTAATGCAAGGCGTTCCACCGCAACTGAGGAGACGTTTCTCTCCTCACGAGTCGAATAGCTTTTAGGGGATATCCCTGCTCGTGTAGCCAAAGAGGGGGAAGGAATTAACACTACTAGTATATAAGAGTAGAACCAACATATAAGGACACCCCCCTCTCCCCGCTCAGCCCTCCTCCACTCCTCCACAAAATTGCACCTATACATACACACCACCACAATGCCCACCATCCTCCTCACCCTCCTCACCCTCCTGACCCTCCGCCTCCTCTACGAATACAAACGCGACCGCAACCTCCCTCCAGGCCCCCGCCGGCTCCCCCTAATCGGCAACCTGCACCAAGCCCCTCAGACCCTCCCTTGGCGCGTCTTCGACCAATGGAGCAAAACCTACGGCCCTATCATGTCCGCCCAATTCGGGCGCCAGACCCTGATTTTAATAACCTCACCCACCATCGCGCGCGATCTCCTCGACAAACGCGGAAGCATCTACGCCGACCGCCCTGACCTCGTCATGGCCAACAACATCACGAAGGGCCTGCACATGCTCATCCGGCAATACGACGACTGGCTGAAACTCCACCAGCGCCTCGATGCTCCGCTGCTTAGTCCCCGCGCGTCGAATACTTACCATCCGATCCAGGATCTCGAGAGCAAGCAGCTCATGTTCGACCTGCTGCAGTCGAATGACTTCGACGCGCATTTCGAGAGATATAGTGGGAGTTTGATGTTCGCGTTGGCGTACGGATTCCGACTTCTCTCGCCGAAGGGGCAAGAGCTGCGCGATATGCGGACTATTCAGGGTAATTTTACCTACGCGGCTAGGGTAGGGACGTGGATTGTGGATGCTATTCCAGTGCTGAATTATCTGCCGGCGGTGGTGGCGCCGTGGAAGAGGCTTGCGGAGAAGTTATTTAAACTAGAGGCGAGTGTGCATACGAGACATCTGGAGAAGGGGTTAAATAGTGAGCCGTGGAATTGGTCGAAGGAGTTTGCGGCGTCGAAGCATGCCGAGGGGATGCCGCGGTTGGATTTGGCGTATAATTTGGGGATATTGGTGGATGCGGGGTTTGAGACGACGTGGGCGGTGATGAAAATCTTTGTGCTGGCGATTCGGTCGAATCCGCGGTTTGTGGTGGTCGCGCGAAAGGAGTTAGATGAGGTGGTGGGTGAGGATAGGATGCCGACCTTTGAGGATCAGGAGAAGCTGGTGTATATTCAGGCGGTTGTGGATGAGACTCTGCGGTGGAGGTCGATGGCTCCGGGTGGCATACCGCATGCTACGAGGAAGGAGGATACTTATATGGGATATCGAATTCCCAAGGGAGCGACGGTGATTCCGTTGTTTTGGTCTATGTGCCTGACTGACGAGCCGTGGGATGATCCGCTGGAGTTCAGGCCGGAGAGGTGGTTCGAGGCGACGGAGAAGGAGGAAGGTCGGTTCCGCAATTTCTTTGGGTATGGGCGGCGGATATGCACCGGGCGGCATATTGCTAGGAATTCGTTATTCTTGTTGATGGCCAGAATTCTCTGGGCGTTTGATATCCAGGCGCCGTTGGGGGATGATGGGAAGCCGGTCCCGGTGGATGATATGGCGTTTGATTCTGCTTTTGTATCGACACCGGAACCGTTTGAGGCGCTGTTCGTGCCGCGGAGTGAGAAGACCAAAGAGATTGTGGAGAGGGAGTGGAATGAGATGGAGAAGGATATGGCGGTGTTGATGGGCCAAGTGCGAGAGAGCCAGCGGGCGCTTGGGCTGGATGTTAGGGCGTGAGGAGTACGTGGGATTAAGCGAAGGAAATTAACATAGTATTAGGTATATGGCATTAAGTATGTAAGATGAAGCTATACGTCTATCAAACAAATGTAGTGTATCGGTTACCGATCGAGCAATCCGATTCGTTTGGCCACCCAGGCAAATATAACAGTCAATCCCAGGATGAAACCTAGAATGCTAAACCACCATGTGAGTGAATTGTCCCCATCATGTGTCTTCCCTGGCACTCTGACATTCATTCCAAATAGACCCGTGATGAACTGCATCGGCACGAGAATAGAAGCAAGAACCGTCAGCTTGCTAAGTGCTGATGCAATACCATTGCGCATGCGTCCGGAGTCGAAATGAACCTGAGTGAGGTACTTGGACTGCAATCGCGAGAGCATCTGCTCGGCCTGCTCGAGGTTGGCAATCATGGTGACGACGTGATCGCAGATATCGCTAAGATACAGGGCAACTTGCGACGACGAGGTGTCGGAGATATCGCAGTGCCGCGCAAAGGAGCGGATGACATCGATCTTGTCGTGCAGCGGCTGACGAATATTCATGACCTCCTTGCGCAGTTTGAAGATGCGCTGCAAGGCGAGTCCCATGTCATCAGGTCGAGTGATGGAGACAGAGTCTTCCACGGTTACAACACCATTTTCAACACGACTGATGAACGGGGCAAAGCCGTCAACGATATCATCGCTGCCAGGCATCAGTAAACACAGCCGTAACAGAGCTAGAGTAGTGGTGGGGCTTACATCAGGGCATAGCAAATCCAATCGCTGGTCAACAGCAGATGGCTGCTGTGCTCCTTGATACGCTGTCGCACATGGCTAGTGTGCAAACTGGGGTCGAAGCTGAAGCTGAGAACGCCGCCTCGAAACACCACGGCGTACAGGTTGTGCGAGACGATACGCACTCCAGTGTCCGTCTCGAGCCGACGCGGCGGTCGCAGGGAGAGAAAGTAGTACTGACCGAAAAGTTCGATCTTCTCTCTGGTTTCACGGGTCTTGATATCCTCCGTGGTCAGGGGATGGAGGTTGAAGAATCGCGCAAGGGCTTCAATGTCTTCTTCCGATGGGGCCGTAATATCAAGCCACCATAAGCCACTGTGAGCCCCTGTTTCCAGGAGGAGCTCAAAGGGCCTATACACGGAACATAAGTCCTCGATACTGGAGGCCTCGATCGAGGTCTTCAGTTGGGAGGTGAAGAAGTTGAGCCGGCTGGCCACTGCAACCCGGGGCTTCTCCAGACGGGGGTCGGGGGTCGAATCAGAGGACATGATTGCAGGCAGCGGGGCGGGCTCCATTCCCTAGGCGGGGAAGGCCAGATTGAAGATTATGGGCACAGCTGGGATGGAGGAGACATCAACGGGGATCCCAATGGGGAAGCGCAGCGCATCCTGACGATATGGTGTGCGATGGATGAAGCCTGACGATGCGATGAAAGACAGGGAGAGAGAAAAGTCGAGCCGGAGCCGTGGCGGTGCACCTGCCATCCCGCCTGTGGGCCAATCAGAGCAGGATCGTACCATCCACGTGTTACCGCCCGGTCAGTCTTTCTAGAAAGTGATGTATTGCGAGTTGTGAGACAACACCATTGACACTTCACCAGATATCTCTGATCTGTCAACTCTGCAAGAATCAGTGGCATACATACAGTGGTTTAAATATAGTAGCCGAGGCTCAACAGGTCCTTCCGAGTCCTCGCTGTCGGATGCTGACCAATCAGAGCGGCGGATCGCCATCTCCTTCGCATCGTCGCATCCGGCAACCATAAGCAGCACGTGACGGGCAGCAGGACAGAGAGATTACTAGAACGAACTGATCAAAAGTGAGTCTGCTAGTTGGGTGAAGCAAAAACACCGCTTCCTAGTAGTACTACTCTCGACCCATCTGCCTTTCAAGTTTCCATATTCGGAGCATAATTGATGCAAGATATTTGCCCATTTACCTAGCCCGTACATGTAGACGTCATTGCCAGAACGACGCTAGTTATCAATCAGCTAATCCATATCATCGTGACTCCATGTCCATGCCCCTTCCCAATAAATATATAACACCAAACCTGTACGCCAAAATCAGATGTATCAGTTTAGGATTTCATTGTGGTCTGGCCGCATGCCCCACCCAGCCAATACCGCGTCAGCAGCTGCACAGCATCGGTGTTCTTCCTCGTGAAATCGTACAATCTGGAAGCACGGATGTTAAGCGTCACTCCATCAAAATCGGCCTCCAAAACCCGGGCATGGCGTGGACCCATGAGAGAGAGCACCAGCATCTACCAAAGTAAGATTAGTATTAGACTCCTTTTGATTGCAAGCGAACAGGGACTGTACCGGAGCAACAATATGCGGCCGCAGGGTCTTAGACCTTAGACGGCCCCTCATAATATCGGTGATCGTCATGATCTCTCCACGAAGCAGACGGTTGTCGCCAATCACGTCATTTTCCACGATGGCCTTCATGTGGGGATGGTTTTGTTCGGGGTAATCTGTCACTGATACAGCATACCAATTGAAACCAAAACACTCTAGTAGCTGTCCGAACTTGAAATCTCCAATCCTATGATAAAAGAGTCAGAGAAACAGCTAGCATGCGGACTTGAGAAAGAAGTAACATACTCGCGATACACGCCAAAGGGAGGGTTGTGCGGATACTCGCGCAATGCAAAGGATCTGCAGTCCTGAAAGTGGTAAAAGAGAAAGACCTCCAATGCACGAGTGTCCCACATGATATGATCTGGGTTCAGCTGGTTCTTGAGAAACGCATCTTCTTCAGTTGGAAGAGGCAGGTTCTCTTCGTAGGGTTTGAAAAAGCATGGCGCGTCTTTACCCCCCTCTAGGGACAAAGGGAGATGGCGGATACCAGCCGCCTTCAGGTCGCTTGGTTCGACATGCATATAAGGTGTTTGCTTGATGTGCTCCTCAGCCTTAGCCAGAGCATGACGACGAACTTGTCGCTCAAGAAGAAGCTGTTGATCAGACATGATGACTGAGTCCTGAGAGGTGATGATGAACTGGGAAGGCAGGCAGAGAGATTGAATGTTGGCGACGGCTATCGCGGCCTGAGGCAAACATCTTATTGTCAAGGCCTCTTTGGGTTACGGCGTCTGGGCACCTTGCTCAGAACCTCTCAGTGACAGCAGCTACGTGTTAATGAATATAAATTTGGTCTACTATAGCAACAAGAGGAAGTGTACTTTATCACTGATACATGCGGCTCTATGTCAATCACTGCCCCTTCATGGCGGCAATCGATCCTGCCTTCTCATTCACCCCTCTCTCTGTTCTCAACCCATTGCTCTGTTAATGCGGCGACAAGGATATTCACATAGGAAATCAGACCCGCTTCTTCACAAGATGGGTATGTGTGAATACACGCTCGATAATCTGAGCGCACTGGATAAATTTCCTGTAACACATTCCCGTGGAAGTTCCAGTCACTGCCATAGTGGAATACGGATTATACCTGCTCATAGTCAAGGCCTCCCACGCGCCTAAGCCTATATAAAGGGGCTTCTCCTCCTGTCATCCAAGTTGCAGCTGGCATCAATCATTCTATATTTCATTATTTATATAACTTACTTCAAAGTCTACACTCTACAAATCGATATAACATATCGTCTCCAAAAGCAATTTGCTTACAAAGTATGGGAGGGTGTTGTTTCATGCACGCGGCGAAAACTTCAAACATCCCTCTTCAGGAAAACCTCCAGTATATCAACTCTTACAGCAGCCCTCCGGACCTGTCTGCTGTGTAACGTTACCCTGACCGCAGTTAATAAGCACCCGGGCAGACAGCGAAAGCGTCATGGTCCGATGCAGACTGACCGCTCGCCTGGAGCTGGCCGCGCAATTCGGCCACTGCACCACGTACCCGACGAATTTCGGTGTTGGATCGCCCGTCTAGGGAGGATGATGTGAAGGCGTCGACTATGGATAATATTTATACGGACTGATGGCCGCCTCTTAGGCGGATCATCCAGAAAGCACGAGCATTGGTCGAAGTTAAGCAGCTTTGAGGAAGGAAAGCTTGAATACCTACCCAGTAAGCTTGAGGATGCGCAGATGGTAGCCTAGGTTAAATTCGATCACACCGGACAAGTATTCCGGCAGAATGGGTGGCAGATCCATCAGGTTATGCAATACCCCCAGTTACTCCGGATCATTCCACACTCTTGTACTAATACACTCCAGGCTTTATTTATCTGCTCAAACAAAGCATACGCACAGACATACCGCGACACCACCGATCAGAAGATGGTACCCCTTTAGCCACGTCCGTTTCATCGTCAGCACTGGCAGTAATACTTTAGTCAAGGTCTTTGACCTACGCATGCCGAAGCACAAAATAAATAACTATATCAGTGCATCGTTTCCAAGATTTTCACGATGCAATCCGAATCTTCTACATGATCTCCCAACCTCACCATCAACTCCGCTAATGATGATATTACCACGTGTCACGAGATCCTCATCCCATTGACCAAATATGCAGAGTAGAATGATGGCTATACCTTCAGCAAATATACCGTACGTTGGCCCCAGGACCGCGTTCGTTTCTCAAAATGCGTTAATTTGGACCCTGGAGCACACTGGGTCAAGGGCAATTGAAACTATTGGTCATGTTCTGCTAGAAATCACCTTACGTTCCTATGCATATTCCAGCCAAGCTATTGACAAGCAAACGGCAGGAGACCAACATCGGATCCAGAATGGCAGTGGTTTGGGAGTGTTATTGGAAGCATAAAGCGATCGTTGTCTTGTTCACGCATCTTATCAAACCGAAGATGGTTGCCTAAATGGAAGCTGTGAGAATCAATGGGATTCCACATCAAGGCACTGGAAACGCTTAACAACGGTACCATCCACCATCAAGAAGAGGTTTTCTCTGTCAAATCTCTTATAAAGTACCTCGTTCTCTTGGCATTGTTGCTCCCACTTGCACATTCTCTTTTCCGCGTAAAAACACCACTTCCTATCATGATTCTTGTTGCCAAGTCCACTACCCTGATACTGTTATGGTAATGGGGAACATTCAGTGCGCCTCTGTATCCTCAGTTATCACTTCCAGCTGATATGTGGTTTCATTACCAGAGAGGATTTGTGTTTTGTATCCGGAACAGGACATTGCCGTTCACTGCACCATCATTATGCCGGTTTCGATCCCTAGCATTCCATCTTCCACCTTGTTAAACAATCAAACACTGACACACCTCTTCCACACTCCCGGGACAATATATCTCCCAGTCCCAGTAGAACAGCGGGGTGAACCCCACCAAACAAACTAATCGTAGGCCAGACCCTCTAGCTATAGTAGCCTTCGGAATGGATTCCGGGCGGGGGCAATGCCGCCGGAAGGGATCCCGTATCCAGCCTCAAAGCTATTCAAACCCCACCGGCAAAACAAATTATGTAACTGGGTAAGCGCTTCTCCGGCCCTCCCACGCCACCCCAATTACCCAGCACAATGCCAGGCATAATTCCTACCAAAAGTTGCTAGCACCCCAAATCCACAACCGCATTACTATGCATCCAGATCCACCGCCCCGGTCAGGGACTGCATTTACCCCAGACCAGACCAGACCCACCGTTGCATCCCAACTTGACTCACCGATATAAAAAGCACCCTTCTCACCGGCACACAACCATCACCCTCCAAGCAACCACAACCAAAAGTAATTACTACTATGATCAACGTCATCATCGTCGGCGCCGGCCTCATCGGCCCCCGCCACGCACAATCTGTTATCACCAACCCCTCTACCAACCTTCTTGCCCTGGTCGACCCCTCCCCAAGTGCCTCATCCGTGGCTAAAACCCTCAACACGCTCTACTTCCCCTCATTATCAGCCCTCCTGTCTGCTACACCAGACATCCCGCACCCAGACGCCGCCATAATCTGCACCCCCAACCACACGCACGTCCCCGTGGCTCTCGAACTCATCAGCCACAACATCCACATCTTACTCGAGAAACCCATCAGCGACACCATCACCACTGCGCTTCCCTTGCTCCAAGCGCAGCAAAAGTATCCAGATGTGAAGATCCTCATCGGCCACCATCGGAGATTCAACCCATACATCACCAAAACCAAGGAAATCCTCGAGTCCGGGTCATTGGGTCCAATTATTGCTCTATCCGGACTATGGACTCTATACAAGCCAGCATCATATTTCACCGGTGCTACCGAGTGGAGAAGGGATAAGACTAAAGGTGGTGTATTGAGTATCAACCTCATTCACGACGTGGACTTACTCCACTACCTATTCGGTCCTATTACGCGCATTTACGCAGAGAAAACCCTCCCTCAGCGCGGGGGTCCAGATGGGAATGAGAATCACACCGCGGAAGAAGGCGCGGCGATTACATTCCGGTTTGCTAGCGGGGTGGTGGGCACGTTCGTGGTGAGTGATTGTGCGCCGTCGCCGTGGAATTTCGAGGCCGGGACGGGTGAGAATCCGATTATTCCGAAGGTGGGTGGTGTAGGAGGAGGGTTTTATAGGGTTTTGGGAAGTCGGGGGTCGTTGAGCGTGCCGGATTTGAAGAGGTGGAGTTATGATGGGGTTGAGGGGGAGAAGGGGTGGAATCAGAGATTGCAAGTGGAAGAGTTTGAGGTCGATGAGGGAGTGCCGTTTGATTTGCAATTGGAGCATTTTGTGCGTGTATTAGAGGGGGGAGAGACGCCGAGGTGTGATGCTGTGGAGGGATTGAGGGCGTTGGTGGTGGTTGATGCTGTGAAGAGGGCGATGGAGACGGAGGAGGTGGTGAAGGTGGAGAGTGTTGAGGAGATTTTGGCGAGGAATGAATGAATAGTTGATGGGATAAAGTGAGGCGGGTATTTGAGATTTTGCTAGTATGATATCAAATGAAAATATTGTAAAACTCTTACTTATTCGAGACACTCTGCACAAAGCTCGAATGCACCATAATAGACTGATCAACCGAACTCCCTCCCTCCCGTTCCACCGACTCTATGGAGTGTGGCTTCCTTAGACTCGCACTCGTCGTAACATGATTCGTCAGACCGATCTCCTCGTCATCCTGTCCATCAAAAGTATACTTCGTCGACAGAACACTATGCACGCGTCGACCAGCTGAAGGCGTGCCATTCCCGTTGGCATGGCCGCTACGAGACCGCCACGGCGTACTCGGGTTAGTTGGCCGACTGCGCTTGCTATCCTGGCTCGAGGAGAGCTTGATATGCGCTAACCGGACCAGCGGGGCGAGATGAGGCAGGCAGGCGCAGACGAGGGAGAGGCCCGGTTCGATGGTGGACCAGATGAAGACGGGCCCGAGGGTCCAAGTGACATCGGTGCGTTTAGTGAATTGATCGACGGAGTAGATGCGGACGATACTGGCGACGCAGGCACTACAAGCCAATATAAGCCCTGGTGCAATTGGGGAATAGAGGAAAGGGGTCCTACAAACTGCCCACGGCCAAAATACCGCTAATAGCCACCTTCTTGCGACGGTTCATCTGCAGTTTGGCGATCTGGGGGAATGGAATCAACAAAACCACGATGTCGTTGAGCATGTTGATGATCCCCAGCGCTAAGAAGAAGGTATCGGTGTCAATGCAGGTGCCGCTTGCACCGCCAAACTGGTTCCAGAAGTATGAGGCGGGTTTACATGCTGTGGCCATTGTGACGCAGATGATGATCGGGTAGGAGAGGGTGAGGAAGAAGCCGAGGTAGATGCCGATGCGCAGGGAGAGGTCTGCATGGGAGGCCATAAAGACGCGACGGTAGAAGAAAAGGATCGAGACTTTGGCGGCGCAACATACGGCGGAATATACCATGACGTAGATGTAGAGGATCTGAGATGTCAGTGCGCGGACAACAGTGCCATGTGGGGTGCTGCTGACCTTGAATAGTGTTACCAGCTTGGTGACGCTGATAGCCCAGACATGTTTGCGGGCACCGTAGAAGCCTCCTGGTATCCGTCAGTCTCCAATCCTAACAAAAAGACCCCAATAGCCTGATAGACCTTACCGGAGATACTCAAACCGGACGTCGTGCAGATAAATACCTATTTATAAAGCACAATTAGCGGACACCTTTCGAAACAAATTCCATGTGAAGACAAGTCCACCGCACCAATGCAAGAATAATGACCCAATCATCAGCCATAAGAGAATTGCGCAAGACACGCCGGGCAACAAAGCGTAGCACAACCGAAATAACAGCCAAGCACAGAATAAAAATCACGACAGCATTGTCCTGCTGCACCCTACTATCCGTCAAGTCAATATCATCCGGGGGCTCGCCGAATATAGCGACAATGGCAGGATCCACGGCCATAGTGGTCCGCCGACCCCAACAACAACAGCACAGCAGCGACAAGAAAAACTCACCAGCAGATTGATTAAAACAGAAAAGGGAGATATAAAAGCGGCCAGGAATGGCCCCTACGGACGGCTGAGCATCCTGGCTGCGGGAATGGCGTTTCCTAAGATCGGCCTACAAGCTTGGGGGCCAGACGGACAATCCAATCAATGCTGGTACACATATGACCCCAATTTCAAGTGGATACTAAGACAAGCCACCGTCTCTTTAGCTCAACGCTGACAGCAGCCACACGCGCCCACAATTAGTGGCCGGCGTGGGTCTCCGGAGGCACACGACCGGGGGCGGATTCCTTCGCTTACACTTAGCCTCAACCGATACCCTAAACAAACAGGAGATGCAGCAGTGTCAAGCCGGAGGATGGTTGCCTGTTACTGAACAAGGATAATGTGCAATATTAGCATGGACAGTTATAGCCGTGATCATGACAACTTGGCGGAAGTAGCAGTGAGCATGGCTAATACTGTTTATCCCACACTACTAGTACACCATGTAAATCGAACCATTCCCCTTAGGCTGTATGCCTAGATAAACCAGCGGGGAAAGTCCAGTCCGAACTGCTTGCTTGCAGCGACAGATAAAAAGCCCAGGGAAGAACAGATCAGCCTTGCCCGCTGCCAATCCCTCAATCCCTTTTACCCCAACAGCCAACATGGGTTCCATCGCCCCCGACGTGCCAACATTTACTCCGCTCGAACTCATCGGCCCCCGAGGCTACATGCGATACGTGTTCACCTTCCCCTTAGGCGACGACTACGTGCTGGAGGATGTGTCCAGAGCCCTGAAAGCCGGCTACGACGCCGCAGCCCAGCGCCTCCCCATTCTAGCCTGCGAGGCCATCCCCGACCCGACCGCCCGACAGGATAGTGTAATGAAGCTGCAGATGCTAGGACCAAATGCAGAAGAGCCTATATTAGTAAAAGACCTCCGAATGCAGGACACACTCCCAAGCTATGCCGAGCTCAAAGCCCAACACTTCCCGGTGGCCGCCTTCGACGCCGACACATTGTGCCGCCGTGACATCTGGCCGACAGATCTAGGCGAACATCTACCCATCTCGCTCGTCCAAGCCAACTTCATCCGCGGTGGATTGATCCTCACATGGTGCATCCTGCACATGGCCGGCGACGGCAACTCCTTCCAGACATGGATGCGAGTTTGGGCAGAGGAATGCCGTCGCGCACAAGGCGTGAAAATTACTGACCCTGTCGTACTCCCACCAGCTATCTTCGCAGACCGTGAGAAAGTCATGCGCTCTTCAGGCCGTAATCCAGGCCGAATAGAAGATCACCCCGAGTACGTCGTCCTCCCGTTCAAGCCGCCCGAAGGCCTGCCGCCAAAGATGCTGGCCAAGAACCACCGCGCTCAAGTCTTCTATTTCTCTCCGGAGGCTCTGGCCGCGCTAAAGAAGGAAGCATCCCCCAAGAATGCCTCTGAGCCGACAGACGTGCCCTGGATTTCGACCAATGATGCCTTGTCCGCGTTGCTGTGGAGGACAGTAATGGCCGTCCAGTGGCCCCTCGAAACCCTAGAAAGCGTCAATCAGGATCAAGAATCATTTTTCAACATCGCCCTGAACGGCCGCTTACGAACTGATCCCCCCGTCCACCCGAACACACTTGGCTGCTTCCTTGAATACATCGGGGTGTCGATGCCCGTGCACAAGATGCTCACTTCCGCCCAGTTGGCCGATCTAGCTGTCTTGATCCGCCAGGCACTGCAACGAGTGAGCAACCAGCACACAGACGACGTAATTTCCCTGATCGAGCAGCTCGATGATATTAGGAAGATATTCCCGGCCTCGCTGGTTGACCTGCCTGGGTTCAATTGCATGCTGACTTCGTGGGTTGACTTTGCATTGCATAATTTGGATTGGGGAACATTGCTGGGAGGTCATATCGAGTCGGTGCGGGCGCCGCATGTCGGGGTTATAAATGGTTTGCAGGTGGTGTTGCCCAATCCGCGGGAGGGCGGGATGGAGGTTCTGGTTGGGGTGGCGGATGGATGTTTGGAGAAGCTGCTCAATGATCCGCTGTGGATGAAGTATGCAGTGGCGCGGTGATGTGGCCTGGCTATCTCTTCCGAGATATGTATCATTTTGATTATGACTCGTTTTGGTAGCGCTACGCTAGGGATGTCAACGCAGGTTGTTATGTAGAAGCGTTAGTACATTCATCGGTGCATGCTGACATATATTCATCGTCTATCTGGCGGTAGAGAGTAATATCTGGATTATATGAAGTCGGATATTTTAATATTATATTTCCAAGCGAACAGATCCAACATCTGTCTTTTTTCAAAGAGAAGTATGTACAGGTTGGAGCATAAATCACTCTTGACGGCGCTTACTTGGAACGACGCTCCCAGACATAGGGTGACCAGCCTAAATCGCAGTTGAAGTAGCTGCAGGGTGGTCATCAGGAAGTGTAAGATTCGGGTGATTCATCAAGGAGTCGTAAGTATTCCCCAAAATCTCTTTCAAAGACCTATGCTTATCCAACTGGTCCAACTGAGCCTTTGCATCACGAGCTCGTTTGTTCCAGGCGTGCAACTGGGAAACGAGCATCATCGCGTCCGTTTTCCATATTCGCAGCATTTGCATACCGACAGGTCCGACGACTGTTTTAGTGAAAAAGAAATCGTCAAGGTGGCGATCAAAGTGCTCCATATCCTTTCCACCCATGTGAACCTTTCTTGTTCTTACGGCGGGGTCTTCGATGAATGTGTCTAGGCTAGCACAGGTATAGCAGCGGCAGAGGATACATGACCTGCCCTGCCAGTCTGGTGGCACGAGAGGAGCAGGAAGTACATAGCCAGTTATGTATTTGTTGAGAATGTGTTTAACGAATCGTCGTTCACTATTTGTGGAAGGGCCTCCAGACGTAATGACATTCTCGCAAACACCGTTTGCCACTGGAAGCAGGAAGTCGGTAAAAACATCAGGCATATCTCTTGCTTGGAGGTCCAGAGTGTATTCCGTGAGGGCATGAACTAATGCTGCGTTGTCGACGTCCATAACATCTCCTAACTTAATCAACCCGACTACCGTTTTGGGATCGATGCGGATACTCGTGGTATGTTTCGTGGGGCGGCAGTTCGCAGCAAATTCAAGACCAGAGTTAGAGGTATGCTTGTATTGAACCCGAAAGCCGCGGAAAAATTTTGGTAGAAGATTCTTGAGCATTGCATCAACCGCATCTTGGTCGAACTTCCCACGCCTTGAGTAGACATAGACCGAGACAAAGAATTTCCCAAGACAAGCTGTGCGCTCAATCTTAGTCTCCAGGAAAGGTATGATTCTGTTTTTGTTAGCGTAATGACTCAGCAATCGACAGGCCTCCGTCTACCTTTCGAATAAGCCCTCCTGGGGCAACGGCGTCAGCACATCCACTAGATGGCGGCCATCTGGTCCTGTGTCGTTCGAATAGCAGGACAGATAATTGCTGATAATAGCGCTTTCCCAGTTCAACATTTCCACCGATGGCGCTCGGCCCCGTTCCTGGCAGATTGCACGATATTCCCGGAACAGTTTAGAAATACAGCTGACTCTCTCTGGCAATGAGGGGCCATGCGGTTTGTCTTGAAAAACACGTTCCAGCCTAGGCAATGATATCAGAACGTGCACAATACACGTGGGATAAGTCTACATACGCCAAGCGAATAGCTTCAAGTCCATGTTTCGCCAGGACTTTCGCAGTTTGAGTAATCTCGGAAGAAGACATGGTGCCTTCAAGGGACACAAGAGTTTGGCAGAATAGAATCACGTCATCAACATCAATGGCTATCTGCATAATCTTGGCTCTCATTTCAGACGACGAAGAGTGTTTTTTCAGGATCGTTTGGCAGGCCCGGACCAGATTCCGCTTCGTCAAAGCATTATCGGGCTGTTCTGAGAATAGCTGGTGACACTCATCTAGGAGGTCTGCAATGTTATCCGCGGAGTATATTAGCCGGTGGAGTATGAACGAGGAGCGAAAAACATTTGGGACAATTATGGCACCCTATGAGTTGTGAGGACGAAGATACACCAAAGCAGAGCAGGAAGTGTAGAAGTAATCACTAGCGGCATGAAGACTTACTGTCGCTCGGTAAACACGGGTTGCCTTAGCCGCTTCGTTGCCCGTAAAGCCTTGGTATTTTTCATCATCCGGAAGTCGATTCGAGAAGAAATCCTCTTGAATCAGCAATTTCCCGTGGAATGGCAAATGCTTTCCGACTTCCGACCCTGACGCGTCCACCACTGATAAGAACTTCTGATTGCCTCCGAGCACATCCTCTAGCGCATTGTGAGCTTTCCAATAACTGTTCCCGTACCGTCCATCGACGCCACCCATTCTGGTCTTCTCAATATTGGCTAGGTATAAGTCGAAATCAAATCCCTGACATGCCTTTTGGAGTTCTCCAAAACGAACTTGATCTACTCCTTTCAGTCGATCAAAGCTAAGTTCAGCAACAGTATACTGGTGCTCTAGGACATAGACAAGTGCTGGTGGGCAGTCACCATTGATATGATGATCCCAAGCTGAGTGATCGGATTGCCCATTTCCACTGCAATCGGAGACCCAGGATTCAAGTAGATGAGTTAGCTTGTCTGTTTGAACACCGGAAATACCAAGCCCAACTAATGGGCGATGAATCAAATTGTACACCAGAGCCACTCTATATCCAGAGGTGACGGGTCTCACCTCATGGATAACATCCGCATACCAAGCAGCCCACGAGAAGCTAAATTCAGAGGATGATGCAGTTGACCATGCGATCTTCCAACCACGGTGGGAAGCAACGAGTGTCCCGCCTTCGTGCTTCGAAGGAAGACATACCACCAGCGTAGCAAACATGCCATCGGCCTTCTCAGTGTCCTGGTGTGGAAGGAAAAATGCGCCTTCCTCGTAGATCAGGAGCTTATATAGCTCGGCCTGAACCTCATCCGATTGGGCAGTCAGACCCAGGCCCGTCACGGCGTCGTCCACCACGTCATCCATCTGCTGTTGCCAGAGCGGATTTTGAAGCGAAAACTGGCCAGGGTCGAGTTGCCATGTTTTGCGAACGGATTCGTCCACCAAAGTTTCGGAACCTTTGCCGTAGGGGCTGCGATCGCAACACTGGGTAATGGCTTTTGCATCGTCTGCTGAGATGGGAAGTCGAATGTTGCCTAGGCCTGCGATATTCAGGCCAGGTATGGCTAGGCCCAGCCCAAGGTCTTGTGTCAAGAAGGACCCAGAGGATTCGATGGTCTCCAGAACGGCACACAGGCCTCTCTTGAGTTCAATGTGACCATCATTGTCGTTTACATCTGCCACTATAGGTCTCATTCTGGCTCCTTTAATTGCAAGAGTCTTGGGGTCGGTTTGCGAGATGGAGGATGTGATGTCAAAGTTGGAACTGCAGTTGAGAGACGCTTATCCGGCCGCGAGTCGCGTCGCGTTATTTGCTGCGAATAGCGGCCATCGGGCAAATACACCATCACCCGTTAATCCCTGTCCATTTCCCATTTTCTTTGTCTGTTTTCGCGACTAAACCGATAGGGGGATGCCACGCGATAGTATCCCTACCGGCAGGCTGGACATTCATCTACTGCAAAGCGGAACGCGACGATGAATTTCATCCACCAACAGCGAACCCAACCACCACTCATCCAGGGCTTGTCAGATGCGGTTCCACGATACTTAATACCCCTTTGACTCGGACAACATCTCCTCCATGTGTGTGGAGGCGACTCCGGGAAGAGAATTCCGGGTGCTTAGTGACCCCTATACCCCCTTAAGCCGTCATGTTCTATATATAGCTTCAGATCATCCACGCCATATCTGACCCCGACTCGAGGATACTATTCTGTCTGTCGATCGACGGATCAATAACCGCGGCCCGGCCGGATGTAGATGCTGTACTCCGTACAAATCGACTATCTAAGATCGAGAAAGGGAGCATCCACGTCTGACCGACTCACCACAGACGCATTTTATTGGCTCGTGCTCTGCGCCCGCCATGAAAGCGTAAAGCTTAGTAGCGACATAGCAAATATACCAGCATGCAACATGCAGCAGGAAAGCCTGCGGCAGACGACATGAGAAATAAGGCTCTTCACGCAATTTCCCTGGGACAAGCGTTCCATGGGTCGAGTCCGGGTCGCGCAGTCTCGGGTTTCCCCCGCCAGTGGTGACTCCTCCCGTCCCAGGCACGCAACAACCCCCTGAACGCCCTACTGATAGACTAGTAGATGCCCCTGCAGGAGATTAGCCGTCGTCCACTGGCTATCGCTATCTATGATGCGAAGGAGAACTAGTTGGTTAAGTAGTTTTGTCCCTCGGATGATTAGCCAAAGAGAGGACGGCAATTGTCAATCCCGCGCAGATGACAGCCGACATGGTCGGGGTTTTCCGACTCTTCCATTGGGACGGATGGGGAGGTAAGAAGTCTATTTATTTGTTTGTGTGCGAGGTTCACCGACCCAGAATACATTCCTTGGCAGCTTTCCAGTCCATTACTCTCCCAATCGGCAGGAATTCCTTGATTGGCGCTCGGTCGCAAGCAGTGGGGATGAAGGCAAATCGGAATTCCCTGATGGCGTGTGGACGGGACAGGCGTTGGAATCCATTGCGAGTCTGTCCTACTGTGTTGCAAGCTAGCAGTTGCCCGACGAGTCATGTTTTCTCCCCGGCAGCGCTCGTCGTTTCCTAATTATTTCCATCCGTCCGACTGGGGGACCCATTTTTTGTTTGGTTTAGTGCGTTAGACATGCAATTGCGGGGACCACCTCTTAGGGTTCCCGGCGATTTTCGGCAATTTCACCCTCCCCTACTATTTTCACTTGCGAAGGATTTCTTTATCCCAGTTGATGTTGCCAATTCAATAGTAAGAGCCACTGAAGTCTTAGTCTCCGTGGCAAATACGATTCCCAAGCAGCAATGCTCAAATGAACGTGGAGTGGACATCTCGCTTAGAGACCGCCAAGCCGCCGGAGACCATTCCAGGACAATCGCTATCAGCAATTTCCCCGTTTCTCTCCTGCGGTCAAATGAGGGTTGCAGAATGTTCGACCCTCTCCGTTTCCAGGAGTTCTAGATTAGCAGATCATGACGGACAGCGGTGTGTCATCCGGAGGGTACGAATGCTGTTGGCAGTCCTGATCCACTTTCCGGGAAAAGTTGCGCCTCGCACCAGCGAGTCAGCGCATCGACTTTAGCCTTTTGGACGTTAGCACAGTTGTGGGGACGCATGAATACAGTTAGATAGACTCCGTTTGTCAAGCCAAACGGGCGATCACTTAAGGTTTAGTGGTTTAGTAGCCAAGGGGGGGTCTCGTATTCCCGGTTACCGAAGTGAAGAGCAGATGGCGACTCCGTGCCACGAGCCATGGTTGTCTCGGCGTGCTCGACGATATCCCTAATGTGTATTAGACCAGGTACTAGCAGGAATTTCATCAGGACTGCCATGATGGCGGCGACTTAACATAACCGTATTAACTCCCCACTCATGTCCACTTCCCCCCATGTTGCCTCAAATTTATGTCTGACACCCATGCCCTTGTCTGCACCACAAGGCTGATATCGACCCTGCTTTCAATCGTGACGCCATGGCCATCTACGGTGGTGCAGCGCCTTCACTGGCGGGCAGTGTCATTATGTTGACGACGCTGGCATTGTTGACTTATGGCCTGCGGATTTATTGCAGGGTGACCAGGAAGTCATGGAGTGTGGAGGATTGGATCATGACGGCTGCATTGGTACGTCCAGGGGCTATCGAAGCTTTACTCGGGGCTAACTGTCGTAGGTGCCATTCGCTGTGCTGGTAGCTGGATGTCTGGGGGGCGCATTCAATGGAATTGGCATTCGTGATTCTAGGTTGGCAGAGCCACAAAATGTCAAATACCAAGCAGAAGGACAGAAGGTAGGAACAGTGCGAGTATGTTCAGCTACATAATACTGACTCTTCAGTTTTTCCTCATCTTCGAAGTCGGTTACTGCTCCGCCATTATTCCCATCAAGCTCAGTATCAGCTGGATGTTGATCCGAGTAGCCGAGGGTCGCAAAGCGTACCTCTATGCGCAATACGTGGTGATTGTTGTCTTTGTGCTGATGAACATCATCGCATTGATCTTTATTCTGATCAACTGCATTCCTGTTGAGTACGACACCCGACCTACCTGAGGGTTACAGCCGATACTGACTTCACAGCGCGGCCTGGAATACGGAACTGCTCAAGCAAGGAGGACACTGCCAACCATCCTACGTATTGGCCGATGTCTACTACGCCTGCACGGCCGTGAACATTCTCACCGACTGGGTGACAGCTTTGATGTGCGACCACTTCCAGCCATTTTCGAATACCACTAATTGAAATAGGCCTGTACCTCTGCTCTGGAACGTCCAACTCAACCGCAACACCAAGATTTCGATTGTCGGCCTGATGGGCCTGGGTATCTTGTAAGACCCGTTTGCCTATATCTGCCCCGATAGTCTGAACTAACTCATGGCCTCCTCCACAGCGCCTCCATGTCCGCCTGCGTCCGTCTTAAATACACCGTCGCCCTAACCAGCCAATCCAACTACCTCTACAGCGTCACCAACGTGGTGATCTGGGGATTCGCCGAAAACGCCCTGGGAATGATCGTCGGCAACGTCGCGACACTGCGCCCACTGTTCCGCATCCTCCGCGACCGCAAGACATCGTCCAACAACAAATACAACTCTCGGGGGTACTACAGCTCTCAGCGCACCGGCCCGGCAAACATGTATTCTCGCAACTACGAGCTGGCTGAGCAGGGGAAGCACACTAACCAGATCACCACTACCTCGATGGCCGATCATACGCGACGACCTAGCCAGATGAGCGATGGGGACAGTCAGAAGCAGATTCTAGCGGGCGGAACTCCCCCAGGAGACACGGATATTCTTGTTAGTCGGCAGGTTATTGTGGCGTATGATTAGCATTGGTTGGTCGGCTGGTCGGTTGGTCGGAGTTGGGGGCATCTTGTGTACTACATTCTTTTCGAAATTTCCTTAATCCTATTAAACTATAAATGAAATATAGAACAAAGAAAGATTCAATGACAGCTTCAGTTCTCCAAGCATGAGTGGGATAGAACCACACAGTAAGAATTTTAATTTATTGCTGGGCTAAGCAACGCCAAGCCTTAACGGCTGCAGTGGGGGACGCAATTTATGCGCGAGTCAGACAATCGTTTATTATCACTCGGGAAGGTGACAGATCATACGATCAAGCGTGCACAACGTGGTCAATTTGGGTTGTTCCGTGCTTGTTCTTTAATCTTCTTGTGCTTGTTCTGGAAGTTGATTAGCCTGTATCGTATTAGTAGTGGTACTAGTAAGTTTATGGTGTGGCACCACCACGAACTGCTATATTTTGCCTACTATCGGTGTCTCCAACTTCAACAATAATTACCCCGGAAGGAGGTTCAATGACGACGAGTGATTGTTATTCAATGCTAAGTTTGTTCCTGGTTTTCCCACTTGACCGTGTTTTATATATATCATATATTATTGTGTCGGTTTGAAATACACTTTTCTTCAATCCTAATCACGACTTTAGGAAAATCGAGTCAGCAATAGCCTGATCACATCACAAAGGCAGATACAAGCAGCCTCATCGGCAAGCACTAGTGATTGGTTTTATCATACTATCATCTGACCCATTGAACTCCATGGTTTGAGTATAATAGTACACTCAGACATAGTCCCACCTCTCCCATTAGTGTTTCAACCGATGACATGATCTATCCAACCACTCCATAATATACAATATCCAACCAAAGTAACTATACAGACAACCCAACAACAGAACCATCAAACCAAACACCTTTATTCTACAACTTAACATCCAACTCCAACTCCCTCACCACCCCACAACCCACATCATAAACAGCCCCATGAACCTCCACCTCCCCCTTCTCCACCGCCTCCCTGACCACCCCCATCGCCATCAGCACCCTCACCCCCTCCAACACATTCAACTCCACCAATCTCACCCCCCTTTCATACTCCCCATGTATCCCCTCCAACTCACTCGCATACCTATCCCTCACCCTTTTCAAAGAACTCAACCACGCATCCAGCACACTATTCTCCCTTTCCTCCCCATTCCTCTCCCCCTTCGGGGCTGCCAACACAGCCCCAACCCCCCCACAACACGTATGTCCACACACCACCACATGCTTCACCTTCAAATGCAGCACCGCATACTCCACCACCGCGGCGCAATTCACATCAGCGGCATTCACCACGTTGGCGATGTTGCGATGCACGAAGACGTCACCTGGGTTCAGGTCCAGGAGGGTCGTTTCGGGACACCGCGAGTCGGAACATCCTATCCAGAGGATTTGGGGGTGTTGGGCGCGCGCGAGGGTAGGGAATAGGGAGGGGTTTTGGAGGGTGGTTTTTTGGGCCCAGAGGTGGTTCAGCGTGAGGGCTTTCGTGTAGGGGTCTTGGGGTTTTTCGGGTTGTTGGGAGTGTAGGTCTGGTTGGGTGGTTAGATGGTTAGTTGGTAAGAGGGGGGATGAGGCAGGGAGGGAGGATGTACCTGTGACGGCCATGGTTGGTGGGTGTATACGTAGTAGTATGTAGATGTCAAGTTTGGATTCGATTGTGGATTGGTGTCAATGATGAGGCAAAGTATGTAGAAGACAGATGATGAGGAACGAACTAAATACTTATCTACCTCCCATACAGAATGCTACATATCTTCTCTCCATTCGAAAGGAAAGGAGATACTCCTATCGAGTAACCATGCCGTATACCCGTCCCCTGTCTATCATTCATCGCCAGACAGATACTCCATTGCATGATCTGGATCGATCTATACACATGACCCTACAGTGCATAATCTCCGCGTCCGGAGCTTCCTATTCGTCCATATTCATCAAAGCACAGACTTTGTTGTACGATCAGTGAGGCATATACACATCATTCTATGTAGATAGGTATATAGGGGATGCGGGATGAGGGATTAATATACCGATATTCTAGGGATATACTTCCGAGGTAATCTGGATCAATCTATCGGCTATTGCGGAAATATAAATAGTAGTGGTGATGCTCTTATCGCGGTTGATAAGGAGGTGAAACGTTAGTGTTCGGGTGTGTCGGCACTGTTTGTAGGTTTGTCTTGTTTCAGGTGATTCCGGACATGTGGCATTTGGATACGGAGTTTATTATTTATGTATAAATATGCAGAACAGGTATCTCCTCTGTTGTGGTAGGATCTAATTGTGTATCACTGGTATATAGGTATCTATCTATCTTACATCTTGGCCTTCTCGCTCTGGGCAGCCAAGTCGGGCATCAGCATGTCTCTCATGTCAGATGCCGCCTCGTTGAGGTAATAGCTCATGCGTTCCGCTCCAAGGCGCTTGCAGACAATGTTGAAGTTCAAGCTAAATCACAGTCAGCAATGATCAACCATCACGATAGGGGGGAATGTGGTAAAGGGCTCACCTGTTCTCGTTGATCATATAAGCAATGCCGAATCCATCGTCAATCACCTGACTCCATCCGTAGCCGTTGAAGAACTCCGAGCTCAGCTGGCTGGTCGACAGGTACCACGAGCCACTGTAGGCATATGCCGGGTCTTCGTACAGAGCAGGCAACTTCTCTCCCTCACGCAGCAGCTTCTTCAGACCGAACAAGTGACGGTCCACACCACGGCCATCGCTGGCTTCCGCCGTGTACTTCGTGTGGGCGGCCAGCGCCGAGCGGAGTAGACGGACAGCCTCCTCGCGAGGGACGGCAGGATCGCTGATGGCCTTGCAGAAGGCAACGCTCTCGTCCGATACCGTGCGGATGGTCTCTGTGCGGCCCTCCTGGAACTTGCGGGTCGAGGCAGACTCGTAGGTCGGGCGGTTCTTGCCGTACATCTTGAAGTAGGCCAGCTGGATGATCATCTGCACGTACGCATCCGGGCTGCACTTGAACTTCTTGATGAGACCCTTGCCGTAGCCCTGGTAGGCCTGGACCCGGAGCTCGTGCGACGAGATCTGCTGGCGGTGCTCCTTGTTGGCGGCGTCGATGGCCTCCAGCACAGGGCCGTCCAGGTGGAAGGTGATGGGACGAGGATCGGGCAGGTCAGACCGCACCGGCTGCTCAGAGAGGTCGATCTTGTGGTTGAAGATGAGGTTGTTCAGGTGGTCATTTAGGCGGTGGGTGGGGCTGCCGTCCATCATGCTGTGCTCGCCCATGAACCCGGCGGTACCATTGTCGTTGATGATGAACTGCAGGGGCTTGTCGAACCAGCGGTTGGTGCCATCACCGTGCCAGTACTGGTGAGCACGCTCCTCCAGGGTGACAGGGCTGGCATTGTCGAGACAGACGAGGAATCCGCTGGATTCGATGTCCCGCAATGCCTGCTCATTGGCCGGGTGCGCGGCCAGCAGCTTCTTCCGTGCGTCGGCCCACAGGTCGCGGTTAGCGACGGTCAAGACGCCGACCGCCGGAGCCGGCTGAGCGACCTCGTAGATGCGCTCAAACTGGCGCTGCAGCTCGGAGTTGTTCAGGCGCTTGCCATTGACGGTCAAAGGCACCTTAAAGAATTGGTTCTTGCGCACGACCACAATGTGTTCGTTGTCCTGAGCCGGGAACTTCTGGGGGTAGTCGACACTGTCACCCGGGATACGGCAGCAGTTGAACATGTACTGGTAGGTGCTCATAGCTATGGGCTGGCCGCGCATGTATTCAGGCTCCAAGGAGCCATCGTCAACCTGGCGCTTGAACTCCAGGGCGGCAGTGGCAACCGAGGCGGCGCGCTTGGCAGGGTCCCGGCGGGCGCGATCGTCGCGGTAGGAGTAGAAGTAGGAAACGTAGGGGATGACAGGGTCCCGGTAGGCCAGGTACGCGGCATGGTTCCACCACTCAAGAAGCCAGTTCTTAACCTTGGGGTCGGCGGCGCGGGCGAGCAACCTTTCCTGCAGGGGCTCACCCTCACCACCTGGGCGGACAAAGGCCTCGACGGCTTTCTTGGTGCGCTCATATTCGGCCTCGGAGACCAACGCGTGGACGGACTTAAGGTAGCGGCGGCCCGTTTCTTCCAGAGAGGGGACCGGCAGACGGGGGAGAGAGTCTTCGAATCTGAGCATGTTGCCTTTGGAGAGGTCTTCTTTGTAGCCTATTCATTCACAACGTGTCAATGGCGGATTTCGAGTCGGATTCGCATGTGATCGCTTACCCTCAGGGACCGAAGATGCTTTGCGCCGGGGTGCCATTATGGGTGTCTAATCGGTAGAAGTCATGATTAGCTGCCATTTCCCACAGAGTCTGGTGGTATGGAGGCAGACTTACCACAGCGGATCTGGCGAGGAGTGAATTGGCGGGGGAGAGACGGGTCCGGGGGAGAGTGGAGAGACGGTTTCTGCTCGAAGCCGCGAACATGCCTCGCGGTTGTAAAGGGACGGGGGGGGAGATGAGAAGGAGAAGGAAGAGTTAGAGATGGTTAAGTAGAGACAGGAGAAAGACCAGAGGAGCGTGGGCTAAAAAGTAGCAGGAAAAGGCCACATGAGATAAGAGAGCGAGCGAGTCAAAAGACAAGGAACGGAGCGAGAGAGGAAGATACCTCGGCTGGATGGAAGCCAGGATCAGCCGACTGTTGGATGGTCACGTATTGTCATGGCTGGTGTGGATCTTTCACGTTGGTCCGCCGACTGGTGGGGATGCCGTGTATGTAACGGTAATCTGGGTATTGTTGGTCAACCGGATCGCCGAGGAACTCACTTTGGGCCGGTGGAGACGGAATTGACCCAATTTCTAGCCATCACGAGATATCATACCCCTTACCAGGTGATGTTTTGGGACTGAGACCAACCCCATGGGGTACGGAACAGCTTGAACATAGTAGTCCAGCGCTGCAATCATAATTCAGCTACGACGACATTCTATAAACTAAACTGTCTCTCGATTCAGCCAGGCATCTCGCAGCAGCTGATCTGCCGTCTTTCTGTCTTCAGGTCGCCACTGAAGCATCCCTCTCATGAAATTCAAAAATGCCTCCTTGTTGCTTCCTTCGAGGTATTCCTCTGACAATTGAAGTCCTCCGGTATAGGGGATAACGATGTCTTGCTTCCACCGTCCTACCCAGTTTGTTCAGTCTGATGCCAATCGCTTCTAAGATACCAAGATAACATACCGTCTTCAGTAAAGAACTCGTGGCTTCGCTTCCCCCGTTGCAATAGATCCAACGGAGGATGCCCCAAAAGACCAATGACCTCAGCTAGATGTGCACGTGTCGAGTATTCTTTTCCGTCAGGATCCTCCCCGTAGAACATATGCTTGCCTTCAAACAGATCCCAGATCTAGTTGCCCCATCAGAAACGTTTATCAGATTTCCAAGGATACGATAGGACATACCATAACACCCACGTTCCAGATATCCACCGGATAACTCCACTCCACTTGCAACATTACCTCCGGTAACCTGTACACTGCAGGCTGCGCATCATGATCCCTGCTCTCATCCCCGCGTACCGCAGAACCAAAGTCGTTCAGGACCGTTCGACCAAATGATCTGGGTAGCCCGAACCGTCGCGAAGCATACACCGGCACCCCGTCAGCGAGTTTGCGTGGAGAAGGCCTTTCCATCTCACCGGCAGTAAATGCATCCAGGAGTGATTCATCCTCAATTGCTTGTAGAATGTTACCGCCCTTTATATCTACAACAGACACAGATCAGTACTTGTGCTCCTTTTCCTAACACAAGGACACTCGCACCCGTATGAACAACCTTGCATTCAGTATGCAAATAGTCCAGAGCAAGAAACACTTGCATCAGACCAGATTTGAGCAGATCCTCCGTGAAACGACGTCGGGGATTCCGAAACAGTAGATCATGAAAACTATCCCACATGGGTTGCTGGACTAGACAGGGATGGTCGCCGCCAGACCGGGGAATAATGAAAGTATCAAGCGCCGTTCGTACATAGCCGTATCCGGGATGAGATGGGTTGGCTTGACTTATGTGCTGATATATTTTGGACTCTTCGGTATGGGATTCATCGCGGGTATAGATCTTGAGGGTCACGTAGCGATGAGATCTGGAGATTATTCAGCATCAGTCCGCATGTTGGTTATATGAAGTAGTGAGAGAACAGACTGGAGATCCTGAGCTAGCCAGACAGTCGATGTTGATCCGTATCCTAGTTTCCCATTGACCTGATACTTGGAGGCGAAGACATCCCCAATGTTAACAGGGTAGTAATGGCCATTCCTGAAGGAGTCGAAGTGCTCTTCCTCGAGGATTGTGGATGCCGGAATAGTCGTGAACCCGGTAGTTGGGAAGCGCCGAGGAGGTAAAGGAACTCTGCGAGGATGGATAGATGCTCGGATCCACTTGAGCAGAGAAGTCATAAAAGCACATGCAAAATGGGTGATACAGCTACCTGAGGTTATTCAGCATCGCCAACAGGGTGAATGATAGATGTATTGTTTACTGTATCAGTATTACTAGCGGTAAGAGACAACCTTAAACGGAACGGTACAGACTAGTAAAGGTCTCATTGCCCCAGACTCGCTGCCAGCCTCGGTCCGTCGAGGAACAGCGGCAACAACCTACCGGGCAGTCCGAAGCCAGTTCTGTGGACGTTCTATAGCATAGATCTAGTGGGAAGCTTAACTGGAACTTTAGTCGTATGTCCTCTTCGGAGATACACTATGTACTACGCTGCAGCTCAGCCGGAGCAGACGATGGTCCAGCCGCAGTGAGAGCGGAATGCGGGGGAGCTGCTGGACTGGCTCATATGGGGGACCGTAGGGGGTGAATGAGTCCCTCGGTCGGGGGCAACTCGGTCAGCAGAACAGACGGGACTGACCTTCTCATCGGCATCCCCACTTGAGACAGCGGTGTCATCACTAACAGGATTGTTTGGCACGCCGCTGCGTCACTGACACATATTAGGCTGGACAGCGCATATTGCTTATAGCTGAATGCACCACGTGAAGTGCATTGCAATTCCTTTCATCCGTCCCGCGTCTCCGAATCTGTCAGGCGGTCATCCAGGATATTGAGCATCGAATGGCGAGGAGAATCTGATTGGAAGCTTGGACCATTCACATGTTTGTCCCAGCCATTGGAATATTTTGTCATGGGTATCAATACATAAGCCATCTATCTATCTATCACTATCCAGCAGTTCGCCACATATCCTCCTATTGGATCTGAGGGAAATATCTACGCAATCAGCATCCGGGACGGCGCAGCTGCTTATGACTGCTCCCGCGAAACCTCAGCGACAAAGTCCATCAGACCAGGCTTAGAATCTGTCTGAGTGGCTGTCCACGTCTGAGACTGCAAACTTGGTGCCTTGGGGCCGCCCGATCGGCCAAACCCTTCAAGTCCCCGAAGTGAAAATGTTTCCACTTTCAATTCCTCCCGTGACAGGCTAATTTTCAGCTTCTTGCTTTGGCCAGCAGTCGAAAACGCCAGCAGTTCGCCGTGGTGCGGATATGCTGCCTCCCACGTCAAAGTCCCCTCGGCGCCATCTTTCTTGGTGGTGTTTTTGGTCGTCTTCGAGCCCTGGAGCGCGATGGCCGACACGATGTCCAACTTGACGAAATGCATGAGAGCTGCAGCTGCTTCATTCTGCAACCCAACCCGACCGGGAGGCTGAACTTCCGGGTGGTGAGGTAGGTCAATGGAAATGTCGTAGTGGGTGCCAAATGGCGGCGACACCGGGTTGGTACGGATTTTCACGCGGAATGAGCTTTGAGGGGTGATCAAATGACCGGAAAATGTCGATTCGAAGGGCATCAGGAACTGTTGTACCAGACTCTCTACCTTCGGAACAGCCTGCACCTTCGGAAGGCTCACAGACGCAAAAGGCACGGCGTGGAAATCACGCTCGATCCCTGCCGCCCGCAGAACCCGGTATATATCATTCATGAAAGACTCCAACCACCGGACGTGCGAGCTGTGTTGGAGATACGCCATGACAGGGCGCAGGAGCTGATACTCGGGGGTAAGCCGACGTTTCTGGGAGAGCGGGGGCGGCGGTTGGGTTCTGCGTCGCAGGTTCTGGCGGTGTGCATACGCGAGCAGGATCCGAATTGAGTGTGAAAGCCCATTAGCAAGGACGTCGTGTTCTGTTGACTCGATCTTGTCTTCGTCCGGCGTTTCACGGTCCGCATCTACCAGATCCAGCAGGATCTCTTGGTCCTCGGATATCGGCAGTCGGACCAGGTTTTGGCGAGTCGTCACACCATGACTTCCCATGATACGCGCTTCGCGCATCAACTCGTGGAATAGCTCCTCCTCGTACACTGTGTCGCGTGCTTGCAAAATCCTGCGCTCGACCGACGCTGCATCGGGGATCGGATCCGGCATTTTAGAGCATCCCGTAAGTTGTCCGCGGTGCTTCACACGCACTCGAACCGTCCTCGTCTTCTGTGGTGCCAGTCCCTTATCCAGTATTAAGCTTCCATTATCAGCCCTCCGTAGAGCAGCAAGACCCCGGTCGCGGAATATAGGCGTAGCTATAGGAACACAGTCAGCATCAGTCCAGCAGAAGCACGTAGCCATCCTACCTTCCAAGAACCCATATTGTACTCCCAGCGCAGTTCTCTCCCGGGGCAACCTGCACACCTTCCAACCCTTCTCCTTAACCGCCAGTACTTCATCCCAGTACTTCGTCTCCGAAGCGACCTCTTCTTCCAATCGCGTCGCCGAGTTGAGCAATTTATTCGCAGCGGCATTGAAGTTCTGCGCCCTCCAACCCCGCGACACAGTCTTGACATCCTGCACAGCGGCCTCCGACTTCGGCGGCGGCTCGACGATCTCCGCATTCAACGACCCAAGCGGCGCAACCTGTTTCAGGAACGCCGACATCGAAGTCTCCGCCTGGCGAGGGGTATGCTTCGAAAGCAAAAGAGAAACAAAATCTAAAGCGAACAGAGCTTCCATATGCGCCTGCCTTCACCCCGCAACAAATCAATTAGCGCAATTGTCCACCATTGCTACCAGCAGACCACCTACTTACATAGCGAACTGCAAGATCTCGGCACGTCGCTTGTACAATGTTTCCAGACGCTCGGTTGAGTCCACATCCTCAGCAAGTTTTTCGTCCTCATCTTCCTCTTCCCATGGGTCCCGGTTCTTGTCCTCTTCGATCTTGGCGAGCAGTGTCTCTTCGTTCACGTCGCGGAAAGATCCCCATCGGGCGTTGATTTGGGCGATCTCGATTGGAAGGGTATCGGGGCGGTCGGGCTTCTCGGTGAGCGGGCGCAGGGGGAGGCTGAATGAGTCGGACATGATTGCGGTCCGCTCTGCCGGGGGCAGTTTGAGTTGAAGGCGTATTGTTGTTTGATTAATGGAGAGATGGTGACGGATTGATTGCACTGCTGATAGGAGGCACGTGACTGGTCTGGAGCTGGGGCTAGTCCGGATGTGGACTGGTGTGGATAGTGGGTCCAAATTTAATGCCTCAGGAAGCAACAGTGATGGATATAGTGTTCTACGATATACTACATATATACATCTCTCTTTGCTATCAAGCGCCATCACCAAGCTTGTTCCCCTGAAAATTGCAGCAGTATGAGCAAGCTCTGTTAGTCTGCATTGTTGAAGCAAGACTCGAGACACTTTTTAGGAAGCATAACCGGCGACAGCGTCTTGGGCAATAGCCCACTCGATGAAAATAAAGTGTCCCCAGGATGCTTCAGTATGGCACCCAATATTGCCGGAAACAAAGCCTTTCGCATTTAGATCCCCACCCTATATACCGTTAACAGATTATAATGCTCGAGAAGTGACCAAAACAAATTATCACTCCAGCCAATGATATGTGACCAACCATACCGTGACGCCGGTTCTACGACAGGGGATAACAGCGTCCAAACATCCTTATAGGTGGAACACATATGCGACCTGAGCACATCACAGCCTTGCTCATGACAACTCAGTTCACCCCGCTTCTGTTCAGCCTTGCGATACTTCCAATTGACCTGGACTTCAAGAACCCCAGATACTCGTCCCCTTCAACCTGAACCTTTCTCTCTCCAAACCCTCCTCTTCCCACAAACGACGAACAACAACAAAAACCAAAACAAACAAGAAGCACCCCTCACAACTATGCCCTCCCGCAAATACAAATCCAAATCCAAGTCCACCCTCTCCGGCAACCGCTGGTCCATGTACCCAGCCCTCCACGCCGACGTCCTCACCCAGCTCTCATCCTCGACCTTCCCAATCACCTCTCTAACCTTCCACCCCTTCGACGACTCCGAGACATGCATAGAAGAATATGACACGAACATCATGGGTCGATTCATCTGCCCGAACAACTCCTGCGGGTCAAGCGGCTGGACGAGCAAGAAGATCGCCATCACGATCCGGCTGTACGAAGGGGATGAGTACAACGCGCGGGTGTATCATCAGCGCTGCAAGGGATGTAATGCGCTTAGTCGGCCATTCCTGGATGAGAAGAGCTATGCGGAGAGGATTGCGTATCGGATGAAGAGGTGGTATGATGTGGATGTGGAGAGGCCGGTGTATAATGGGAGTGGGAATTCCAAGCCGCATAATAGGGATTTGTGTGAGGGGTGTAAGGTGGGAAGGTGTTCGTTTGCACGGGAGCGTGATGTCTTTTTTTTAAGGGGTGGGTTCTTGTGAATGAGATGTTGGTCTTAATATTGATATTGATTGGTCAGTCTGTTGTTATCTCACAGTAAGTAGCAGCATGGGATATTGAGCGATTTTTGTAATGACAGACATGAATCAGGTTTGCTTGGGTACAAAGTGTGCAGGATCAACCAAGGTGTGAATTGAAGACATAATCAAGGACTTAAAACTAGAAAGGCATCGACTAAGCACCTCCGAGCAAATCAAAAACAGATAACAAAAGGTGCCGTTCAATCTTAGGCGGGTGCTTGTTAAGCTTCATTGCCGAGAAAACAGCCATCTGGGCACCGCGCACGCTGTACTCCATGCTCAGAGTCGTATCATCCTGGATCTCCACATACTGTCCCACCAAGGCCAGATTCCTGCTCTGGGGAGGAATGACTTCGGGTCGATAGTCATGGCGACGAGGCATCAATGGTGCCGTGGCCATGGGCATCAGCACAGGGTTCGTGATCGAATTAGCGAGTATGTCATCCACTGGCATTCCTAGCTGGGATAGCACCTCGGTCAAGATCTCCTTGCCGGAGCAGTGGCACATGGGCTTGTGAACGAAGTTGCCGGTCTTCTCGGGATGCAACCCATAGCCCCAGAATACATCGACGGAGGAGGGTTGATCAGAGCATACGGGCTGACGGGGAACGCTGATACTGAGGCCCCAGTTGCTGTCGGAGAAGGAAAGCAAAGCCCCCGTATCGGGTTTGTTGTTGGTCAGCTTTTCGTAGCGCTCCATGAAGTCGCTGTCACGGAGGGTGACCGTGAAAGACTCAAGGGTCGACTGGTCGACATTGTTGTGGAAGTTGAACGGGTTTCCATAGTCCGTCGAGGCCTGCATCAGGTCGATCCACAGAGCCCAGTCATCATCCAAGAATTCTTTGCTGTGCTGGGGTGGAGCAGCCGGAGCCTTGTCGTTGGAGCCCCTCTCGGTTGCAGAGGTCGTTGATCCAAGGGTCACCATGACAAGGTCTTCGGGCCTCACTTCAATGGTCTTTTGTTCGCCGTTATCTTTGATAATAATCCCGGACACGGTCGTCTGGGCCTCCTTTGGGTTGATCTGCAGATTTGTAACCTTTGCATTGAAGTGGAAGTCGACTCCCTGCGATTTCAGAGATGATTCGATTGGCATGATAACCGACTCGTAAATTGTGTACTTGGTTCGATCCAGAGCCTTCACGTCGTTCAGGCGTTCAATTTCGGCCAGATGTTTACAGAGACATCTTCTGAACTCCACCAGGCTGTGCCATGGTTGCAGAGCGAAGCTGTATACCATCAGCATTGTAACAGCGGGCAAGTATAGATATGAACCTACGTAGTCGCCCACAACGTCCAAAAGTTAGTCTTGAAGAATGCCTCATCGAAAGCATCCTGGATGGCTTTTTCTCCGAGAATACGTTCATTTTCGAGCATCAACTTGATCAGTTCCATTCGATACTTCGGTCCAATTTGGAGATGTTTGGAGTAGAGGCATTCTGGGCCTTTATCCCCATGTTTTATGAGACGGGTTGGCGCCGACTTTTTGGGAGAAGTTGCCCGGTCAAGCTCTTTAATGCTGTCCAGGAGTGACTGTTTTGGATTATCGGCGCTGGGGACAAGGGAAAGAAGGTGCTCTACACAGCGATCATGGAAGTAAGGCAAACTGCCAGTGTACAAGACGTAGCCGTTCTTTGCGTCGCCGCAGCTTTTGATGCCACCGCCCGCGTGAGAGTGAACATCCAGGATGTGGATATTTGCTGCAGGGACACCCGCGTCATGAATGAGGTGGACTGCGCCGGCAAGAGAAGAAATCCCACTGCCTATGAGCCAGGCCTGGGTGGTTTTTGGATCCCGCTTCGGCAATCCGTTTCCGCGGTTCATCTTGACTATATTGATTGCCTGTTATCTGTAGTTGTCGTTGTGCGATGATATATATTGGATATGTGAAGTACAAGTAAATTATGTGCAGGAGAATGACAGGTACATAGCATGGACTACGTACTGAGCCGATATGAGTACATGTAGGAAATTATTGCAATACTTGGGAGTGTTCGGAAGCCACAGTGTCATGATATCATCACGATGAACCGACTGTCATGAGACGGGAAGCAGTATCACGAGCAATCGGAGCATAAACAGCGTAGTCAGTGCGCTCAAAAGATGGCCTCTATCATTATTGGCCGGAAGGTGTCTTCCCTCTCGTGAACCTAGGAGAGCTATCTAGTAGGTCCCTGTCCACGTGTGGGAAGGACCCGCGGATGGGGAAACCTTAAGTTGCGCAGTTCGTGATCTGGGCAGATCCATCCATGGCGGGATCAGCCACGTCTAATGGAACGTCAGGTTTGCGGCATAAGGAAGCCGTCAAATTGTATGATTTGTGCCAAGTAGCTGATACGTTGCACTACTGCAGAAGCTTTGAGCTTCCTAGTGGCCAGCTTGGAGACGTTTCCATGTCACCTATGGAGGTCTTCTCACCTACCAGCTAAACGGTGATCATCCGTTGGCACTTGATAGGATGCGCAGATAAATTGGTTCCCATCCTCTGCCGTGCGGCCGGGGCCACAAAATCCCTTGTCGGCTTGATGATAGTTGTGTGGTGAAGAATTCGAGGGCATGCAACCAATATTTCAGCCATGCCTTTCCTGTCATTTGCCCGTGCGCTCGAACTGAGGAGGCAGCTGGAAGGAACCAGAGCGGAGGTTGTCTGTATCGGCTCCGATGATTATGCGACGAGTATTCGCCGATGGAGTGACACGTGCGAAAAAGAAGCTGTATGTGAGCTGCGATTACTCACGCCTGACCTCGATAATTACTGTTCTGACCAAGCATAGGGTGCTGTTGTACGTGTAACCAGCACATCCGAGGTGGCGGAGGTAGTACGCTTCTGCCGGAAGAATCACATCGACTTCGTGGTCGAAGCTGGTGGACACTCCACCACCGGGGCTTCCTCGTCGCATGGAGGCGTGGTAATCAGCATGGCTAGAATGTGCAAGGTGTTGACAGACCCTGCCTCTGAGACTGTGTGTGTTCAGGGAGGCGCTAACTGGGATATGGTCAATCAATCGACTGCTCCTTACGGGCTAGCTGTGGTAGGCGCTACCGCCAGTCACACTGGGGTAGGCGGGTCAGCATTAGGGGGTGGTTTCGGATGGCTAACAGGGCAGCACGGCCTAATTACAGACCAGTTGCTGAGTGTCAAGATGGTCCTAGCCGACGGTAGCATCGTTGAAGCCTCAGACGAGAATAGCCAGGACCTCTTCTGGGCGGTTCGCGGAGCTGGACAAGCCTTTGGTGTTGCTACCGAGTTTGTATTCCGTGCTCACAAAGTCCGAGACAGGTTTTTCGGAGGGTTGGTATACTACGATGTGGATAAGCTGCCAGTGCTGGTCGCGTTTGCAAACGAGTTCGATAAACGTCAGGATCCGAAGAGTGGTTTCTTTTTTGGATTCGCAGCTCCACGAGAGATAGGGCACATGGTAGTGCTAGCCGTACTCTTCTACGACGGGTCTGCGTACGACGGCGAAGCATTCTTTGAGCCTATCCTAAATCTGAATCCGCTGATCAACCGAGCTGCCATGAAGTCGTACATAGAGATGAATTCAATTGCTAATGTCGACCCGGTGCCAGAAGGCCGCAAAAGCATCGGTGGTGCCAACATCATGCCACCTCTCGAGACAAGCCTTTTGCAGAATCTCTACAGTCAGTTTAAAGAGGCTATGAATACGTACCCTCGTATGGAAGACAGCGCGTTGGTCTTCGAGCTGTTGCCTTATACGAAGGCCGTGCAGGTTCCTATTAAGGAGACCGCGTGTGCCAATCGAGGACCTTATTACAACGTTGGTCTCATATTATGTTGGCATGACTCTGATCTAGATGCGAAGATGCATGCTCTTCAACGGAGCATTATCTCCAAAATCTTGGAAGCGCAACGAGACATTACGGATGATCATGCTGTGGTGTATCCCAATCTTGCCGGTCAGTATCTTCGATAATGGTGCATATCAGGACTCCCTTGCTAATGTGCGTAGGACATGACGTTAGTGCCGAGAAGCTATTTGGTGCTAACCTGCCTCGACTACAAAAGCTGAAGAAGAAGTATGATCCGCATAATGTATTCCGCAAGTGGCATGACCTACTTGCACCAGCAAGATCCCATGTAGAGCAGACAGACAAACCTTAGTGTCAGCCCCACATCTGGCTTGTGTGTGTGTGCGATTTCCGTTAGTCTGATGTGAAAGTTAACGACAAAATTGCTTTATGTGTCATAAAAAGCGGATATTGTCAGTAGTCAAGTGTGAAATACATGATTGTCCGCTTGTGTGCCATGTCAGGCAACCCAGGATATAGGGAATCGCCAGTGACTGAAAGAGCAGCCACACCGGTTTGTAACAGTCTGCATCTTGCCTCCAGCCTCATCCAGAAATTCAATCTATCAGTAGCCGCTCTGAAGATGCCTGTTCATATCTCCGCGGGATTGATGATACTTGGTTCTGGCTCGTTCTAAGGTCAACCGAGTAACTAACAGACTGCTACACCCGCCATTTACTCCCTAGCTTGACATCTTGGTAATGCTTTTGCAGCGTGCAAGTATACACCTCAGGAGAACACAATCATTGCCATCGGCGATTTGTTGAAACTTGCAAGGATCGAATCGAGGCCCTGCTCCGGCCGAACCAACACCCACCCTTCCGAGATGTAGCCGCCGCCGGCCGGATATTACACGGCTGCTCCTTCCAAGCGATAGGTCAGGCTATGTTATACTCCTGGATCATACGATGCCAGTATACTGATGGGTGTCATTGCTGCGTCAGGGCGAGAGGAGGCGTTTTTGTTTCTCTGGGACGCCGAAAGCTTCCCCGCTCCAGGCCCGGCGTTCGGCAACAACAGCCCTTGTAGGGTTCTACGGGAAGCAACCCCGAAGGCAATAGCCCGTATACTAGAGGTTATATGAATGCTATAATGTGTTGATTTGACATCTCAAGTATAATCGGTCGTGGTAAAGTTAACAGTAATAGGGTGGTAATTATCATACGAAAATGAGTTCCGCTAGGTCGCCTTTCGACGCAGAGTCCTGGTCTGGGAAACCACTAAATGTGTGATGATATGTTCATCTTAAAACAGACCGTCAGGATACTAACTTGACGTCTAGGTTATATACGCTGGAATTACAGAGCTCGTCTGCGACAATTCGAGCGGAAGAGTTGCAATTGCTATCCGCAATTTGACAGATCTGGTCGACTTCCTTGTGTGTACTTGGCACGCTCTGCGTCCAAACGTGTCGGACTATGCAACCGACACTATAATTGCAGAGCTGAAAGACTACAGGGAGAAGAATACTGAGAAGATAGTTAGCGCTGCTTTGCATCAATCCCTTGTCTATAGATGTCCGTCACTATGCTCGCGACTATGGAGCGAACTCGATATAGTCCCTTTAGTTTTGGAGCATAAGGATCGTGAAAGACGACATGATGACCAGGGAGAGCTAGCGACGTTTGCCGGGTGGAATAAGAAGGAGCTCGACGAGCGGGCGGATTCAATGGTGCGGAAGTGCATTCGGTTGGTGTTCCCTTGATGGTGAGGGCTAAATACTGACTTGTGTAGTTCTTTTGGCATTGGCCATGTGCTACATAATCATATAAATTTCGACGGGTCGGTGGATGTCGACAGAGGCTATCATGTACACCTTGCTAATGCGAAAGACTATGAGAAGACTGTTGACCCTGCTACATGGTCTATGGCTCAATGTTTTGCCCAGGATCTGAGGGAAAGGGAGGTGAAGGTGGCTTTCTTCAGTATGACTTGCCAAGGAAAACCAGATGTTCCGACCAGACATGCCTTGTCACGGTTCACCAAGAGTCTGGGAGTTCGTATCAAATGGTATGACTCTCATCCTATGGGGTCAATCTAAACAATATTCTTACATTGTGCCCACAGGTTTGTGCCAAAGCCACGTCCGGGGATGATTCCCCTCATCCGGAAGATGCAGGACACCCTAGAGGGACAGGGCGATCCCCTGTCGGATATCACCATCAACGATGAGCTACTCATCCTTGACTTTGCATACGCCAACGCCAGGAGGTATTGGCTGTGCGAGAATGGACCGCTTAGGCCCCGTGCGGAGGGAGGCGTGGACGTAGTGATCATTGACAGCGCGCCGCTTCTAACATTGGCAATTCTTTCTAAGCAGCAAGATCCTGAGCGGCCTGTCATATTTGAGAGCAGCCTCCAGCCCCAGGGAGTCTCACTCAGTGGGACTAGTAGCCCGCAGTCTCGAGCATGGGACTTTATACGAACCCGGCTAACCCACGTTGATTTGGTGGTATCGCTGCTCCCTAAGGAACTTGCGCCGCGCATAATGCCTGAGGAGAATGTTGGCTACATGTCATTCTCCGTGGACCAGTACTGTCCCTAGGCCCCTATGATTTGCACGGATGCTGATACAGTGTAGACTCGATGGTCAAAACAAACCTCTAACTGACTGGGACGTCGGCTTCTACGGTCGTGAATTCAGCTCGCTATGCCGAACGCTTCAAATGTCCATCATACGCTATCCAGAGGGTAATACCCCAAACCTGCCCGCGTAGCCAATACTAAACTGTCTGCACGTAGAGCAATACATCCTCCACTTATCCCAATTCCGACCCGGAGACGGAACACTTTGTCTTCTCCACTCATACCAGAAGTTCTGCGATTCCTATACCAAGGAGCATCCAGGCCGCCAAGTCCCCAAGCTCCTGATTTGTCACCGCGGACCCTTCCGAACCCCCGAAAGTACCATTTTCTACGACGCAGCAATGTCCCAAATTGACAGCAGTGAGACCCTATCTTCTTCCGTCTGCATCATCCCAATTGGAGCCGTCGATCAAATGTGGAATGCCCTACTCACGAATGCAAGAGCGCTCGTCCAGCTCTCCACGCTGCATGGGGTCCCCGAAATGCTTCTCGCAGCTATTCAGAAGGGGACGCCGGTGGTTGCCGTTCGGGAAGCCGAGCTGTTCCCTTTTGTGCACGAATCGGAAAATGCTATCCTGGTTGACAAGGGGGATGAGGAGGGGATTGTCCGGTGTTTCTCAAGAATTTTTAGTGTTGATGAGGTCCGTCAGGGGGAAGGGGATGCGGGGTTTAGGAAGCTGTCTGACTCGAATACTACGGTTGGGAATGCGGTCTGCTGGTTGTATCTGGCGTCGAAGATGTCGAAGGGGGATAAGTTTGAGCCGAGGGGTGAAGATATTTATAAGTTGGCGAGGGAGGAGGCGGGATATATTGAGTGTGATTGGCATGCAGTGTAGTTAGTCAGTCACAATTGGGAACATAATGAAATTAAAAAAGGGGTTGGCTGTTTTTGAGTGTATGAAGTTCCTACAGAGCTACTGTTGAATACTTGATATATAATTCACAGTGCATTGCCAGGATGATCCTGGCAGTAGTAGTATAGTACTAACACAATCTCACGTTTTCCCAATTGCAGTTAGTATGATTGATTGATCTTGCTATTACTAGTACTAGCTTCTTTCATTGTATATAGATAAACATTATAAGCAGACTCGCACCTTAAGAGAATGTTGATTGCGCACTCGATAAATTCACTTCCTACAGATATTTTTAGAGTAACTACTAAGCGACCCCTCTGATTGGCCAATGCGTCGTGGGTGGGCCCTGTGGATCCCTTACAGCTTCGGATCCACTGTAGAAAAGAAAAATTTGTATGCTTCCCCATCACGAACCACACCGCGAGCAGATGAAGGCTTCAAAAGCAAAAAGTAAAGCCCAACGCGGGGCTCGAACCCGCAGCCTTGAGATTAAGAGTCTCACGCTCTACCGATTGAGCTAGCCGGGCAGCTCTTGAGAGATGCTTGGTTAAGAGAGTATAAAAGGGGCTGGGAAATTGAACTCGTTCATGCGATGTGAGAGGCAATGTTCACACGGTAGTAATAGGGACAGGGAGGTAGAAAGGGGTGGGAATATGGGTATCTCATTGTTAGTGAAAATGTTAGTAGACTTATCTGAATTGCGTGTCGTTTTGTCCGAGCACTGATTGCAGGTCATCATGGACGGGTGTCAGCTAGCAGGGATGTGTTTGCCTGGTAGTCAAGGCTTTGTGTCTGGTGTATGTGGTGGTGCCACTGATCTTGTGATAGTGCAGACTTTCATTGATTCTGGGATTAAAGGATGATTTGGTTGCACGGGGTGCCGTTTGAGCAGGGGTAGAAATACACCGCGCCACTTGTTAAGTGTACAGATCGTATCACCAGTGTTGCACCACGGTCTCGGCGCGATAGTGCCATTGTGTCGAGTGTGTAGCCGGCATCCAGTCCACGAATCCCCATGCTTAGGATTTGAATGCAGAAGTGATGGATGAGCAACCGTATATGAACGCATACAGTACAGGGAGAACATGGATCGCAGGAGGTGACTATGTTGTCATATCTCCACCGCCAAACCGGGCATCGGGGGTGGACCACAGGGGTCCGGCAGTTGAAGCACACTTCAGCATAACATCATGCATGAATAAAGTCCGGATAGTAGGCACTCAGCCCTTTGCAGGGATTCTAAATTGCGATGAAAGAAACAGAAAGTGTATCCATCATACCACCTGTCGCCTAGATATGGTGCTCGTGAGCAACTAGCACTGTAGCACTGTCGCAGCAGCGTTCAATCAGCGGCGAGGGATTAGGGGCGTGTCTACCTAATTGGGACTAGTGTAGATAGCTATCACGTGCAGCACGGGCCCTAACCCATAAATCACGTGAGCTGTCCCGCACTAGTCCTAATTGAGTGCAGGCGGTGACATCAGGTGCTTTCAGGACTGCAAGAGGAAATGGGCGGAGGAAGACATTCCCTGCCAACACCCAAGTCGTATCTGCCCATTGCAGCGTGCAGCAAGGTCACCCGGCCGATCAACATTCGACGAGAATCTAGCCCTTTCACCTGCAGACCAGTTATCTCCCCAGTGGTGGGCTGTTTACTCTGTACAAAGTACTTTTCCCAGCAACGAGAGAGGGTATTTGTATAGCGGGGCAGTGACGGCCGGAGTCAGTGACGTACTGGTTGCCCACACCCGCTTTTTCTCACCGGCACCTGCGCTGCTCTTCTCCCCCACCCTTCAAACACAAGTTATCTCTGCCTTTCCTCCGCAAGCTGTGTGCTCCTCTCCTCTGCTCCTCCATTACTCCATTCTTTCTTCTCCATCTTTTTATTCTAAATCCTGGTTCAGCTGTTGCTCATCCCGAACAATTGCTGAACACCCCCCAACAAAAACCATCGCACGATGGCTCCCCCCCAAGCTCCCGTGCAACCGCCCAAGAGACGCCGCATCGGTGTCTTAACCTCTGGTGGCGATGCTCCCGGTATGAACGGTGTCGTCCGGGCCGTCGTCCGGATGGCTATCCACTCCGACTGTGAGGCTTTCGCCGTCTACGAAGGTTACGAGGGTCTCGTCAATGGCGGCGACATGATCCGTCAGCTTCACTGGGAGGATGTTCGCGGCTGGTTGTCCCGTGGTGGTACCTTGATCGGTTCCGCCCGCTGCATGACCTTCCGTGAACGCCCCGGTCGTCTGCGGGCTGCCAAGAACATGGTCCTCCGTGGCATTGACGCCCTTGTCGTCTGTGGTGGTGATGGCAGTTTGACTGGTGCCGACGTTTTCCGTTCCGAGTGGCCCGGTCTGTTGAAGGAATTGGTCGAGACGGGCGAGTTGACCGAAGAGCAGGTCAAGCCATACCAGATTCTGAACATCGTCGGTTTGGTGGGTTCGATCGATAACGACATGTCCGGCACCGACGCCACCATCGGTTGCTACTCCTCCCTCACTCGCATCTGTGACGCCGTCGACGACGTCTTCGATACTGCCTTTTCCCACCAGCGTGGATTCGTCATTGAGGTCATGGGTCGTCACTGCGGTTGGCTGGCCTTGATGTCTGCTATCAGTACCGGTGCCGACTGGCTGTTCGTGCCCGAGATGCCGCCCAAGGACGGATGGGAGGATGACATGTGTGCTATCATTACCAAGGTGGGTTGATCGGAATTTTGTGAAGAGAACTCGGAGGCATCACTAACTCCCCGCAGAACAGAAAGGAGCGTGGAAAGCGTAGGACGATCGTTATCGTGGCCGAGGGTGCCCAGGATCGCCATCTCAACAAGATCTCGAGTTCGAAGATCAAGGATATTCTGACGGAGCGGTTGAACCTGGATACCCGTGTGACCGTGTTGGGTCACACTCAGAGAGGTGGTGCCGCCTGTGCGTACGACCGCTGGCTGTCCACGCTGCAGGGTGTCGAGGCTGTCCGCGCGGTGCTGGACATGAAGCCCGAAGCCCCGTCCCCGGTCATCACCATCCGTGAGAACAAGATCTTGCGCATGCCGTTGATGGACGCCGTGCAGCACACCAAGACTGTCACCAAGCACATTCAGAACAAGGAGTTCGCCGAAGCCATGGCCCTCCGCGACTCGGAATTCAAAGAGTACCACTTTTCCTACATCAACACTTCCACGCCCGACCACCCGAAGCTGCTCCTCCCAGAGAACAAGGTTTGTCGCCACAGTAGCTGCTTCGGTGCTGAGCTAACAAAAGGCAGAGAATGCGCATCGGTATTATTCACGTTGGCGCCCCCGCCGGTGGTATGAACCAGGCTACCCGCGCGGCCGTTGCCTACTGCCTGACTCGTGGCCACACCCCCCTGGCCATTCACAACGGTTTCCCCGGTCTGTGCCGGCACTATGATGACACCCCAATCTGCTCTGTGCGCGAGGTGGCTTGGCAGGAATCGGACGCCTGGGTCAACGAGGGTGGTTCGGATATCGGTACCAACCGTGGTCTGCCCGGCGATGACCTTGCGACCACGGCGAAGAGCTTCAAGAAGTTCGGATTCGATGCGTTGTTCGTCGTGGGTGGATTTGAGGCGTTCACCGCCGTCAGCCAGCTTCGCCAGGCGCGCGAGAAGTACCCCGAATTCAAGATTCCCATGACCGTGCTGCCGGCGACAATTTCCAACAACGTGCCGGGCACAGAATACTCTCTGGGTAGCGACACCTGCCTTAACACCTTGATCGACTTCTGCGACGCCATCCGCCAGTCGGCCTCGTCCTCTCGTCGCCGTGTGTTCGTCATCGAGACGCAGGGTGGCAAGTCGGGTTACATCGCCACGACGGCTGGTCTGTCGGTGGGCGCGGTAGCCGTGTACATTCCCGAGGAGGGCATCGACATTAAGATGCTGGCCCGCGACATTGACTTCCTGCGTGACAACTTTGCGCGCGACAAGGGAGCGAACCGCGCCGGTAAGATCATCCTGCGTAACGAGTGCGCGTCCAGCACGTACACGACACAGGTGGTGGCCGACATGATCAAGGAGGAAGCCAAGGGACGTTTCGAGAGTCGTGCGGCGGTGCCGGGACACTTCCAGCAGGGTGGCAAGCCGTCGCCGATGGACCGTATCCGGGCGTTGCGGATGGCCACCAAGTGTATGCTGCACCTGGAGAGCTATGCGGGCAAGTCGGCGGATGAGATTGCGGCCGATGAGCTGTCTGCGTCGGTCATTGGTATCAAGGGCTCGCAGGTGTTGTTCTCGCCGATGGGTGGAGAGACCGGCCTGGAGGCGACCGAGACGGACTGGGCGCGCCGTCGACCCAAGACGGAGTTCTGGCTGGAGCTGCAGGACACGGTGAACATTCTGTCGGGACGGGCGAGCGTGAACAACGCGACGTGGAGTTGCTATGAGAATGCTTAAGCAAAAAAGCAGCGATAAACGCCTAGACTAGAGTCAGGCTATGATGATGAAAGGTCATGAGCAATACCGAATTCAACTACAGTACAGAGTCACCTTCAAACGATGGGTGCCAGTAAAAAGTAAATCTAAAACTATCTATTTAAACACATACCCCCTAGCCTTCCAAATAAAATAATCCCTCCCCTTCGCCAACCACACCATAAAACTAAACAACACCAACCCAAACGCCTGTCCCGTCCCCCCAGAACTTCCCACGGGCACCACCATCATCACCTCCGTCCCTTCATCATACGTCTTCCTCCCACCACCACACCCCCTCCACCACCCCCTCCCCCCCTTCCCAGCACTATTATCAATATCATTCACCAAATTCCCCACCACCACCCCCGCCATCTCATCCGCCTTGAACGACAACTTCTGCTTACAATCCGTAACATCCCCAGCCGCATACACCCCATCCACACCCACCACTTTCAACTCCGAATCCACCCTCACCCAGCCCTTCTCATCCAACACCTCCCCGGGGATGTAAGAAGTATTAGGTAGGACTCCAATCGTAGGGATATAAATATCCGTATCCATCGTCTCCCCATTCTCGAACTTGAGTTCATACCCACCTCCTGCTTTCGAAGAGACAGAAATAACCTTGGTATTGGCGAGAACTCGCACGCCTTTACTCGTGAGGAGAGACGTCGCCGTCCCGCTCGCGGATTCTTTCAAGATGGGAAGAATGCGCGGTGTTGAGGAAATCAAAGTGATATCCTTCTTCTCTTCGGAAGCAGAAGAAGTGAGGTCGGCAAGTTCACCGGCGAGTTCTACCCCGATGGGGCCGGCGCCGATGATGGTGATTTTTTTGGAGGTGGAGATGGTGGATTGTGCGGATTGGATTGTCTCTGTTATTGTGGATGTGGAGGTGGGGGAGAGTTTGAAGGGGTAGATCATTTCTTTCCTATCTGCATCTTTGTTTTCGGTTTCACCGGGGAATAGTGGTGATGAGGATGATGCGGAGGGGGTGCTTCCTGATGCGATGACGAGGTAGTCGTATTTGATTTCTCTCAGGGCCTTGTTGGTGTTGTTGGTGGTGGATTCCTCGACCTGGAGGAGTTTATTCTCGAAGTCGAGAGATGTAGCTCTTCCTAGGATGAATTCGAATACCTCGGGGGAGTATTTTGCGAACCCGTCGGCGATCGGGATGAGGTACTGTGATTCGGAGAAGGCAGTTGGCTTGGTGAGGATGCGTGGGGCGGCGATGGCCCAGTAGAAGTTGGGGGTGGGGTTGATGAGGAGGATTTTTATTTTGATGCTTTTGGATTTGTTGGTGGTGAAGTGGGAGAGGAGGGAGTGGGCGGTGGTGAGGCCGGCGAAGGAGGCGCCGATTATGGGGATTGTTATTGTTTTGTCGGTGGTCATGGTGGGTAGATGGTGAGAGTGGATAGGTGTGGGTGTGGTTGTTTGTTATGGAAGGGGTGTAAGTTAAGTAGGTTTAAAGTAGATAAAGTAGGTGTAGATTAAATAGACTAGTGCTATCGCTAGTGGATTCTTGACAGTCTTATACTTTGCTCAGTGAGTTTGTCAGACATTCCCGCTGCTTGATAAGCGCAGTGCCGATCTGCACTACTATCGATGTGCTGCAGACGGAGTTAACTATTTTCTTACTTTCACATGAATGAATCCCTCATCACAAGTAATTAGTTACTTATTAACCTGGTTATATCCCCTGCAGCTCGTCCAGTAGCTGCACTGTCTCGGCTGGACTTGCGATCCACGCTGTCGTCGATGCCAGTCGCGCCTATCATTATTAGTTAGCATCGCATCATATTTGTCTTTTTAGAGTATCAGCCAACCTTGAAATCATTCGCTCCCGCCGACAAAAACTGATCGCCGACATGCAGCGTCCGCGCCGGTTCAATCCCTCCAAAGTAGCGCTGACACGCGCGCACACCCCACGACTTGTCGCCGATGTCCACGAAGACATCATTGCCACCTAGATTAGCCATCAGCATGATTCACAGTGATACCAAAATGAGAGGAGAAAAGGAATACCGTTAAAAGCACAAAACGGCAGTCTGGCTCCCACCTCCGACCGCTCGACCGTATTCTGCACCACCAACACCGTCTCCTCCAGCTGCTCGCGACTAATCCTCCCTCTCTCCGTGGGATACACTCCGACCGCGCGATCCTTGCGCAGCACCGCGACCGGCAGATTCAAATTACTCGCACACGCGCGCAACGATGACTCGGCGATATCCAACAGCCGCGTAATATCCCCCTCCTGCCACGTCTTCATCTCCTCCAATAACCACTCCTCACGAGGGACGTAGCTCAACCTCGACGGCGAGGCATGATCATACCGGAAGAGGAAATTACTCTCTCCGCCCATGACGACCAGCCCGGCGCGCTGAGCATCCGTCATCTCTGCGGACTCGTACATCGCATCGAGCAGTCCCTTGAGTCGCTCGTAGTACTTCGCGGCGTCGGTGTAGCCAGCTGCCGTGACGATGCCGACTTTCCGTCCCTGCAGGAGGAGGCGCATGATGCGTAGAATCACGGGGTTGTCGTCCGTGAGACATGCGCCGTCGTCGTACAGAGTGACATCTCCATCGAAGGTGACGAGGTCGACGCCGGTGGTGCGGGCCAGACCGATGAGTTGGGCCGAGTTGAGAATGAGCCGGATGTCGTTGAAAGAGGGGGCCACGAAGCGTCGCCGGCTGATGAAGCGTTGGGCGTCTTGCCGGCGGAAGGCGTCGACGAGGTATAAGGGGGTGAAGAAGGTGCCTACAGTGGGGACTAGGAGTTTGAGTTTGGATTTACCGGGGGCGTCATCTTGTTGGTGGGTTACTGTGTTTGTCAGTTCGTGTGTGTCTGTATATATAGAAACAATGGGAGAGGCTGAGGGAGGGCTACTGTGGTCGCGGATGAGCATCTCCACGTCGCGGAAGATCTCCGCATAGCGCTGGTGCGTGTCGGCCGCTACGGCGATCAGGTTCTCACTGTGTTCCTGGTAGACGGCGGTGGGCTGCGAGTGCAGCACAAAGGGGACGGCCAGGAGGCCCTGCATTGTTTAGTATGTAGTATATAGTGCTGGTTGGTGAGGTGCCATACTTTAATCCATTCAATCTGGGAACTTGTTAGCTAAGTTAAACAGCTAGAGGGAATAGGGAAATACCAATTGGTCTCGACGGTGAGACTGCAGGAGTTAGCATGGACTGGCAGCAGAGATGACTGCCTACCTTGAGAGCATCTGAAGGATTAGATAAATGACTCAATTGGATTGACCAGGAAATTCAACTTACATTCAACGCGATAGCGGGTAGTCATCGTGAGGGGAAGCTAAAGCTGGAAGCTGTCCTTTGGGATCGGCGGTGAAGGAGTCAATGGCACAACAACGAACGAGGGAGGATCGACAAGGTATTTATAAAGACAATCAATTAAAGAGTGAGAACGAAACAGATTGAAGAATAAAAGAAAAACAGCTATGCAAGGAGAGAGCGAGAGAGGAGAAGCACAGTCGAGATAGGGATGACACAGTGCTTGTCATCTGACCGGGCCAGCGGGGCTGCCAGCCAATCACATGCAGCATCGGAGCTCTCCGACACGCCAGTTGGCGGGCTGAGATGCACATTGGGATGCACAGGCTGTCAGCTATTGATCTATCACAGGAAATCCATTTGGTCAATCTGTATCTTTATTGCCATTCGATTCAATAAACACCAGGAACTAGCTAGCTAAGTAACATAGTCAAGCAACAGTTACACCCGCTCGCGATGCTCCGCCCCTCCAAATCCATCCTCCACCTGCTGTTGTTTATCCGCCACCACCTGGTCCTGCTGGTCGGCATCACGGTTGCCATGCCGTCCGATTTGATACCAGGGCAATGCAAACAACCGATCCATACTCTCCAGACTCCGGCCCGCTGTCTCGGGCACACTGAACCACACCCACAGTCCACCCAGCACCGTCACGGCAGAGAAGAACCAGAACGTGCCCTTGGGGGTGATGCCACCCTCCGCAGTACCCAGCAACATATTGGGCACCGCTCGGGAATTACCATACTGATTGACAAAGTGTAGCGTCATAGCAGCAGAGGTAGCCAGTGCGCGGATGCGTAGCGGGAACAGTTCTGCGGTCAGCAGATACTGCATGGAGTTCCAGCCCAATGCCCAGCCCACACCGGAGATATAGATCATAGCAATGGCTCCGCGGCTACTACCCTTCTTTGACTCCGGCAGGACAAAGTCATCGACAATGCCCATCTCCGGCACCGCAGTGAGGAAGCTTGCCACGTAGATCATCGAGATGGCCTGCAGCGTGATTCCTAGGAGTAGGGCACGTTTGCGCCCAATCACATCAACCAGGAACAGAGCGCAGATTACTGCTGCGACCAGCTTGATGATACCGAACACTGCTGTCACGAGAAGGGACTCGTTGGACCCCGTGATGCCCAGGAGACTGAACAGATCCGGCGCGTACAGCGTGATGGATCCCGCTCCAGACCATTGGGAGAGTAGCTGCGCCATGGCGGCTAGGTACAGCCGGTACAGGTTGCTCGGGACCATGATGGCCTCCTTGACAATGCCCAGCCAGCCAGCTCCCATGGTAGCCTCCATCTCCGCCTGATGAGCATTCTGGATACCCGTGAACTCCTCGACAACGTATTCATGCTCTGGAGGAAGATTGCGGAGGCGCGCAAGGTTCTTCAGTGCTTCTTCGGGCTTGCCTTTCTTTACAAGGAAGCGAGGAGACTCGTATTGGAGGAAGGAGAGGAGGAAGATGAGGCCGGCAAACATGATGTGGAGACTAGTTGGGACTTCCTAGGTAGTGTCAGTACATTGCTATGGAGAAGGTGAATGAATGCCTTACCCATCGCTTGTGAGTGTGGTCGCCCATATGGATCTGGCAGCCATAGTTGGTGAAGTAGGCGAGCACAATGCCCAGGTAAACGAAGCCGGTGAAGACACAAGTGCAGAGCCCGCGGACGGATGCTGGGGCCTGTTTCTGGTTAATCAAGCCCGACAGGGAATTGAACTTGTCACTCACGATCTCAGCCAGGTAGACTGGTCCCACAACTACAGTCTGGCCGACGCCCAGTCCGGCCACGAAGCGACCAGCATAGACAGCCCCCAGGCTACCGTTGGCACCGACGCCCATGAAAATGGCAATTCCCAGGATCCAAAGAACGCAGAGCTGGCGAGTTGCCCACAGCCGTCCAATACGGTCGCACACAAGGAATGCACTATAACAGTGTCAGCAGACAGACTTCACGATTCATTTTGGTGAATGGAGTACAAGAGTGCCCCTCCCACGGAACCAAATTGCACCATAGCGGACACATTCGCCTTGATGTTGGTCTGTTCAACCTCACTGTACGAGTCCAGATGAATAGTGCGCTGAAAATCCTTGGAGTTGAAGGCACCCGAGATCAAACCCTCGTCAACACCACGGGCAGCGCCCATGAGGCCAAAGGAGAGCACGGCAAACCATAGCCTCCAGTTGAAGACCTCCTTGGGGTCAGCGAGATTGCGCAAGCGAAAAATGTTAACTGGTTTCTTGGAACCTGCCATGATTGCACACGGTCAATCCCAGAAAAGATGGACGAGCCACTACAGGTTTTTCTTTAAAACAGCTGGCATCTGCAAGGGAGGAGGGGCATTTATACCCAGTCACCCCCATCAGAGCTACGTCGGTTACCGACAGCCAGTCGGAACGTCACCTATTCATGGTGAGGTAGGACAAACTAGCCCGGGGGAGAATTCACTACGAAAAATGTGATCATGCGGGGATCGGGGAGAGAGCAGCCAATGGATCGCGCAGGGAACGATATCCACCAGCAAGACATCCCACGTTGGAATCCGACTTGTCGCGACGAGCTTATCACCGCTTGACATGCTGGACAGCTTGGCGAGTAGCAAAGCGACAAAATTCCGAAGACGCGCTGGGTTTGTTGTGGGACGGAGCGTCTTGGCTGCGGGGGACAATCCGGGGATCGAGCCTCTTCGTGGCATCCCAGACCCGGTCCTGAAAGTCCAGGTGGGACAGACCGACAATCTGGGGACGAGGCTCGGACAACTTCCGCTTAGGACTAACGGAAGCAGGCCATCGAGATGCGAGTGAGATGCTTCGGGGTAGGCTTGGCAGGCGGGAGACCGGAGACGGACTCAGCACCTGGCAGGCACGGGATATGGCTTCCAGGAGAGGTCGAGATGGGAGCCACGCGGCGTGAGATGTTGGGGTCATGCGGGGGTCAGCCAAGGGGGGGTGTCCCTCGCGCAGGGTCTAAATAACACTAAAAGGGCACTAAGAAAGCAAACATGGTGGTTGGCTTGTCCTGCTGGTCGGTCAAATCCGACGAGTGGGGGATACATGACGTTTGCTGGGCACGATCGATCAGCTGTCTCTCAATCCGGGGTGCAGCAACAAATGCCTCGGTCGCCAGCAGTTTTGGGTTAAAGATCGACGGGTTCCAGAGCTGTTATTTAGTAATGATAGCAAGACATCTCTGTATTCCACTGGGACCGGATTGCGCCCTAACCCAACCCTACCCCACCCCTCGGGTGAGATCCTTCGGATCAGCACCATTATCCCCGTGCACATTCTACCATCGTAAAAATTACTTATATGGGGGTTTGAAGAAAGAGTCCATGATAATTATTCAGATAGCGCAACGTTGCAGACATATTTATTTGATCTGAGTTTGAGATTGCAGCATCGAGACCAGAACGGAGTCTGGCTGACTGCAGGTGGCGAGGTGTTATCATGGCTACATCATCCATCTTGCTTGCTTGATCCAGGAACCAAACCAGTTACCGACGCAGGGGTTCACCCCTATAAAATTCATCCCAGTAGGCCATATCACTGTAAAACCCATCAGTAGGAAGTAGGAAATACTAGAACAGGTAGAATGTCCTGCCTCATCCAAGATTCCGTCTTCGGCCAATTTATCCGCCTCGTTTCGCGCGGCCGGTACTTCCGGTTCGAGGAGCAAAAAGACCCCTCGCTATGGCAGCAGTACATCAACCTCGACAAATCGGGCCGCATGGCCTACACTGGTCGTCCCGATGCCGATGAGGTACCGGAGCCTGAGCGTTTCAGCGCAGCCGACACCGAGTCCATGACGAGAGTACCCTCGACGGCGTGGTCACATAATGGCCGCCGCTATCAAGGCATCACCGGAGCCGCCATTGACCCGGAAAAGGGACGCGACGTGACCATCATCGACTGGTGGGATGATCATGATCCGGAGGTATGCTATTTACTTTACTATTCTCTTCTGGACAGAAGCTAAGTCACTAGAACCCTCAACACTGGCCGCTATGGAAGAAAGTTGTGGTGACCTTCGAGATCTGCCTGCTCACCTTCAGCGTGTACATCGGTAGCGCCATCTACAGTGCTGGTATCGAGTCAGTTATGAGCGAATTCCAGATCAGCCAAGTCGCAGCTACCCTAGGACTGACCCTGTTCGTGGCTGGCTACGGACTGGGCCCGCTTCTCTGGTCGCCCATGAGCGAGGTGCCCCAGATCGGTCGCAACTCCGTCTACATCGCGACACTAATTGTTTTTGTTGCTTTGCAAGTCCCAGCTGCATTGGCCGGGAACCTCGGCACCCTACTAGCCTTTCGCTTCCTGACTGGCTTCTTTGGCTCGCCTGCTCTCGCAACGGTACCTTTTCCCTTCCCCTCACTTCCCCTCGTCCACTAACAACATCTAGGGCGGCGCCAGCCTCGCCGACATGTTCGCTCCTCGCAAACGCGCCTACGGCATCGGCATCTGGGGCATCAGCGCCATCTGCGGCCCCGTGCTCGGTCCCCTAGTCGGCGGATTTGCCGCCCAAGCCAAAGGCTGGCGCTGGACGATCTGGGAACTCATGTGGCTATCAGGATTCACACTAGTTGTACTTATAATCTTCCTCCCAGAGACCTCCTCCAGTAACATTCTGTACCGACGCGCCCGCCGTCTCCGCAAACTGACCAACCGGTCCAACTTGCGCAGCGAGCCCGAACTCGCCAGCGAACACCTCACAGCGCGAGAACTCGCGATGATGACGCTCGTCCGGCCCTTCACGCTCAACTTCACCGAGCCCATGGTCTTCTTACTGAACCTATACATCGCCCTGATTTACGGTCTACTCTACGTATGGTTCGAATCCTTCACCATCGTATTCTCAGGTATCTACGGCTTCAACCTCGGCCAACAGGGTCTCGCCTACATCGGCATCCTAACCGGTGCCCTGATCACCATTCCTCCATATTACTGGTGGATGCACAAATACCTAGAACCGAAATTCGACCCCGAGACAGGAAATGTTCCCCCAGAGGCGCGTCTCCCCCCCGCTATCGTGGGAGGCTTCTTCATCCCTATCTGTCTGTTTTGGTTTGGGTGGAGTGCCCGTCCCTCTATTCATTGGATCATGCCGATTGTCGGGAGTGGATTCTTCTCCGTCGGTGCGTTCTTGCTCTTCAACCCCGTGCTGAATTATCTCTCCGATGCGTACCCGGAGTATGCGGCTAGTGTTCTCGCTGGGAATGATTTGTTTCGGAGTGCCTTTGGTGCAGGGTTTCCGCTTTTTGCGACGGCGATGTATAAGAATCTGGGGGTCGATTGGGCGAGCTCGACGTTGGCGTTTTTGGGGTGCGCGTTTATTCCCATTCCGGTTGTGTTGATGAAGGTGAGTTTTCTTTTGGCACTTTGGTAGAAATAAAAGGCTAATTGTTGTGGTGTGTAGTATGGGGGGACGTTGAGGAAGAAGTATAGTCGGCATGCAAGGAAAGATATTTAGGTTGGTTAATTTCTTTATTTCCGGGGTAGAGGGATAGATAAATTTTCTTGGTGGGCTTACATGGCACTGCTAGAATACAGTGGAAATCATATCTGTATTATTATTTTGTATCATATTTCACTATACCTGCAACTCTCTGCCATGGATTTTTCCTCGAGGCATATGATGCGCTAGGACCCTTTTAAGTGTATTGGGAATTTTTGCCTAGATATCACGCGACCGAATTTGGATAAGAACAGTCTTTCTTCTAAACCCTAACAGTATTTGCTTTGAGCGTCGAGTGCCAAATTCGGTTATCTGCTGCTGTTTGCACTGGCGTAGTGTAATCTGTTGGGCGATATGCTTTCTTCAGACGGCGAGATATACGTATAGTTGGCATTCTTGTAGAGCTCAGTCGGGTTTGATGGCAACCAAGCCCGTCATCTTCAGGAACATTTCACCTGATACAGTCAGTACCAACCATAATGAACAAGGTCCAGTAAGACTACCTCCATGGTATTACCACAAGACAATCGTATGATCAGCTCATCCAATTCCTTGTAGCTACACCAGATAAATTAATGTGGTGAAGTGATACTGACAGTATATTTCGGCGGAGTGGATTCTACGTGACAATCATCTAGCAAAATATAGGGATTCGTGGCAACTGCCTAGGGTTGAGCAGTAAGGTGGCCCTTTAAAGGGCCGGGATGACAATTCATATTTATAGATAGTCAACTTAAAATGTAACCGAAGGGAGAAAGTAAATTAATCTCACAATAAGTGGGGTTGAACTGGCGAATCAACTGAGTCTATTTGCTAATATGGTCCAATATTGGGATAGTTGAGAATTTTTCCGGATAAAAAGCAGCAGCCACTCAAGGACGTATGGAATCGGTATCCGTACACCGAACAAGGAAGACTCGACTCTCGTCAGTGTACAACCTTACCATCTCATGACCGCTTGCTTGCACAGTCTCGCTTCCCTGCAATGACTCCATACCCTCACTTTGATCCCGATACAAGAACAGCAATGGCAGCGTATCATTTCTCCAAGCGGGCACACGAGCGCGGCGAGTCTTCCAAAGCGTGCCGAACACCAGGATAGCCCCTAAAGTCCAGACAAGAACGGGCAAGGCCAGATAAGCCCAGTACACTACGATATAGACCTCACTGACTTTCGCCCTACCCGTCGTCATGGCAGCCGATGCGGGATTGACGACGTAAGCCACATCTCGGAAGGTTTTTGACATCGCCGCAGCCACGTTGTCCATCGCGCAGGACAGTCGATCGGAAAGGATCTCACTGCACCCAGTAATATTTGCCACGGCCAGTGCCTGGAGCGTGTCAAAACCAGCATACCAGCCTTTATCCAGCGGGTCGAAATATATTTCCGATCCGGACCTAGTCGCCTGACCCGAGAAAATGGCGGTTAGGAAGGGATATATCCACTGTTTGGCATCACCACTAAGTATGAAAGATTGCGGGGTTTTGTGCACACCAAGATCGGAACCCCAAGAGTCAGGGGTGAGATTCAATCCTGCAGACTGATGGACATTATTAGTGGAAGTCCAATTATACTGAAACCAGATCGCCCGCGTCTTATCACTGTAGTTGTTCTGGTAGACTGTAGGACGAAAGCTGCGCACGATGGGCTCCAGAGAACACTCTGTAGCTTCCCACTGTGTGCCATTCGTCATAGGGGAATCGTTGAGCAGCTCCAGGTTGGCCCGAGGGGCCATGTATTGAATTGCAATCAATGTAGCATTGGTATAAACCACCGCATCATAAGTGGAGATTGGGGTCATTGAAAAGGTGCTAAATGAGTAATCGTCTGGCATATACCAGGCCGAGAGCCCGCTTTTCGGTAGTGTGACAGTACAGTTACTCTCTCCTGCGTATGCTGATGCATTAGAAAAGGTAGAGCAGTTGACTGTCAATGTACTAGTGATGTTGGTACAAAGCGACCGAATCTCGAGCTAAGCAACTGCATCCCAGGTACAGTTGGTTGAGGAGCAGTAGTATTGCAGAATGGCCCACGGCCGGCTCGGATCGGTGTTGAAGAGCGAATTGTAGACATTCGCTTTGAGCACAGGGTCAACGTATGCAACCGTTACTTCTGTGTATTGTGGTCAGTATTCTCGATCACGTAGTCTTGAGTAAATGGAATTGGTTACTTTATATACATGCCTTTTTCGTACTCGGATTGGCCTATGGTGTCGTATACTGTGGCATTACCGATCAGTGCAGTCCCTGATGGGTCTACAACCAGGTTATCATAAGTATGTATCAGCAGTTGCGAAAAGGGATCAAATCCCAAGGCAAGAACCATGGCCAAAGCACCAACCCCTGCAAAATGCCGGACACGCATGGCCCATATCAGCGTTAGGCTTCCCAAAGCACCCCGGCTGGCTGAGTCGAAGGACTGCAGATGTAGCAAAGGTTGGTCCCGCTGAGTAAACCATACCCACTTTAGCTGTCCTATCAACTCCCCGACAGAAAACATGAGGCTGGCTCTGGAAAGTGTGCTGAGAAAGGAGATGACCGAATTCAGGGAGATGTGCCACCATTTCGGTTGAGGTTGATGATCGTACATCTTCAGAATGATGACTATCGCAGCTAGGAGACCCGCTGAAACAATGATGCCTGTGAGCTCCAAGGCAAACCAGCTGGATGTATAGGGCCCGTCTGATACTGATTCAATGCTTTCCGGTTTCTCGGATCTGTAGTGGGGAGGTTTTCCTAATGTCGGGGAGGGTGAGGTCGGACGGGAGTTTGATGCTTCATTCTCGTCTGACGTGTTCGAAGAAGGTGATACAGCATGTGATTCCATATCTTCATGATCTTCAACATCATGCCTCGTCGCGGCATAAGGTACACTTGATAATATCTCGGGGTCAAGCTCGTCAACTTCATTATGTAGTAGTTCGTATGCGGGATATTGTCGCTGGTCAGCGTCGCTGGATGTCATCGTGGAACAGTGAAGACAGTTAGTGATGGATGCGAAAGCCTTGAGGCAGGCTAGAGGTAAGCAGGAGTTTTAAAGGAGGAACCAACAAGGCTGAGAGCCTTATCAGTACACTGCAAAGCTACATAACACTCCAACCTAGATCCTTGTCGGTGGCTACCTTAGTTGCAGAGCCGTATATCTACTCAACAAATCAGAGATGTTCCATCCAATGCCGCTCAGTAGCCTTTTTCAAGGGAAAGTAAGCATAAGTGGCTGTGGCTGGAACTGGAGTGCAGGGCCCAAAATACATATGTAGTAGCTATAACCGTCAACTTTCCATTGGACTAATCTCGGGCCTTCCGAATTGGAAGCACCCAGACATCTAGGTACCCAGTAAGTATAGACTCACCCCTTGCGTGCTGTAACTTCGCCGTGTAACTTAAATTGTTAGACCGATAGCCACAGGACCTAGGAAGGCAGTCTTTTGAAGGAAATAGAACAATATGAAAGATTTCCTATAGTACTTTGTTTTATCTAGTGATTAGTAACTGTTCAGAGGATCGCACTCTGGTAGACCTGAAATACAACCAATTAGAAGCGGCTGCCAGGAACAGTGCAAATGTTACCTTACTGTGACTCAAGTTTTTGTACTGATGTTTGATACAACCTGAGTGCTTGAAATTTCGCTATCTGTAGATGCAAGATGAAAATTGGGAGTATATTTTGAACTTGTTCCTCTGTCGAAAAATGCAAAGATTCGGCAAGTCTCGGTTGCCAAAGGCATTCTCACATATAGTTTAACTATTGCTCCTCCTGCTGCTCCACTTGTGCTGTCGCAGTAGTTGCATTGTCTTTTACATGGCGCTTAACACCGCCCTCCACTCCCAGCCATAGAAGGTCCGGTCGGCTATAGTGTCCACAGACATCTACAAATGCCTTGGAGTGGTAAATATGTTCGAAGTCGAGGTCGGCGTAGATAATCCCCTCCTCTGCACTAGGAATGGGTTGCGATAATTGGCGACCGTCGGGCCCGAAGATGGCGGAGCAACCTCCGCCAGGGGTGCTCATCAGGGCGCCAGTCGATGTGGCCATCCGGTCAATGCCAGACTGGCCTATGACTGTTGTGGTATGGAGGACAAAAGACTGACTTTCGATGGCATAGGTCCTCGCAATGGAGCTGGTGCCTAGACGAGAGAAGATATGTTAGCATTTCTTCCGTGTGTCCCTTTTGGTTGGCGTTCATACCCTCGGTGGACATCGAAAACAAGGAACCGTCCTCGCTATGAGGGAACAGAGGCGGCCATGCGGCAACATGAATTTGTTCCCGCTGCGCATAAGTGTGATACTTGAGCAGAGGCTGGATGTGCTCCCAGCAGGAAAGAGCACCAACGCGACCGGCTGATGTATCGACTACACTCTGCAGACAGTCTCCAAACGAGTCACCGAAAATGGTCCGCTCCATATGAGTGGGCTTGATTTTCTTGCGGGTGGTGAGGATCTTCCCATCACTGGCAATAATAGCCTGCGAGATATACAGGGAGTTATGCAGGTTCTCGGAAAAGCCCAACACAACCACGATTTTATTCTCCGCTGCGCATTGCTGGATGCTGGCCATTTGCGGGGAATCAATCTTCAGGGAGTTTCGTATGTAAATAGATGATAGGCGCATGTCAACAGGCCGTGCCCTTCGCAGACCCATAATTGATTGTCAGTCTCAATGTCATTGGCGCCATACGGTGCGGTTGTACCCACCAAATCCAGGCAGGATATCCCGGGATCCAACACTCGGGAAAAGTCACCAACTGAGCGCCGTTCGCAGCTGCTTCAGCAATAAGGTCACATGTCTTTTTCACGGTTGCTTCCAAGTCCAGCCAGACCGGCTCTGCCTGGGTGACTGCGACGCGCACTTGAGATGGCATGGCGGGTTAATGGAGAGTCGATGCGTGAGACTGAGGGGATCTCCGGGATTTGGATGCAGGGAGCTCCCGGGGTTTATATGCCACCTACTCTTCCAGCTCGGCCGATTGAACCCCTCACGCCAAGACGGCTTATCGTATGATAAATCTCTCCTGGTCGCGATGGCTTTGATAAGTCAACGATTTTTAAACGGGATTTGATGCTCGATAACACTCCTGTACAGATATGCTCAGGATCAAGGTTCTCGGCCATATATGCACAACATCATGGGGTGGTCCAGCTTCAGCTTATGGATTGCATTTGTTCCTGAACCACCTTTCGTGATCTGCTGTATTAATCGCCATTAGTAGTAGACTGTCATCCCTCGCGTTGTGGTGATACACAAAAGTCGCACTGGAAGGGCCGATCACGGATGTTCGGCAAGCCCATCAACGGAATATCTATTGAGTTGATAGGCGTTGACCCGGCTGGGTGGGCCTAAACGTATTATGTGACTGACTAATACCAATAGAGGTAATCAGCAGAAGTAGAATCGAACATGCGAAGTTGGAGATATTTTTTAGGTTGACAGCATCTATATGAGAAAGCAGTGATTTATGGTCCCGCCGTGGCTGACTTCAGCCATCTGCCGCATCTGGTCAGCCAAGCCGTGGCTGACGTTAGCCACCAAGCATCTCCCCCCAGCTATTTAAGTCGACGAAGTCAACTGAATTTATGGCTCAAAATTATCGCAGCAAGAGTTATCCGCACTCAAACATATTTTCCATCCAAGATAGAATATCTTAATAGTTCCCGACAACCAGCTGAGAAGATGGTTGCCATTTCAGAGGTCCGCGGGCAGCTAGCCAATGTCAAGAACCTGGGTTCGGGTCTGGTTGCTGTGTTCGGTATGTGCACGACTTTGCTAACTATCTTGATCTCTGACTAACAATTTCTAGTTGGCGGGACCAGTGGAATTGGCCTCTCGACCGCGCAAGAATTCACCCGTTATGCGACAGCTCCCCACATCTACCTGATTGGGCGCAACGAAGCCCAAGCATCGGAGATCATCTCAGAACTACGTACCGTCAACCAATCCGCAACAGTAGACTTCATCAAAAGCGATATCTCTCTCCTCAAGAATGTCGACACCACATGTCGCGAAATCGCTCAAAAGGAGTCCAAAGTCAACCTCCTCTTCCTGAGTCCAGGGATCTTGACCACGCAGGGAAGGACTGGTTAGTACCCTCCACAAACCTCTCACCCCCCACCCCCCCCTTCTCCAACTGACTGCGAAAACAGAAACAAGCGAAGGAATCGACCGCAAACTCAGCCTTCACTACTACGCCCGAATGCGCTTCGCCGAGAATCTTCTTCCACTACTAAACCAAGCCGCCTCATCGGGCAGCCTAGCCCGAGTAGTCTCCGTCATGAGCCCGGGAAACGAGGGCAAACTCGTTGAAGATGATCTCGACCTCCGGAACAATTACACCCTCCCGAATGCAGCTGCTCATGCCTGCACCATGACATCTCTCTACATGGCCCAACTGGCGGCGGCACATCCCAACATCAGTTGGGTTCATAGCCGTCCTGGTGCGGTGAACACGAATATCATGCGTGATTTTAACCCGCTTTTGCGGGGACTGACTCAGGCCCTTTTTGCGTTGACGCCTGTTTGCTCGTCCATTGGGCTTCTTTCTGTCAAGGAGTCCGGAGAAAGGCATGTATATGCGGCTACGAGTCCGCTGTTCGCGCCCCGGGTGAAAGGGGGGGCCACGGTTGGGGCTGATGGTGCGAAGGGCAGTGGTGCGTATCGGGTGGATTATGATAGTTCTATTGTCAAGGCTAAGGCTGAGTTGGTTGAGAGGTATCTGGGTAGTGGGGTGGGCAAGAAAGTGTGGGAGCATACCAGGGCTATGTATGCGAAAGCCACCGGGAATTAGTGATATGGCGCATATGTACTATATGAGATCATGTAATAGGTAATTAATTCATTTTGTCGATATATCTGTCTCGATATCGTGGAGATAAAGTAACTATGTCTTGGATATCCCAGGCACTATGTCCCGCTGGATAACGGGCATGCGTGAATTGGAAGGTAGAAAACATGACATCGTGCATTCTATCAACGTATCTATCATCTAACCATATAGCCATCTATCTATCATCTATCATAAATCATCCGTTACTCCGCCATTAATTATGTATTCTCCTTCCCCCTAACAAAACACCTCTCCACCTCCTCCAACGACCGCCCCTTCGTCTCGGGCATCCAAAACCCACAAACAACAATCGTCAACGCCGTGCAGCCCCCAAACAGAAAGTACGCGGCACAACTACTTTTCGCCAAAAGAACCGGCGTAATAAGCGCAACAAAGAAATTCGACACCCAGTTACTTCCATGCGCAAGACACGTCGCGCTCGCTCTCGTCCGCTGGGGCTGGATCTCCGCCGCGTAGACCTTACAACTCACGCCCCAAGACACACTGTAAATAGCAGCGAAGAGATAGATCGCGACGATGACGACCCAGCGACCAGCGCCGGTCGAATGGTGGACTGCGTTGGCGGCGTACAGGGACCCGATTACGAACATGGTTATCGTGAGCCCGAGACCGCCGAGGATGACGTTGCTGCGGCGGCCCCAGGAGTCGGCGTAGATGAGGGCTGGGATGGTCACGACGAAGATGACGATGCCGGAGACGCCGGAGGCGAGGAAGCTGGCCTGTGAAGAGGTCATGCCGGCTTGTTCGAAGAGCATGGGGGCGTACTTTTGGAAGTTAGTTCAAGTAAGAGAATAAATATGGGTGGGAAAACTCACGTATAACACCCCATCAATCCCAGCTAACTGCTGCATGCCCATGAGGAACAAGCCCAACAGAGTCCGATTACGCACATCGGGCTTGAATGCGTCGAATAGAGTTGCTTCTTCAATTCCCTTAGGCTTAGTTCGATGAGAGACCCGACTATGCCGCGAAACTACCTGATCCAGGGTATTCGGGGCAAGAATACTCCCCGTCGGGGCCAACGGATGCGTCAAGGCCTCTTCATGAACGTCGACTTGCTCTTCCTCTTCGAGGAGTTCCTCGCGATCGGCCTCGCTTACTTGCAAATACTCCCAAGCGCGAGTGGCATCGTCGACGCGATTATGAAGCGTGAGCCATCGGGGCGAGTCAATCAGCCATAAGAAAGCAGCTAGACTAAAGACAATGGAAATGCAAGCCAGGACGGTGAATGGCGTTCGCCATGCCATGGATGAGTGTAGCTTCTCGCATCCGTAGCAGGTGAAGAAGCCGACTACGAGGCCCATTGTGATGAGGAGTTGAGGGCCAGTGGTTAGTGGGCCTCGTTGACTTGGCGGGGAGATCTCGCAGATGTATCTGTTGTAGCTTATTAGCTATCGCTTTGGGTTGATAGTAGAGAGGAGAGAGTGGGGTTGGAGGGCTTACACTACAAGGGTCCCCAGGTATAGACCCTCTCCGAGTCCCTCGACGACACGGCCAACGATGAACATGGCCAGATGCACTGCGCCCGCCTCGATCGCACATCCGATGCCGAAGATGAGAGCACCGATTGTGATGCTCTTGGGTCGTCCGATCCAGTCGGCTAGCTTTCCACCAAAGAAGGATGAGAAGGCGGCGGGGATCAGGATGGAGGAAACTATTAGACCGTGGACGATGGATGAAAAGGATCCGAATTTCTGCTTGAATTGGTCCATTACTACCACGGAGCCGATGATGCCGGTGTCCATTCTGTATTGCCGGTGATGGTTAGCGATATTACGCTGTATGAGGAGTTCGGGTTCGGGCTGCAAAGTTGCATTTTGCGATGAGCCCAGGATTTACACACCCGAAAAGAAAGCCCCCCATCGAGCATAGAATGCTGGCCCAGACATAGCGAGACAACCCTGGTATCAGCGCCATGATGGTCTCAAGTCTGGTGAGCAGAGTTAACCTAAGATTCTAGGGATGTCTATTGACGAAAACACTACTTTTCAGAATGCTGCCCCCCATTTATATCTTCGTGGGCCCTAAAAAATTCTTTGGGCTTCATGATCTACAAAAGCAGTCAGCACGATGGACCACGATAGGCGAGAATCGGCTGCTCGGAAAGATTGCTCTCGGGAAGATTTCCTCGTGGTTAAATGGACAAGAGCCACCCGGGGAATTGGATCCACTTCATCGGGTATTATTTATCTACCTTGTAAGTTGATGGGGGCGGGGAGAAGCGTAGTGGAGTGATGGATAAGAAGGTCTAGATTTATCTCGGGAAAATTTCTTCATTGCGGGAGTTTGTTTCTCCCACCATCTGTTGTATAGGATTTGTTGATATGTCGCTATCTGCAACGAATCATGTCTGCAGGGCCCAATTGCATCAAATGCATTTCAATTTCGTTTGTACCAATTCACAATACTGTCACTATCCAGATAATACACCGCAAATTCATAGATAACTATAGTTGTGTAAGCAACTCTTTTTAGGGGAAAAAGTTAATACAAGACCATAAGGCCCGCATTACCCGCAGATACTCTGCGGATCCCTAAAGCCCCCTATATACTCAGGTACACATACGAGTGGCTTGTAAGGATTCACTTCCTTACAAGTTGGAATGGTTTGGCTAACTATCTCCCACACCGCAACCCCCCATCCGCCCATTGCTTTTGCAACTCCTTCACCCGATACTCTGTTGCCCATCCCGTATCGCTCTCCACACGTCGCAGCAGATCCACTACTAATAGCCTCTCCGCATCCCCCTCGAAGCACTGTCCTGCCACGAACAACGGTTGAACTGTATGCGAAAGTATCGCATCGGGCAACCCAGCTAGACTAATCCCACAGATCTCGCGCGCATGACGCACCACCAACCCCGCGATCTGACGATAATGGCGCAGTCGCGCCGTCACGGTTGACCGAATAGCTGTAGATTCTTGCGGCATATTGCTCAAAAGCAGGATGCGGCCCATGTGGTAGGTCTGGATGGTGACGGCACACATGGGAATGATGAAGGAGATCGCATCTATCGTATCTGCATCTCCGACATTCTCTGTAGGGGTGGGGATAGGTTCTTGATGTGTCGGATCGAAGTTGGACAGAAACAGTTGGGTACGACCACACGGTTTAAAAGAATCGGGTAAGGTATCGTACCAGGCAGTCAGCTCGAACTCTAGTAATTTCCATCGTTCTAGGAGATCCTCTTGTGTGGTGCCGAAACATGGACGTTGGCCTGGAGGGCTCTCGTAGTCTCCTGGATTGATTCCGTCACCGCTCGTGATGAAGTTTATGATCTTGCCCATTATCCAAACTAAGGCATTGCTGAGTGTGTCTTCCTCAAGCCAAGCACTGTGTGATGGGACTCGGGCATGAGGGCTCGGAGAGGAGGAAATGGGGGTGTTGATGGTAGTAGAGGAGACGGAGGGTGGTAAGAGATGACCATGGGCGGAAATATTAAGACCGAAATTGCGCCAGATGACAAGGTCGAAGAGGTTGAGGCGAGTTTGTGTCTCGTTGATGACTGGTTTTTTTTTTTTCTTAGTATATGAGCTGACATAGGGAGGAAGAAGAGAGAAGATGAAAGTGATTGACCTACAAGCCGAAAGACAGTCTTGGCGAACGAGACTCCAAAAAACCGAGCGCGAGATGTGCAGCAGAGAGTTTGGTAGAGAGGATGTCGAGCTGAAATCATCCACAGTCCCGCAATAGAGGAAGGGCAGGGCGCTTAAATGTGCTCGCCATTCGGTACCGGGAGCATCGATCAACTCGTACATGCAAAGAATGGCAACGACGGCGAACATCTCGTCTCGCCGGCTGTTCGGAATCTCCAGCCTTATCGCGTCTTTCAAGTACCGAATAGCTTCGTCATAAAGACGTACTGATTCATATTTCAAGTCAACCCCTCTAACAGCCCACTGAAGGGGGCTGTTGCGAAGATGGGCTAACTGCAACATCCGACGAGCATCTCCCTGGCACATCCGGTGCAGATGTTTGGCGGCAAGGGCACATGCAGCAGCTTTCAGCATGGGCCGGGTAGCCACCATGACGGGCACCTTGATGGAGTAATAGGCATTGGTGTCAAAGCAGTCCAACCTAGACGAATGTCAAGCTATTGTTCCTTATTCTGATGTCGGCATACGGATGGGGTAGAAATACCATTGACTAGGACCTTCTTTGAAATGTCGGACCAGAATTGCGGTCAAGACCCCATTTTTTGTAGGCAGTGCGGAACTATGAGCAGATCTCGCAATCACCTCTTGTTCACTGGCAGGGGTTATCGGCGTAGCCGTAATTGAACGATGCTTCTCCAGAAGGAATGTTGGTTCCTCGTCGTCAGCGAAAGGGTCTTTGACCTGGAAAAAGACGACTGCACTAATCTCAGCAAATGCTCTAATTATCCTGAATGCACATTTGTCGGAAATTAGAGGATACAGAGGTGAACAGGAGTCTAGCTTACGGTCAGAAGGTACTTTGACCCATGTCTGTGTCGCGTATCCGGTTTCATCGCCGGCGAGATCGCTGGCACTGTAGTGACGGAATATGCAGTCGGAGAAGACACAATCACGGGAGGACTTGGCACATGGGCCGCATATAGGCCTCTCCTCGTTGCATTTCACTTTACGTTGTCTACATGTCACGCTATAAAGACGAAACAGAATGTTAAGACGGTCTTCTATGTGGACTAGGGAAGGAAGAAGGACAGGGGCAGGCTTGGTTTGGCACCTTACCAGCCAAAGTGGGAGCGCATGTCTGCCCGAAGGCAATCATCAAGTCGGAAAAATACTTTGAAAGATAGATTCGTTGATGCAGGAGATAAGTTGTATTTAGCAGCGAACGTAGCGTTGGCGGGGCGAAGAAGGAAAATCTAGCGAGACCCGCCAGAGGAAATTTTTTTTGGGTGGCTCGAAAAGTGGCAACGTTAGCGAGGCCGGCCGTGAGCCATCAGATAGCTGTACAGAGTACTTATGTTCTCCCATCTGATCAACGAATCAGAACCATCAATGATAATCTAGTTGAAGTCCTGATAAGAATGGCCCACGGGGAAATTTTGTCTAAAATAGCCTGTAACCCAGCTCGCAGATTTCATGCGCAGTATACCTTCCGTTCACATTTAATCCACGCGGCTTCCTCGCCAGAACCAATGCGCTTTCCGCAATATCGTCGAGCCTCTTCTCTCGGGGTTCTAGAAGGATGGTTGTGATGTATTTTGCTCGGTGAAATGCTGATTGGCATTACTCAGAGGATAGTTATAGCAGTACGTGTATCTATTATTTGATGTCCATCGATCAGTTCGTGTCGCAAAAGTGTAAATTGGTGATTGTGGCGTAGACTTCCAACCGTGGTACACGGAATGGCAATGAAAGCGTCATTTCGCATATTATATAATGATATACCTGGTAAGGCTGCTGAGAAAACATTCAGAGGCACAATATTAGGCTATTTAGTATCCGATAGGTGGCGAGCTTCTGCTCCCGATACCGCAGAATTTGAGGAAGCAAGAATTGATCGACTTAAAGTATCCCCTTCTTTTCCAAAAGTTGACGAACTAACCCTCCTAAAGTGTAAAGCTTATTCCATGTACCACCAATCGCAGGATTAAGAATCAGCAGAATTTTAGCGAGTCGCTAATTACGTTGCTTACTTTGTATATGGTTTGGATCTGGGTCATTGGTGATCGGCGTCGGAGTGAGTTTCTCTGGACCAATAGTCACCCAACAAGAACTCGGTATCCGTTCGAGGCTTATGTAGATGGGCAGAGAATCACAGGTTGCGTGCTTACTTTACTCTCGTTTTTATGCTGATTGGAATAAAATAAACATGGATGGGGCGGATGAGCACTGAGGCGTCGTGGAGGCTGAACTTCGGGCGAGACATGGGCCTTGGACTATATTCGGTCTTAGACCAACCCGTACATTTTAAGGTCTTTCTTCTCTTTCTTTTAGGTAGTTAGAATTACAGACAGTGTGTTTCTCGGCATCGACACGAAGAAATAAATGAAGAATGTTCCCTTTCATGGGTATCAGTTTCAGTTGCAGGATTCCGATCGTTGAATATCATTAGTAAACATGAAATCTCAAGCAATGTATAGTACAACACAGCAAGAGTGGAAGGGTATTCTAGTTGTGAGGAACACCACCTGTACCAAACAACTCCATCTTTATCCGGTCATCGCTCACACCATAAGCCTTCAAAGCCTCCTCCATCTGCGTCATAAAGGTGTCGGGACCACAAATATAGTATTCCGTGGAAGGGTTGTCTAGATACAGATGGGATGGTCCATCGAGTTTCTGGAGGTCAATTCGTCCAGCGTGGTGGTAATCAACACCCAGTTGGTCACTGTCACCTGGCCTGCTGAGGAAATAGGTCACCTGCATGTTAGGGATTTCCTTTTCCAGTTTTTGAACGTGGCTCTTGAAAGCGCGAGCCTCGGTGGTACGGGATCCATGAATGAAGTGGATCTTGCGTTGCTTTTTCTTAGTAATGGTGTTCAGGATAGACATCATGGGCGTCATACCGACACCCGCGGACAGAAGAACAATCGGGTGGGTAGCTTCAGCAGTGGACAAGAAGAAGTCTCCGTAGGGATGAGAAACATCGATGAGATCGCCCTCCTTGATGATGTCATGAAGAACGTTGGAGACGTACCCGGGGTGTCTCTTAGCACCCGGAGCACGAGGATCAAGTCCCGTTTCCTTCTTGACACTGATGCGATAGTAATCCGAGCGAGGGGTATCACTGAGCGAGTACTGACGAGCTTGGGGGTACTTCAACTCTGGAACCTGGACGCTCACCGAGATATACTGGCCTGGCCTGAAGGGCGGCAGTGGCTTGCCGTCGACTGGTTCCAAGTAGAACGAGGTAATCTCGTCCGACTCGGGCACCTTCTTGGAAATGCGGAATTGGCGCCAGTTGGTCCAACCCTGGCTTTGCTTGTAGAGTGCGGCTTCGCGGTTGATCATGATATCGGCCAGGGCCCAGTATGCGGCACCCCACGCATCGAGAATATCATCAGTGCAGGCATCTCCGAGTACCTCCTTCATAGCTTCCAGTAGGTACTTGCCAACGATCTTGTATTCGTCAGCTTGGATGTATAGAGATGCATGCTTGTTGCATATTAATTCAACGGCAGGACCGAGGGCCCCGAGGTCGTCGATGTGGGATGCATATGCGAACAGTGCACCAGCTAGCGCACGTGCTTGGTGGCCATTGACCTGGTTGGCAGTGTTGAACACAGCATTCAACTCAGGATGCGCGGTCAACATGTTCTTGTAGAAGGCAGTGGTGATTTTGGTTCCATATTCTTGTAGAACAGGGACTGTGGCCTTGATTATTTTGATCTGCTCTGGTGTGAGCGGTGCAGCGGAAGACTTGGGCACGGCATCCTTCAGGGATTTTTGTTGCTGTCGAGCGTTGAATGCCTTGTAGATGCAATAGCCAGCCACGGCAGCGATGGCGACTTGGGATGCAATTGTGACGCGACGGTCCATTGTGTGGGGTTACGGAGCACGCCCTAGGAAACAATAGACAAGAGGGCAGAGATGACAATTTGATCTTTATCGAACAAGTCTATGGCAAAGAGAAAGCTCTGCTATAAGGGACCGTTCCTTGATATAACTGCGTAAAATATGCGGTACATGTGTGGAAGAAAAAGAAAGAGAGAGCCGCTTCAATGCGAGATATTTCAGAGTTAGACCCACCATTAGCCAATTGTAGACTTGGTGGAGATGATATCCTGGTGTCCGGGGCAGACGTCAGAACCTCTGCTAATCAGAGAGATGAAAAATGGGCTGATTCTCATGGGCTGATATGGCCCACTTGCTGCGGGCCATCTGTAATGCGATTGGTGGGCGTTCCATTAGCTGAAGCTTAGTACTTTATAGTCTGTCCACTTTCGTTGACGTGGTGATGCCATCATTGTTGGAACATGCCATATTCCTCCGGTTCGACCCACAAACATCTCTACACAAAATGTCTCGATGGATCCTCGGGTATTCCGAGCTCAGGCGCATTGGCCACCACTCAGCCCTTCCCCTAGCAACAAGATATTTCACAAGACACTCGACGATGCAGCATTCCTCACGCAGCAAACTTACCAACACTCAGCTACAACCATACTATAATGGAGCATAATTGTAATGACATGGTGAATGAGAACCCGTGGGATTCCGGTTATTCCAATAAAAGAAAGGGGGGGTAATTGCATGCACAATACAACAAGATTAACTATATGATCCGTCAAGTCCCTGAGCTGGCGGTCTGAGATGTCCTTTATCTCAGGAACCCCTTCGCATTTTGTCCCCACCCTGTCGGTCCGGATCGGTTGGATCTCTAGAGGAGACTCGATCCAAGAAATCACAAAGCTCCGGGTTGCCAGTCCTAGTGGGGTTAGAAGATCAACTAGCTCACCATCCAGCAATATATAAAACGTACGTTTGATCCCATGACTTTTCCCACTCGGCTGGCTCATTACTAGCTTGCTGTGAGTCCTGATCGACGAGGAACTGCAGGCTAGGTGGAACCACAGATGACCGCCGCCGGCCGGAAGGTGCCGGGTTATCCTTATATTCGTCCTCTTCGGACAAGCTCTGTAGGTTCGGGAACATAATGAAACGACAAATTCCGATTCACAAGGAGAGTTATCTAACTTCTAGTATTCAACAATTTCTGACTTCTAGCCGTATATATGATAGAATTGTCAGTGCGGGTGTCATCTGACGGATGACTTCATTACTCTTCACTTCCATCAAAATTAACTTTCTGGGTCACCACGCGTTAGAAAGAGTTGAATTGTAAATCGATTCTCACTGGAGGATCGCTCTACGGCTTCGGTTTACACCAATAGCCATGGTAGGCGGATGGGACATGTTCAACCCCAATATTCTCCTGGCATAGCATATGCTTTTTCGGAACAGACTGTTTTCTGGAAATTCTACCAAGCTAATAAATCTCTGGCTAGCCAGGGCAACCGACGCGACAATGATGTTACAGGTAATCAGAAATTAGATGTCATCCCAACGACTCTCCAATAAAACCGAAAATATTGTAAAAGTTTGCTCTGAATTGAATTGCACATATCGAAGAAACCCAATACGGTTAACGGGTTCATTCACATGACTTTCTGAAAGCTTCACTCGGATACATCGCGGAACCAGATACTGTAGTGATTCAGGTCTCTTGAATTCACTCAGGGGCGTCTACATCTCTTCTCCCTTGGTTAAAACAGATATCTGACGTTCATTAGAAGACATTCCACTCAACACCATATACAAAGAAAGCACATTCTATATAAAACGAACGCTGTCATTGGGACTTGATTAGCTGTTTCTGAACTTATCAAGAGCTAAATCCTATCCCACTAATGTTTCTTACGTTTGACTCATTGGTATTAGGCCAAATGTGCAACCTTCTCATTCTGGCTATATGATATACGGTTGATTCCATCTTGCACTACAATCAGTCGTTAAAAAATGGCATAATGGTGTCCGAAAAAAGCGCGTATTTAACGCGTCTGCAAAAAGCATAATATACGTGTCTCTCGGTCGGGACAGCCACTTGCGACAGAACCACCCCACGCCGAGATGAGCGATATGATATATACGATATACAGTGACTATCGCTCTTATTGTTAGCTACGAGCACCGCCGTGACGTGCGGTGAGGATGGCTACTGAGAATGGATAAAGATGAACGTCATATATTTGGCTGTGAAACTGAGAATACAGAAACCGTTCGATCATCCAAACCTCCTGAAGTATTCGTACACATTAATGGCATCCACTTCCAGCAGCCAGCACTGTCTTATCATACTTCCACAATAGATATGACTGACCTCAGGGAACTGGAAACGCCGAAAGAGATCCTTCACGGCTGCAATAGGCAGGTCATGATAAGGGTGTTTGCCGGTCATAATAAAATATATCACCGAGCCCAGGCTGAAAATGTCATCCGAGCATCGAAGAACATAAAACTCAATACTTGGATCACGATAGCTTATGCTGGGAAGAGCAGAGCCTGGTGAACCGCAAACAGAGGAGCCAGCGAAATCCGAGATTTTCAAGTCCAGGTTCGAGTCGAGGAGGAAGTTGTTAGGCGATATATCACAATGGATGACATTGTGATGGTGAAGCAGCTGGATACCTTCGGCCGCTTGTCTTGCCCATTTGCTTCTCATGCAATCGTCTATTGATTGGTGATTTCTTCTTACGAAATCGCCAAGGCTCCCGTTCTCGAAATACTCAAGTGTCAAGCAACAGGTGACTGGGTCCCAATCAATCAGCTTTGGTATGCGCGGATGGCCATTGAGACACTCATAAACATGGGCCTCGACACGCATACTTTGTCTGTGGCGCTCATTCAGGCTCGCGGAGTATGGGTTCGACAGCGGTGTCTTAGCCACATTTCCTGATGGCAAACGTTCTAGCATCGCAGTTCCTCCCATAGATAGGAATGTTCCCTTCGCATGATACGCGATCTCTCCGAAGTTTGGGACGAAATTAAGGTCCTCTAGACCGGGTGCCATAATTATATAACTAATAGCTTTTGGATACCCTAGCGGTTGAGAAGGTTCTCTTTCCATTGTCTGGATATCGTGAGGTTAGAATCAGGCTTCAACCGACTGGCTTATACCAATACTAACAGACACACGAGCTCTGCCTCTTTCTTCCTCCATGGTGTTTCCACTAGTTCTTCGAGGTTGATCGACTTGAATTGCTGTCTTAAGAGATCTAAGCAGTATGTCCAAGCGTTATGAGAGTAAACGGCGAAGTCTCACTACTTCCCATGTCAAAGGGGATGGTAACCTGCACGGTGGCATTCGCTTTTCCCATGTCACAGGGCATGGTAATCTGGACGGTGGCATCGCCAGAGAGAAAGAACGCTACGAAGAGAAATTCTACACAGAAACATATAACACACATTGAACTACATCCCGGATCGCCAACGTGCTCTCATACTATAGTGTTATGTCTAGCGTGAAGGCCATCACGAACGGATAAGGGTATACATTATTCCGCGCTATTCACTTCACATAACCAGCTCGAGCTACTACAGCACCTGTGATTTATTTTAGCCTATGGCATCTTCTTCCTGCATACTTTGTTCATCCTTTTCCGCTTGCTAATGCAGAACATGCTTGCCAAAAAGATAATTATCAGGGATAAAGCGAGTAACCTCACGATATTTCCATAATGAGGTCTAACTTGCGAGACATCCTCTATATAGGTGAGCATTAGATTTAACTGTCCGGACAGGAAGCGAGAATCACTAATTAGAATTGCCTTTGTTAGCCCCCAGTTCCTGCTTCGTCCGCCTATCCTCCGGTACACGCTTGACGGCTCTATTCTCAAAAAGCCCCCCTTCAGGAACAGAAATCCATATGCAGTTGGGGGAATCGACTGCATTTTCATCATCTTGGGCAGATAAAGCTAAAGGTTCTTTCTCACTTTGGCCCAACAGGACGGGACGGGACGAGGGCAGGAACGCTGGATTGCGGAGCCATGCATCTGCAGCGCAGCACAGGTTGAGCGTCTCGTGTAGCTTCAACCACACATGGCTTATCGTTCGTCTTCAATCGGTGATTATCCCGGCACAGATATATCAAGGGCAGTACCGTCTGCATCAGGAATTGACCAACGATGCGCCGGGACAAGTCTAGTTGACTATATTCCCTGCCAGGACATACCTCTCTTCTGCCTGGTCAGATAGACGCGATGTATAATGTTTGTCTAACTGTCAGCGCGTCGACATCCTCTATCGGGAAACTATCGTTCTGGACCAGTATTTGTCCAGCGAACTGGTATATATCGTCTATAACTCCGGCTATCACCTTTCATGCACGCATGGTGCATACAGGCTCTGCCTTTACAAGGTTATGGCATATCCTAAAACAATGTCGGCTGGTAGCATAGAGAGAAAGCTCCGGGAGTGCATAAATACTACGCAAGCAACACCCGTTGTGTGAAGGAATATATCAACTTCAAGATTTGCGAAGCTCATTGATAGCTATCATTCTATCTACTGTCATTACAAGTGCTCCTCATCAGTGTAAGTGTCACGTGGCTCCTTCAAGCACTTATCTAGTGGTGTCGCGTCAGGACTAACGAGATCATACACCAGCACGGCTTCTCTTTCCCAATACCAACATGTGCGTTCGATTCGTCTCCACAACCAAATTTACCAATTGCACTGAACAGCCAAAGCATATAATCACCTCCTATGAGCCTCAGCCTCCATGTGGCAAGCCAAACTGCGGAGGATATAAGGATGTGCACATGGCGATTATAACCAAGAGATCTGGAATCTGTCCGAAGTGTTGATAACTAGATACATAAAGTTGCGTTAACTCTGCCTTGTTAGCCCGCGATGAACTGAGGGGCTGGGGTGATGAAACCTGGGCGCCTGATATGGGCATACAACAGCTCAAGCCGCTTGTGTGTGCTATCGAAAAGAATTATTTGGAAGTGTTGGATCTCTTGCTCGAGAATCGCTAGTTTCCGTATGACCAAGCTCTTGTTGACAAGTGCAAGTCACTGGCCTCTCAGTGGGGAGCTCAAAAAGGACCGCGTTTACTTCATGCGAAGCAAATATAATAGAAGTTGAAGCAAGTTATGGGTGCTCAGTAATGTCACCTTCGTGCCTCGCCCCGAGATGTTCTTATTCAAACAATCCCGAGATATGAATTCCTATTTTCTTTTCAGTATCTCGATATCTTCGACATTCCTTTATAAAAGCTCAAGAGAGAGACCTTATTCCCACCTCTAGCTTCAATGACTCCATTCTCTTTAATCTAGCCAATAGACTTGCTCTGCACTTCGTTCCACCAATTGAAAGAGGAGAATTCTAAGCAGGAAATAAACCTCGTTCTATATTGGCCCACGCTTTCAGCTCCTCGATCAAGATGCCAGTTAAGCATTATGTATAGTACATCATTTTTCTTGCTCTCTTAGATTTTTGGCAAGCCTGGATTATCCAATGATGATCCAATACCGCTGTCTGAATTGCCTGGTATGTGAGAAGCTGATAGGCTTTTACCAAGCGTGTTGTACTGAGAACAGCATACTGCTCCATCATTGGCAAGGATGGCAGAAAACATATATTATCCCATAAGCCTAGTCTTTTATTGTATCTTTCTTTTATTGGAGCATTCTCGATCTTATAGATACCCTTTCCGCTAACTGCATGGAAATATGTGTTTCACAAACCCCAAGTGCCGAGCCACTATCCTGCTTGGCCATGCACTCAATCGGGATTTTGACATCTTACCGATATAGGCTTTTTAATATGCTTTCCTGCCAAGGCTTATCTCTCGCTACCTGAACAAATATCCTCAGTCTGTTCAATGAAATGGCCCTCTCGGTTACTTGCTGGATATGCGGAGAATCTAGCTCCGTTGTTCCCCTCAATCTGGGGTACCCCGTGGGGAAGAACCGACGTAGCGCTGTTGCTCGCTGGGAATATGTTGAGCATACTATATAAATGCCCCTTGCTAGAATTTTTTGGGGCGCTTTTGTATTCACCTTATACTCCTCTCCATATAATTTGATCCTCGGCCTTGTCTAGTACTGCAACATGGCTCCTAATCATTCAAACCTCGGCCTGGAGGAGGCAGATAATGAGAAGATTGACAGTGACTTGCGTCAACTTGAAGCTGTACATGATACACACTTCTACAACATAGACCACGAAATTGAGAAAAAGGTTGTTCGGAAACTTGACTGTGTTATCCTTCCTCTGATGGTGCTTGTATACTTCTTCCAATGTCAGCGGATAGTCCATGCTTTCACGTCAGTTTCTTTCTAACCGATCGTTTAGACCTCGACAAGCAGACAATCAACCAGGCCGCAATATTCGGGCTGCGAGATGATCTCAAGCTAACTGGTCAGGAGTATTCATGGGCAGTATCGTTATTTTATCTGGGCCAGCTTTGTTCAGAATACCCAGCTGCGATCATGCTCTCCAGATTTCCTATCACTATTTATGTCGGGGTAACTATCGTCTTATGGGGTGGGGTAAATATGTGTCTGGCTGCTGTTCACAACTTCGCGGGCCTGGCAGCGGTGCGCTTCTTCTTGGGGTTCTCCGAAGGCAAGACTTACTTCATAGACCATCCGCTTCCAAGACTAAGTATCCTACTAGGGACTGTCTCCCCAGCCTTCATTATAATTACGAGTATTTGGTACAAACGCCAGGAACATCCGATACGCGTCGCTACATGGGTATCAATGAACGGTATAGCGAATATTATAGGTGCCCTCATGATGTATGGTATTGGCAAGGGAAACATGTCACTCGCCCCGTGGCGCTCTCTCTTCTTGATTTGCGGAGGCTTGACCTCCGCGACTGGTCTACTCTTCATTTTCTTGATGCCCCGAGATACGACTACTGCTTGGTTTCTGAGTCCACGGGAGCGAGAAGTGGCGACCCAGCGCATGGCAATCGATCGCGCTACTCGGGACCATGCAGTATTCAACAAAGCTCAACTCAAGGAGGCACTCTTGTCACCGATGACATGGATCTATTGTCTGATGGGTATCTGTATCACCCTCACGACCCCCATAATGAAGGTATGCCAGCCTCCGCTTACTTCAAGGTACTAACCTACTCTCTTCCCACCCAAAAGTACAGCTCCACCGTCATACATGGCTTCGGCTACTCAACATACAAAACAATGCTTGTCGGAACACCAGCCGGAGCATTCAATTTCATCACTGTCTGGATCGGCGCCATCATCCCCCGCATCCTGCCTGGAACCCGAGTATACACCGCCATTGGTCTCTCCATTGTACCTCTCCTAGGATCAATATTGCTCATGACGCTTCCATATTCCGGCGGTGCGGACTGGGGAATAGTGGTGGCGACCTGGCTTGGAGGATGCAGCTCTTCGTTGATAAGTAGCGCGGCCAGCATTATCGCTAGTAACGTGAAGGGTAATACGAAGAAAAGTATCGTGTCAACTGCTTTCTTCGTTGCATATTGCGTTGGATGCATTGTTAGTCCGCAAGCTTGGACGGAGGATGATGCCCCTCGGTATACGAAGGGGTGTATTTTGAGTATTGCGGCCATGGCTTGCTTGATTTTTACGTTTGTTTTTTACGTGATTATGGTAAAGAGGTTAAATAGGAGGCGTGATCAAAACGCACGAGATGGTTATATTGAGTATATGGTTGATCGGGGTGATGGTGGTGGTCGTATGGGTGTTTCTGTGGATTCAGATCAAACGGATGTTGAGGATAAGGCTTTTAGGTATACAATTTGATGCTGTTGCTGTTCTTGTTGTCTTTGTGCATCATGATTGATTGTTGATAGCTTACGAACATTATTTGAGGTTACCAAGGTAATGTAGATGTTTCCAGGTGTTGTCTTGTAATGTGTTCACGGCCAGCTCCTCGAGCAGCTCGGGCCATGTGAGCCTGGCTTCCCTACTTAAGTCCTGGGACGTCGTCTTTAACGTAAGGCCAACCAGCCCATAAGATCAAAATGCAGTTAGTGATATGAGCATATTTCACATCTCTGGGACATTTGGAATCCAGACTCGATGCATGGGTTTGGAAAGTTTGTATTTTCCAGATTCGTGATCGAAATAATTGCGAGACGCGAGGGGGCTTTTATGACATCTGTTTGTCTCATCAATTTCCGCTCAGTAGCCGAAATTAGCGACTGTACCTACCAGTATATAATCTGTCATAGGCGATCTCTTTCTCGAATAAGAAACTCCTGTAACACGAGATGTCTTCGGCTAGGTTCAAATTCGCCGGCGGTCCTAGCTGTACTCCGCTCGGGAGTGTGTCGTATCACCGACAGCATATCTTGGCTTTTTTCCCCCAAGTCAATAGTCGTTGAATTCAAAGAAGGAAGCAACTCACCACCAGTATCTTTTAAGACTGGTGGTGGTGTTGAAGACAGTTCAGATGATCATTAGTATGTCAGGGCAGCTAGCACTGTAATATGTGGGGACTAGGCAAAAACATCCTACTATATATTTTCGGCTAGCAGTAATCACAAAACCATTACTAGTTTCCTATACTCAGTATAGACAGTTCAACAACGACGATAGCATTGCTTCTTCAGTATAGATTAATTATTACTTCAAAAAATCAAGTTGACTATTGATTCTACGATAAAATGCCAGAGTCAGGTGCCAAAATGCGAAAAGGGACTAAACCAGATGGGGTTCGGAATAACGGATAAACTCACGTGCGATAAATCCGACCGCTCGGGGGCTGCAACAGTCCATGACGCAGCAACCATCAGGAAAATTAAACCCGAGCAGCAACACGACTTTGCAGTGGGATTAATGAGTATTACGGGTCCGCTGTTACCCTAGTTTACAGTCCTGCTTCAGATGGCGGACGCCATATCCCCAGCACAGCCTTCAGGCTGGCGGATCCCCAAGGCATGCCAAGAGTGCAGGAAGAGAAAGATCAAATGCAATGGTGTCAATCCGTGCAAAACCTGCCAACTGCGCCATACCCCGTGTATTTATCGCGAAGTCATTCGGCAGCGCAAGAAGAAACACCAATATACAGATGCTCCCGCGAATGATGAATATCCCTCGAATGGGGCTACGCGGGCCGAGTACGGCGCACGTCAGCAGTCTCCTGGGGTGATGCAGCCAGCCCGCCGGAGAAATGCCTCCGTCAGCTTGACCTTCAACAACAGCGTTTCAGCCACACATATGGCATCGCCATCGTGCAAAGTCCAGCTATACTATGGCTCGACTTCTCACTTTGCGCTCATGCACGAAATCTATAGGGGCTTGGTTTCCGGCAACCAAACTGCGGAGACGGAGGAGCCACAAGGCGAGGTCGAAGAAGCCGGAGCTGGCTTGGACATGTTTAGCTTCCGTCGGATTTTCTTCGGAACCCAGGCTGAGTCGCATGATTCGAACAAGGCCCTAAATGGACCCGATGCGAATGTGCTATTTCTGCCCTACGACTTAGCCAAAAACTTTCTTGAACGCTTTTTGGCAACTCTGTATCACCTCGTGCCGTTTTGGCCTAAGGAAGCCTTCTATCAACAGCTCGATCAGTTGTATCGTCTAACACCAGATTCGCGCTCAGATAAATGGGCGCGATCACTACTGTTGCTGGGGCTAGCCACCGGTTCGCTAGGAACACAACACCACAGCTGGGGAGATATACTATACGAGCGCGTAAAGGCGTCTATTTCTTCTCTTGACGATGTGGTCAACCTTCAGACTGTACAATTGTCGCTCTTCATGATAAGTAAAAGTCTGTTCAGGAATTAGACAACACAACACTGACCTTTTGGCCAGCACGCCCATTTCCAGAACGAGCAAGGAAGGCCTAACTCCGCATTTCTCCTAATGGGCGCAGCTGCCCGAAAGGCCATCTCTGCCGGTCTGCACAAAGAAGCCCCCGCCGAGAGTAACGATGCTGCTGATAGTGTTGAGGAACGACGATGTACGTTCTGGTCATTGTACTTCTACGAAGTGTTGGTCACCCAATGAGCTAGTACTTTTGATACCCACTGATTCTTTGAACAGCTGGACTTGTTTTCATCTTGGACGACCGAGGTCCCTATCCGCAAAGGACATTGGAATCGCACTACCGAAGGATCCATTCTTGCAGGTGCTAGTCCATCTATCAAAAATCTTCTCCCGATCAGCCGATGAGATGTATGGCCGACGGCATGAATCGTTACTGCAAATGTGGAAGATTGCTAAATCCATATCCGATGACATGCGATGTTACGACTCGAAAATGCAACATGCACTAGGGTTTGGGCTTGATAAACCGGTTCAGCAGGGGAGCTTGGGCGTACGACAGACTATCCTAATAACTCGTATGTGCCCAGATTATTTGGTATCTGAGATGTAAGCTGACTGTTCAGTCTATTATCATACCATTCTATTGACGTTTCGGCCATTTTTGATCTTTCGAGGTCGGTGGCAGCACGATATGAAGATGTCCTCGCAACGGCCAGGGCACAGCACGGCAAAAGGACCAACAGAAATCCCCACATGGCTCAATGAAGCCTGTAACCAGGCCCTTAGTGCCGCTTGCAGGACCATCCATCATTTGTATGAGGCTTCCATATATAACGAACTGGTTCGGGTAAGTCTAGACGCAGTCCATTCTGCTGGATCAGGCCTGGTGCTGATGACGTCCCAGGAACTTCGCTATCACGGATACTTTCTGGGCAGCTCTAGCTTCGCTCTAATTTATGATCTGATGCATGGAGAAAATTTGGCATCTACTCACCTTCCTTGGATACATGCCGCCTTGCAAGGACTTTCATCGATGCGATATGGCGAACCAATCTCCAGCTCCATGTCTGCCATTCAAACCGTCCTGAGAAAACTTAACCCATCGTATGAATGGTCGCCAGATACAATGCTGAAAGGGGATTCCTATAACATCGACCAAAATGCTAGTGCTGTGCGACGGTACCCCAGTAACATCTCGCACCAGCCCCAAGGTCCCATTCCTGACCCTCTCCAATCGGACCTGGCTGCGGGAGGCCTTTCAATGCTATCTGACTTTCAAGGAAACTCCTTGCAGGATGGCCTGCGCATGCCAAGCGGTAGCTTGGGTAGTGGAGAAGACCTGCTTGATTTCACTCAGTCGGACATGGGGTGGGACTTTGATTTCTCAACAATGGACCTTGAGGCCTTTTTTTCTATCAACCCAACTTTGGACCCTCCGCTGTTCTAGTGGTTAGGTTACATTTGTCTTGGTCTTGCACGACACTCCCCCAACATATTACAAGGCTTTGATAGGAGGACAATTGGGCGTCAAGTACATTCGTACGATTAGACGGCGTCTGGCTGGGCCAGACTAATCAATCAGTGTCCGCGAGGTTACACCGCCAGCCATGCGTCGGCAGGTGGGCCTAGAACTTGGACTTGGGCCGTCGATCTTCACAAGGACAGAGTAAGCACACGAACCTAGATCTGACTGGCTGCTGGCATGTGCCCCTTGTAGGGCGCGATCCCGAATTCGAGCTTTGAATAGTGATACCCCATGTATGAGCCGTCAAAATAACGAGCAGAATTCCACAGCCTTAAGCTATCCTGATACGTATAACTGTGAGACACTCCCGATGATTGTGGAAGAGTAGTTCAAGCTCTTGCAGGTCTTACGGCCTGGCAGTCCCAGAATCGTTCGGCGTGGGAGAGAAGATCTAGACCATTAGAATGACTCTGGATGAACATGACAACGACCACCACGTGACTGAATGAATCATGCTCCAAGTCGATGAGTAATAGCAGCCGATCCTTTCCCTTTGTGGGTCTCGGAGGGTCCCTGCAGTAGCTTCCTGGGCTGGAGTCGTACATACTCGTCGCATCTTCCACCTTATCTTAATTTCTACGCGTGCAGCTTGTCTAATGAGTAATAGCATTTGACACAGCTTAGACTGATAATTGAATGGACAGATCGCCGAAGGAGGGGGATGTGCCCCCCTCCTTTAAGCTTCCGGCCACATCCTGCTTACTCTTCCTGTAGATCACCACCTAATCGTAAACGGGAGGAGTGATGAACGGATCATCCGCAAGATAGTACTGGCAGTAGTAGGAAGACTACCGAAAACCTGTTCTTCCTGTCGAAAGAAATAACACACTGTGAGGTACTACTATAAGCCCAATCAGGTCTCTGACGAGGGCAAGGGCTCGCCAGGGCACACACTTGATGTCTGATGCCTCAGGCGAACACAACCTGAAAGCGGCGCCGGGAAAAGTAACTCCGGACGAATCGCGGTGCGTCACGCGCGACTCTATAGAGTTGGGTTACATCAATGACCCGTTCACCTTTGCCTTCATCCCACTTTCCTCCTTCTCACGATTATCGGCAATGCAGCCATTCCGAATCGTTTAGATGGCTTTTTCAGTCGAATCTTCTCGTTCTCACCATGAGCGGGACGGCATCTCTCGCTGTCTTTCCTATACTTAAGCGAGGCGAACTGTCGGAGCCGACAACGGCCGTCTTTGAAGCTATTCGGCCGATGTCTGTACGGCAAGCGAAGATGACCGAACCATGGAACACGCCACGGTCGTACCCGGGATTCGGCAGGGCCGGTCATGCAGAGCCTTGCGATGATCCCCTTATCCGGGGTCGGGGCCATCAGCCGGCGGGGTCGCCCATCGCTTAGGTGCACTAAGAGAATCATTCACATCAAGCCCGTGGCCTAGACCTGCATTCATACCACTTGGCCGGCTCTCGTCAGCTCTAGCATTCTCTTTGAAAATATCTGTTGCAAATCCGGTGGCGCCCGGATCACAAACCTTAAAGCCTT